GCTTCCCACTATTCCCTGTGTAAGGTCATGTAACGATACTGTACTAAAGGCAGCGGCTGCCTAAGGTTCGTCGGTTGGTAGTTATGGGTTAAGGCTTTATCACTGGTATTCACTTAAAAGTGAATTCGTTACTAGATCAAGTAGAATGTAGGTAAACTAATTGATAACTAAGTTGAGCACGAAGCTCCTAGGGCTCCTTATCACGTGATTTCTGATGGTGCGTGCGCATACGATCTTCAGGTGACCAAGATCACATACTAATTCGATGAAATCTGATCGTGTTTGCACAAGGCCTAAGCTCTCCTAATTAATCAGTTTGCTACCATCGTAACACCATCAATCCTAATGGTGAATCGTGACAAAATCCTACACAAATTGAAAATTATAATTTCAATCTTTAGGATCTCGATCAATAAAATCACCAAAAATCTGAAATTTTCTGAAATTATTATTACATAAATAATAACTTTATAATTTCAATTTTATTAAATTATTGTGACCAAAAGGGTGTTTATAGACCAGCAATTGTATTTAACTTAGAATCTACAGGTGAAGAGCACCTGTAGATGGGGATAGCTACTGTGACGCCTCACACCTCCGGGTCACGTGGCATGCCCCGTTTGTATTTAATCATAGGAAAACTCTCTACTCTTGTTTTCCTTCTTCTTTTCTCCTTAGCTTAGTATTTTCTAATACAAGATACTTTACCCAGTATTCTTGAGTGTGACAGCTACTCTATATATACACAAATGAATGGCCTAGCCGCAATGGCTAGGCAAAAAGAAGTCATATTTATTCCTCCAATGATCTTACTTTACCGATAACCATTGATACCTAGTACTTGTCCGGATCTGATCCTCAGGTCACCTAAATCGTATACTAATCTCGAGTAATTGTATCATGTGTGGACATGGTTAATGTACCTGAGGTTTCTTATATAATAAGGGTGGGAGGAAAGCAGGGATTTCCATCACAATTATATTTATAAATAAGAAAGTTATAAAGATCAATTTTTGTTGTTTTTGATATGAAAAAATAGTTGAGATTAAGAGTGGTTGAGAAGTGGGGTACTAGATTTATTACAATACGCACCTAAGCTAGATATTTTGTTTTGCTGTCCAAGATCGTTTTTTTTTTTCATTAATGCTACGCTGCCTCTCAATATTACACTTCTGTCATCCTGGTCTTTTGATGGGATGTCTCGTTTGGTTAATTGTATGGTTTGCTGTGTTATTATTCAAGCTAATGACATGATACAACACGACACGACGCTACTCTAAACTTTGCTCATCTTCTTCATTGTCATCACTCATCATTCCAATTCCCCGTTTCCCATTGAACATCATGAAATCATACTTGAGCACAACTAAACGCTTTGTCATCTACACACCAAACTCCCCTCTCGGCCCTCTCCTCCCTTTCACTTTCACCTCTTCCTTTCTCCCTTCTCTGTCCGAAACACCACGTCCAAGCCCCATACCCATCACACCCTTCTCACCTCCTCAAACATCCCATCCTTCTCCCCTCCTCAAACTTCCCCCTTCCCAAGTAAAACCAAATTAGCCACATTCATCGCCGCCATAATCGTCCAAATAACAGCAGCCACAACAGCCGTAATCCAATGATTTCTCATTTTAGTCCCCTCGCCCGTCTCTCCACTCATACCAGTTCCATCATTCTCATAAACACTTTCAATTTCCATCGGTCCATCTACATTTCCCCTCGTATTCTCATCATCTTCCGCAAAGCTATTTCGGTTTTGACATCTTACTGTCATGAATTTGTTACGACAAGTGAAATAGATCAGGGGTGCTGTAACAAATGGAAGAACAATGCTGAGAGCTACTTGACTTGCATTTAAAGCAGCTGATAAACCTTCACGACCAACAGCACCAGCAATGATGATACTAGGTGTGATACTTAGACTTCTGGTTAAAAGGCGTCTTAACCAAGGTCTAATAGTCCAGTTTAATGCGCCTTCTGAAACCATTTGTCCAGCGATAGTACAAACAATACCAGCGCTCATGCCTGATAATAACAAAGCTAGAGCAAAAATAGTTCCAGCACCTTTCGAAATACTCGAAACAAGTAAATCGTAAATACCGAAAAGATCAGCATCTGGTGCAGCAGGGTTATTATACAAAGCTGCTCCAGCTACAATTAAAATTGCAGAATTGACGAAGAGTGCAAATGTGAAGAGACATATTGCTAATTCGGCGTAGGAGTATTTGAGACAGAATTTGATGGCTGGAAGGGATGGATAATATGGTTCCTTGGTACCTAGATCAAAATCTTTTTTGACAAAATTGTTCTTCTTATCGTAGTCTAGAAGTCTAGGTTGTACGATACCACTTCCAAGGTAGAGACTATGAGGCATGACGGTTGCTCCTAGAATACCACATGCTTGATAGAGTCTAAAAAGTGTTAGCGAAATTATAATGAGATTAAAAAGTCAGTACATACCCCTTAGATTGTACGATAGCTTGAGAAGGTAAGTATCCCTTGAAAACTTGACCTACGGAAGTATCCTGAATGAGTGATAATTGAATGCAAAAGCAAATAACAACACCTAATACCAAAGCAACAACAAACATCTCAAAATATCTCAATCTCTTCATTTCACCATTTCCAGGATAAAATGCGAGAAGAATAAGAACATCAAGGATAGACAAAGCACAACCAGCTACCAAAGGTATTTGAGGTATTAAAAGATTGATAGCGATAGCTGTACCAATCACCTCAGCAATATCTGTAGCGATAATCTATCATTGATCAGTCAAATGAAATGCAAAAAGGAGAGGGAAAATCATACTGCACCCTCAGCCAAGATATAAAGGCCAATATTCAACCATTTCGGCAAGAAAGCCCTACAAGCCTCTGCCAAATTCAAACCACTAACAGTACCCAATTTGATACAAAGACTTTGCAAAAAGATTGCAAAGATATTGGACATCAAAACAATAAACAACAGCTTAAACCTATACGTTGCACCTGCAGCAACATCCGTCGCATAATTTCCGGGATCAATATATGCCACCGCTACCTATAAGATTTGTTAATATAATTGAAGATAATATTCGCCATTCTGATACCAATTTTGACATCAATTTTGATGTTGTTGACAAAGGTGGCAAATTACGTACCATGAAGCCCGGACCCACGAATTTAGCAAATTTGACCATAACTTGCTTCATTTTCACCAGTTGTTCTTTAGAGATATTGACACAACTTCTTTCGGATCCCCTTTTCGTTCCCGATTGATCTCTAATATCAAGAGCCTCAACGGTAGGTCCAACCACGTGACCACTCTTCCCATCTCCACCACGTCCACCGCCTCCACCGCCCCTTTCACCCCCAGCCCCCCCTCCCGCACCATTCTCACCTCCCGTCACCTTTCCATCGCCGGTATCATCGACCAGATCATTGATAGATTCCACGCCTTCATCCTCCAAACTTCTCCTCAATGCTCTTCCATTTGCTCGACCGTTCAGATCTTCTCGAGTGGTGAGATCATTTGCCAAGGCATTGGGATTTTGATTATATCCATCGCCTTCCAATGGCTCATCTGTTCTCGATGGACAATTCATGATGTTGGTTTATGTCCTGTGATAGTATGTTGATGGGAGGAGTTGTGGTTACACCACTAAGGTAGGTAGGGAGAGTCGAGGTTGATGATCCGTTTCCGTAAAAGATGCGTCACCTTTGAAATTCTTTATCCGAAGTTTTATGTTTTATGTTTTATGTTTTTGTATTCTGTGGGTAACAAAAATATAATTCAGGAGATGCGTTCGTACACCTCACCCATAAAAAAATCCCCTTTAATAAGATAATCAATGAATCAATTGATTCACTACCATGAAAAATCGAAAGTAAAAAATACCAAACTTCCCTTCACAAATACAAAGGTAAGTCAAGGTAAGGTGTAGAGTAAAGTCAAACATTCCGGGGAAAGAAGATCTTGATTCCATTTTATATACTAGTGTGGGCAGCAACCAACTTTACGTACTAGGTACTAGGTCAAGCACCGCCAGTGCACCTACCTATCTAGTTGAGCAGCAGATAAAATTACTCACGAGTAAAAGTCAACGCATAAACATAAAAGTCTGATATTCTCTCATTGGACCAAATCCATAAATCAGTACCCAACAAGGTACAAGACCACGATCATGACCACGAGCATAAGCTTCGGCACTTATCATTAGCAAATATCCCTTCTCAATTCTAGAAGGTAGAAGCTAGACGCTGCGGCTTTTCCCGATCATATCATTTCACAGACTTCACTGTGCGCACACTCAGCAAATCGGTAAGGAAAATTGCGGTCGGATCTATCAGATCATTGGATCATGATTGATCCATGCTTTCGGAATTCGGTCCAATTCGACCCAATGCAGACCAATGCTAACCCCAACTGTACGTACTACGTATGTATCATTTTTATTATCCTAGTCTTTAGACTTTATTGATGTGATAAACATAAAAAAAGATAGATTCTAGAAATGCGATTACTCATGAAACAAATCTAGAATTGGAAATACTCAAAAGATATCAATGATCTATCTACATTCTCGGATCCGATTGGTACAGTACTCCATTACAACATAGAAAAAGAACCTTGACTAGCACATGACTGACTAAAGCTGTTATGTTGTGATTTATCAAGTCGCTGTCTCTCTAACTCTCTATCCAGTGTTTACCTCATCGTCTATCATATCAATATTCTCTCCCTCCACCCATCCAACTATACATTACGTCATCATTCATCACACATTCATAATATCGACATATGAGGTAGGTACCTAGGTACTTACATCCACATCCATCCATGGACCTACCCACTCAAATTCCAAAATTCCACACTCCAAACCATAAGCACCCAATAAAAAAGCACCCACTCATTCCTCTTATCCACCAGTTTCCCCTCTCTCAAAAACCCAAAAAGAAAAAGAAAAACGACCAGTCAATACCTCATCAACTCATCAACATCAACTCATCTTCCCCCCAACCCACACACACACATCACATCACACCACCTCACCCCAAAGTTACGACCCAAGTCCTCCATGAGCCTATGTGGATTATCACATGCAAAACTCCCGAGATCCCTATATATCTATATCTATATCTACATGTTTCAAGCCATTAGGTGTAGAATCTAGGATCTAGGATTTTCATCAGGAATATATAGAGTATCTATGTGCTCTATCCAATATCCTATATGTAACTACCTATCTAGGTAGCTGGCTAACTACCAGTAGCTAGCTATATCTACCTTTTCTTCCTTTGTGAACCTTACATGATTTTGTCCTAAAGTGCGGGGTTGATAGGTATGTACTATGCACCCAGTTAGGTAGGTAAGTAAATGAGTAGAGTAAGTTGGTCTACCGAAAAACTCCGAGTTGTGCACTAGTGAGCTATCTACCTACTGTACCTACCTACCTACCTACCAACCTACCTATCTAATAGTAGTACCAGGTCAACAATATGCAAATATAGGTATACTCCTAATGTAGTGTAATAAATAATTTGGTTGGTATAAATGAGTTATTGCTACCTAGCTAGATGCTACTCAATGCATCAAATATCATATCTCGAATCTGCCGAATCAAAAAGTTTTGATTTTCATAAATCAAACCCAACGGTGAGACGAAAATATGCAAATTTTCACCACCACAACCATATTGTATGTAGTAATCCATTCATAGAATCCCAATGAGATTGAAAAAAGCGTGTCCCCATCCTTTCCTAGGAGGAGTCACAAAAGAACGCCTGGTGATCCATGCAACGCCATGCAAATATTATTCTGCAATTGTCCTATACATGAAAGAAAACCCTCTTAGGCATTTCGATCTTCGTCAACCTGAGCGTATGCCTTTTGTAATGCCCTTTTCTCCCTACCATCATCCTCAAGAACCACAATCCAATCTCGGAGCTGGATATTACGTCCCTTGACACCATCTTCTCGCCAAGCTCCTAATCTCCGTACACCATCTGTCGTGAGTTTTTCCAGCCCAGGATTCGCTGTTGGGCTACCAACAGAAGCACCAAGACCTTGTGTCATGATTTTACCTGGTGTACTTGTACCACTCCCAGATCCGCCAGCCGTCATCCAACTGTATTGCTTCTTCTTTCCAAACACATTTCTACCACCCAAGAATTGTGTAGTAGTTACATTGGCTGCTGCGTGGCTTGCGGCCTCACTAGTTTTTGCCTCTGCTTTCTTCTTCATTTCTTTCTTGGTGGGTGGTTTATCAAGGATATCCGGAGCCATAGAACCTGGTGTACCCGGATTTATTGACCCAGCACGAGATCCCTCACCAGACTCACGAGCCTTACGTTTTCGTAGCCTCGCCTCCTCAGCTTCCTGCTCTTTACTAGCAGCTTTTCGAAGAGTTAATGCAACATCATTCGCAAAAGACTTTGTTTGAGTCTTCGCGCTATCTGATACTGGAGTAGGTAATCTACCTGCAGCCGAGAGAGGGCCTTGGCTGCGTTAGCTCAAAATCGAAATAACTAAAAATTGATACATACGTTTAAGAGGGTTGGTGAGAGGGCTGACAGAACTCTCCCATCCAATCCGTGGACCGCCTTCATTGACAATGGTAGAAACACTAGGTTTGATCGCTTGTACAGCAACATCTGCCCATTCATCCTTAATTTGAGCATGAGAACTTGTTTGTCGGCCTATAGCTAACTTGAGTGCATCCTCCAATAATCCACGAAGACGATGCTTGGTAGAGATAGACATGAGCGCAAGCTGATCAACTAGTAAAGAATCGGCCGGAACGAAGAAACCAGTCGTTGCAGTGATGGCTCCATCTGGCCCCACCGCAGTTTGTACTTTGACATTTGGTTCTGGAAAATGTTCAGGTAGTTTCATGGTTCCCATTTTTCCATTGGCATCTGTGTTCAAACCAAGACCATTGTCATGCGCAATCTTCTCCATTCTCTTATGAACGTGGCCAACGTTCAAGAATGGATTATTCAACTCTCTTTGCCTCGATACTGCTAAATCACGAGCTGCATCATGCCAGGCTTTATCCGCAGCCTTTTTCTCAAAATCCTCTTGTGACTTAGCATTTGGGGCCTCACCAGGTTGATTAGCGGGACCAGAGCCGTAAAAAGATCCTTGATTCCCAGGTGCAAATTGTGTAAAGCTGTGACCCGCCGAAATATTGCCTGGATGTGACCTTGAGCCTTGAGCATTAAACGATGACGAGTACTGCTGAAATGTGTATTGTTCCTCCTCTGCAAGATCGATACCAGTTCCTCCCAATACGTCCAACGGATCTAACCCATCAAGCTTATTTTTATCAACCGGTCTCGAGGGTGGGCCCATAACTCCACCAGGATGCTGTGGCATCTGCAGATTAAAATTATTAAAATGAGCTGCCTGTATATTTCCTTGATGATGCTGCTGAACTTGACCGGGGAAGCTCAAAGGACTCGGTTGCGCATGAGGTGGAACAGCACCCGGAGTTTGCGGTAGATTTAATGAAGGAGACGGTTGCGCATTTAATCCATTTGAATATGGTGTGGTGTAAGCACCTTGAGGAATTTGCACGGTCGAAAAGTGCGGCGAAGGTGAAGCTGAACTCTGCCCGGACGCACCTGGACTCATCGCATATGGTGATGTGACATATGGCGAACCTGGTTGAGAGGGCGGGTTGGGAGACATCCTTTGTCGCTTGTGTGGCGGAAACGCGAACTGTTGTTGATTTTGCGTCGAAGGTGAATTAACTGGCTGAGGAGGAGAGAAAGGCCTCTGTGGCATAGGATAAGGCGGTTGCTGCTGCTGTGGTTGCGCCATGGTGTCGACGTCTTGGTTGTAATTGCCTTTAATAATTTCCTGTATCCTTCACAACCCAGGCGCAAAGCCCGGCTACCTCCAATGATACCGACCCATGCGCTAGTATAAATCTTCGAAATACAGCTTAAACACTTGCGCGACCGTATTCACTCGTTGTTTTGATGAGAATTAAGCTGCTTTCTTTCCAGGGCTAATACTTTGTTCATTGAATGGAATCGCGAAAGCTCTCCCGTTTTGATCTCATCACGTGTAGCTTTAGTGCGAAATTTCTCGTAACAAGGAACGCCAAAATCGCGTCTCTTTGATGATAGGGTCTTAACTTCTTTCTTACCTACTGTACCTATTGAATTTATTTACCACAACTTCAATTCATTCTTCTGCTTTCAAATTGAATCAAAACTTTCCAACGTTATCAAGGTCGGAATTTGCTTGATTATGTTATCTTGCTGAACATTTATCTGCCTTGAAGGCAGCTACATTAATAAACTCTGAATCAACTAACAAAGAAATCAATATTATATTTCATTCACAATGGCATCAAAACGTAAGGCTTCCGCCATGGCACCTACTGTGGAAGGACCAGTAGATCCAGCTGATGAGCTTACTTTTACGAATCTTGGTGGTGGTAATGAGGTCGGAAGATCTTGTCATATCATACAATACAAGGGTAAAACTGTCATGGTAAGCATAGAATATCTTTCTCCTTCTGCGCAACTTGCTTACTGACTTTCGATAGCTCGACGCTGGTATGCACGCTGGTTATGATGGACTAGCAGCTCTACCTTTCTATGATGATTTCGACTTGAGTACTGTCGATTTACTTTTGATCAGCCAGTAAGCGGATTCCTCTTCTTTACATCCTATATACGCGTATTGGCTTTTGGAGGATGGATAGTGGATATATGGTATTCTCTTTTGGCGGTTCAATACAATGCGCCATCGGCAGTTTGGACCCTGCTTCGCATTTTGGGTCATGCAATTCATATACAGAATTCCGTCTCACATTTCATTTTGGCCTATCTACCTACCATATTTATCATGTATACGAGAATCAATACAATACCATTATCCCACAGCAAATGCTTGTCTTGATTCTGTGATATAACTTCTATCGCCGCACGTCCGACTTGTATATAGACTATTTTTGTTGGCGTACTTTGCGTTGACCGGTAGTGCAAGAGCTGACCTTTTAAAGTTTCCACGTCGACCATGCCGCTTCATTACCATACGTCCTTGCGAAGACTAACTTTAAAGGTCGCGTCTTCATGACACATCCAACCAAAGCTATCTACAAATGGCTCATTATAGACAGCGTAAGAGTTGGGGGGGCATCATCTAATGGAGGCTCACACTCAGTCTACACGGAAGCCGACCATCTCACTACATTTGCTCAAATCGAAGCTATTGATTACCATACCACACATACAATCTCTTCGATAAGAGTCACTCCATACCCAGCCGGGCATGTGCTAGGTGCTGCCATGTTTCTCATTGAAATTGCAGGACTCAAGATCTTTTTCACAGGAGATTATTCTCGAGAAGATGATCGACATCTTGTTTCTGCTGAGGTTCCTAAAGGAGTGAAGATTGATGTTCTAATTACCGAATCTACTTATGGTATAGCATCACATATTCCTCGATTAGAACGAGAGCAGGCCCTCATGAAATCCGTCACTAGTATCCTGAATCGTGGAGGTCGCGTTCTCATGCCAGTCTTTGCACTTGGTAGAGCCCAAGAACTTCTTCTGATTCTAGATGAGTATTGGGATAAACATCCCGAATTTCAAAAAATTCCCATCTACTATGCGAGCAACTTAGCTCGTAAATGTATGTTGGTATACCAAACATATGTCGGATCTATGAACGAAAATATCAAACGACTATTCAGAGAACGCATGGCTGAAGCCGAAGCTAACTCAACTAGTGGAGGTAGAGGAGGACCATGGGATTTCAAATACATTCGTTCATTAAAGAACCTCGATCGATTTGACGACGTTGGAGGTTGTGTTATTTTAGCAAGTCCCGGTATGCTACAAAATGGTATTAGTAGACAATTACTCGAACGATGGGCACCAAGTGATAAAAATGGTGTTATCATTACTGGTTATAGTGTCGAAGGTACTATGGCGAAGCAAATCATGCAAGAACCCGATCACATCCAAGCAATCATGTCCGGACCACAGGGTTTCACACGAAGATCAGTACCTGGAGAAACAGAGAAAGCTATGATACCTAGAAGATGTAGTGTTCAAGAATTTTCTTTCGCGGCTCATGTTGATGGTGTCGAAAATCGAGAATTCATCGAGGAAATCGCTGCTCCTGTAGTGGTAGGTCAACCCAAGTTCCAATCTAGTCCTGAATGAGAAACATCCTAACATTGATAGATTCTCGTCCATGGCGAACAACACAACATGATGCGTCTAAAGTCCAAACTCCTCTCTTTGAACGCCGACAAAACCACCAAAGTCAAAGTTTTCTCTCCCAAAAACTGCGAACCATTACGCATCCCCTTTGTAACCTCCAAAACCGCCAAAGTCGTCGGAAAACTCGCAAATAATCCTCCGCCCGCTGATTCTAGTCAACTCATCACGGGTGTGTTGGTACAAAATGATTTCAAAATGTCTTTAATGGCCCCGGAAGATTTGAGAGAATATGCTGGTTTGACTACTACTACTATTACGTGTAAACAACGTATGACGCTTAGTGCGGCAGGTATTGATCTTATACGATGGGCATTGGAGGGGACATTTGGAAAGATTGATGAATTACCTGAAAGTAGGGGGAAACAGAAACATTCGATTGGAAATGGTGATACGCATATGAATGGATCATCTGATGAAGAAGCTGATGAGGAAATCGCGAATACGAATGCGGTAACTGCTTATCTAGTTATGGGATGTGTGACGGTGAGGTATAGGAGTAATGGGGAAGTGGAATTAGAATGGGAGGGAAATATGTTAAATGATGGGATTGCCGATGCTATTATGGCGGTATTATATTCGGTGGAGAGTAGTCCGGCTGCTGTTAAACGTACGTTGTTAATCTTCTTACTCACCATCTATTCTTTTGTTTCTTTTATTTTCTACTCTGATATCATATCCCTTCACACTATCTTCTCCCATTCATCACACCAAAAAGAAAATACTAACAAACTCAAGAATCCGCAAGCAAATCCCCACATTCCCATTCCCACTTCCACCCCCCCACCCCCTCAAAACGCAACCTCCACGCGCACCTCTCCCCAACCGAACGCCTAGAACGCCTCTTCATGTTCCTCGAAGCCCAATTCGGCGCCGACAACCTAATACCTATCGCACTTCCCCGCCTCTCCTCCATAGAACAACCCCCTGAAACCAAACCCGAACCCAACACCAACACCGAAAGCGAAAGTGAAACCTACGCCCTTGAAAAAGAACTCGCCCGTCTCCATAAACTAGGTATTCCAGTCCCAGGTATCGAAATTAAAGTTGATAAGATGGAAGCGAAGGTTTGGTTGGAGGATTTGGAGGTGGAGTGTGGGAATCGGGTTTTTGGGGAGAGGGTTAGGGCGGTGGTGGAGAGGGCTGTGGAGGTTACGGCGCCGTTGTGGGGTTAGCTGGGTTGGTTGGTGGGTTAGGGTTGTGAGAGGAGGGAATGAAGGATGGATAAATAGGTAGGAAATGAAATGAAGAAAAGTAGTAGAGGAAGGGAAAGGAAGAGAAATATATTCTTAAAATAAAAGAAATCACACAAGAAATCCGAAAATAACCCCATGAATTCAAATGCAATCCACAAAAATTAAATTATAAATATAAACATAAACAAGCTAAAAGTAAAAGATACAGAACTGAACTGAACTGAACATCTCATCGCAAAAAGAATAAATATAAACCAGGCGTAGATATTATCTCCTAACTAATTCCCCACTCCTTTCATATATCTATCCTTTCCTCATTTATAATTTCCTCACCATTCCTACTGTTTATATAATATTATATTTCCCTTCCCTTTATACCTCTCCCTATATCTATACCACTTCCTCATTTTTAATTTCCTCACTGTTTCTCACCATTCCTCATCATTACCACTACCCACACCTCCCACCCCTAACCCCTCCATATCCAATCTCCCCAATTCCTCTCATTATCACTACACCCCTCACCACACCCCCCTCTCTTCCCCATCACCATAAAAAAAACCCCCCGAGTAAAATAAAATACACCTCAATACCTCAATACCTCAATGCCTCAATGCCTCAATGCCTCAATACCTCAACACCTCTCATCGATCCAAAATGTAAATATCTCAAATATCCATCTCGATATCCATCTCTTTACTCATATTAATATCTACAAAATAAATATAAAACAAAATATCGTTCTATATTATTCTAAAAGTACATTCATCCCATTATCCATTATATATCATGTATTATCCCACCACCTATTATCCACCATTCATCCTCATCTTCAAGCAAATTTACCAAAGAAAAAAAAACCATTTCAAACTCCTATTCAAGATTATTGGTATCACATTTACAAATCAAATACAGAAGTCAAAAAGATTTTTTTTTAAGAATTTTATATTTTAATTTTCCTTTTAGTATTCATAAAAATCATTAAACCACCCTTTTCCACCCCATTAACCTATCTACCTAATATCCCGCTCCAAAACCAACCAAGCTTCAAGCTCAAGTCATCATATATATGCTACAATGCTACCAACAATCCTCCAACCCCATGAAAAGATGTATAATTTGTATACCACTGAAAGGGTATTCAACCGCGCGCCAAACACCAAATCCCAAATCCCAAAGCCCCACGCTCTGTGCATCTATGCAATTAATCATCCTGGGGTATATCCGCATGTCTTCTGTCTTCCGCGCCCCATTTTTATCCGCATCATAGGTTGAATTATCCATTATCCCCATCTCACTCCATCCCCATTTTCTTGGCAGTGTTCTTGTTACAAAGCCATTTAATCAACGTCATCGTTGTTCTCATCCTCTGCATGTATCACCCATCCTCTGCTCATCTCAACTGCTTGCTCCCACTTTTTGAACATGCGTGCAGCCTTTGCAGGCTTGACTTTTGGCTCGAAGATGGTTCGGTCATCGCGATTGATTTCCTTGAGTTCATCGAACTCCTTCCAGATACCAACTGCGAAACCCGCTGCAATTGCTGCACCAAGAGCAGTGGTTTCGCGCATAACAGGTCTGTTGATTGGGATGTTGAGGATATCAGCTTGTGTTTGCATGCAAAGGTCTGAGTTAGACATGCCACCATCGACGGCAAGTCCTTCCAATTTGTGTCCGGAATCCTTCTCCATAGCATCGAGGATGGCTTTGGTTTGGAAACAGGTAGCTTCGAGGGTAGCACGGGCAATGTGACCTCGTTGAGTGTGTTGAGTGATACCGAAAAGTGTTCCCTTGGCATCATCAATCCAGTATGGGGCGAAGAGACCAGAGAAGGCAGTAACAAATACCACACCACCATTGTCATCAACAGTCTCTGCCAATTCAGTGATCTTGCTAGAGTGTGCAATGAAACCCAAGTTGTTCATCAAGAATTTAACACCAGAGCCTGCAACAGCAATGCTACCCTCAAGAGCGTAGACTGGTTTTCTGCCATTACCAAAATCGTATGCGACAGTAGCCAAAAGACCATACTTTGATACTACGGGTTTGGTGCCAACGTTGTAGAGAAGGAAACAACCAGTTCCGTAGGTGTTCTTTGCATGACCAGGTTTGAAGCCACATTGACCAACCAAGGCGGAAGATTGGTCTCCCAAGCAGCCAGTGATTCTGGTACCTTTCAAAGCACCATATGCAAGTTTACCAAAGGCCTCTTTGTCAGAGGAAGGAACAATTTTTGGGAGAGTGACGTTCTTTCTGTCGAGTTGGAAGAAGTTGAGGAGTTTATCATCGTATTGTAATGTGTGAAGGTTCATGAACATAGTTCTAGAAGCGTTTGTGGTGTCTGTGACATGAATGCCACCTTCCTTTCCTCCATTGAGCTTGTAGATCAACCAAGAGTCAACTGTTCCGAAAGATAATCTGCCTTCGTCGTATGCGTTCTTGATGGCTTCAACGTTTCGGTACATCCACATGAGCTTAACGCTCGATGGGTATGTGGATAGTGGCAGACCGCACAATTGAAGGATCTCGTCCGCTCCTTCGGAATCCTTAAGCTCGCGCACAAGAGCTGTGGTTCGGGTGTCAGGCCAGACAACGGCATTGTATAGTGGTTCCCCAGTGTTTGTATCCCAGCAGATGGTGGTTTCACGTTGGTTGGTAATTCCAATGGCTTTGATGTCGGACTTCTTGTATCCCAATTCGAGGAACTTCTCTGTTGCCTTGTCTATACATTCATCCACCGAGTTGACCAACTCTTGAGGGTCATGTTCATGCCATCTGCGAAAAGAGTATTGTTAGTCGTTGGACGCACGAGTACGAATGGCACAAGAGTTGAACTTACCCGGACTCGGGATACATGTTCTCGAATTCATGCTGGTGCATTGCCACTGGTTGTCCTTGACCATTGAAGATGATGAATCTTGTGGAAGTTGTGCCTTGATCAATGCTACCAATAAACCAATGTTTCTCTTGTTCCTCCTCGGTCTCGGTTAAATTCTCTGGCAGATGTGATTTTGTTTGTTCGATGTGCTCAACATATTCTGGATCCTCTGATTGTGGAGCCTCAACGTTTCTAAATTCTGCATCTCTCCTGTACTTGTAACTGTCGATATCACCAAATGGGATCGAAGGTGGTGGTGTGGGATGCATCATCATGGTAGGAATGTGATTGTGTGTAAAACGATTTAAAAGACAAAGGGTATTGTAAAAGCAACGCTTGATGTATGGAGTGAAGGCGAGTCGCTAATAAAGAAGATGCTTGAGAAGAAGTGTTGGTTGTGTATGGAAGATGGAATGGAGGGGGGATATGTTGTATATATAAAAGTCTGGGAGTAGGTGGGGGAGTGAAGGAGGCTTTGCTTTGTTCCGGGAAAGGTAAGAAGTAGGCGCGAAGGGGAAGCTCGCTAGTCATGGAGAAGAGATGCAGATGGGGATGGAGATGTGGAAGGGGAGTAACGGTAAAAGGATCTACGCATTAGGAAACTCACCGTACTGTGCTACTCTCAGAAAATATTGGATCGGAGACTCGGTATTCAGGTCCCATCCAGCTAAAATTCCTACCTTAGCTTTTCCATACCTTGACCAAAGGCAATTATTGGAGCCCCGCCATCTTTCGTTCATTGTGGGAGCTAAGAAAAGGAAGAAACTAAGAAAGTCGCAAAGATCCTTAGTATAAAATTTCGATTGTCGATGGCGTCTCGTCGGAAGTTCCGTATATCCTTGCCATGCCATGCCATGCCCTGCCATGCTGTGTGCCATGTCCATATTGAAAATTATGTTGTACGCAGCGTAGATTATTTTGCTAGGCAGTAGTGTCTTCTGTGCCAGGTGAAAGCGGGGGCCCCTCTCTTTAGGTCACTTGGTGAATTTTTGGTACGAATGCACGGATGGAGATGGGAAAATCGATCCCGCGCATCCAGCATTGGCATGGTTTGGCATGGATTTGGCAAGCCACGGTAGAGCTGTGGAACAAATCTGACGGTGGGCTGGACTGGTGGAAGAGGCGAAAAAATTAAAAAGAATTAAAAAAAAGATTAAATTTAGTAAGATTACGAAGTTACCTCGACTCTTGATGCAAATGCGGTAGCAATTTAGCTAAAAGTCTATCATCCATGTACACAATCCACATAGAACCATGTCAACTCTGCACAGAACACGCAGAACACGATCCATTTTCCCAGGGCGACATGTGACGGATCAAAGATCAGCGAAAATTCATGGAGGTAGTTCCGTTAACAGTGGGGAAGTAAGCAGGGGAAATATATGGGATTATGGGATTATGAGATTAGAAATTAGAATCAATTGATAGTAAAGTGTGTTGGACTTGGACACTGGACAGAGATTACTTTGACTTAGATAGGGACGAAGAGATCTAATTACTACTGAATAGATACTAGAGGATTATCAAATACATCACCAGCTGACGAGTAAATAATCATTAGATACCTACCTAGTACATCCATCTAAAAGCTCCTATTACTTTTGGTGGGGCAGGGGACAAAACAAGTGCTTCCATTCCTTTCCCTTAGCCCAACACCGATATTGTCTTTCCGTTGACGGATACTCCCCCCATCCGTTGGTCGTCTTCCCACATTCCATTTCACTCCCTCTCTTCTCCTCCTCCCTTCAATTGATTACTTTCAAGTTTCAACCCACTTGCTCTACTACAATTTCTACAATGTCAAACATGAAACGTCCAATGGCTCTGCATATGGGCTGGCTGGCTGGCGGAATGAACTGGCTGGCCTTTCTCTTCCAGTGTTCGAGGCGTGTTCTATGAAAACGGAAGAATTATTTCCTCCTATCGAGACGAAGAATTGGAATTATGCCGCGCCCAGTGGTTCGTCACCCTATAGAAATATCCATGTAGTTTCCTCTTGTAGAATTATCCAAAGAGGAAGTTAGAGTCCGTCCGTCGAAAACAAAATATATCCGTGCTTCACTCACTTGGGTACTTCCGTGGACAACTTTTCTAATCCATGTCTGCATTCGCATCTGCAGTTACATCGTGTACGCTGTACATGTCTCCTGTAAGCTCTGTTTGCATTCTTTGGGCTCCGAAAGTCGATGCACCTCCACTATTATTCTTTTTTACGAGACGAGATAGCTGCTCGACTAGCTCTGGCCCCTCAAAAAGCTCATCCATCGAACTGCTGATGCTTGTACCGGTATCGCCTTGACAGGTCTTTCCCGGGAGCAGAACATCTACCCAGTACCTACAAATCTACGAGACATAAGACTCGCAAATGATCCACAGTCTCACTTGTGGCTGTGTGTCCCTGAGGCGCCATGGTGGGGGAATTGGGACCGCAAATCTGCAAATCTTCTGTGTGTAGGGAACTGGGTAACGTCAACACAAACGAAACGACGTTGTTGGAAAAACGGCTCAACCAGGTCTTATCTGTTCTCTGCCTTGGAAATGATAACCAGATGTCGATGTTATGATGAAATTCCATCTCTTCAATCATCGAGAAGTGTAAAATCAGCATAAGATCTCGATCGAATACATAGGTAACATCATGCCCCCATTATTTTTGAAGTCATCAATTGATTTTACATCAATTGTTGAAATCATTTGGGATCTTGGGATGTTTTCTTATCTCAGATTTCATCATACCATCATCATACAACATCGCGGAGTGTATGTCCAATTTATGTCATTTATGAATTCATAACATAACCTCTAACTGTTGGAGGCGAATAGATCTTCAGGAAGAAGATCACGACATAACATAATTGTTCACGGGGTACGTACTAAGGGCAACTCATTGACAACACATTTATCTCGGCATTCTTAATTTTGTTGAAAGAAAATCCCATTCTCGACGATACTTGTCCAACCCCCCACAAATTGACAGTGATCAATTTTCGTTTTCATCTTTCTTCTGAAACTTTGAAAATATTCAAAAATCACGACTCAAGTTTACCCCTTTTTACCATCCTCTTGGATGTTGATGCCCTACCGGTACTCTACTCCTACTCCACAAAGTTATTATTAATTGCTCTCGTGTACAGTGCTCGTGTACAGAGTACGGAGTTCAAATTTCCAAAGTATTGTCCACCCGGTCAGCACAGTCCAATTCAAATCAATTCGAATCAATGCAATGCAATTCAATTCAATTCAGTTCAACTCCTCGCGTCTAAATCTAAATTCCAAGTCCGAAGTTCCAAGTTGGAACTTCCAAGAGTTGAATCTCAAACTACTCGAGTAATAGCAAAAATGAGAAAATGATCACTTGCCATTACTTCCTCGTCTATGCACAATTCAATAGGTAATTCCAATAATTCAATTCCAATAATTTACCAACAACCAAAGCCGAACTCTTTCCATCTACTCTACGGTCCACGGAGTACTACATTCATCTGCCAATTATTGAAACCCACTAGACTAGAACCCAGCCAAAGTCGAGACAATAAGAGAAATTCCCATCACAGCCTCGCCCATACATCTATGTCTATACATTACAAACCATCTATGTTCCGAGAGTCAGTCCACCCCGCTGGTCTTCTTCCTCATTTACCAAGCTAATCATCAAGTCCAGCTCCAGCCCCTCAAGATTTCAAAAAAAGTTGGGGGTTACAAAAACTCAAATCGGGACATCCGACGGGATTTCCTAATTCGTCTTGGGCTTCTCTCTAATCTCTTAGACTTTTTTGTATTTTAACCTTTTTTTCATTTCTATTTCTGGAGAAACGCCAACGGAAACCGAAACAGAAACAAAAACACATCAATCAAATATAAAATTGAGTGCCGGAGTACCGATACGATACAGATACAGCATTGGAACCAAAAGACCGTGCAGACGTGCATGACACTTGCATCGCTCATCTATTAAAGATTACTAGGTAGCAGGTACTATTATTTATTCCTCAATAGGAAATTCCAGTCAGGAAAGCATGGGGGAGCGATACTGCGAGCCCGCGGTTAAGCATTTTGGGTATCCATCCACCTGCTTTTCAACCACCTCCCCACAAGACCACCCTTCTAGAACAATTTAGATCGGTTCATCCACCCCTTTCGAGTTTCAAGCCGGTGACCCGCAACTCAAAAAATTTCTTATCCATCGTGAGAAAAAGGTCACGATGTCAATTTCTAGCTTCATGTTTTGGTCTCTCGCATGCTGCACAGACTTTGCAGGGCTTTTTACACTCTGTTGAGTAGAGTACACTCATCTTGGTACCTGACTACCACCTTATTTTCCTACCCAAAATAATAACTTTCAAGACACAATATACCCACACATTCCCACGGATTCCCACACAAATTTTGATGATCAAAATCCTCCGTATGATTAAGATACAATATCAATTTTAAAATGTTAGCACACAAAAATGCGACGACAACATTGCAAACTTGCAAAGGACGACAACACGCAAACAAAGTCGACAACAACGGACAACATGCAATGCATGCAATGCATGCAAGACAGGCGCTTTCAAAAAAAAAATTCGAACTCCCTCGAAGATTCGAGACTGTGCACTTTGCAGTCTGCACTGCACTGCACTGCACTGCACTGCATGCTGCATACTGCACACGTATACTCCGTACAGTAAGTATGTATGTAGTACTGGCGTACTACTACTGCATCTTTCAAGTTAAGGTTACATTGCTGCGAAACGAAGAGAAATAAATAAATAAACGTAAAATTTAAAAAGTCAACTCGCCTCTTCTCTGTTCTCTTCTTTTCTCGAGAGTTAAGAATTAGAGTTAAAGTTACAATCTAAACCCCATTCCCATTCCCGTTTGAAAGTAAAAACTCTATCTTTCTTTTCTTTCCTTCCCTTTCTTTCTTTCTTCCTTCCTTTCACTTTCCCCTTCCCCACATATATGCATACATATCCATTACTGAGTAGGTTACCAAAACCCAAAAATATTATTAATGTCAAAATTCAAATTTAACATTTAATATTAACATTAACATATGCCAGCGTGAACATTTTTACATGGGGTTTTTCCTTACGGCACGGCGCGGCGTGGATTCGTGTGTGTACGTGGACTGAGCCGGAGCCGAATTATTTGTACTTGTACGACCAACTGCAGGCAGAAAGAAAGAACTCTTGGGAAATTGAGAGAGGAGCCAAGTATAATTTCAAATATAATATCTCCGAGTTTGTTAATCCGGCTCGAGGTCTTTGGTTTTTTTTATCCGTTTTTGTTTTTTTGTGATTGTAATTGTAATGGGTGTTTACTTTGTAAATAATGGTTGGATTAGGCTGTTGGGTGTATTGGGTTGGGTTTGGGTGGTTTTCTGATGTGAGAGTGAGGGTGAGAGTGAGGGGGAGATTGGGAGACAGGCAAATGGAAAGTAAGAAAACGGACTTGAGTTCCTGCAGTTATTGCGCCGCGTGGACAGTGCTGCAGTATGTATGAAGGAGGGAGAGGGAGGGTGTACAGTATAAGGAAAGATACGATAGGATAGGATAGATTATGATAGGATATGTATGTATGTATGTATGTATGTATGTACGGAGTATTTCGTACCGCAATACGGCGGGAGTTTTCCACAGTGCTTTGGAGGGGATTGGGGGATGGGGAGAAAAAGGAGGATTGGGGAGATAGATGGATGGGGGAGATAGATGGATGGGTTGGTGTTTAGTTTTATATAAATTTTTAACAGTAACAATGATAGAGATAGAGAGAGAGATATATAAAAAGATATAAAAAACTCCTCGTCTTGATACCTATCTAGATAGAGAATTATAATTAATTAATTAATAAAATCAAACAAAACAGGATAAAACAAAACAATACAAAATAATACAACAATACTGTAGTACAAGTACAAGTAACCTTACAGTAGGTAGTATTTTTCGGATGCTGCCGGATAGCTGATATGTAGATAGATGCGCGGGTAGCATATAGGATATAAGAAGGGACAGGATGAAGATGTTGGGATATGCGCGTTAACGTTTCGTGCCTATTAGGTATCTATCTATACAAGATGAGATGAGATGAGATGTGCAGAATATATATGCAGAATCTAATATCTGTGCAAACTCATTTTCGATTTCAATATTCATTTTTAATATGTGTATGTGTATGTACTCCGTATGTACTATGTACTATACCTATGTACGGATAAGCTAAAGAAATGGATGGATATAATCTTACAATATACAATATGCGATGTAAAATGGGATGGGATGGGATAGGATGCCAAATTTTTAATTTTTAATTTTTTAAATCTTTAGAAGGATGGATGCAAGGCGTAAATCATAAACGTGTAACCTTATGTCGGTGAAGAAACGAAACGAACGGATGGATAAGAATGGATAGGATGGATAGGATAGATTTAGCGAGGTTTCTAGTTTTCTTAGCGTGGCTTTTTTAGCAAAGAGGTTTGCCCACCAACTTTCTGTTTTTTCTTTTTTTTTTTTCGAGGTTGTGTTTGTTGTGTTTTATTGTGGTGGTGGGATAAGGAATGTTTTTTGGGCGGGGGAAGAAGGACGGGGCGTTTTATTTTTCTACTTTTTGGTTTTGAGGCTTGGGCTTAGGTTTGAGTTTGGGAAGGTATGTGGTTTGGTTGGTAGGTAGGTAAGTTCTTATTTACTTCGCGTTGTAGGTTGTAATTATGGATGGGTTTCTTGGTGAAAGAGGGGTTGCGATGGAGTTTTCATTGAGTTTTTTGGTATTTTGTTTAGGCTAGGTAAGTAGTATGTACTGAGTGAGTATTTATTTACTGTACTAATTATTTTGCATTGGTAGGTACCTATTCTATTATATGTAAGATGGATTATATGATATTGACACAATTGATCAATTGATGAATTTGCGCATGGTTTTACTTCGATGCGATGTTCTGTTAAGTTTCTTACACACATTTATATTCAGATAATAAGGTTTGAACTAAACAATTTATGCGTCTCTTTCCTTTTATTTTTCCTTTTTTCCTTTTTTCCTTTTCGCCTTTTTTCTTTCTTCTCCATCCATTCATCCATCCATCAATTAATTCCTACCCACTCTTGACCTTTCGCCTCTCTCTTCTCCCTTCATCCCGCATCCTTCATCTTCCACCTCAGCCTCCACTCTCACTTTCACCTTCACAACCTACCAATGTAAAGTCAAAGCTCTTCTCCAGTCTCTAGCTCTACTCTAGTCCCTAGTCTCTACTCTCAAAACCACAATCTGCACCCGCGGGAACTAGTAATTAGTAACTAGTCAGCCAAGCAAGCTACAACTCAATATATAACACAGGACACAAGACAAGACACAAGCTAGACACGATTGCCTTCCCACCCGTATCCGCATCTCCATCCACATTCCATGTCTCCACTATCTATTGTTATTATATATAATATAATATATTCACTAGATGATAGCGAAGCCAGAGTGATGAAATAGGTAAGCCGTATATGTATTGTGAACGTGCTACACGGCTAGAAGGATATGGATGTCGGATATGGATGTGGATGTGGATTACAAGACTAGTAATATCTAGCTGATATGTCTTGCATCAAGTGATGCAAGTCTTTGTGCCGTACCGTGCTGTGAAGTGTTTGCTCGTGTGCTTGCTTTGCTTGGCCTTGCTTGTTTTTGTTGGTGGGCTTGAGCTTGTCGGAGCTGGATTAGGCTTGAGCTTGAGCTGGGTCTGAATGATGGCTGGTGTTGGTGAGCTTGAGCTGGCTTGGTTGACGATTGGTGAACTTGAGCTTTGTCTGCTTCATGGTTGGTGTTCATGGAGTGGTGACTGTTGAGTGATGAGTAATAGAATACTCTATATTGCCGTGGAGTATGCCGTTTATCTCTTTGCCTCTTCTTATTCCTGCCGGCGAGCGCATTTCTCTTCCTCTCTATTTCCTGGTTAGTCTTTGACTCTTTTTTTCTTCTTGTTTTCTTTTTTTTTTTGGAGTATAGTACAACATGAAGGACTTGCGTACATACTTGAACTTTGATGGGATTATTAGTGATGGACCTGGGCCTGGCGAGCATGCGATGATCGCTGTCGGTGGCGGATCGCCCGAAAACCCCTGTGAATTGGAAGCCGACTCAATGAGCTCGACTCGGTAATCGAGAATAATTGTTAGATTATCGAGAGAATTATTAGAGAATACACGATGAGAGACTTTACCGAGTAGCGTCTTTGTACCAAATTGGTCCGGTTTTATGAGAGGAGGGGGTAAGTAAACCCTTTGGTAAATCTAGTGACGCCTCGTCGAGTGAAGAAAAAGAAGAAGTCAGCTCTGACATGTTGGATAAGTGGCAGGAAAGTTGGTTTTTAATATAATCCAATAAAGTATTATTGGATTTCCAAAGAAAAAGAAACAAAATCACCTCTGGATATTTGATAGATGGTAGGAAAGTCGGTTTCGATTTATACGCGAGAAGGCGGCCCTTAGTAATTTCTTCTGGTATAATCCAGTGATATATTGTCATGTCCGAAGGAAAAGAAGAAATCAGCTCTGATATATTGAACAAGCGGCGGGAACGTTGGCTGCGATATTGGTAAACGAGAAGGCAGCCCCCAATAATTATCTTTTGGTATAATCTAGTGATATATTATCGAGTGTCCGAAGGAAATGAAGAAATCAACTCTGACCAAACGGCAGGAAAGTTGGCTATGATATCATACGCGAGAAGGCAGTCCCTAATACTAATCTTCTGGTATATCCCAGATGAATAGATCCAGTGATTCGACGGTGTCTTATAGGCGACAGGGAAGAAATCCTCTGGATTTTGTAGGAGACGGAAAGTATTGGTGTTTTAGATGGCGGGAATGTGAGGGATCTTCAACTGAAGTTTGAATATTCAGTATCGTCTGAATCTTCAATCCATTCTGGTACACCGAATCGGTTAAATCCTCCAGTTGAAGTCAAGTCTTAAGCCCATCATATTCTTCAAGAAAGGCGGAAGATGATACTGGCTTAAGGTTCCTGATTATGTTCCAAAGAACAACATCAGATCCACTCTACATTTCTCCCATGACCCCAACAAAAGCGCCTACCACAGCACCAACTTTTCTTGGCCGCATCGGGCATCGACTCTGGCCGGAAAACCCCCTCTGTCAAGTTGTGCTGGAGGCGAGTCCTACCATCCAGCTCAACCAAGGTGGTATCTTTCCAGAAAGCGTGGCAATCATATTCCCGAATTTTCTCCACGGTTAGGTGGGCAGCTACTTCGGTCCACTCAAAAGCGAGGGATTCTACGCAGTAGGGATAACCGTCTGGGTAGGCAAGGTGGAATAGCATCACTCTCCCGCTTAGGTCGATGTCGTCTTCCTCGATTGACTCTACCAATTCGTCGGGGTCTAGATCTGAGGGGTAATCGGATCCCTCCTCTTCACTACCTACCATCGCTTTCTCCTCCTCCTCCTCCTCCTCCTCTTCCTCTCCCTCCTCCTCCTCGCCCTCATCCTCATACTCCTTCATCTCCGCCTCCTCTTCACTCTCAGAAGTTGAAAAATCCATTTCCCTGACCAGGGCAGGAAGGCTATCCTGGCGCCAACCACCGGATCTGCAATCATTCTGTTCTACTAACATTTTCATTTTCTTAATACTCAAACTGACTTGAGTATTTGATGTAGCTTGAATGTTTAACTTAAATTAAAAGATTGATATGATTTAAAAGTCTGAATCAAGTTGAATCTTTAAGGCAAGTTAAAAATATGAAGTTGTGATAATATCTCAGGAATTTTCTCTCAGTACCTAACAAGAAAGAAACCTGGGGGGAAGTCTCCGAAAACTATATAGATGATTTCTATTTGGACTGGAAGTAGCTTTACGAAACTAGAACCTAATTGGGATATAGTGAAGTGGTTAGCTAAGAAGAAATTTGTCACCGCAGAGGTTAAATTGTACTAACTTCCCAACTACTTAATTACTAAATATTACTCATTCAAAAACTTTACTTTACACTAATATACAAATATCACCACAATAGCCAATATAATGATAGATCGATATTGAGACTAGAAACTTGAATATAAAATGGGTACCCGTGGTGTCAGACTCAAATCTGTAATAGGAAGAAGCGCGGCTACTAAGCAAAACAGGGCGGTTACTTAAATCATTGTCGTCTTTCGATTGCTCTACTTACCTTTCAAGTTCGGCTTTTAGAAAAGAACCTCGTCATTGATACTTAACATGTTGTTTATATGTGGGTTTATCTGGTTCTGGATGGGTTGCTTACTGTGAATGATGCTGTGTGTATGTGACCATTTGGTTAATCTATGCTTAGAGCAGTCATTTCCAAATTTCTTGTCTTTTCATCTGGTTTGGTATCAATGTTAGTATTCCAATACCTAGGTAGGTACGGCAGTTATTTATATTACGTATAAACTTGTCATGTACATGTTATCTCCACAAGAGTCAACTTAATTCTGTGGGAATTATACCTGCATTACCAAGAAACCCAGCAAGGTCGCACCTTCTTTAAAAGGAGTCCTGAGCAAGGAATACATACCAAAGACATTTGATCCCAATATATTTAAACAGGTTAATCATATGAGTTTCGTAGTTTAAAAGAATCAGCTTGGCCTTGTAACTTACCTGCATTTACATTATACCCAAGTTCATAATTTATGTCCAAAAATATGATTATGATTGCCTCAACGTGCCACCAAAGAGATCCAACTGTTATTTTGTCTGAATTAATTCATCTTTAATTCGATTAATATATAGTACTAGACAAAATAAGGACCATTTCGTGTATTTGCACTGAAAAAGTCTAATTTTTACTCGTTTCATTTTCAATTGACTTTATATTAATATTTATAGAAATAATTATAAAATATGTACATTTTGACGGAAACCCCTGCTTTCCTTCCACCCTTATTATATAAGAAACCTCAGGTACACTAACCATATCCACACATGATACGATTACTCGGGATTAGTATACGATTTAGGTGGCCTGAGGATCAGATCCGGACAAGTACTAGGTATCAATGGTTATCGATAAAGTAAGATCATTAAAGGGATAAATATGACTTCTTTTTGCCTAGCCATTGCGGCTAGGCCATTCATTTGTGTATATATAGAGTAGCTATCCCCATCTACAGGTGCTCTTCTATAAACACCCTTTTGGTCACATGTATGAATTGAAACATGAAATAATAATTAGATGTTTTTCATGAGGTAGTCAAAATCATGTTTTTTGAATACACATATGAAACCAGGTGCAGTATTAGGATTTGAGGAACGTACTATCTGTAAGGCTGAATCAATTATTGAGGTCTATGTTAAAGTGAATGGTTCCTGCGTAGCACGTGCACAGGGCACTAGTCCTATTAGGACTAGATTGAGAAGCTCTCTGTAGGAGAGCTTCGCACTTCCGTAGAACTTAGATAATGAGTGATTCATATACAAGACCAATATAGCCTCAGTTCTGCCCTATCAGCTTCCCACTATTCCCTGTGTAAGGTCATTCCTTTTAACAGTTTAGGAAATAAAAATAAAATATAATGACTACATCCTATAATCCTCAGAGGAAGTGGAGGTGACAGCACCAGTGTATTGGACTCAGGGAGAGGCAGGAGCCCAAGATCTTTGGAGACGTAAGTGACTGGAAGAAAATGGGTATATGATCTTGAAATAATTTACCGTGATCACAGATTTTCTTGGAGTTTGGACCTAGAATATAATGTCAAATGTAGTACCAAATACAATCACTCGATCAGTTAGCTATCAAAACAACAATAAGTCAATTCTACGAAAAGTCAAAATCAGAATCAAGTTAATTATTACTTCGACTCTTACTAGCAAACTGGCAATTCTCTGTTGTGAACTCTAGCTCTTATAATTCTAAAAAATTACCATATAATCTTCCACTCTTCACCACTCCCATGATATACTCATAAAGCCACCAATCACTATCTATTGGGTTTCTTGAGACCAGAAAGAGCATCAGATTGAATTGATTGATTCTCTAGCTAAGCAGTTAAGCTGTGAGTATATATTCAAAAAATGAAGGAATAGGGTTAGGTATTCGGCCTTCGGAATTAAAGTGCTTTGAAATCAAGATATTGAAAGCAAACAAACAGTATACCAAAAAGGAAAGAATGAATTAAAAGTTGAGTTTTGTTTGCTCCTTATATGCATCATGCAATATATATGCATATGCTGCCAAGATCCCAGGAGGTCAACACTATCCCACATATATTATAATATAATGGGATCGAAAAATATAATACAGAAAACTTCCACTGTTAACCCATCCTCACACCCATCTTCGATCTTTCTACTCCCTCTTTTCAAACAATAGAACATTAAGTAAGTATTACATTATTTGCAATCTATGTCACTCATACTCATTACCCATTAAAAAGTACACAAGACTTACCAAATCTATTGACTGGACACGCTAATGAATGAATAGAATCTAGGGCGAAGAGAAATCACATTTACAGTCTACTTACCGATTGCTATGACTCTTTCGTTGCTCATTCCCCACCGCACATAGTCAATCCTTATGCCTCTAAGTCTCAGTATATGATCTTTCACAGATGATGAGAACTCAAGAGCTAAAATCAGAACCGTGAAAATCAACTTGTGTATTCTCCCATGACAACTAGGTTTTTCATATACCCATTGTGAATCATCATGTAGCTAGCTGACTATCTGGGATTATTTATCCAATCATAGCCCGTAATGCATATTCAAACCCCCTTTGAATCTCGAATTTCCCACCATCCATACCCTTTATCACCATTTCCCGTGCACGTAATTTGCCGCCAACCAGTTAAATTGCATTGAGAACCAAACCACACCAAACATACCAAATGAAATCATCAGCCGCCGTATTAGTAGCCCCCATATCCACTACCACCTGGTGGATACTGATACCCACCTTGTCCACCATAAGGAGGTTGCTGAGGTGGATATTGCTGGTCTTGGTATCCATGCTGAGATTGATATTGAGTTTGAGGAGCATCTCGACCCCATGGATCCGGGGGAGGTGGTCCCTGTTGACCCCATTGACCGGAAGGTGGAGGACCTTGATTCCATTGCTCTCCCGGTGGAGGGCCTTGTTCGTAGCTGTTAGGTTGGGCACCTCCATATTGTTGACTATATGGTTGCTGCTGCTGTTGTTGTTCATAGCCTCCATATTGTTGGTATGGAGGTTGTTGAGACGCATATCCACCTGGCTGTTGATAACTTGGCTCGAGATAGGCATTCCCACCTTGAGTTTGTTGAGTAGGACCTGTGTTTCCATATCCGTAATTTGGGACGATGTGTTTTCCCGGGGAACCTGGAATTGCGGAAGGGTTTATGTATGATGGTTTCGTATCCAATCCCTCCATTGCTCCTAGATCCCTAGTTTTAATTTCTGACCAGATAGATCCTGAGGTTTTACCATGACCACCTAGCGCACCATGATTATGGTCGTGTTGTTCTGAGCCAGTGTGGTTTCTACCAGCCTTCACGGATTCTGAACCAAGGACATGGTTTAAACTTTGGGCATTTGGCTGTTCTTTCACCCAGCTTTTCACAGTATCGAACATTTTCTTTTGGATTTCAACATGTTCATCGCGCAGAGCCGGGTGATGGAAGGTGCGTAGAATATCATTCATGACCTCATCAACGGGGACGCCTGGGTTTTGCCAGGCGAATAGTATACGACTAAAGAAGGTTAGTAATTCTATTACAACTACAGGAAGAAATCTTACGGTGTTACGTATTGCAAGATAGTGGAAGCCACTCTCCCAGCACATGAATTCAAGACATTAGAAAAATGATCCTTGGAAAGCATAGAGTGAGTTGGGTCAGTGCAATGTGGGTCGTTCCATGGCTCAAATTGAGAGTTTGCGCTGGCTTCGACAACTGTACTAGACCCCTTTCTCAAACTATCAGACACAGCATCGATGATAGGTCGAACAAATGGTGCGAGTAAAGATAGGATAAACACAGTCAAGGTCTCACTGATCTTCTCGACCAATGATTCAAGACCGGGGATTTTAGCAATTGTATTGTTAATTGCTCTCACAATCTTATCTCTAAATTCGAGAATAGGATAAATCTTTTTCGCAGTTGCGACGGGATCGAAATCGGGGCTCATTCCTGGAACACCCGGACCTGGGGGGCCACCTGTAGAGCCAGGCGGAGCATTAAAAGTGTTTCCGTCAGCTCTGGTCAGTTGATTGGAGTTTTGGTATTCTTGAGCAGCTGATTGAGCTTGAAGATCTCGTGCTGTACTTGCTAATCCACCTCCCATACCAGGAATCTGAGAAAGAAGGCCCACAAAGTCTGTGCCACTACTTCCAGATCCAAATAAACCACGCTGACCGTCGCCCCCGCCACTTTGTTGAGCCTTTTGCGCTCCACCTAGAGCAAGATCCATTTCTTCGACTTCGGTTTGGGTAAAATGATCATTTGCTTCACCAAGAACAGAGTGCAGGAAATCAACCGCTCCAAATGTGCCTGTAACTAGAGGATAAACATGGTGACCACGAATGTTAATCTCCGCATTGGCACCACAATGTGGAAATACATCACGATACCCTAATTCTCTCAAGGCTAACTCGCAATAATTTGTATGCGCTCCAAAGTCTTCCATGCAGTGTAGGGCTTGTCCAAGACATCGAAGGGCTTCACATAGATCTTCCTCTTTGCCTTTACCATGCGAACCGCTGGTATACAGTCTACCAAAGTGGATACTTCTTGCAAAGCTGAATTTGACATAGCCAGCACTGGTAGCCCAACCCCCACTTTCATTCGCAATATAATTCTTCATGCCTGTATTTGGGTCGATCTCTAGTTCCACTGGGTTAATAGGACCACGAAGCCTAGGGTCGAAGGTTCTTGCATCCTGATTATCAGCATAACCTTTGGGGTTGTCGATGTGCTCTTCGGGTCTATAAACGCCAAGACGTTCTTCTGTGACCTCAAATTCTGCAGTAGCATAACCAAAAGACAAGAAACTCAAAACCCAAACCTATGTCCGAACAATGAGCAAGCATATAAATGACAAGGGATGTTTTGTTTACATACCAAAATACGAATAGTAGGTGCTGACACTCCTTTCAAACTTCCCACATCAACTGCTTGAGAATAATCTCGTAACCAGTTACCAAAGTAAACCCTCTTAATCATCATGCTAGTCCACTTATGACCCTTAATGAAAGCAACAGTTTTAAGCATATCCTCGATATCACCATGACGAAAGTTTTTGCCCTCAATATTAGATATACTGGGGATGTTACCAGCACCAAATGCTGCTGCTGGGCCAGGGAGAACAATGAGCAAGATGCATGCTATGAGTAAAAACGACCCAGTGTTGGGCGTTAAGAAAGCCATTTTATATTTTGGAGTTATCTTCAAGCTGTGCTACGCTTTCGTATATTTCGTAGAGGCGGTAGAGGAAAGTATTGATATAAGGATACAAAAGATTGCAAGGTGATGAATAGGTAGGAATTACAACATTGACTGAGCCACACATCTGACGACTTGAAGAAAGCAAAACCCCGCCATCATGTGACTGTGATCAGCGACTGATTGCTTGGTCTACACGTGACTAATGTTAATAAGCAAGAATCAAATTAAGATTTCTGCAAGTTCCTGAAGATCGGTGTCTCCAAATTTATTATCTCTGATATCTCTGAACTAACTTGCTGATTGTTTTAGTCAAATACGACCTTTATCTTTACCATTCCAAATCCACTCATAGAAAAGAGAATCATGTGTTTTTGACGAAACCATCTCAGTTCGTCTGACCCCTTTCTAAGTTACAAGCTACAAAGTTGCAACTTAGTTGGCAACTTATTGTTACTTAGAATTCACATCCACGCATCTGAAAGACAGTTAATTGGTGGCTCCACCAAAAATATATACCTGTACGGACAACTCCCTCCACCGCTCTATTGTCCGGCCCTTCCGCCCTCTGTTTACGACCGTGCCCGATTCGATTTTATTTCCTTGCCAATTTGCCTCCCAAACTAGCTACAAATATCGAATCACCCCATACTACAGTTCTTAAATCAAAACTTTCACGGTTCGCATTCTTTAATTATATACGCATACCATCTGATATAATCGCTAATTATGTCTCCTTCTCGAACGCTTCCTACTCTCACTCAGGCTGAGGTCGCCTCTCATGATTCTGCAGAGAGTTGCTATGTCACAATGGGTACCAGGGTCTTTGATGTTACAGATTTCCTTGACAGCCATCCGGGCGGAGGTGAATTGGTATTAGAGTACGCCGGCAAGGACGTGACGGATATATTGAAGGACGAGCTCTCGCATACTCATTCTGAAGCCGCTTATGAGGTTCTCGAGGATTCTTTCATCGGATTCGTTGCTACAAACAAGGTCATAGATATAGCTACCAAAAGTACAAAACCAGATACCATCCTTCCACTCCCGCCAACAAAGGAAGGCCTGAAGGAATTGAAAGAGAATGGATCTGCAAACTCTCTGCCGGTTTATGCCAGTACTGGCATGTCAACGGCAGAAGACTTGAGCAAAGAGACGGATCTCGTAGAGGATTATAAAAAACACAAATTCCTTGACCTGAACAAACCATTGTTAATGCAAATTTGGTATGGTGGTTTCAGCAAAGAATTTTATCTTGACCAGGTCCATCGACCTCGTCATTACAAGGGAGGAGAATCGGCACCTTTATTCGGAAACTTCCTCGAACCTCTATCAAAGACAGCTTGGTGGGTTGTGCCGATTATTTGGGTTCCATCCGTGGCCTACGGTACATATCTTGCCAGCGAGGGATTCAATAACATCGCTGGAGAAGCAGCATACTGGTTTCTTGGTCTTTTCCTTTGGACCTTGGTCGAATATATTATGCATCGATTCCTCTTCCATCTCGATAAGTATGCATATTCCCTTATAGACTCAGCAATGAATCACCAAGCTAACTTGCATCTCTAGATGGCTTCCAGACAATCGAGTAGCACTCACTCTTCATTTCTTACTCCATGGTATCCATCACTATTTACCAATGGACAAATACCGATTAGTTATGCCGCCCACTCTCTTCGTCGTGTTAGCGACTCCTTTCTGGAAACTCGCTCACACCGTCTTTTACTGGGACTGGTATGTGGCTACGGCAGTATTCTGCGGAGGAATCTTCGGGTACATCTGTTATGATTTGACTCATTACTTCCTTCACCATCGCACATTACCTTCTTACTGGAGACAATTGAAGAAGTGGCATCTTCAACATCACTTCATGGATTATGAAAACGGATTCGGTGTTACAAGTCGATTTTGGGATTGTATCTTTGGAACACAACTTGCACCTGCGCCGAAGACACTTTGAAGTGAAGATGATGCGACCAAGCTAGGAAATAATGGTATGTTTTAAAATGATTTCACGATATAGATATATCAAAGGCATTCTGGTCTTGGTGTCTCATGGAGGAGGTTGAACAGAGGAAGCAGGCCGGCCACTTTGAGAGAAATTGTAGTTTCGTAGCCTTTTTAATACCCTAATGTACACTTTTACTTTCGATAAAGAAAATACATCATAAATACCTATAATTGACGACTAGTAATAAATTCTTGTACAATTTACCCCAAAAATTGATTATGAACGAAACTTCATGGACCTCGGCAAGCATCGTTCTATCGTCCTATACCATCAATGTTGGCCAAACACGTGGTGTGATGCCCAAACTAATAAGCAACTGACTAATATTTCATATTTTCCCACCCACCAGCCACTTTAACTTGCACAAGACGATAATTCTACTTCTGATTAATATCCATCATTCTGTAACGCTCCAAGGGCATTTTAGCTATCAAATCGAATCTTTCTAAATTACCAGGTCTGATTTTCGGAACAAAAGATTGAACAATAACATCGAAACCATAATTTATCCACTCTCAGGCGAGTAACAACCTTCACCATGTCCGCCTTAGATGTTGAAGCCCTCTTGGATTCAACCGCAGCTGCTACTCCTGTCGAGCAAAATGGATCTGCTAAGATTAAAGAATCTGATGATCGCCACAAGGGTGAACGCAGTGAAAGACGCGACCGTGATAGAATTCGCGATGATAGCAGAGATCGCGACAGAGATCGAAAACGTCGAGCTCGCAGCAGAGACAGAAACGAGAAAGACGGCACTTCAACCCCAATAAGTGAGAATGGAAGCGCAAAGGGTAGGCGCAGAAGCAGGAGTCGGGATGATAATCGTCGACACCCACGTCGCCGGAGAGATACCCCTGAAGAAAACGGCCGCAGGGATGGAGATTATTATAGGGGAGGTAGGGCTGGTGGTCGTCAACGCTCACGAACTAGAAGTCCTGATAGATATTACCGTCCACGAGGCGACCGCCGTGATCGCGATGAGGCAGACAAGCCTCGTGAAGAACGCCGACCTAGAAGTCCTAAACGAGAAGGCACACCTCCCTTGACTGAAGATGAACGGGACAGGCGCACCGTTTTTGTACAACAACTAGCAGCTCGTCTCAGAACTAAAGAACTCATAGCATTCTTTGAAAAGGTTGGCCCCGTCAAGGAGGCGCAGATTGTGAAGGACAGAGTCAGTGGCAGATCTAAAGGGTAAGTTATTTAGTTCGCAATTCTTTTAAATGGCTCTTTTATTAATTTCGCACAGTGTTGGTTACGTTGAGTTTAAAAACGAAGAATCAGTTCCTGCCGCTATTCAACTCACTGGACAGAGACTCCTAGGAATCCCAATTATTGCACAGCTCACTGAGGCTGAGAAGAATCGACAAGTTCGCAATCCAGAGGCTACCACCAGTAACCCTAATCAAATTCCATTCCATCGACTATATGTGGGTAATATACATTTCAGCATCACTGAAGCCGATCTACAGAATGTGTTTGAGCCATTTGGTGAGCTCGAATTTGTCCAGTTGCAAAAAGAAGAGCAGGGACGGAGTCGGGGTTATGGATTTGTCCAGTAAGCTTTTTCTATGAAAGGTTGTGTAGCTATACTAACGACTACAATAGATTCCGTGATCCAAATCAAGCTAGAGAAGCGTTGGAGAAGATGAATGGATTCGATCTTGCTGGTAGACCAATCCGTGTTGGTCTTGGAAACGATAAGTTCACTCCTGAATCTACCGCCAGTCTTCTACAAAGATTTCATGGCCAAAGCCACCAACAACAATTCCAGGGTTCCGCATTTTCCGGCGCCGGCGGGCGTGGTCCTACCGCTGCTGGTGGCAGCAATTTCGATCGTGCTGGTGGTCGTGATAATGATAAAGGTGCGGGTGGTGCTAGTGCTTTGGACGACACTGACGTTGGCGGCGTAAACTTCAACAATTATAGTCGAGATGCATTGATGAGAAAACTCGCCAGAACAGATGATACCACGACTGCGGCGAACCACGAAAGACGAGAAGTATCAAAACCTAAAACAGAGACCAAAGCTTTACCAGTCAACGTTAACATGGCTAGCCGCTGTGTTGTACTCAAGAACATGTTCGATCCTACAGAGTTAGTAATACATTACCTTACGTCAACCCATTGCTAATCAAATTCACAGAGAGGACGGTGAGAATTGGGAAAAAGAACTTGAGGATGATGTCCGCGCAGAAGCGGAAGAAAAATATGGCCACGTTGTTCACATTGCTTTAGATCCGAACTCCCAAGGAGATATTTATCTCAAATTCGATCGAGTACAAGGAGGGGAGAATGCTATCAAGGGTCTAAATGGCAGATATTTTGGTGGACGAATGATTAGCGCTACTCCTGTTGTGGATGCAGTCTACAGCAGTTTGTTCTCTCGCACAAAGGCTATTTGAGATGCTAATTATGGCCTACATCCCATTTGTATTAGGCTCGTATCTGGTAAGAGGTACTCTCCTCTTTTGTATGACAAGACTAATATTGAGTAGATTTTTATCACAGAAATCTCCATGCGATAGGCATACATACCTTCGAAAATGTCACCGACATTGTGACTACCGAAGCAGCAACCACATCGTTATTTCAATACGTAATTCAAGTATTCAAGATGTTCCGGACTTGAAACTCGATTTGAGCATCTCAGGCATACGTTCGAGAACATTGCTGATTTCTTTATGCAGGAGCTTCACAAGCCTAACCCCCTGCCTATTATTCCACTGATTGCACATAGGGACCGTTACTGTACACAAAGTTCATTCATTATCACTGTTTTTTTGGCATACATGCTCGAGTCTGACGATAGTACACTTTAGTTAGATGGAGAATAAATTGATACAGCATGAAGTTTTAATGTTGTTAATTATGTGACAGCTACATTGCTTTCCACTAATACTTACCAATGCCAAAGCAATCTACGTACATGAATAATAAATTCCGGCATCGCTCTGCGAGTGTAAGGAGGAGATGCTTTGGATCGAAACGTCGATGCATGGTGTTGAACCTCTACACTATGTATTGTTTAATTATAGAAGCTTGTTCCTAGTAACGGGGCTTACCTACCTTATTTCCAGATTTCAATCGTGACTATCCCCAGGTCCTCTTATTTCTTTATTACGGCCTGACTGGTACAGTGATCTGATAGGGGTTTTAGAGTCAAATGACGAATGACGATGAACGACACTTGATAGATGTGGCACTTGGTAAGTTTCATATATAGTACATACCCGAACTAATCGAATGAATTACCTACCTATATACTTCAATTGTTTACATTTAGCTTTTGCCCGTGATTCCTTCGCTGATTTCTATTGTGTTTCATGCAATGAGATTTTTGAGGGAGGAACTTGAGGTTGTGATGTAAGATTACGTCTGCGTGCAGGTGAATTAGGGTTTATATTTCAATTCTAGTGAAGAATTGTCACATACGACCATAGACTGAAGAGAATTGGGCATCCCGTCCGCTCTGCCATACACAAGCTTCAGATCGGTAGATTAGTAGTTGGGTGGGTGACCACCAGCGAATCCCTACTGTTGTATGTTTTTTTCTTCGACTTTTTTTCTAGTTTACTTTTTTCTTGCTCACAGTCTTGATTGTTGAGGTTGGTGCATGAGTGTGCTGTTTGTTGTTGTCCTTTGAACATGAGTGGAAATGTTCGAAGTGGGTGTATGTGCATTTGTAAATGCTGAGGTTCAGGTTTCAGAGATAGTTATGGGGACGGCATGGTTTAGACATTGTGAAAAATTGGGCTACCTATCTAGTATATGTTCGTAGGATTATTGATAGGAAGTTAAATCTTAGACTGTCACAAGAGTTCATTTGTTGTGCTTGTACGAAAAATTAATTGTTGGCTTTTTGAGATGTAGGAAAGACTCTTGCAATGACATTTATTTTCCTGTGGCTATACTCTAGGTTACTTAAGTAAAGGATTGAGGGAAGTAGGGGAGCTCAAAAGATATATCTTGGATTTTGAGAGTTAGAACTAGGAGGTAGGAATCAAAATACGGAAGGAGGGAGAAGAGATGTAGATTCGGATTATTCTAGATAATATGCAAAATCTATGTACGTAACAAATCCTTTTCCAGAACATGATCGAAAATTAATTAATATTCAACCTTTTGAGATGCGTAATAAACGGAGTCCTAACTAGAGTTTCCGACTATTCAGATGCGCAACAAAATCCCCCTTTTCCAATGTTAAGCGAAAAAGTTAAATTGATATATAATTGTATAGTTTTTTAGATGTGTATAGAAAGTGGCTTGTAGTTCTGAGGAGATGTTAGGATACTAATATGATTGGGATAGATAGCACGTTGTTTTATACAGAATAAAACCTATTCTTGAAGAATAGCTAGTTTGGTGCTTGAGGAGGGATAGTCCCAGAAATCATTTCATTTGGATCAGATTCAGACATGCAACGAAAGCATGTGCTTTGGTATTGGTATTAGTTCTGTGTTCCGTGATTTGGAACTTGAAATTCCCGAGGCTGTTTCACAGATAATAATAAGTCGGGCATTCCTTTTTCGGGAGAATTAGTTTAAAATGTACTAGTACTTGTTTCAATTTAGATATACAGCTATATTTACTGTTCTTGAAATATTCCATCAGCTTAAAAGATAGTCGTAAACTAAGAAAACTTTTTATATATAGTGGATAGTGAGGTGTTAACCAACAAACCACCCCTCTCGCTTAAGGTTAAATCTCTGCAAAATTTCTTCAACCCCCCCCCCCTTCAAAAAGGGGAACCACTTAAAAAGCAGCTTCCGGTACGGGGAATTGAACCCCGGTCTCCCGCGACCTGATTTGAGCTAATGAACTCGAATGAGAGGCGGAAATGCTAGCCACTACACCATGCCGGATATCTGATTTATTTGATGGGAGAGTAGAGCGTAAGCTGAACTATAAAGCTGTGAGGTATGGCGGAGTAAGAAAGAATGAATTTTCACACAAGTTCTATGATTTAAACTTCTACTTGGGCCTCTTGATTATCCACTTTAGTATTGTTTCTCTTTCTTTATACTTCATATTTATTTCTTCATACTGCAAAGTGATTTGTATCCCGAAATTAAGGTTGCTGGAAATCTATTCATTTGCTAAAGAGTATAATCATACGAGAATTTTTCACCAAACAAAAGAATTTAATAAACGGATCCAAAAGAGCACATCACACATACCTTCACCATGAGTAGGTACTATATACTCTAGTACAATGTACACTTTGCTGCTTGTGATCATGTTATTTTTCTTGAGGATACTGACTACATGTTGCTTGTTGGAGGAGTATGGGCATAGGTATACGAGGCCCAGGGGATGGAAATGAGCTTGGGATCTCAAAGGAGCACAATAGAGCATATGAAAACTCCCCATACCGACTTCTTAATCTTCTAGCTTTGGGCAATTGTGTAATGAAGGGAGGCTGAAAAGGTTTCGTTGTATATTTCATTTGAGACTTCATTTACTGGGTCAAATTGGAGCTAAAATGGAATTTTGGAAATTGCTTTATGTTGAAGGCTAGAAAAGATTTGTCTGAGTGAAGCAATATTAGGCTGTGTGGATGTAGTGATCTTGTACCTTTCATTCAACAAAATTAAAAGAAGTAGATTGGTAGACGTATCTGTGATTATGTTCTTGGTAGATTTGTTTATGAACATATAGATGAATAAATGACGAATAAAATCTAGTTTCAGTGTGAGCGATAAGTCTATGGATAGCATATGCCAGGAGAGTCGACCACAACAAATGGTACCCCAAAAGAAAATATCTAGTCTGCATGGCTGCATATAATCCTTTGATGGCTTCAGCATTATGTCCATAAAGTGAATAGACACTAGCTACTTTCATCTAGTCTTGAGTTCTACTATCATTGGAGCTCCGTCTTGTCTTGAAAGTTGAAAATATTTGATACTCTCAGTAGGTATCAGAAGATGCTGCACCGCATTTCCAACATTCAATCTTTTTTTCGACTCAAGATATCTAGGTCTTACCAAAAACTATCTCTTGCCGGACAAGATTCAAGTCTAAAAACCATAAAAGCGGGAAGTCCCAGGGAAGAGTCTCTTGCTGTGCACAACTTTGATGCTAGAAATTCCCCGCCAAAAAATAAAAAAATATGGTTGACACAAATTTGGTTTGCTGACTGCCTGTAGACAGAATTTGAACCAGATCTCTTCTCCCTAGAAACAGATGTGACATCTTTCCGATTGAATATAGAATAGCCATCACAAAAAAAACCCCCGAAAATTAGGAAATCAGTTATTAGGATTGTTGCCAAGGTCTTGTCATAATTTCTCCATGAAGGGTAACGCAAAGTGAATGAACGGACATGATTTCTATTACTTTATAGATTTCAAACTCATTTTCTGTCAAAAGCAAACTTGCAATCAACTCTCATAAATAAGATCACCACCACTGTTTATACCGAACCTCCTTGAGATTCAACCAAAACAATACATTCATATGCTATTTTGTTCTAGCATTTCTCTATTTCTCCCTTTGCCTAGAAACAGAATAACTGTTAGTTAATACACATAATACTCACAATCTTCCTCGAAATCTCATCAGACCCCACTTATACTCTTTCAACTTCTCCGGCCAACTCTTTATTTATATCAACATAACCCCCACCTCACAAACTAAGAAACAAGAATGTGGGGTCCCAAACACAAAACATAAAACAATTCACCTCCACAACCGTGCCACAATTACCCCACCGCCACAAACCACATCACCCGCAAACCTTAAAAAAGAGTCTATTCGCAACGACGCCAATAAACCCCCAACCAAGCCCTCCCTCTTAAAGACAATGAGGAACAAAAAGCAAAAGAAAGCAAAGGCGAATTGCACCAAACGGGAATCGAACCCGTGGCCTGCGCAGGCTCAACTAGACGCTAAGCTAGAAGTGGGAAGCGCAGATTTTACCACTAAACCATTGGTGCAGTTTAATGACAAGGTGAGTATGATCGGAAATATATCCACACTTTCTTGCCGCTGGCTATTTTCCGAAAATTGGTATTTTTATATCTTCATTTTTGCAATAGAGATTGATTTTTTATGTCTTTTCATTATCTACTTCGAAATATCAATCGCTAAAGCTAGGATTCAGATATTATTGCTCGGAAATCGAGTGATCAGCTTCCCTTTAAACCCAGTTGGGATACTTCTTCTCTAACACTATGACCTCGCAAGTGTGTTCCTGTCTCTTGTTTTTTTATCTATATTTTGTAATGTACTTATAGTATCTGGAAATCATACTTCCAAACATTACTTTCTCATCCTCAACTTATCTTGTCGCACATGCTACAGTTGCAAACTCTCTCACTTGAAGAGCTACTTGCAGACCGCGAAGATGCGAACGTTTACACAGATGGAATGTCACTATCGACTCTTCGATTAAGAGCAAGAGACTTATATGCTTTCTGTTCTGGGTATGTGGGTTGGTAGTTATTTGGCACCGCCACAATATCAAACTGATAGATTTACCACTGTAGAAACCTAATATTTTTTCACACTGAATACCTTGACAGCAAAAACATCTCTTGGATTTTCCTGTTTCAATTCTTCTTGTCCTCTATACCGTCGATTGGTGTACTGCCAAGTAGTTCCTTAATTTTCTCAATTGATCCTACTGTGCGTGGCCTATTAAGTATCCTTCTCAACAGTTACAGATGAACCACCCGTACACCATAAAACCCGGTTTACATACGGAGCATGCAAAGGCACAGCGTTAGTACATTCCCTCTAGAATCTTGATGTATCCTGCGGCTTTCCATCATACCATCGAGAAGTAATTTTCCAAAAACGATCGTTAGCTTATCCAGACAAACCACATTCACAATGCCTTCCTGGATTTGATAAGGGGAAGCGGGATGCAGCTGATATTGGGTTAACACACTTTCCTTTTCGAGACACCAGCTCTGACTGTGATGCCCTCAGCGCACCAGGATACCCCGTAAAATCCCCAGTTGGAGATAAGTCTAAATCCTATGTCGCCTATGTCGGATTCAAGAGTGAAGATATGGAGTTTGGTTTTACTGTAGAAGTCCTTGGTTCCACAGATATATTCACAGCAGAAGTCATCGGTTGGGTAGATGAACTGGAAAAAGAACTCCTTGGTTCTATTGATAGATTGGCAGCAGGAGCCCCAGGTTCAATAGAAAAGGAAGTCCTTGGCTCAATAGGTTGATTGACATTAAGTGTCGTTACTACATCCCACCGAAAAGGATCAAGCGCAGAATTTAGAATCTGGTTGGCAAGGTTATCGGCACCAAGCTGATCTGAAAGCGTCATAATACCTAGGCTTCTTAAATGCGACATTGCCTCATCGAATTCTGCACCTTTCAAAGAGTTTGGATTCTCCCATCTGGATGATTAGCATGCTCGTTTTATAGGGGAAGTAAAGGTATTGGCTTACACATCATCGGGTATCTGTGGAATCAAGAACAATGCGCCTTTGTCGAGAGCCGTGCATATTTTATTATACCTAGCCCCGGCCGCTACCCAGAGTTGTAAGTTCGCTTTGATGACGGTAATGTCATCATTGATCTTCTTGGATTGTGTGATCGCTTTGACGAGACGTTCGTAGAGGATGTTATGCAAATTATTCGTCATAACCTTCTGTCCATGCCCTAACAACAATGCAAGTTGGTAAAAGAAGCTCACGTAGAACCTCCAAAGGATGACATTATATACCTGTCGCAGACGGAGATGTTGAGCTACAAGGTATGCTTCAATAGCAGCAACCTCGATTGATTGTTCGGAATTTTGACCATCAAGGGCCCGCCAGAGTTGTGATGGATTCTCCTTCCATATTTGATATTGAGTTTGTATGCTGGGGGGTAGAGCAATGTTGTGAATCCCGAGAATTATTACCAATGCTGTACTTTTAGTCCTTTTCTTTTTGGTTACATTGGTCTTGCGAAACATTTCTTGGGCGGTGCTTTTCGACTCGGCTGAAAGGGATGTGTAAATGCCATGGAGGAGACTTGTGAACTGCGAGCTGAGTTAACATCTCCCCATGCTTTGCTATAGAGGGGCATTACATACCTCTTCCCGTTCCAATAAAGATTCAAGGGTTTGTCTTTCATCGTAGTTTTCTAATTGTTGGATGAGGCTACCCACAGTATACCTATCGGTCGACATTTTGAGAGTGAAGAAGGAGTACACTGCGATCTTCCTGCAAGTCGAACCGCTCATCTATCTTCGCAATATATCATTTTCGTTCAGTTTCTTTCGCAAGTTGAAAAACCAGCTTCGTGTGGAGACTGACAACACATTCAAGGGGAGTTTATCTTGTAAGAAATTGTTTTGCTCAGGGCCCCAGACCGTTTGCCAAACAGGGTTGGTGATAATCAGATGATATAAAAAAAAGAAGTTAGTGTAGGATTACAATGCATGCTATTTAATTTAATTTTGTTGATGATAAGCTCTTTCAGCTCACTTCGTGCCAAATAGTCATCACTCATTATCCCAGATGATTCTTTAAAAAAGGGGTTGGAACAGGATCATAATATAAATGTTGTTCGATATCTTTTTCAGCTCTGTTCGCACTAAATTATTTTCATTCAGCACCCCAGACGATTTTTGAAAAGAGGTTAGTGCAGATCCACAATAACAAGTATGCATTAGTCGTTTTAGTGGTTAAATCAATCCGATTGGTCTCGGGTATAGATACTTACCCGCGGGTCTTCACAACTCCATGCCATTTGATCACTTCACTTTCTCCCCGTAACCTTTTAATTTCAACTCTTCTATTCATGTCACTCATATTTCTGAATGTCCTTATTTTGGTTATACAAAGAAGGCTAGAATTGAAATGTGTTAACCCAACAACCTCTTTTATTACCCATATATGTCCCAGAAGACACCAGTATGCACGTAAACCTGTGTTGTTATATACAGGCGTCTGATAATTGTGAAAAATATGAGAAGTTTCATATGGATATGATGGTCTCTCCCACTATCATTCTTCCGGTGAATCTAAACTTTTGTTCTTTCTGATAATTCAGTATTCGAGGGGCATACGGTAATTAACATCCACGGAACGCTTATTTCTACCATTGTCTACAAGTATCTGTTTATAAGGAAGTATCAAATCGTCTGACTGTAAAAGTGCCTCCAGCAACCAGGAGGAGGTCCATCATTTTGCCCTGTCCTATCGGCTAATGTGGAGCGCTTGATAGCAACAAAGGAGAGTCTCGCTTGGCGGCTGTAGCCGGAAGTTTGAGCGTTGTCGGGCCGGCCTTCTTTGGAGGGATATGGTAACTGACGAGAGAACGGCAAACCATCCAATGGATATAGCTCAGAATTTGATAATATAAATCGGAAAGAATCTTGGAGGGACAAATTGGGCAAATTGGGCAATCACCTGAGGGGCAACACAGTCAGGTTATCCATATGATTGATGATAGCAGTTGGCAGTTACACAACCCTAATTTATGATCGGCAACATTGCATATTTGTTATGTACAAACAAGGTTTGATGCATTCTTAATTTGTATTTTATAATTTGTAAGTAGTTGATCTCTCCGCTTCTGAACTTCTATCGGGACCTTCTCCTTCCCCTGCGTCAACACACACGCTCCCATCCTCACCATCCTCGAATCCGCTACATATGTCATATCCCACACAAAAGTTTAACGCGGTTAATAACTACTCAGTAAGATAACTTACAGAATCCTCCAATATTCATCACCACCTCTTTCCCTCTTTTCCACCTTCAAGAAAAGCGACATCACGCCTGCACTAACAGGAATAAACAACGATAACATAGTTCCTGAAACTGGCAAATAAAAGCTCGATGGAACGTCTAGCCCTATCCTCTAGCATGAAATCACAAAATCCCATATCAAAAATTTAGACAAGACCCCTATCAATCTATCCAAGGACAGACACAAGATTCTCGACCAAGTTATTGCAGATAGTGTCTCCTCATTTCTATTGACCAACTCACATCGTGAAATCCTATACCCCTCATCCCCACCACCACACTTCACACACATTCTTCTCTTAATCCACGATCACCAACTAACCCCAAAACTGAATGAAGCCTTTGACCTCAATACACCCTCCCCTCCCCCTTCCCCCACCACCGGACAAAAACCCCATGTAATATTTACTACTCACGGGCATAAGAAAACCTAAAATGAAGAGATCATGTGGATTCGCAGCCGAGAAATTGGAAGAATATTTGAGTACTAAGGACCTCGAATACATGATCCGTAGAGACATTTTGTTGACCTCCTGGGATCTTGGCAGCATATGCATATATATTGCATGATGCATATAAGGAGCAAACAAAACTCAACTTTTAATCCATTCTTTCCTTTTTGGTATACTGTTTGTTTGCTTTCAATATTTTGATTTCAAAGCACTTTAATTCCGAAGGCTGAATACCTAACCTAATTCCTTCATTTTTTTTGAATATATACTCGCAGCTTAACTGCTTAGCTAGAGAATCAATCAATTCAATCTGATGCTCTTTCTGGTCTCAATAAACCCAATACATTTTGAATTTTGAATTGGAGTGATGATCTCGATGATAAATTTTATACATAAATTTCTTTTTCTGCAGAACCTCAAATCCTGCGCCAGTTTCCACCCATCATCTACAGCATGAGATACATATTAATCGTACATCCTCTTAAACCACCTATGTAATCCTTCACTCTTTATTTTCCTCACTGGTCTCCTCTACCGCCTTCACCATCTCAATTTTCTCCTCAGCCGCCCTCTTCATCTCCTCATGTCCTTCATAAACCCCAACTTCCTTTGGCTCCCCTCTAAATTCCAAAGTCTTAACTGGCTCATTTGCCTCCTCCTTCGTGATACTCTGCCTCCAAGCCCTACCATTCTTTGCCAAATGCTTCAAGTGCGCAATGAACCTGTCGTTTCTTTGCTCGGCCCATTTGTTCTCAGGTTCATCTGTTCTTCTCAAGGCTGTCTTTCTTCTTGTTTGACATGCTTTGTAAAGATTCATAGCCTTTTCTTGTTCGGGAATCTCGGATAATGCATATTCGACAGTCCACTTTTGATCTTTCGTCAGCTTTTCCGGTCGTACTGTGTATGCACCGTCGACCTTATTGCGGATGGCAAGATGCATCGCTAAGATCTCTTTAGGGACTTCTTCGGGAAGAATTGATTCAACGTCCGTCATTGATGTGTCGTCGTCTTTTTCATCGGCCTCATTTGAAGTCTCAGACTCCTCTGTCGAGCTTGCTTGAGAATCTAACGATCCATCTGTATCTTGTTCAGCATCTAAAGTTTCCTCAGCTGAATCAATCAAAAGATCTCCATTTTCGACAAGTTCAGGTTCGTTTGCTTCGGCTTCGATTGATTCATCGTTATCTTGTTGAATTTCTGAAGTTTCCTCGGCTGAATCAATCAAGAGATCTTCGTTTTCGACAGGTTCAGGTTCGTTTGTCTCGGCTTCGATTGATTCAGCGTTGCTTTGCTGGGCTTCCGAAGTCTCTTCGGCTGGGTCAACGAGAAGACCTTCTTGAATGACAGTTTCCTCGACGGAGATTTCAGTGAGGTCGCTGGTCTTTACATCATCATTTGAGTCTTCGATTTCTTTTTCAGCGTCGCTCTCGTCTGCCTCCTCCCCCTCGTTATCTTCTTCTTCCTCTTCTTCATCATCCTCTTCCTCTTCTTCTTCATTCTCTTCCTCTCCGCCATCTTCATCATTTTCTTCATCTGCATCTTCATCCACTTCTGCAGTGGTCTTTTCTATATCATCATCATGCTCTATTTCTTCATTGCCATCTATAATCTCATCTCCCTCCTCATCGGCATCAACGTTCTCTTCTTCTTTCCATAATTCATTCTCACCTTGCCCTGTGGCTTCAGCTTCGCCTTGTTCATTGTAAGATGAAGTTGATAGGAACTCTTCCACACGTTGTTCCACCTCATCCAATGTCAATCCAGCAACATCATGATGCTCAAGTAGGCTCTCGGCAATTTCCTTTGCACTCTTGATCTCAAACTCATCATTCTCCATACTTTCTTCAATCTTAGCACGAAGGTCTTCCCATTCAGCATTCTTTCTCTCTTCCAACTGTTCTTCCTCCGTTCCTTTTGCACCATGCAAACCAAGAACACGAGCTTCGAATGCTTCAATCTCCGCTTTATTTGTATCTTGAATTTTTTGAATTTCTTCCTCTTCCATAGGTTCGGCAAAAATGTACATAAATGGAGTCTCCACATTACCACGAGTTTCAAAGTGTAAACGTAATGATTTCCCTGGGAATCTGGCCGTTGCGCGATCCAAGGCTTTATTGAGTAAGTCGACACTAAGTTTAAACTCGCTGTCTCCAATGGTAGTATCAGTGGTTCCATGGATAGTGTCATCTAGTTCTGGTAAACTAATGTATTGGAATCCAAAAATTCGCTCAACATTATGATATGCGACGAAAATGCCATCCATACGACCCATTCTAACTTGTAATGAATACTTTAAGAATGCGGCTCTTATCATATCATAGTACTCTCGTTCAAAGGATTGATATTCTCCATGGCGACTAAAGATCTCGTAACCACTTCCCTCGGCGTAATTTTCAATATCCATACGGATTGAAATGACGGCTCTAGTCTTTAAATCAAACATACCGGTCCCTGGGAGACGAGGGTCGTGTGCATCAAGTTGGGATCGCATAAGGAAATCACCCATGGTAGTGTAATGGAAAGATTCGACCTCGTTTCGCTGATCTTCTGTAATTGAAGCCGAGTTTTCTTTTCGATATTGTTCAAACTCTTCTTTGGGTAGAGTGAGAAGCTTTTCCATCGATTTTCCAAGCATACTCAATATATTGGCAGTATCATATTGCTTGTCAGCATCAATGGCATAAACTCCGTCCCTCTCTCTTAAAAACACCGCCGACGGACCACGCTGAAGCGCAGTGAAGGAGTTGAATTCAACGGGAAATTCTTGTGAGAGCATACTTGTGTTGATAGGCCTCCACTGGGATAGCAAGAAATGGAAGTGGGCAAGAGATGCCGACATACTCGACGTCGACCCTGTATATTTTCTCTTTTCATCTTTAGCGGTCGCGATCAACGCTTTGTCCCTTGAAGAGGTGACATATTGTTTCAATGCCGTGAAATCGAATTCGCTTACGGGCATAATTTGTTGCAAGTAAGGATCAAAGTTGAACACCCGTGAACGAGGATCTTGTAGATGATATACTCCGGGGTTGAACAGAGCTCTTTCAAGTCCATAGGACAGTCCAGGTACTGGAGGTTGCTTCTTTTGTACCGGTACTAGTTGGAGGGAATCGGCGTCAACAGACTTGACTTCAAACGCAATTGTGCCGGGCGACTTCTTCATTGGACCTGTCCTAATGTTTTGACCTTTCGCCGAGACTGCTGACTTGCGGCTCGATTTCTCCTGTTTCTCGGAGTCAAACTTTTTATCCACAAGCCTCCTGATAGGACTTTTGGGAATAGACTCAAATGAAGCCAGCATTCCAGCCAGATTACTTGATGAGCTCGCATCTCCAGAACTTGTACTATCCTTCTTTGGCCTTGGTCTATTGACAAGTGATGCACGTAATTCTTTCATGACTTGAGTTCGGTCTGTGGTGGTTAAACCTCCCTTTTGAATAAGATTAACGAGTTCTTTTCTAGCGGCAGCCTCTCCCTTTTCAGTTACCATGGATTCATAGATGGAATGCAGTTGCGAAGGAGCAATCTTGTTCTGATTTTTACCGTCGACAGTGGGGCCTGGAATGCGCTTCACTAAATTGGACTTGGTGGAATTGACATAATTGATAAGCTTTTGTTTGACCTTTCTGATTCGAGCCTCGGACTCTTCTTCGTCCCCCTCTTTGCCCTTCTGGTTGGCAGCTTTTGCTTTTGCTTTCGCTTTGGCCTTCTTCGTACTCTTTTTCCCCTTCGTCTTTGATTCTGAACCGGCCTCCTTAACGTCCCCCTTGCTGTCATCCTCAAAGGTTACGTCCTCCTTCGTCAAGGTAGCCTGCTGCTTGCCCTCCGCTCCCTTCTCCACCTGCTTCGCCGGGCTCTTCTTGTCTGGCTTCGACTTTTTGTTTGCCTTCAACACGGCCTCAATAGAATTTCCCAGTTCCTCAAGCGTTCCGCCTAGATCCTTTGCAGCAGCATCACCCTTTTTCTTATCGCCACTTGCGCCTTTAATAAAAGATTTAACCTTCTGTTTTTTTGACGGTGAAGAAGAGCCTACATTATCATTTTTGTAATTGACTCGAGTTGTCGAAAATGCAGCGGCATTTCTAGGCGTTCGCGGTGCGCGGCGTATTACATTCGAGTATAGAGGAAGAGCATCTGAAGCTCCAATAAGTTTCGAGAGACATGATGTACAGACGTATGGTTGCTGCAGTTTAGGAGTCTGCCGAGTAAGAGAGACAAACATGGGAATGGTTTAGAGGTGGACCTCTTTTCTCACTCAATTGACTTGATCTGTCTTTACAGTTACTGATGATTTCGAATATTTTTTTTGGTTGTCTCCCACCTCTATCTTAGCGTCTTTTTTTGAGCAAGGGTCTTGATAGGGATAAGGTTATTTCTACGTGTATCACCAAAGCTCCACAGACTACCAGGGAAGATCAGTATCATTGGGGTATTTAGAGTACGATTTAAGAAGCACTAGAGAGAACATATCATTAAAATTATTATATTTATAAATGAAGCAATCACGCATAGCAACGGGTGCATGGAAATGTGCCAAGAGCATTGGAGTATGTGAAAAGGATGGCTAGAGTACTAACTATTCCATAAATCATTGTATTGTAGATCAAGCAATCATGTATAGCTATGTCCTCATAGTATTTCTACGACATAATACATGCGCATGCTTCCTTTCGACACCATCTTAAACCCAATTATAAGGGAAATAAAAAAAGCAAATGGGTATATGCGTAAAGAGCATCCGGTCACCCCAAGCCAAACGCCCGCCAATGCCAGCCATGCAATGTCGTTGATTCATCCATTCAATGACCCCCTCATGAGCACCTATACCTTTTCCATAACACCGTTTCAATACAAAATGAAGAAATGTTCCGAACACCGTTAATGCCCAGGTAAAGCTTCATGTGCTACAGCACAAGCATCCTCGAAGGTTGCCTGAGCTTCAACTCTCTTTCCGGAAATGTCGTAGAATTGCGCCAATAACCCTTCAGCAACAGAAATCCACAGCTTATTTTTGCTGTGATTAGCTTGCTTTAGTGCAGCCAATGCGCTCTTTTCCGCTTGCTCACCTAAGCAGTTGTTGAAGAATTTACTGCACATGACGTTGAGGACGAGACAAAGGAACTGTGTGTTATGCGATGCCTTTGCCTTAGCTAAAGCTGCAGATAGGTGATTTTTGGTCTCGTGAATCATAGCAGAATTGCTTGTTTTGACAGTTGCCCGAATTATTGAGAATGCTGTTTGAATATCTTTGGTAGGGTGGTTGACGCAATACGGCTCCAGTTTCGAAATGAGCGTAACATTTTCGATTGGATCTTGCCAAAGTTCATCTTGTAAGATCAAGAGAACATTGAGAGCAGCCAGAATGGCAACATCACGCTCTACCTCATCTTCCGAGAACAACCCATATAATTCGAACGTCTCATGTTGGAATATTTTCAAAGCAGCCTTCAAATCACCAGTTCCTTGGAGATAGACACCTTCGAGATACAATGTGAGAGTCCCCAGTCTTCCAGATAGAGGAATTTCAAACTTCTCCGCAGCAGTTGCCACAGAACTCATTTCCTGTTTTACCCGTACCCAATCTCCCACAGCAGCGCAACAGAATGCCATATACATGTGTGAATAACATAGAATAAGGCCACGCCACTGCTTTTTGGCAATAATTTCGGATAATAGGCCTGGGGAAGCTTTGGCTCGAGATTCGTCGGCTGCAATGAATATTAGCTTTGTATTATAAAATAAGAATGCCCATTACCCTTAATTCTTCCTAAACCTTCGTGGAGGAACCTCACGGCTTTTTGATCAAGCGGATTCTTATGCATCAAAACTATTCCTGAAAGTAGATAACTAGAATGATGTTAATATTTCATAGATTGAGTCGAACAGTTTTTGAATACGAACGTTAATGCATATGCATCTCTTTTATTCAAGAATGACATGGCCATCTGGCCTCGTCCATCCTCCCTCATGCTCAAAACATTTCGGGTATCTGGAGTGATAAGGTGTTTGACTTTGTGAACACTGTCTATAGGTATGGCAAGAGTGTCATTTTCTATGCTCCATGCTGGATTCTTCAATAGGTCATCCATAACAAGCTGCATTGCCCTCAAAGTACTTAACATCTGAGCTGGATCACCACGAAGTATACTACAAATAACATCGAGAATATGGGTAAGGCCAATAAGCTGAGGTATGTTGCTTTTGTTGTCAAGTTGATAGGTTCGCGCCGCCGCAATCGCTCGTTGAACATGTTCGATTCCATCTACTCCCGAAGACTTCAGGTGGGCAATAGCTTCCATAAGAGATGCGACAATGTATATAGAACGATCGCCCTGATGGTTTGCAAGATATGAAATACTTCTAAGATTTTGGATAGCTGCATGATTGTCTGATGGAGTCCTTAATTGCAGGGCGTGTGACGCTCGAAGAAACCGGAATACATATATCCAGGCATTGTGTTGATAGCTAATATAAATCAGCAAATACGAAAATACATTTGAAATCAGTTGCATACGCTTGTGCATCAGAGATGTGGCTGTCAAGTGTCTTCATTGATGCTTTTGGATTCTTCTCGAACATCAACCGAGCGAGTAGGAATTGCATTACATATTTGAGATCGTAGTAGTGATTCTATTCTTATATTAGAAATTTTAACCATGGATAGAAATATGTGCCATACTCTTTCGCAAAGTATTATACCTTGACCAAGCATGGTCTCTGCCTCTGCATAGTTGTTTGTCTCTTCGTATATAATGCCAGCCATTCGCAGTCGGACCTTCGCTTCCAATCTTGCCGGGAGTTTCAATTGCTTCAAGGCAATAGTCAAACATTCCAAGCCCATAGTAATCAGTTTGTGATATTCGTGGACATTTTCTTCCGTCATGGCAACCGCTACTGCTGGTGCAAGTTCATGCGCCGCGCCGAAATACTCTTCAGCGAGAGAGACCATCAGAAGAGGATAATTAAGTGGCGCAATCGGAGGTTTCGTATGTGCCATCTGATGATTGATTTGTTCCATTGGTATATTTGAAGAAGATTGTACGTGATGCTGCGGACGACTTTGATCGATAGGATAATGCTGCTGGACGGGCTGTGGGATTTGGACTTGAACTTGAACTTGAGGCTGATAATACTGTGGTGCGGTAGACGGAGCCGTGTAGATATTATTGGGCGCATATCCTGTCGCTGGCATATCATATTGAGGTTGGGTATTCGAATTCCAATATGTCGTTTGATCTTGCTGCATGTCTCCTCCCATCTGATATCGTTGCATGTTTCCACCGTTCTGCATCATCATACCGTTCCTGCCATGTTGAGAGGAGTTGCCCTGCGGAGGATATGTGTTTGGATCATAGCTGGGCCAGATATTTGGCATGCCATGATTTTGAGACATGACTTGCCCCTCTCTCTAACTAACACCTCAATCACAATCTACCAGCGGGTTAATGAACTGTGATAAATATAATAAAATATCAAATATAAAATAAATGAATGATCTCTGGAACATTGAAAGGATGGTATGACATAAGAATACTTGCAGGGGTGGGCGTGAAAATAAACCAATAAGCTTTGAACAGTTTTGCCGAGGTCTTTCCTGATATCCTCCATGAGAATTCACCACAATTTTGCAAGTAGGTGGATTTGTGGATGTCAAGCAAAAGGAGGTTTGTACTTCACTAGATTTACACTATCGGTACATATATATGAGCTGTTCGATTTCCCTCCTTATTTCTGTACGAATTTCAATTCAAACTTTTTTTTAAACTGGTTTTATAAAGATTTCATATTCCTAGTACAATCTAGATATCTTTTGTGTTGTAAATATCAACCAGATCATCCCTCGTTACGCCAAAACAGCCGTAGAAGCTTTTCAAGGTTATTCACAATCCAATCAGGATGGAGTGGCTGGGACATGCAAAGATTGGATTCACTCATCCTCCAAATCCCATAAACCTCAAAAGTAAAGATGGTTCGACAACAGATCTCCTCAAGATCTGTGAAGAGTCCACTCCACCATGTCGTCTCAACCCTATTTTGTTCAACGGTAACTAGATCCTCCTGAGCAATGAATGATTGAGTAAAGTGCTAAATGTACTAGGTCACATGCAAACATTCTGGACAGTAGTAAAAAACGATGGACCTCCTATTTACTATAAACGAAAGTTGTTTGAAAATGAAGATCCAGCCTTTCATGGTTCTTTTGCTGTTGATTTCGTAGTACATGAGCCACATACCGAAGTTGATGATTCTTTACCCATTCGAACTACCTACTATACGGATGAAGAGTTCTCGGGAATAGCATCCTTGGATAGTCGTCCAATGCTTGTGACCTTACATGGGCTCTCAGGTGGTTCTTACGAGATATATCTCAAGCATGTCCTGGAACCTTTGGTTGGAGCTGATCATCCTTCCAATTGGGAGGCATGTGTTATTAATAGTCGTGGATGTGCAAAACATAAAATCACGAGTAGTATACTATACAATGCGAGAGCTACTTGGGATACTCGACAAACTATTGCTTGGCTCAGGAAGACCTTCCCCAACAGACCCCTGTTTGGTATCGGCTTTTCTCTAGGGGCTAACATTCTCACAAATGTAAGCCTGCCCGCATTCTTTTTTCTTACCACCTGCCCCCTCATCTTCCACTGGACATCACTAACACATCCCAGTACATTGCCGAAGAAGGAGAAGCATGCGTCCTCAAAGCCGCCGTCGTCTGTTCCAACCCATGGAACCTAGACGCGGGTTCTCTCGCTCTCCAAAGGACCTGGCTCGGCCGAGAAATATACTCCAAAACAATGGGAAAGAACATGAAGAGACTAGTCGAACTCCATCATGACCAGATCATCAAAAATACCAAGATCGACTTCGAAAAGATTAGAAACATTACCTACCTCCATGAATTCGATCGACAAATCCAAGGTCCTGCTTGGGGTTATCCTACAGAGGGAGCATACTATCGAGATGCTTCATCAACCGATTCGCTACTGGCTGTGAGGATTCCTCTTTTCGCTATCAATGCTGAAGATGACCCTGTAAGTATCACTTCTCTTGAAATTCGCCATCTAGCTAACATATCTTGAGATTGCCACCAATGAATGTTTACCACGTGAAGAAATCAAGAAGAATCCATACACAGTGTTATGCACCACGTCTTTAGGCGGCCATTTATCATGGTTTGAAATCGGTGGTAATAGATGGCATGCCCGTCCCGTGAGTAAAGCTTTCCTAGCATTCATAAATGTCACTAATCAGGTTGCAGTGTGTCAACTTCCTGAACAAAATGGCCTTTGAAGTACAACTCGATACGATCGTTCCTCCTGACGCAGATGACACCGCTGATTTGAGCCCACCCCGACCTAAATTTCAACCCATGGTACGGAAATGGACTTGAGGTCCATCCCTTTGGAAGTGAATTTGTTGGATTATAGCGAGGCATGTTTTACAGAATTTATAGAGACATAACTTAGAAGCAATCTCTCAAACTTAGTAATAATCTAATGTCAATACATCGCTGGTATCTCTCAAATGCCAATTTTTAATATCCTCATCCCACCCCAGGTGTATTCGCCATAACGCCCGAATATAATTATGCCTCCCTGTCGTTCCCCTCTATGATAATCTACAATCGAAAATCCCTAGTTCAGACTCTCATGCAAAAGAAACAGTCTTCTTTTTAGGCTTCAGAGGCTTCGTTCCGGCCAATGCCTCTCCCTTCACATTATCACCCTCATCATCTCCTCCTCTCTTCCTCTTTTTCCTCAAATCATCCTTCATTCCCTTTAATTTATTTTTCTGCATCTCCTGCTTCCTCTCATGCTCTGCCTTTCTCGCCTCTCGAATTTCTTCCATTTGTCTGGCCCTCATCATCTTACTCTCTATTTGACCATCCTTATCCGCATTCACCATTGCTAGAATCGTCATCATAGATTCCTATATGCGCAATTGATTAGCTTAAGTCCCTCATAAAACAATAATTGATTGATCCAATTAATGAATCCCAACCCCAACCATCCTCTCTCCTACATCATAACAACATCCAAGCAAAAGAAAACCCACTCTATCATCCACAAAAACCTTCCCCTTCTTCTTCCCCTTCGGCTTCTCAACTCCCACCGGCGTAATCATATTCAGCGACGGAATCCCCAACTCCTTCTCCGTATAAACCCTCCTCTTCTTCTTCAACGTCGCCATTTTATTTCCCTGCTTCTGTGGTTTCGGCGGGGCACCCTTAGACTGTGTAGCTTTCTTGCCTTTCGATTTCGAGACTCCGTCGCTTTGAGCTCGAGAAACGGTTTTGCTGTTGCGGATACCAGATCCATTGGCAGCATGTTTGGATGCATTTTTGTTTTTGACGGTGCTGGTGCGAGAGGGCGCCATTGTATGGTGACTTGTATTTTGGAAATTGATCGGTGAAGAGAGTTGATGATTTGCTGGTTTGATTTGGTGAATCCGATAAAAGATTTACTGATATGCGATGGTTTGATGGAAATTTACTTTTTTTGCCAAAAGGCGGCGAGCTAGCGGATGGGGTGGGGCAATAAATGCTCCCCGCGAAACTTTAGAGGCACCCTGCTTCAAAATTATTTTTATGCTTCTGATAATTGTTCAGAAGCAAAGCAAACATTTGCGCTGTGTGGTTTATAAAATCGGGGTAAGAAATTGAGTCCTTGATCTTAATTTTCTATGTATAATTTGAGTTCCAACCTTAGATTCAGACAGCTTGGTATCTTTTCACCCCTTTCAGGCTTCTCAAATTCTTCTGGTAATTCCTGAGTCGCTCAATTCCTGCGTCCAAGAACCCATTTACAACAAGTCAAAACCTTATATACAACGTACTTCTTGTCATGTTCATACATATCCCTCTCAAGTACTCAAAGTACCCTTCGTACTTGGAACCTCACCCTCTCTACCTTTCACTATCGAAGTAGCCTGTCTAACCGCCACAGCCAACGCTTTAAAGGCACTCTCCGCCCTATGATGATCATTATCACCCCTCAAACAATCCACATGCAAAGTGATTCTTGCACCCTGCGCGAAACTTTGCAGACAATGTGGTATCATTTCACAGCTCAAGTCTCCAATCTTCTCTCTCTTGAGTCCCAAATCTATCACACTAAACGGACGATTTGAAATATCGACAACAGCTCGCGAAAGTGCTTCATCGAGAGGACAGTATGCGGATCCGAAACGTGCGATTCCTACAGGAGAGCCAAGAGCTTTGGCAAATGATGTACCAAGTGCAATGCATACATCTTCAGCGGTATGGTGATCATCAACTATAATATAAATTAGCACTTGCATATCCAAGGTCGCATTCCCACAGTAGGGTGAATAGAAGATAAAAACATACTGTGTAAATCTCCTTTACAATTGATCGCCAAACTCCAACCAGCATGCTTTGCCAAAGCATGCAACATATGATCCAAAAACCCAATTCCGGTATGTATAGCAATATGTTGCGATTTTGAGACTTGGGAAGCATGCCCCTCTTCACCACTGAATAACTTCTTATCAGTATCTGCTGGGAATTCCCCTCCATCGAGATTGATAGCCAGTTGAATACTAGTCTCATTTGTATCGCGCGAGAGCGCCGTTGATCGAAGTGGAGCCATTGCTTATGATTTGGACGATTGGGTGAGGTTTATTCTCTGAGGGCGTGATGTATTATATCATTTCAATGCAAACGAAATACTGACTCCCAAAAATTATATCGGTGTCGGATTATCGGAATGAGCCGAGGCGGGGACCATATGAATAATGACGTTCCAATCAAAGCCCACGGGATCTGAAATCCCATCATCATTTTGGTTTCAACCTTCATTTTGCAGGAAAAGATAAATGCAAAGAAGAGGTACACAATGCACCAAACAGGTGGATTAAGAAGCGAAGAAGCGAATGCTGCAGCTTGGGAAGCTGGGAGAGGTGCTGTCGCTGGTGGTGCAAAGGTATTTAACTCTACGCGTTTTTGGTCATCGCATTTTTAGGATGCTTATTGATGTGATGCCGTAGTGGGGCTTGTTTGCAGCTGCATTAGGAGGTGCTGGATATGCTCTTTCTCCGATTTACAAAGGATTGACGATTCAATTCAAAGTGTGAGTCAGATTATAGTATATCGAGGGCGGGGTCAGCTAATAATCACATGGATAGATTCATCCAGATGGGTTTTATGGTCATGGGAGGTTCTCTTGAAGCAGATCGCCGCATAAGAGAATATGAAGCAAAAGTCCGAATGGAGAGACGTATGATGAGGGACAGGGCTGTTTGGGATCAATATGAAGAAGAATTTGAGCAATCAACTTCAAAGCAAGAAAAATCACGGTAAAATTGTACTCATAAGGAATTTTCATACTTGTATACAACCAATATCATATACGCCAGCTTTGTTATAAAGTTCCAAACTCCCTGGTAATGCTTTTCCTCAATTTTCCCATTATTTAGTAACGAACTGTTTCGGATCCATATTCAATTTGCAAAGTCTTGCAATACAACCACTCAACTGGAGCAGTGTCTGAACTCCTTCCAAAATCTTCATATGCGTGAATCCAATCTCCTTGATGAATTCCAGCTTCGAATGCTCGCTCAAAGTATGACCGTCTTTGTACCTTGAACATGTGCTGATAATGTCGTGGCTCGAGTATCCCAAACCCCATAACTCGTTCAACGTCTCCAATGCAGAATCAATTTTCCCCTCGTAACATGCCTTGATCATAGCTTGTACTTTGATCGGATGAGGCGAGTCCACAACCTTGAACACATTATCTCCATTGACGAACCCGAAACCTGCAAAAGTTGACTGTAGATTATTGATAGCCTGACGCATATCTCCCTCGGCGCTGAAAACTAATGCAGCCAATCCATCCTCACTATATTCCACCTTCTCTGCCTCAATGATTTGTAACAATCGTTTAACTACTTGCGCATCTGTCAATCTGGCATATCGTAAAATTGCACATCTAGATTGTAAAGGTTCAATGATCTTATTTGATTGATTGCATGCAAAGGCAAATCGTGTAGTCGAACTGTAAATCTCCATCGTACGACGTAATGCTTGTTGAGCTCCAGACGTCATACTATCTGCTTCATCGAGGATAACAAGTTTATGACGGCCAGCCGGGAGAGTGACTTTCTTCTGTGCAAATCCTTTTATGCGGTTACGCACAACATCAATACCTGGTTATCTTGATATTAGCTCCATTGAACCAGTGAAGCTATTGGGGCATGTTATACCTCTCTCATCACTAGCATTCAATTCCAATACTGCCTCCTTGTATGAATCTCCTAGCAGTTGCCTAGCCAGACACAATACACTCGTGGTCTTTCCAATACCTGGCATACCAGAAATAATAACATGCGGCATGTTCCCATCTTTCGCAATAATCTTGAGTCGTTCTATTGTCTCCGTATTTCCTACTACATCATCGAGAAATACTGGTCGATATTTTTCAACCCTATTTGCTCTTTATTAGCCTCCTCTTTGTACAATCAAGAAATTCAAATACATACCATGGTAATTCATAATTGGTAACTCCATTAGTATTTGCTTTCAATACTTTCTTTGCAGCACTAGTGGAAGATTCTCCAATTTCTGAAGCGTTGGTGGTTGTCATATTGAGCTTTGCTTGATGTTGGGTTGAGGTCGACGCGTTCGAAGCTGGAGAGACGCGATTTTCAATTTACACGACCGTGAATACTTGGGCTTTCACGTGGACGACCCACAACCCAATGTTTCAACGAACATAACTTGGAATTGTTCAAACACATTTCTGACATTTAGAAGCTCCAAGTGGCCAGAAGAATACCATATGGTAATATATGAAAGTAATTATAAATGTTAAAAAATTTTCTTGGAAATCGCATACATCCAAGACGCCGTCATCCCATTTCTAGAGAAATAAACACTTAACATTATGCTACTGTCACGGGTATCGTCTCCCTTCTCCCGCTGTCATTCACAAGCAGTGATCACTAACAATCTACAAAATAAAGCCCAAAAGCTCGAATGAGACCTATTATACAAGCTGCAAGTTGGGAGGTCTTCATTTTCAGTTACATGCTCCAGGTTACTTCTAACTGTGTTGTAATGGCTCAGTCAGAACGTACTCGGATGATATATCTAAACTGCTGGTCAGAGGACATGTGGAAACTGTTGAATGAAGCATTGTCCAGTTCCCAAAATCGAGTGGTTACATATATCATACTCGCAAGTTCTCTTAAGATCTCTTCTCCATCAAAAAGTTTTGTTGCATATCTGGGGAGCATTCCAACTTTCTCAATTCTAACTCAAATTCAGATTTGAAAACAGGGTTGTAATGGCATATTCATATATCAAATTCAAAGTTTCGGGAAATTTTAGAGAAAAACCAGGAAGCTGAAAGAATGTAGTTTTTGTTCACTTATGATTATATTTTTGATTAATCTGAGTGGATTGAGTAAGTGAAAATTGAAGGTAAATCCGTGGTGCTGTGGTAGACTAGGAAATCAACGGACTAGCTGAGAACATCACCAAAAATTGCAGCATCTCTAAATGTTAATGAACGAATGGCTCGAGAGGAATGCGACACTATTCTTGTACTTATTCCTACCTGACTACTTTCTTTACTCGTCCTATTTGTCTTTAGATATGGGAGTCAGAACATCAAGATTATCTAAGAGCCACATACTGCTTTCAAGGAGAGTGTACGCAATGCCAGGTGGTTGATACGTACCGCTTGTTGTCATTTAGTCAATATAACAATCTACCTTAAATAGAAACACTTCTTCGACTTCCACAGCAACCCCCCCTCCCCGCCTCAGCCCTTCCCTCTCTCCCCCTCTTCCACAAAAACCCAAACACCTAAGATAAACCCGTAAACACAATCAACGGCCCATAACCCATGCCATACCCAATACTCACCATGAACCACCCATCATCACCGCCTTCAATAATGGCAAACTGACTAACCTACCTACTACTTACATACCCAATTCTCGCCCAACTCAAAAACTCATAAAGTATTTCCATATCAATCCCTCCGTTCCTTGATGCAGCCTCGCTTTCCATTTATTTAAGAATAGCCTCTACGTAGCGCTATACCCCGTAGCACGGAATCGAAGGGTGAGGGGTGAAACACTAGGAATGCCATAACCTTGGGATGGGGGCGGTGGTGTGGGATCCGCGGCTGAGAGAGGTTTTGCGGTTTGCGGCGGAGGAGGGCGTTCGTCTATTATCGCTTAATTAAGTAGCCGAAACAGAATGAGGATGGTAGGTTGGGGATACTGAAGAGGACAGGATAGAATTTCCATATAGTTATATAATCTCCTCTCAGAGCTTCAATAGTAATCTCATAGAATCTATAACTACCACCCAATAGGTAATATTCCTAGAGAGGGACGGAGTTACCTATCAGGACGAAATATATCCATATGGTTGGTTGTAAGCAGGTTCGTTGAACTTGCTTTTAGCATTCTAGAGAATGATGATATGAATTCGATTAAATATCCCTATACAAAAATATAATATTGGCAACAAAGTTACTTAGTACTGTGAATTCTCATCAATCATTTCAACTCGCCTTTTCATTACCCAAAAAACGAGCTTTAAGAGAAAATGATATAATTCACTCTTCAAAGCCACGAAATGCATTCACTGATCGAATCAGATGTCGCAGAACATACAGCTCACTAAATATCAGGATATTAATGAATTATACATACCTTCTATCTAGATAATGTAAATCTTAAAGTTTTATTCTTCCCAACCGAAAAGAACACTCATCTCATTCCAAATGCAATCTATAGACGAGAGAGCGAAAATCTTTTATTATAAGATCTTAAACTTATATCTCATTGTAACATACCCAGATATCGATTTGCTAGAATAAATAGGTGTTTGGGTAGGTATGTGATTAAAGCTTTAGGATGTACTTACTCACCTATTTCTACCTACCTACCTGGGTATTTATAAATATCAATCTCTCAGTCTCTCACTCTCTCAATCTTAAACTTGAATTCCCATTCCAAATACTCGAATGACAATACCCCATACCGCAAGAATCAAATACTAGTGTACTCATTTTCATTCCAAATTCCTAAAAAGACCAGAATCAAAGATCCTCCCAAGAATACTTAATACCTAGTCGAGAATATCTTTCACATAAAACCCCTTATTAATTACATATATCTTCCAAAGCAGATTTATACTTTCCCCTTCCCTTCCATTTCAGTCCTTCTGATTATCTCCTTAATCTTTAAAGTACACACACATACACACACATCTCTCTCTCCTTCACCAGCTCCCGTCTACCCCCATACTCCCACACAATTCCCTCAAAGTTCCGCAAAACAAAACCCGGAATCAATCAATACTCTTAATCTTCAACCTCCAACCTCCAACCTCCAACCCCCCTATCCCCTATCTACACCCCATCTACTCCATATTCCCTACCCCATCCCGTCACATCCTCTCTCCCAAAATCCCAATACCACAGCCAGCGCAGCCACATAATACCCTCGAAACACTTCCCTCCTAAATAGCCACTCCCCAAATACAACACTCCCATCTCGCATAAACACCCCCACTACAAGTCCATCTTTCCACTTGGAAAAATATAAAAAGCTTCCACTATCAAAATCAAATATCACTCCAAGCTCCAAGCTCCACCCACCAACATCCACATATCAACATATCAATCACCCTGGGTCTCGATAAACCTAACAATATCCTGAATAAAATTCTTACTCCAGGAACACTAACACTAACCTACCCTACACTACACTATACAACCTATGAATCTTGATCTCCATCTCCATCCCCATCCCCTTTCACAATCTGTGTACATACGAACCCAGTCTAATTCCAAAATTCAACGTCGAAAATCTACCCATATAGACCATATAATCGGTACTCTACACAATCCATCAAATCCAAAAGAAGTCTTATATATACAAAAGAAGATTCCATTAATTCATAACATCCATTAAATCTTTATACAAACCATCTACCTCTTTCTTGTCTATCCCAAAAGAAAGAAAAAGAACTAACTCGCTAATTACAAATGTTATGTCATCGCAGCATGTACCTATCATGCGCATCCAAAGCCATTATATACATTCATCAGGCAACGCGATCCAATAATTCGTAACGATCTTTCCCGCTAACTCTTCTCCAAAGAGCCATTCCTCTTCTGTGCGATTTACTCGATCGTACTACCCACATATTCCATGCAAACCATAGACATCCACCAACTATTCCCGCAATGGCAAAACCGGTCACGGTAAGAAGTAACCAATGTTTGCCCATCCAGAAAATAGTTTGTGCGTCTTTCCCATGCCAGCTGTTGCCTTTTACGACGTTGAAAAAACTCCATGCGTGTTTATTGTATTCATCTGGCATGAGATTACGCACGCGGCCTGCTTCATCGGTAACGGTTCGCATGTATTCGATCCAGAGAACTGAGAGGAATAATGGACCTGTGCTGTACATTACGGTAATGTATGGCATGCCCCAATTTCTGTTGTAGGATTGAAGGGATTCGATGACGCGGAGGAAGAATGGATGTTGAGGGACTGATCCCATGGCGTCATTACTGATTCCAGTAGGGATAGTTCTGCGCAACCAGGCGGGATAGCTAAGGAGGGGATCAAGACGTCTGTTACAGCCATCGTCAAGATCGATGTATATTCCTCCATAATGTGCTAGTACGAAATAGCGAATAGAATCTGCGCGTTGAATAGGAAAAGGATAGCTATCGAATGTATCTAGGAACCAAGGATATTCAGCGGCGATGAAAGCTCTCGAGGCTTCATCAGTCCATAACTATAATAAGTTAGCATCTCATTCCGATTATCCTATCCTTCGACAAAATATACATACCTTATATTCATAATCATCATGTAAATCAATACACGATTGCTGACCAGCCTTCCATCGCTCAGGAATCGAACTATTGATATAGGTTTGATGAATAATTTTAGGAATAAGCTGAGGACGAGTCTCAATTAATTCTGAGCCCGGCGCAGGTATTTCGGAGCGGTGGATGGCATCTGCGGCACCATCTGTGAAGAGTAATGATATCAAAGTACTGAATGCATTTACCAGGAAACCAATTATTATGAAATTGATCACCAGGAATATAAGGGTTCCGCGTCTCATGATAAGGTTGGGAGAGGAAGTTGGAGAAGATAAAGAGCTTTTGGCCCAAGGACTTCAATCTTTTCGATTGTTTGGTAGGAATATGGATCTCAGGTTGGGATAAGTGCTCCTCGATAAGGGGTAGAAAGGTTGAGAGATAACGGAGGGGTCGATTGAGGAATCGTAAGATACTCTAGGACGAGTAAAAGGTTGAAGAAATTCCAAAAGTAGCTACGACATCTATTGAAGGAGTGATGATAGGTATTTGGTGTTGCTCGTAGTATAGGATGTGAGAGTACAAAAAAAAGGAATGAAAAATAAATGTGGTTTTGGTTGAATAATTAAATTTCACTACTGAGTAATAGTAAAAGTAGAGTTTAGTATACCTAGTATGCTAGTGTGTAGTGAAAGGGGAAATTAATGCACCCACATTTGTATGCACAAAGGTAGAATAGGGGACCGGTATAATCGGACAAAGAAATATCGATAAGAATTTGATGATAATCGTGTGATCAAAAATATCTCAAATCATATAATTTATGTGAAGAATTTGAAATAGGTGAAGAAGTTCTACTGTAGCCCTACTCTATAGATATTCAAGATTACTCGAGTAAAAGTTATGTTATGACTTAATTATTACACACAGCATGATCTCGAGATTCTCAACTTTTCAGAATTGGAATGCTAAGCCCCTTTTACGTTAGTCAATAGGCAATATGTAAAGACCGTTGATGATTGCTAGCTGCTAGCTACTCAACCAGATGCCATTTTGAATTTTAAAGGCATCGGTATCGGAAAAGCCATATATACTCCGTACATACATACGGATACGACTATGAAAAGTATCAACCACGAATAGATTTTACATATTCAAAAATCTTAAAAGTCGCCACTCGCATTCAAACCCCTCATACCAACGTAGATACATCTACTATCCTACACAACAAAAGCATCAGGAAACCAAGCCCCTCCTCAACCCAAGACCTAAGCCCCCTCCTCCTCTTATTCGCGATATCTCTATACAAACCATCCCATCCCAACCCATCATCCCACCAAACACCCAGACCATCAACATCAGCCTCCAACCTCCAATCATCCACCCATCATATCTACCGAGTAAATATATGCACGAGGTAGGCCATATGGAATAATCATAGATACATAGATATCTAGATACCTAAACATCAACCAATGCAGTATCTTCTACCTCCCACCTTCTCCCCTCAATCTTACCTATCATCCATCATCTCCAAGTACCTACCTACCTACCTACCTACCTAGGCAGCGGGCAAACAAACACTCCGTCACCTCTCACCACTCACCACTCACCACTCACCATTCGCCTCTCCCCCAAAGTACGCGTCACCCAAACTAAGATTCCCATTATCCCATATAATCCATTCCATCAACCCAATCCAATCCAATCCAATCCACCCCACTCCATCTATCTCACCATCTCGCATTCGCACTCGCATATCGGCATCCGTTCCATTTCCCATTTCCCACTTCTTAGGTACTTTTACTTCATAGAGACTTGTGCACGGGTATTGAAAGGATCCGAAGTACCGGTACTGAAGTTGATGAATTGATCATAATTCTGCTTTGTGATCCTACCTACTCCATGTTTTGTTTTTTTGCGGTGGGATGTGATTATGGATGAGGGGGTGTTTGAGATTTCAGGATTTTATAGGGGATATTTTATACTATATGATGTAATTGTACTTTTAGGAAGTGTCGTTCTAAAAATGCCTCTTAGTTACATTTCTTTCAACCCTTTCACTTTTGACACAAACAACCCTAACCCTAAGCCATACTCAAACCCGGCATACTCCCTGGCATAGCATATTCATCACCTCTCCCCCTACTCCTCCGTCTAAACCTCAGACCCTCCTCACTTCCCCCATCCAAACCCACATCCGGCACATCCAAACTAACCCCCAATTTACTCCTACCCACCCTAACTCCCGTTTCCGCTTCCACCTCCTTCCTAGCCTCCTCCCTCAAATCCCTCTCTACGTCTCTACTCCTCGCTCTCCCAATACCTCCCGCCTCAGACCCTGTATCCAAATCCTCTCCACCCCTAGTATTTTTCTTCCTCGGCCACAGACTTGGAAGTTCAATCTGTTGAAAGCGAGGCTCAACACATCGTTCATCAAACCAAGTATGTAGCCTTGCCTCAATCAACTGTGCTATCTTCGGCACATCTTGAAGTCTCGACCTACTGCCCACCAAACTCCGTATTGAAAGATCCAGTCTATAATCATCCAAGAAACAGAATGCCAACGTAGTAGGACTACCATTCAATGGACTCCCCGGAACAAAAGAAATCGACAAAGTACCACTAAACCTCATTACCGACACCGCCAATGCCACAGGTAACACTGCGACCAATGGCTTCGGATAGTTAAGCAACAGTTTCGTCTCCACGGCCAATGTAATAAAATCACTCAAATCCACATCCATCCTCGCCTGTAACCTGCCATGTTCTCTACCCGCAGCTCCCCCTTCCCTCCCCAAAGTAATCCCATCCTCATCCACAGGAATAACCCTACAATTACTGAAAATGGGAAAATCCTCCCCCAAGCTCAATTCCGTAACTTTAATCTCATCCAAAAAATCCGGTCTATTACCCCCATTCAACGCCTTCGTAAGACTCGTAAGAATCGCATCATCATGTTGAGCATCCGCCCGAAACTGCGCTATCGTCTGCGCAATCAATACATTGAACCAATCTAGACTTTCGGGCTGGTGACTATCCACATTATAGTATGTTTTACTCAGGATAGCATTAGTGGTTAGAGGCGCGGGGTTTCGCAGAACGCTAGAGCGTTTGCGATTTAGGGATTGAGAAGCATGGCGTGGTGTTGAGCTGCGAAGAGTGAGGAGAGATCTTTTGTGAGCGAGGGTTCTGGAGCGACGTTCGGTGGCGCGGAGGGCAGCGGATACATCTGGGGAAGGAGGATCGCCGAAGATGAAGAATTTTATGAAGGCGCCGATTAGGATGACGATGGAGAGCTGTCCTAATAGTAGACCTTGGGTGAAGGACAGTCTGCGGATATGTATTAGCAAAAGCTGGTTCTAATTGACTGTTTGGAAAACACTTGGGAAAGAGGAAACGAACGAGGATTCAGCCTTGTCTAGTGTGGGATTCGGAATTGACATCTCACTTCATGCGAATAAGATGTGAATAGAGATTTGGAAAGAAAATGGGAAAAATTAAGAAGCTTTAATAGATAACATGTTCTGTCTAGAAGCTTGGGCTATGTGCTGTACTTCTACTCCTGTAGAGTAAGGTGTTAGCTACTTTACTCAAATGCGGGACATGTTTGATAATTGATTTTCTCAGTCTAAACTAACTTACTCGGAAGCGACGTCATCCAGCCCTGTCAATTGATACTCCAAAGATTAGATCTTGAAGGATCAATTGGAATGAAACATTCTCACTGTAATGGTTATTTCTCTTCAATAATCAATTATGATCAAATCTATCACTTCGGTATACCAAATATTGCCAAAAAGTTGCTGAAGAGTTCATTCGCTATAATCCCTCTGACATGAACAGACCACATCACCACACTTCTGAACACATTATCGAAATTTTTGAACCTTTTGAATTCCTAAAACACTATAAATTTCTATTATCCATTGCTCATGAATGCATCATGTCCCGTACATACGCCATGATTCAGAACCTAAAAGTTATGCATAAGGTTGAAGGTGTGTAAAAGAATGCCGTCCGTAAAGAATCTCTGGAAATTCTTTCCATCTAACGTACGTCGAACAAGAAAAAGTGTATAATACAAATATATATCTCCAAAATTAGTCCCGCCTCCCTCAATTCATATGGATTGACACCAGGGAGCTGTTCTCGCTAGGGCCGTCAGTCATTCTCTAGATCTTGCCCAGAATTCTAGATTAAAAGCACTCAAAATGAGGTACTATTGATGGGATGTGACGTTAATCCGTTTATCTTAAGAGTACCGGCATTTGTTTATGCCTTTGCAGCATCACGATTGCTCTGGGAACTCGCGCTCATAACCGGTTGTGTTGTAGGAAGAACACTTCCCTTCGATTGGTTTTGTCTAACCTTTGCCCATGCATAAACGATACCACTGACGAAACCGATGAAAATGGCGGAAACACTTCCGAATGTGACAGGAGCTGCGAAGAAAACGAGACCACTGACAGCGATTGGCAACTTGTTAAGAGCACCAACCATGGAGTAGGTTGTTGAAGAAGTGACACGGATACACCAAGCCGAGCAGTATGAGATGAAGATAGTAGCGAGTCCAGAGTAGATCATGCCAAGAATGAGATTGTTTCGGGTCTCAAGTGGGAAGTTCTTGGTGAGATTTTCGGATGACCAGTTTTCGAAAACGAACGAGCAAACGAAGAGGACAGGGATGGTAAGGAGGTTGTTGTAGAACATAGCTAGGCGAAATTAGAATTGATAGAAAAAATGCAGTATTGCGGGAAAACTTACTGTCCCAGTCCTTGAAGTTCATCTTCTTGATAACCTTACGCATGGACAAAACGTATGCTGCAGTGCAGAAAACATTCATACCCATCCATGCATATCCAGCATTCAATGTCGAGAGAGCATCGGCAGCTTCCTTGGTTTGTGTAGCACCACCTCCATACAAAGCGTGTTGGATATCGGCCCAAGCAGCAACGACGGAGCTGAGAACCATAAGACCGAATGAGAAGAGAGCTGAAGGAGTGACACTTCCTCCAAACCACAAAACCTCACCATATGCGATCACAATGATTGTCAAGTTCTTGAAGATTGTGTAGACGGGAACTGAAAGGAATTGAAGAGCCTTTGTGCTGGTGTAAATCATGCCGACGAGGAGGAGTGAGATAGGGAACCCTAATTTCGGCATTAGCCGCCAAACTTGCTCTGGGAAGAAGATTGGTTCTTACATGTTTTCGCCTTCTTGGTGTCAAATGGTGCAAGATTTGTGATCAAGCCTGCTTGTTTGCAGATGATAATCGCAATGATACATACAACAGACTGATAGTGTTAGTAAAGACCTCGCAGAAGAACGGCATCCAAGCATACCTGAATAGCGAGATAAAAGAAGTTCAAATTCCAATTTGAACCCGAGACACAGTATTTATTGGTCACGGTCATAGAAATTGATGCCAAACAGTAGGCAAGAATGGAAATCCCAGGACTATTCGTGACATTGGAGAGGTCAAAGGAAGAACCCCCTCTTTTGGCCGCCCCTGGCTTGGATATAAAAGGATCGCGTTGAGATGGGGATGAGCGCCCATTGAAATTGCGCATCTCAACATCTTCGTTCTTCTTGTCATCCATATTTGCGATTTCTCTCAGCGAAAACGAAGGTTATTTTTTATATTGTGGTTCTTGATGGTTGACTGCGCGAAAGCAGAGGTAGGAATTCGTAATCGGAGGGTTTGTAAATAGTCCGTTTGATAGTGTCTAGTCGCCAAAATGAAGGGACTGGAACGAAGAAGGAATTCTGCAAACAAACTCCAAACCAAAAGTCCTCTATCCGGTCTGATGTCTGATCGGTGAAGAAGTTGAAAAGAGAGTGTTGAGTATTAGGAACAAAAATAATAATGGCTGAGAGGACAGCCAGACCGAATCTTTAATCGTTTTAGTACAGGGGTGCTAAGATTAAGAAATTCTGCGAGGGGACGAAAATAGTAAAGCAGCAATACGAATCAACCAAGTTGACAGAAATCCACCTTTTCGATGTGATCTAAAAAAGGGGACCAACCAGATGAAACTTCTGAAGAGCGGCCTCAGTAAGATAAGCTCAACATCTAAGGTGTTTGAAGTTATAACACCAGGTCGCCGAGTCAAGAACTTTAAGAAAAATAAGTTGAATTTCGTGGATGAAAACAAAGGACTTTTTTGACTTTTTTGACCTTTTTCTTAAGCCACTAAAAAAAGACGCTGTGTCCTTGCATACAATCAAACTCAACTGCAGAATAAATTCTAGCACAAAATCACGCGTTCCTGACCATATTGCAAGGACTATTTCGTTGCATACAAGCGTCTGCAGTCACAAGTGTTCTGGTCGAGAAGCGTATTAGCTCTAAGATTTATTTGGACTCGTGAATCCGTGTCTGTATCATAATGTCGAATACACTTGATCCTCTCGTCGCCAAGGTACTTGATCACGCCGATTCTGACGATGAAGATGCTGTGAGTGTCCATTTCTATTTTCATTTTCGATTCATTCACTCTGCTTGTTGTCATGTAGCTCCCAAAGTTATGGTAGTTATTAAGTACATCCATTTGGTGGTTGAAGGACAAGACTCTTTCCTACTCAACCTCATCCCCAAATACCCAGTCACCTGTCTACTCACATATCCGATCACCGGCCAAACATCTAAGCACCTACAAACTTTTCCCCCTCCAATCTTCTAACATCTCCCTCAGCTCATCGCCTCCCTCGAAGAAGATCCCGCCGTAGACGCCTTCCGCGAACAACGAATCCAACAACTGCACTCGGAATTCAGCCGCGCCAAATCTCAAAAAACTCAAGGTTTCGGAAACTACACCGAGATCAAGGAAGAAAAAGCCCTGATGGATTTAACTACCGAGGTCAAATACGCCGTTGTACATTTCTCCAAAAGTGATTTTGCCCGATGTGGTGTTATGGATACCCATCTTTCTGTATGTTGCTCTTCCTCTTTCTAATATCTATCCTGAAGACTAAACTCACTATGATACTAGACACTAGCGCCCAAACATCTCGATACCAGATTCCTGAAGATCGATGTAGAGAATGCACCGTTCCTCGTCACGAAGTTAAATGTCAAGATCCTACCCTGTGTCCTGGTATTTATAGACGGACGATCCGTGGATAGGATAGTTGGATTCGAGGGTTTGGGTTACACACCTGATACATTCACCACGAAAGATCTAGAAGCAAGACTCCTAGCCTCAGGCGGTATAAAACGTCAAACTACCTCTGGCACTCTCTATCTTGATAAAAACGCAAAGAAGCAAGAAGAGGAAGAAGACGATGACTGGGATGATTGAGGCGAAGAGAATGTCATTTGAGCAGCGAGAGCTAATACATATTTTTCAAATAAACACCGGATTACCATGAAAGGGCATTCCCTTCTTCAAAGTCAATCACATTTCCAAAGCCCCACGACGATAGATCTTAGTTGGATCATATAGGGATCTCTGGATCGGAGGAGATCGTCATTGATGATGGATCTGAAAGTTCGGAGACAATTTCGGCTGATATGGATGTTCATGCTGGGGAAGTAACTTTCTAGCCTGTACCTAGAAGTTTTTTTTCTAAATCGCGAATGTCAGGAAATATATGAAGAAGATTTGATCCGCTGCTCTTGATTGCACGATATTGAATCTGCATAATGCATTTAATCAACTAAATATGCTCATTAGACTAGCTAGCTCGCTGCTATATTAAAATTTAACCAAAGCGGAATCACTAGCAGATAAAACCCACAAATACTTCCACCAGAAGTACGCACCCACTACAAGAAGAGTATAATATGTAATCGTCCAAATGATACTCAATTCCCCATTACTTTTCATCACATCTTCACTTTTCTTGCTGGCTCCCACATCTGGTCCAATAATAGTCTCTCCATCCACCGAACTACTAATCTTGCCCCAAAACCTTGGGAATCCCATCCAATTACAGAAAGCATGCACGCATATTACAGCCAACAGACTACCCGTTCGGAGATATAGAAATGTAGCGTAGCCTCCAAATAAAGTTGTGTAGGAGAATTGTAAGAGTGAGCGCAGGATAGCTCCAACCATGGGACCATGCGGATGTGTAATTCTGTATTCATAGAAGTGATGCACATGGGCTAGTCCGAAGACGACGGGGGTGAGAAATATGATCGTTGTGTTGGAGGTTTTGGAGAGGAGGAGGAGGGGTACCGAGGCGGATCGGAAGAGTACCTCTTCTGTGACAGGACCCTTTATGTGACCATTAACAATATACCAAAGATAAATGAAAGTATAGCTTACAGCAACAATATTCCTGTACGGAATCCAGCCCTTCAAAGCGCCCAATCCCCTCAGACGAATCCAATCGCGCCATTGTCCCTGCGCAATACCTTCTTCAAACAAAGGTCCTACAAACAGCACAGCCGTCAAACCAACACATTTAACCGTCTCGACGACTCCAACTAGGAAATATCCCATAGAATGGAGTGATTTTACTGCATCCTCGTTTTTCACTGATGATAAAATGCTGAATGTGCTAATGCAAACAACGATACATGAGAGGGTAACCGAGCGGATTCGTCCGCGAATAACGGTTGGTGCATCACGGGAAAGCTGGGGGGAAGGCCGGGTGGTCGAGGAGAGATAGAACGGGATTACGTAGATCAGTGTATAGAGTACCTGGGATTGTGAGCATGTGCAGCAGATAGCTCAGGAGAGATGTCATACCAACAGAGAAACTGCAGTAGTAGTACTAAACGGAGGAACTTCTTTCTCTGCGAAATAGATAAGTGGTTAGCTAGGTTGACCATGAATAATGCATGGATGCAATTTCTCATAGACCTGCAGACAAATGCGAAAGTTTTCAAACCTTTTTGACCGGTATAAAATGCCTTCAGACGATTTTCTATCCATGTTGGAGCCATGGATGCCGATGTGAGTGCTGGGTAGTGTTCGGAGTATATGCACCGGGATATTAAAATATCTTCATATGATATTCTAGATCCTCAGTAGATCAATGGAAGCAAGGGTTATATACAAGAAGTCAATTTACAGAGATGAGAATATAAAGAGTTCTGCGGTTAAAGTTCATGAGCTGATTACGATTTCGAAAGCCGCGTGGTTTGGTGTTGGAAATCTAATGATGCGAGAAAATGTTGGATTGTGGAGTTAGTTGGATGGATGGACAGGGGCTGAAAGCATAACTTTTGTAATCCTTTTTATTCTTCAGATGGGAATTGGAAGTGACGAACAACAAGGAAGTCAACTTTCTTATTGTTCCATTTCGGTACAATCGTTCTATTCATTCATCGAATTCTTTTTAATCTGAATTTTATATCGTCTATACTCCGTACTACAAAATAGACTATGATGTAGATAATCTTCTCCACGACACCGGAAATTCTCTGTTTCAAGCTCCTACACTCATCTTATCGATAAGTTTTCATGATCCGTACTTACACACGCCTACAGACCTACAGAACTTTCGCAATTTCTCATTAATCAATCCATTGATGCCGCTCTCATAGTAATTCCCAAGAATTATAATGGCATGCCTCGCTCTAGCTTTTCGCCGGAACAATTCGAAATTAGTACCATTACCATGAATAAGCTACAGGGTATATTAAGAACTTGGGAAGGTTCAGTCTTTGAGAAAAGGTATTTGTCCCTGGGTATCTACTGATCTACAGAACCAGGGCGTGTCCTGTAACACCGGACTCAAGTAGTCTCCGTGGAGAGTCTTCTAGGTTCTATCAAAATTACCTGGTCCCATAAATTCTCGCAAACGCGTTCTAAGCTCGAGGGAAACGTGTTGACCACTCCTTTGCACTAATCTAATCTGCAATCGCGCCCTATGGATCTGAACTCAATCGATCGTAGAGCTTGGATATCTAATCATTTCTGGTCTCACTGTGATACAAAGGGCGATAGGAAACGTTTTGCGTGGGAATTTGTTTACTGAGATTTTGGTTGTCTAGACGGCGAAGCGAGACAAGTCCGAGCTTCATTGATCATTGATGTACGCTTTTGGCCTCGGAAATGAGATGATGAGCCTCCATCTCCACTATCTAGAATCATCGATCCTCAAACCCTGGTTCGCCAGGTTAAAAGATGGAGAAGATGTTTGCCTGGAGGCTGGGTCTGCTTGTTTGTTTCTTCCCTGAAAATTGCTTGCATGACGATGAGTAGCGCGACTTCAATAAGAAGCATGAAAAGGTTCAGATGAACAAAGAAATGGAAGAACTATTGGAAAGGAAGGATGGTTGAAGTAGACCCCTTTCTTTAGCCACGCGCGGTTCGCACACTTTTCTCGACCTATCTGTTACATACAGCTTCTTGTGCCGGACTTACTGTACGGAGGGAGTACTTTGGAATACCTCTGTGTCCTCTGTACTCTTCCCCAAAACGAAGTAGAAACACATTTTCCCCCTGTCCAGTGCAGATGATTCCCAGCAATTTCCCCATTTATTAGACGCGCCATAAGCCACCTTACTACTAACGGCATCGCTTCTACAGATTTCTGCAGTGTATGCAGTCAACGGTTCGCTTTTGCATAGCATTAAATTAGGATATCCAGAGCCTGTCGAATCACTATTGTTCAATTTGGGGGCACCTACAGTAGTCTTTTACATGTCGCATACCTCCTGCGCGTCTGAGATTTTGCATCTAATTCGGGAAACATTTTGATCGGAGTGCAGGATCAAGGGATCCCCTTTTGACCATAGGGTTTGTCTATGGTTGACTGATTAGATGGGTGGAACTTCTCATTCGGCCTATTCAGGTTCGTTAAGTGTTCCTGTACGCGGATATGGCTGCAATAATCTATTATTATGGCTGCCACGTTGACTATCTGTTCATCTTAATTCATCTCACTATCAGTCCCAAGTACGGGTAGTACCTAGGTACCGCTTGTCGGAAGAGGTCGTCCAAGGACACAAGGTACATTTTGCGGATTGACGGTACGCTAAAATTCTAGACATGGGCCTCAGAAATGGAGACCTACCTTTCCAAGGTTTAACAAAATCCTTACAGCCAGCGGTGAAAAGCTGCCATGGCTGTCGAATATGAAATTTTTATGTACCGTCGCGATGAGTTGTACATATTGTATAGGCTTATGATAACCTCTCGTTTCCCCCTCCTGCTCTTGATCTCTTTCTCGACCTTTTTCCATCTATCTTTGTTGTTCAATCAGTCAATTGATTCTTTACACTCTTTTTATATACTTTAACACTAATACCATTCTTGCATCTTTATTTCTCACTCATTACTGGACAGTACGACTATACAATAAAGTTAATGCTATTATTTTTACTATTTTCGAAACCAATTACTGCGCAAAGCACTCAACTACCTACAGTATATATATTAAACACTCATTCAGGATAGAAACAGATACGAAGATACAAACACGGGACGAACTACCCACTCACTACTGTCGCAGACATACTACACTCGTTGCATTACTAGCGAAAAAACCACGATTGCGAACAAGCAATAATTCCAAGGAGGACCAAAAGAAGAAAAGAACACGAAAAAGATCATTAACGCGGAAGAAAAAGGAAAGGGATTTGCAAACTTACTTCGACGCATGGAAACACAATATGCGTCTGATTTAGAAGAATTTAGTACGGGATGTCAAATTCTCCTCCAAGAAGGCCTTTACATACAAGGTATGCGCAAATTTAGTACCTTTATCCTATCTTCATCCAAAATAGTTTCCCTCAGCTTAATTGGCATTTCGCTCACTTATCGCGAAAAGATCAGACTCGGAGACGAATCGCGCAGCGGCCGTCCGATTGGTTCCACCCGAACCCCCTCAGCTTTTGGGACAACTGGAGGATGACGAAGGAGAACAATCGAATTATGATCATGAATATGGTTTCAATAAGAATGATGATGACAAAATTTATTCACAAACTCCTCTTCCCACCCAGCCAGCTCATATTCTCTCTCCTGGTCACTCTCCTAGTAAAGGCCAATATTTCTATGGTAGGCAAGGTTCCACCTCAGATTCAGGCGAGTTTCATCAGATGCCCAAAACTCAACCACTGTCAGCCACTCCACAAGGCACGTCCAGTGCAACGCATAACACACCACAAATTACCACTCCTGCGACAATATCCTCCAGGAAGCCTAGACCCCAGTCAAGAAAGCGCCTTGTCGTCAAGGTTGGCGATGGGAAGACATTTTCTCTCGTACCGCATAATGAGCCCCTACCCAACGACGACAGTAGATTGCCTTCCCTATCCACTAAAACATCCTCCTCCTCGGTGCAAGATTTCGATCAGTCTATCATCTCATGCACAAATACAGACTCCACATACACAGCCGCACCTAGTACGGCGACACCTAGAAAGTCAATATCCGCAGATCATATAAGCTGTTCCTCCTCGGAGTTCTCGATTGTGGGTGGTGTTAGAAAAGTACCCAAGACTCCAGACCAAAAAGGAAAATCTCCAGCGTTCGACTTCCCACTCCCTCCTTTGCCTGAAACCTCGCAAGAGCGTAACTCACACGAACTCTCTACAAAACCGTCATTCCTTTCAACAACCTCGACTGCAACTGAGGCCACTAATTGGAAAGTTTATAGTAATATTCCGGAATCGACTTACGAGTCTGTGTTTGCTACAACCCCCACTGAGCCTAATTTTGAAGTTCTCGATCAATCCGTTCTTGAACAGTCCACTCCTTCAACAACTATCCATCATCTGCGCGAAGAGTCAATTCAGGAGTCTCTTCAAGAGTCTACGGGAACCGTTATCCATCGACCCCAAACATCGCAAACATACCAAACTTCATCTGCGAGTAACTCTGATAATTCCAACTATCAACTTCACGAAGAATCTATTTCAGGCTCAGTCATCTACAGACCACAGCATCGTCCTCAGCTGTCTACTAGCACTTCCGGCTACTCGACTTCGAATTATCCGAACTCAAACTACCAGATACATGAGCCAGACACTCCAACCTCAGTAGTCTTCAGACCCCAACATCGACCCCAATTATCTACAAGCACAACCGGGGATAATACTAATTACGAAGTTCATCGTGGCCATACCCGGGACCGCTCCGAATCACTCGCCGATTCCTTTCTCGAAGCGTCATTTTCAAGTGGCTCCAATTACCGCGTACATAATCAATCTGACAAAGAGTCAACCGCTTCATCTGTTGTCCGTAGACCTAGAGCCCGAGCAGCGACCACTTCGTCTAGTGAACAGGAAAATTACGTTTTCCACGAAGAACTTTCGAGATCCGTATCTCTCTCGAGCGGACAAGGTCCAGCACCCAAATATTCCCAAGAATCTCTCCGTATTCCTGGGTTAAGAACCAAGAAAAGGTCGAATGATAATTTCGGTTACTACAAGTCAAGATCGCGAGAGACGTTGAAATCAATATCAAATCACTCGTTACACAGTCGAGCTAATTCTCTAGCATCGTTATCAACAATCCATACTCAGCCCGACGCACAACGAGCAATTGTGGCGAGCGGATCAATAGTTAATTTACCCGCACAAATCCAACTTCAGAAACCAAAAGGATTGAGTTCATGGGCAGAGTTGCCAAGTTCCACGAGTCCCCATATGAACGAGGCTCCGCATCAATGGAGCTCACAGCTTTCCACTGTGCTCTCCGTCTCCGAAGGGACCGGCACCGAACGAGGTTCCCGAGCTTGGTCCGACAGTATGGGAAGAAGGAGCAGTATATTTCCTAGTCTACCAAGTCGCGGCAGTCGCAATGTTCTCAGTATCAGTTCATCTCAAGGGATAGAAGATGCGTTGGCAAGATCCAGAAGCGATTCAATGGATCCCCCACGTCCGACATGGACACGCACGGGTCGAGGTTTGAGCAGTTCGTCTATTCCTGTGATAGGTGATTACGACGAATATGGCGATGGAATTACCGCCATGCAAGACATGCGCACTCGTCCATCCAGGAACAGATTATCCGGCATGTTCAACACCGGAGCATCCGATACCTCCCGTACGCACACCATGCGCTCGTCGATAAGTTCACGCTCCAACAGTCTCCTCGCAAACTCGATTCCCACCTGGGCAAGGCTCTACTATGGAAGCGGAGAACGTCGCTATCTAGGCTACAGACCCGAGAGTTCCAATGGCGGAACGCCAAGTCGCAACGGCTCCTTCAGCATGAGAAGCGGATCCCCAAATACAGAGAATTTCCCAGATGAGCTCCATAGCCCGCGTCGTCGCCCACGAGAAGGCCATCCACATATGCGAGGTTTCTCTCAACAATCTATGGAAATCACCCCCTTACCCAGCTCAGCCCAAGGTGCCGGCCGTCTAAGAACTCGATCCCTCATTTCCAGCGTCTGGTCTCCACATTTGCGCATCGACCGTCGCGCAGGCCGTCAATCCGCCTGGGAACCACCTCAAATCAATTTCTCCACCGAGGGTGGATTTTTCGGCCGTCGAAATATCCAAGTCGTTCTCTTCATCGCCGGATTCCTTCTCCCTTTTTCCTGGATGATCGCCGCTCTTCTTCCTCTCCCCAAAATGCCCTTTTCTGAGATGCGCGAGCGCGGAGACAGCACCGGAGATCTGACGGAGCCCCATGATGTGGAAAATCGCGGCGTGAATGATTATGCGAGGCAATTTGGGCCGTTGGACGAGGCCCGGTACGAGAGTGCTAGATGGTGGAGAAATCTCAATCGATGGATGAGCGTGGTGGGTTTAGTGATTATTGTTGTTGTTGTAAGTTTTCTCCTTTTTCGCATCCACTTTTGTGTGTGTTTCTTTCAAGTGCGAATTGCAGGCTAATATAAATACTAGATCGTTCTCGCTATCGAAGGAACTCAAAAGGGATGGTGAATCTCTCTAATTCCCCCAACATAATCTCCACATCCACCACCTTACCTCCTCTCCACCTCTTCTCACCTCTTCTCAACACACCCGGTAACGAACAATCAACGAAACCCATATATAGATTAACGACCCTCTACATATGAGACACCCCCCAACCCCTCAAAATAATGATTCCAACGACCAAATTTTGACATTACGACTTTCCCAGTGGTTAATTACCTAAGGTCTAGACTTCTTTTGATTCTTTTTTATTTTTTTACCTTTCAACTTTTTAGCGCGCAAAAGGAGAATATTTATATTCATAGTATATTATATTAGCATTATACCCTTTCTTATGGAAAGAAAAGCTTTGGTTACGTATGTATGCATTATGCATGATGGATAGATGGATGCATGGATGGATGTTGTGTGGTGGGATAATTTTTATTTTTGATGATGGAAAAAATGCATAGCATAGGATGGGACTGGATAGTACATGTAATGCGATGGCGATGATGGTGATGATGGCGCTATGTATGCTTGTATATATTGATTGATGGGTGGATGGATGCATGTCGGATTGACTGATTGATCAATCGATGGAAAGAAGGAAGGAAAGAAAGAAAGAAAGAGATATAATGTTTCATGATAAGCATCATCATATTGTTTACATGTTTTGATATGTGTTTATATTGTGAATATCTCGTAATGCGCACGCAAGGTATATTGATTCCGCCGTCTAACATCTATAAATCTGTGAGGGTCTCGGGAATTGCACAGATACCCATCCTTACATCCTTCTACGTTTCCTTACTTCAACTCTACCTTACTCTTTCTCTTCCTCGCTTGAATCTCCGCCATCGCCTCTTCAATCGCCTCGTCCAAGTCTTTCGATGGATCAGCTGGTAAACCCAGAACTGGTTCCTTACCGTTCAAACTTTCCATACTGGCCGAACGCTTCAACCCTTCGTTTGCCTTGCTAGTTCTCTCACTCACCATCTTCATCAAATGCCGCTTAGCAGGTGAAGCAAAGAAAACGGTTGAAAGGATGGTGCCGATGACAGCGTAGAAATAGACGCGTGACCAGACGAGGAATGAAGCGGGGAGAGTGAGGAGTATAAATGGAGCGACTGTAAAGGAAAATGCGAGTTGAGTGGCTAGCCAGGAGAAAATGTCATAGTAAAGTTTTTGAGATGTGGGTTGTGATGTTTGAGGGTCGATGAAAAAGGGACGGAAACATCGTCGGAAGTCTAAATGGATTTTTAGTCATGGAATCAATATAGGGGAAAGGGAACATACTCTTTGCAACCGTCTGGATAAAACTGGCCAAAATGAACGCAAGATAATAACCAGGAAAGAATCCATGCCAGAAAGCACTGGTTACGAAGGTTGCCATACTAGCTCTGAAACCAGGCTTTTTACCCTTCGGAGTAACTCGAAGATAAATATAGTTTCGAAGCCAATTGTTCGTGTTTATATTCCAGTTCCCAAGATATGCGCGAGTATTTTGTGCTGTTTCAACTCCCCATGGGTCAACATTGCGAAGTCTGTCCCAAGAGACTTTGCCAGTGACTGGATCGATACCCTTGTACCCGAGACCTGAGAGGATACATGCACCCTCGGTCAATGCCCACACACCATAATACTTCAACCGGGCAGTCATACCGACCATGTGAAGTACAAATACACGACGAGCAAAGCCATAAGTCATATATTCATCCCCAATCAAGAGATCAGGCCAGTACCATGCCGAGAGCTTTAGGAAAAGAAGAATCCAAGACAAACCTGCGGCAGCTTTCCACATTGCGGGAGTAGCACTCCTTGGGATTTTTCTCAACTTCCGAGTTGGGGCCTTCTTTGAAGGATCGACACCAGCAGGGACCTCGAACATTGTGGTTGTAATCCACTGCTTATAATCGACATAGTCGAACGCCGGACCAGCGAAAAGAGATGGAAAGAAGAGAACATATCCAGCGTAATCCAGTAAGCTTGGAAGTTGTCTGATTGCCCTTTCTTTTTGAAACTCTGACAATTCCTCCTCTGGTTGTCGACCGTCTGCAACGTTCCAGCAGAATGCAGAGAGTTTCATAACCAAAACCATTTGAGCACCAGTAATATCCACAAGTCCTGGATCATTAACGAATTGTCGAGCCAGCTGGTTCACTGACAAATGTCCCATCAAAAACACGAAGCCAATCCATGGCATAAAAGGACCTTGCACATACTTTGCGATGCAGTATGCCCCGATAGAACTAATGGCCAGTGTCCTTGTACCAGCCCATAAATCGAAGAGTCCAAGAAGGTAAAATGAGGAAACCCTGACGGCAAATCCATTAGTAAAAATAGACGGAAATTTGCTATATAGGTAATTTACGTACCCAATAATGAAGAGATTCTTTAAGGCAGGCTTTGAGTCTGGAAGTCGTTTCAAGAGTCCTGCAAATGGATACGACAGGAGGAAGGAAGTGATGAGTTTCACTGTCTGATATTAGGACTGAGTTCAAATCCTAGATATGAAGCCCAAATTGCTGGTTTTAATACATACATTCATCGGTCGTAGCCCCCAGAATGCCCGCGGCATATGTAAAAGCTGCATAGGTATATGTCAGCAACCTACGTCACAGATCTTTGATGTAGAGCCTTACGAGTATCGATATATGGCAACATTGTTGGCGATGGAGAGTTTCAATGTACTAGAAGACAAGTGAAGGTATTAAAAGCTATCGTTTCTCCATCAGTGAATTTGGAATTGTGTCTTTAGCAAAAAGGGAACAAATGCTAGGATCTTCTGAACTTCCTTGGTACTATTTTTTATTTACTCGCAATTGAATCATCAATTCATTCTGGTGGCGTCCACGTGACAGCTGTCCCCTACCCCAAAGCTGATCATCCATAGCTTGTTTCTGCGGGGCGGATAATGCCAGGATGACCGAGCCTCGCTCCTGAGCCTTGCTTCCTCTGCCTCGTCTAGAACATCTAAATAGCTAAAATTACCTACATGCAAACCACGTTGCCTTTTCAAAGCCTCTTTCCAGTACCAACGGCAAATATACACGAAAGGTGTATTGGCGACCTATACAGTACCTTGCGATATCGATAATCTACAATTCGTAGTGTGATACGGTACGAGACGAGACGAGACGAGATATGCTTATGCGACATTAATACCTTCCAAACTCTCTCGCCATAACCTATAAATAATAAGCACGATGGATGTCGTTCAAGCTGTGTCGGGGTATATCTCGAAGATGGTGTCTGCAGGAGATGGAACTTCTGGGACACCATCTGCGAAGATGAAGGTCCTATTACTGGATAGTGATACCGTGTCCATTGTTTCCACAGCAATCACACAATCGGCGCTTCTGAATCACGAAGTATACCTTATAGACCGGTTGGATAATCAAAACAGGGAGAAAATGCGCCATCTAAAATGCCTATGCTTTGTTCGGCCTTCGGCAGATTCTATACAATTCCTAGTTGACGAATTTCGAGATCCCAAATATGGCGAATACAATGTATACTTCAGTAATGTGGTAAAGAAATCATCCCTGGAGCGATTAGCAGAAGCAGATGATCATGAAGTGGTCAAATTGGTCCAGGAACACTTTGCAGATTATATTGTTGTGAATCCGGATTTATTTACATTTGATCTCGGATTTCCAAAGCAACGAATATGGAGTGCCAATCCGGACATGTGGAATCCAGATGCATTACAGCGTACTACCGAAGGACTCATTGCGGTTTTACTATCTTTGAAGAAGAAACCCCTTATTCGGTACGAGAAAAACAGTTTATTGGCGAAGAAGCTGGCTACAGAAGTACGGTATCAAATTGCTCAGGAGGATCATTTGTTCGATTTCAGGAAAGTGGATACTCCTCCTATATTGTTGATATTGGATCGAAGGGATGACCCTATAACACCGCTCTTGACACAATGGACATACCAGGCAATGGTTCATGAACTTCTTGGAATAAAGAATGGGAGAGTTGACCTTAGCGAGGTACCAGACATTCGACCTGAGTTGAAAGAAGTGGTGTTATCTCAAGACCAGGACCCATTCTTCAAGAAGAACATGTACCTCAATTTTGGTGATCTTGGTGGTAATATCAAAGATTATGTCGAGCAGTATCAATCAAGAACAAAAAATAGCTCCAATATTGAGTCTATAGCTGACATGAAGCGCTTCATCGAAGAATATCCCGAATTCCGCAAACTTTCCGGCAATGTCAGCAAACACGTTACTCTTGTTGGTGAGTTAAGCAGAATTGTTGGTTCAGAAAATCTATTAGAAGTCAGTGAAGTTGAGCAGAGCTTGGCATGTAATGATGCTCACGCCAGTGATCTAAAAGTGAGTTACATATTAAAGCTTTATATCAGTGGTCTCTTGCTAAAACATATTTTAGAACGTGCAGAGATTAATCCAGTCTCCGACTGTAACTCCCGATAACAAGCTGAGGCTCGTTGCTCTGTACTCACTTCGATATGAAAAACACCCTTCAAATGCATTACCAATCCTTGTTGACCTCCTTGGCGCAGCTGGGAACGTTCCTCAAAGACGAATCGACCTCGTAGCGAAGCTCCTTATTTACCATTCTTCCTTGCAACTGAACCAATCTACAGGAGGAATTTCTGACATGTTCGAATCCTCGAACATATTTTCTGGAGCTCGGGATCGATTTAAGGGACTGAAAGGTGTAGAAAATGTCTACACACAGCATTCGCCACGACTTGAATTAACGCTCCAAGATCTAATTAAAGGAAAACTGCGTGATCAGCAATATCCTTTCGTTGAAGGTGGAGGAACGACCCGAGATAAGCCCCAGGATATTGTAGTTTTTATCATTGGTGGGGCCACTTTTGAAGAGGCGAAATGCATATCTCAAATAAATGCCTCTTCACCTGGTATCAGAGTGGTTTTAGGAGGTACTTCGATTCATAACAGCACGACCTTCTTGGAAGAAGTGGAAGATGCTGTATCCTTATGGCCTGAACCTGCTCCGTCGACTGCTGCTGGAAGGTTACGAAAAGAGACAGGAAGACGTTGAACAAGGAGTCTAAGAATTTTGGCGAGTGGATAGTTCGGACATTGTTTATTTAAGGAGGTTTCACGCGATCAATCACCAGTCATTTCGACACACAAAAATATCCTTTAGTCCTTGACAACACAATTTTGGCAGGAAGTTCCCTGTTTATTTTGTCAGAGGTTGGGCTTGTTGTCTTTTTAAATATTGATCAACATGGTCGCATCATCAGCCAGAGGCCAGCAAAGGCTCGACAGTGCATTTAGTAGATGCTATTAAGATGACCCTTGAAAGCCTATGATCATATCCAGAAAGATATCCTCCAGGGCTCATTAATACCCCATAACTGTTACTACTATGCGTTCCCCTGTAGATAGGTGCTCGCTGACATGTCATTGTCCCAACTTGGTCTACAAGCACAAGATTGGTTAGGAGGTTTCAAGTGAGAAGTCCGAAGATAGTTTGGCCCTTGGAAAATGCGATGAGATAGCGCATTACTTATCGCTATCTAGGCGCATGGGGTGAGGGGCTCTGGAAGGCGGGGAAAGGGCCCCATACTTATTGGATGTGATTTGAGGAAGGGCAATCTGTTGTCTAAGTTGATGACGAAAGATGGAGGTAGCTTATCACAATCTTTGGCTGGGGAGATGGCCGAGCCATTGTGAACCAACCACAAAAACTACGAACGCCAAAGGAGAGAAGTTAAATAGAAGTCAAGGGAGAAGCATCTTTGAATTTATGGCTATAATTAACTACCAAAAATGTATTAAACAGCGCTCCACGGACGAAATTTACAGGTAGCGCAAATAATAAATACATATCATTCCCGTCTCCAGACATGATTAATTATATACATATCCCCACACATATCTCCTACTGACTCTTCTGCTTCCTCCTCTTTTCCTCCGCCTTATACCTAAACCCATGCGCTACAAGCATGTAATTACCAAAAAATTCCTCGGCAAAATCATCAAATTTCACGTATTCGGCTCCTAGCCTATAGGCGGCTGCTATGCCTGATACAAGGGCTAGTTCGTGCATATTCTGTTGGTTATTGATGCATTATTAGTATTGTGCTGCAAATATTCCATCCTTTTCTTTCTCGGAACCAAAATTCGATGCCTTTTTTGCACAAAGGTTGAAGAAAAGAGGTTGTGAAGTGAAGAATATATATAAGAAAGGAAAGAAAAGGAAGGGCAGAAAAAGAAGCGAAAAGAAAGAACATACAACCAAAGTCCAACTCCCAGCAAACCAAGTACGATTTTTCCCATTAATCCACATCATACCCGGCACGACACGGGCATAATGTTGCCAGCGATGTCCAAGCTGATGCCACCATTTCTTCTGGATGATTTTATCGGGGGATATCTCGTCGATGGTCCAGGCGTCGCGGTTGGAGGCGTCGAGGAAGATGGATTGGAAGACGTGTTGTTTATAAGGTATGGGTGCGGTCTCGGAGGCGTGGTCGCGTCGGAATTGGTGTTGGTAGTTTGTGCAGCTGGAGGAGGGGGGTTAGTTGGGGGGGCTATTGGGAAGGATAGGGAGGGGGGGTATGGGAGGGAGGGAAGGGGATAGAAAGGGGGATTGAAACGTACTCGAAAGACATTTCGATTTTGGTAGGGTCGTGGGCGTAGGATTTTGTGTAATACATGGGTCGGTAACCACTTGGTTCATTATCGACACCGCGTTGTTCGCCTTTCGAAAAAGCGATTTGGTCTTTTTGAGCGCGGGATTTTGGTTCAGCGCAGAGAGAGGGGTCGAATTCAGTTTCGTAGTGTTTGCGGAAATATTCATGGTCGGAGCTAGGAGTTTGTTAGCGGATGTCAGTGGTGGTAGAATGTGAGGTGGGTGAGGAACGAGGATAGGAAGTGACCTACTGGGTTATTGTTATGTCGTCGTAGAATCTTGTTATGGTGGTTAGTTCATGAGCTTTTATGGAAATGAGATGAGTACAACTTACCTGGCACCTCCAAGCACGAATTTCTCCTTTAAAGTGGCGGTCCTACCAAGAATTTTGAGTGCATCATCTGCTAATACACACATCACCAATTCATCGAATGTTTCTGTCTTTGAGGTTGGCCCTGTATGTTTTCCCTTCCTATCATTTGCATCAGGATTAAACGGCCGCGTGCTCATCACAACACCCTTTGCATCTCGCTGAATAATCTCCGTAACATCAGTTCGAAGGCGAATATCAACACCTTTCGATTCGAGATCTTTCCTCCAATCTTCGTAAAAATTGTGCAGGTTGGGAAATGTCAACATTTGAGGTAAGTTTGGTAAAAGCGTATCTGGATCATAGTCCCAAAGTTTCATATTCTTGTCATCAAATAAACGCTCTAATATGGCGCAAGATACATTGGCGGTTTGGTTGCCCGTACCGAGGAACAGAGCGATCAGAGGATAAACCATCTTATCACCAAAATCTTTGCTGAAAAAGAACATCTTGAGCATGATTCGAATAGGAATTACACCTATTACAGGCATCGTCCACTTGATAATCTTCAACACTTTTCCGAATTTCTTGATATCGCTCGAGAAGCGTTCCACAAGATGACTCGGGAAACAGTTGGTCCAGAATCCATCTTTGCCTTTTCCGAATGCGACTTGGAGTTTGATACCTTGAGCTTCATGACCATATCGTTTGAAGAACTCGCAGGTATGTTTGAAAATAGGTGAGCCACCTTGGACACCATCATTCATCCAGTCAGTGCCAAATTTATCTTTGTCTAGAGATATGGATGTTGCTTGACCTCCTGTTACACCCATCCGTTCAATCATGGTGACTTTGAATTTTTCGGGATGCTGAGCAAGCGTGCTAGCACAAGCCATTCCTGCAGCCCCAGCTCCAATTATCACAATATGCTTCCTCTGGTCGGTTGAGGCCATATTGAAATGATGTGGCGGAAGTAAAAATGACAGCAATAGTTGGCTCAAGAGGACTTCTCTTTCGCAACTTGAGTGAATTATTGAATTAACAGATTATGATGAAAACAGCAGATAATTATGGAAAAATGGAAAAGATTCTTTGCATCTGGGATCTTTGACGCCACTATAAGAGTATTTTTGTTGATATTTGTTTGAAGCTTCAACACTTCAACCACCATTCATAGACGTCATGATTCATGAAGCTTCCCCACTCAATCCTAATAATCCAACCTTAGACATGGAGAACTCAAAAGTCTATTATTTATTAGTCTCAAAGTTATCAACTTCAATAACTTGAATCAAATATCACGAGTCTTCTTAATACGGCCTAATCGTAAGCTGCGTTTCGGGTCGTGCTGAATGCACTATTCAAGTAATCTATACTCACTCGACTCCGCTTTCAGATGTATTTATTGGATATTTGTGTTTGCTGCATATGCCCCGCCAAGTGGAGCTCTACAAATCTTCACCATTTCTGACACTGGCTGAAGGACACAATCAGGTTCAAGTGTAGCAAACAAACGTAGGAATGCGTTTACAGTTTCATGTCAAGTCGATATAAATAAGAAGGTTTGACCTTCATATATTTCCTTACGCTATTGTTTATCGTTCTGCATTGCTTATCGAGATCGTGACGCCTACCGATCGCACGATAAGCTAGTACGTACTTGTACTTGTAAAGTTTCTGCCGGTAGTTTCACCGCTTTTACATCTGACATTGATAAGTGCAACTTGATAAGTGCGCATCAACCAACGGTTATTAATCTGATAATCTCTTGTTAATGGTACGTAATTTTCATACCATCCGGCCGTTAAACCAATGTTACCTCTTTGATAATGAACGTGTATATGTGAGTACCTATGGAATTGCCAATACGCTGAGCTGGATAAGGTTATCTAATAAATTGCGGGGAGGATGCTGCAGACACCACTGAGTACTTGGCAAAATGAAGCTTTCTGCAGCTAGGTACGAGCAAATTACCTTCCCAATCCGTGATGTCTGTCGTTAAAAGCTGCATGAGTGACAATTAGGTCCCTCACAAGTTTATAACCTCAAAGTTGACCAACACAATCGTATCCACGTGCTGCGATGTGGTGGTTATCATGAATTGGTAGGTCTATCTTTATTCAGACATATAAGTATTGTTCACTCCCTTCTGCATGTTACCTGCCACCCACATGTCTCACAGGATTTGCGTCTTTCCTCTGTCAAAATGTACTTCCCGGTAGTTTTGACTACTTTATCACTGTTGTCAGTCACAACTGCACATAAAGGCCATAAACGGCGGTCCGTCCCGTCAAGTCCTCAAGCATTGAACAAAACAATCACAAATACAATTCCAAATGCTGCTGGAGGGCCAACCCTTTACTACAACGGTACTGGTCCTGTACCTTCTTATAATGAGACCTCTCCTATTCCAGCCCCATTGCCTACGCTAAGGTATGATTATCTATCCCTTTCTTGTATCAGCGCTAACTACCACTAGCAAGCAGGAGATCGAAGATAATATCTTCAATGAGATCCAAGGAATTGTTAATGGAAATGGACTCACTACGGAATGCTCAAAATGCATTGCCGGCACTGAGGTAATGCATCTTGCAGCTATCATGCAACCCGTGGATACCATTGTGAACCTTCTTATTCGTGCCTGTGAAACCTTTCCAAAAGTCTACGACAGCATCTACGCAGAGACCTGTTATGAGGAATACTCTGGAATCGGTGGAACTGGTCCGTATCTTGCTCAATTATTTGCCAAAATGAGCATGGCTACCGGTGATATGCAAGGTTACTGTTTTCATGTTTGGGACACTTGTAGCTTACCTCCAACCATACTTATCGATGAATCGGCATACTTTAAACCAAAACCAGCCAATAAGAGAGTGGCCCCTCAACCATCTAGTAAGTTCTATCAGTCCGTCAATCCTCGGTATATTAATTCTAATTAATTACTCAACAGACAAGACCATTGATGTTTTACATCTCTCGGATTGGCATTTGGATACACGATATGATATTGGTAGTGAAGCCGATTGCTCGCAATATATGTGTTGTAGACCATATTCAACAAATAACGTACTTAATACGACGAGTACTAACCCATCCATGCCGGCGTCTCGGTTTGGATACTTTTACTGCGATGCTCCTCCTGATTTAGCTCTTTCAGCATTTTCAACCATGGACCAGTTCATCAACAGATCTAACGTGGCGTTCACAATATTTACTGGTGATATTGTGAGCCACGATAACGACGACCAAATAAGTAGAGCTTACGTAGAGTATGAAGAGACGGTTACCTACCAGACCTTCAAGGCTCAAATGAAAAATAGCCCTATCTACGCTACTCTAGGAAATCATGATTCCCTCCCGGAAGCTTTGAATACCCCAAATTCCATCAACAACTCTACAGGACAATCAAATGTGTTTTCTTGGAACTACAATTTATTGTCCAGCCTATGGCTTGACAATGGGTGGATTGACAGTAAAGCGGCTCAGTATGCCTCAAGTCATTATGGTGCATATGCCACCGTCACGCCTCAAGGTTTAAAGATTATCTCTATCAATACGGACTTTTGGTACACGGACAATATCTTCAACTTCTTCAACATGACAAATCCGGACACTTCTGGAATTCTCACCTTTCTTGCTAACGAGCTCCAAAAATCGGAAGATATTGATCAACGTGTTTGGATCATTGGACATGTTCTTCCCGGATATGACGGCTCTCAAGCACTTCCAAACCCAACAGCTTTATTCTATAGTATTGTTGCTAGGTTTTCGCCAGCAACAATCGCGGGAATATTCTTTGGCCATACACACGAAGAACAGCTTATGATCTATTATGATTACCTGCCAAACTCGACAATCTCTAGCAATACAAATTCGATCATGCGTGACACCACCCTGGTTGATTACAACAATCCTCTCCAGGTTGGATATGTCGGCCCTTCCATCACCCCTCTCAGCGGGAACAATGCTGGGTGGGTCAACCTTCAGGTCGATGCTTCAACTTTCTCTGTCGTTAATGCTCAGACTTACTTCGCTAATATGTCCAATGCCAACTTATGGACAACCCCCATATGGGAATTTGAGTATGATAAGCGCCAAATATACGACCCCAATGCAACTTGGCCTTCCAATGCTCCTTTAGATGGCGCTTTTTGGCATGGAGTAACGGAAAACATGTTGGCAAACAATTCTTTGGTGGAAGTTTATAATTTCCTTGAAACAAAAAGTTCTGCGGTGACAAAAAGTTGTAGCACGGCAGCTTGTGCAAAACAAAAGGTTTGCTATCTGAGAAGCGGAAGTGGGACTTTGGGATATGCTTGCCCTTACAAAGATGGCCCTTTTTGAGTGAATTTCCAATTTATGGGCTTTAAATATATACACAGCATAATGCAATTATCGGTATATTTCCCATAGGTTATCATCACTTCCTTGCAGCAATAACTTTTGAGCTTTAACTCGTCGGTAACCTCTAGCTAGCCGAGTAGCCGAGTACGCGTAGCATCATATTCTTCCGCCGTCGCTGCATGCGGTTAGTATCGTGAAAAACTACAACATGCGTTAAATACCAATCTCAGTTATAATATGTATAAGTGATCTTAAACATCTTGATTGTAACTATCATCAATTTCTCTCTATGAACAGATACCCGGATACTAGTCCAGACCCTGAATAACGCCTTGCAAGGGGCATATGGCGATCAAAATTGGCCCTACCCCATGTCTTTCAGTCGTCTTATTAAGCAAGTTGATCCAATTATATCCGAACAATAACTTTAACCAAATTACTCACCTTCTTTTCATCCAACAACTAAAATTGTCGTTTCTCAATCTATCCTCACGATAAGCAGAGGGCAATTGAGAAATAAACAATGTTTCCCCACGAAGAAGGAGACGAACGCGAAATAAATGAACGCGAACCCCTTCTCGCGCCTCTCACCGAACCGACTGCAATTTGTAACGCCTTGATCACGGGATCGCAAGTATTTAAATCCTCAGATCTAGATCCAGATCATGAAGCAGAAGGAAGAGAACGAGCAGAAAATGAAGATGATGACGATACTCCTCTTCCCCTAGGACAAATCTTCAGTCTCTGCTATGTTCGACTCGTGGAACCCATTGCATTTTACTCCATCTTTGCTTTTCTCAATCAGATGTTGTGGGAGATTGGAGATATAGGAAAGGGAGAAGTGGGGTTTTACTCGGGTGTGATTGTATGTTTTTATTCTTTCCTTATTTTTTCTTAAGGAGGGACGGTACGGATGATTGAAGGTGTGAATAGAAGTTAATCAAGATATAGGAATCATTATTTTCCATCACAGAAATGACACTCATGGTCCACTGGGGACGCGCTTCGGATAAATTCGGTCGTAAACCCATCATGATCGCTTCGCTTCTGGGAATCTCGCTCGCGACTGGGGTTTTTGGATTCGGGAGGGGTATTTGGCAATTGGTTATTTTTCGATGTGTTGCAGGACTTTTCGCTGGGACAATCGTGTGAGTAGTTTTCATATAGTTTTGTTTTTGTATCGTATCATGAGGTACTTGGCTAACTGATACAAAAGCACCGTTCGAACGATGATTTCAGAAAACAGTACTAAGAAAACTCAAGCAAGAGCTTTTAGTTATTTTTCCGTCGCTGGAAACATGGGAATACTTATTGGACCTTTGATAGGTAACTCTTCAATATCCACGTACAAGGAGATCAGCTCAATAACTGACCGTCTCAAGGTGGTGCGCTCTCAGAACCAGCAAAACAATATCCATCTCTGTTTAGCGGTATCAGATTTTTCGAAGAATTTCCTTTTGCGCTTCCTACCATCTGTACTGGATTATTTGCCTTGAGTGCAGCGTTTATTGCTATGTTTTTAATTAAAGAGGTCAGTTATATATCTACCTAATGATTTATCAGAATCATGTGGAGGATTATAAAAGTATTGACCAGATATCAGACACTGGGAAAAAAGTCCTTTCAAAAAGTAGGAGCACATGATGGAATGACTACGCGAGAACTTCTGAACTATCCGGGCGTGGCAAGATGTGTTTATATCTACTGTCATCTAAGTCTCATGAGCACAGTCTATACATCTGGTTTGTCTCACTCTACCCTTTTCCTCTAAGTGCTCTTCACCTATTTCCATTGCTCACTAAACCCCTCCATCTTTTAGTTCTCCCAGTCTTCTGGTTCACACCTATCTCTTTGGGCGGCCTCGGTTTCACACCTCTTCGCATATCTCTCTTCATGGCGCTCACCGGTTGCTCCCAAGCTTTCTGGATGATCGTAGTTTTTCCTCCCCTACATAAACGTATCGGAACCATCGGTATCCTACGCGCATGTGCTTTTTTCTGGCCAGTCCTCTTTAGCTTTTGTCCTTTTGCAAATTTCATGTTGAGGATGGGTTGGGAGACGGCGTTTTGGATCGTGTATCCGTTAAGTATTGCTTTGGGGGTGGGTGTTAGTATGGCGTTTAGTAAGTCTTGTGTTTCTTTCTCTCACTTCTGGTTTCCTCTAACCCCATGTCCTTATCTCACCAAACCCCTAAACCAAATAAACTAACACTCCCCACCAGCCTGCGGCCAACTAGCCCTAAACGACATCGCGCCCTCCTCCCAAACGCTCGGCACCCTCAACAGCATCGCACTCGCCGTAACAAGCGGTACCCGTGCATTCGTACCCGCTCTTTTCACCGTTATCTTCGCATATGGAGTTACGCATCAGATTCTCTGGGGATATTTTATTTGGGTTTTTGAAGTGTTAGTTGCGCTGGGATTGGTTATTGCGGTGCCATTTTTGCCAAAAGAGGCGCATGGGAGGGGGAAGATCTGATGAGGATATGAAATTGGAGGAGGGAGAGAAGAAGAAAGCGGAAGGTGGGTTGACCTTGGGTATGGAGATGTGGGATAGAGAATGGATAGATGGATGGATGGATGGATAAATAGATAGATAGATGAATCTGGGAGGAAAAATTATAGAGTTGGATATTATAGATCCTATAGATTTTGTAAGGAATTGTCTAGGAACTCACTAAGCATTAGTAAGGTACATAATAAAATATATCAGTGAAGCTTGTGTCAGACCAGCTCATTTTTGATAAATGTGAATACTGATAATTCTAATAATATCATTTTCAATCCGTGAATTACCATGATGAAATATATGAACATATATCTCCAATTCATTCAGACCCACATCATATCATATCATTCATGTCATTCATCTCCAACCATACCATCCATCTTCACGCAATCCAATCAATGAATCCACAAATCAAACCAAACTACTAGGTAAAGCTGAGCCTACTTCCAAATATTCAGATGGTAAATTCCCGGATCTAGAGACTGAGTGTGAGTTCTGCAAATATCTATCTTATTCAATCAACCAACCAATTATCTGTCATCCCTCCCAAATGTGGCTTCGCATCTTATCCCATTTCTAAATACCTACCTAGTACCTACCCACAAACGAATACGAGGTAAATTGTAATTAATGAAATAAACAAAACAAAACATCAAACAGCCTCTCAACTCAAAATCCCAGCCCCCTTTGATTTTTATTTGCATCTGTTTCGCCTCTTCGCTTGTTCCATCTGTGGCTTTGAATAGTTATGTGTTTCAGATATATAAAACAAGCGAATTGATTTGTTTGTTGATTTTTATTATTCACTATTCTCTACCTGTCTTCTAGGTACCTAGGCATTTACTATGAACCATTTACCTCTTCTCGGACTTCGGACTTGTGACTCCGCCTCAAATATTAGTTTGGATTTCGCCTGCCTCGAACTTCGCCTCAAATGTTACCTTGGATTTCGTTTTTATCTTCCATTCTTGTATCTCCATATCGTATCTTCCTTATATATATCCCGGAGTCTCGGAGTCAGGGTAAATAACCCCCTTTCCCTCCCGCCCCGCCCCCCAAAATAAGGGGTGAATATAATCTTGCGATTATTAGATTGTGTGAGGCTTGATAATGTATAACTTCTTTATATTCCGATAGGCTATTGAGAGAATATGCTGAAGGTGTTGTTTGTGTACCTTTGTAGAGATGTTTGATAGATATTGATCTATAGAGGTAAATATATTGTGTTTGTAGTACAAGATTAGAATTATGTCTTCATTTTGATTGGGGAGAAAGGTTTGGGAAAGTGGGATTGCAATTGTTTGGTATTTATGTTAAGGTACCTATAGATAGTAACAAAATATTGGGTTTCTTGAGACCAGAAAGAGCATCAGATTGAATTGATTGATTCTCTAGCTAAGCAGTTAAGCTGCGAGCATATATTCAAAAAATGAAGGAATAGGTTAGGTATTCGGCCTTCGGAATTAAAGTGCTTTGAAATCAAAATATTGAAAGCAAACAAACAGTATACCAAAAAGGAAAGAATAAATTAAAAGTTGAGTTTTGTTTGCTCCTTATATGCATCATGCAATATACATGCATATGCTGCCAAGATCCCAGGAGGTCAACACAAAAGTATGAAAAGTATGATGAAGATTGGAGTACAAAAAATATACCTTTTAAGACGCAAACCGAAGTCGTTACAAACATTATCTAGCTAGTCAGATAAATGGATAACTGGAAATATACAGTTGATCTTATAGTGAATAGTCAGGAAAGGTTGCTTGTAATTGGCAACGAATCTTGATATTAACATTTTAGAATGTGATGATAACAATGATGAACTCCTATTTGTTGTGAAGGATTATGATATGATATTAGTTTTATCAATACAAGAAAATGGGTCTATACCTGTTGGCATATCTGTTTAAAAACAGAAATTCAAAAGTGTGTTTCTAAATATAAGAGAGGTTCATGTGTGACTAAGGTCTATATATACTATTCATTCAATGGGGGAATACTAAAAATATTGTATTCAAAGAGGCATTGCATATATTCTTGTCAAATATCATTCAATAATTCTCCTGTTCTTTCATTATTCACACAAATTGAATCAACCTACCCTCTATAAAAGACTATCCCAAACAAAAATAACGTATATAAAATATTCACATTCACATCAAGACACATTATGATATCAAAGAAAAGACCTTGATAGGTTTCAAAATTATGAAACAACAGATATCGGCTCCTTTCAACGCTAAGGCTTGAACTGAGGTGAGTTCAGTCGAGTCACATGAACTCCCTACACGAGTAGGTGAATTGCTCGACCAACGAGTTGTTTATAGCCTCGAGAAGATACTTAAGCTCCGACCTTTTGCTTCCAGAAGAGTCTCTTCAAACCACCACGTTCTTTTAAATTTGCTTCAAATCTTGCATACATTACTGTTTCAACAACTATGTCGTCAAACAAGATGGTGAGAGAACATTCTTAGGGCTTGAAACCCCCATTTGGTATCATGCTAATATATCTTTATAGCTTTGCAATAGGCTGGCTCCCTTGCTTCTTGCTAGAATACTCAGAGCTTCTCCTACGAACACAAAGACAATTAAGCCAACAATTCCACTCATTGAAAAGCATGTAAGAATACTCTAGCAGATTATTCTTCCATACATTTCTGATTTATGATTCACAGTGGTGCACCAAGAGAATTGCTTTTATGTTATTAGATACTGGTATCGAGACAACTGCCGAAGAGATTTCACTGTTGGGTTCATCTCTTCATAGTCCTCATATTCTAACTGTCCAACAAGCGCAAATGACAGTTACCACTGATCAAATACTCGTTTCTATGGATTTGAATGTTCAGTCTCCAATGCTCTCCAACAATATGCTTGAATCGACGGAGGCAGCAGCTATACCACCACCGTGTACCTCTGACAACAAGATTCAAGTACTCTCCTTTGAATTTATGATTCCGGATGGCGAAAATTCACTCAAACCTGAATCAGAGGAAGATATCGGAGCTACTTCACTTACAGAAGAACAGTGTTGTCCATCAGCTTTCATTGATATTCCGCCTTACAAGGGCTCAATGCAACACTTGAATATGCTTGAGTTCAACACTGAAGGCAGGGCAATTGGAGAAAGCTTAGAAAATTCAACCAAGTACACGCAGAAATGTGTGGAATATCACTATGAGTCTTACGAGAAGCAGAACTTAATTTTGGAGAATTCAATGTGTAATGAGTCCTTCCCTGAAGATGGGTGTTGCTTCACAAGATTCCTCGATTTTCCCACAGAAATCCAGTGTCTGACCTGGAATTTTTCCATGGAAGAGGATCGCATTATTGAAGTCCACATCACAAAGCGTTGTTTGACGTGGATGATTGTTTATGCATTTACCGATGCCAAGAATCCAGCAATTCTCAGCGTCTGCCGGGTAGCAAGAGAGCAAGGATTAAAACAATACAAAGCATTATCTGTCGAGAATTCCTGGAGAAGAGACAAGAAGATATATGATGACAGACAACAACTCCTAGGACTTCCATCCGACTTCGTCGGTTCTGGGGCTGCGACGACAAATTCAAATGCTACGTCAACTATGACCGGGATACCATTTCTATCAACAGCAGCCATTTCAGAATCTACAGCGATGCTTTGGACGTTGGGCACAATACTTGGCGCGAGGCCTTCGGATACCAATTTCTAAAAGATCTATTTTATCTGCAGCTGGCGATCGGATTCAAAAGCTTGCTGTGGACTACTTGCTAGCTGAAAAATGGCTCGACAATGGTCGTAACCATTGGCAATACTGTCAAGTGTTGGCAGCAATGCCGCAGCTCCAGAAAATCGCCATCGTCTGGACCGGGCACCATAGTCTTCAGCGGGTAATTCGAAACGAGTGTTGACGCATGAGACAAATCGAAATTCTGCCTGACGAGGTTTTAACGGATGAGGAACGTTACAGTGTGAAGTTTACCCCTGACGGACTTCATCATCGTGTAGTCAAGTTTCATGAGATGGAAGGATTGGGTTCGTATCTCGGAGAGGGATGGATCAGTGAGCGATTTGCTTCTGGCGAAACCTCAACCACTTGGAAGAAGAATATCATGACCGCAATTCAACAGAATCGACCGGTCAATCCGGCCAATTACTCACCAACTTCCTTCCACTTTATTGCAGGTGGAAAATCGAGATATAGAGATCTGGATGACTTGGAATTTACCGAAGTCGCCGTCGAGAGAGAATAACAGACGTGTGTGTGGCTTCGTTCGTATTTAATGGGAGGAATTAATATTGATATGTGTTGGAATGCTAGGAATGACTGGTAAGCGAATGACCGCTGGTGAAATGGATTGGCGTCAATACATAGATGAATCTTGATTGATTTCGCTGGATGGGATGGTTCTGGGTGGAATAGTTTTGAATGGGCTAGGATATTGATGTATTATGGTTAATTTGCTCGGCTTGCGGTACTGATTTTTTTGAATTTGCATGAAAAATGTTTTCATTTAGGGGAGGATGGATTACCTACAAAGTGCTCAACGGAATAGGGCGGTCGGTATAGCAAGTATTTAATGTTTAATTGAATGGGAAATGACATTTAACTGATCTTGATGATGTGAAAGTTAAAATGTGAAGAAGATTGGTGGATCTAGAGTTGTAACTTTGAACTTTCCATACAAAAAGAGATGTAATCCGTTCCATAGACCATGTCTTCCTCACGGTGGGTATGAGACGACATGAAGGTCAAGGCCAACCGACCATCAAATCTTCCCATGGCTTCATCAACAGTTCGATATTATGAATACCTAATAGTACCCAGTATCACATGACTTGTCGGAAAGAAAAGGGTTTTATTTTTTGGCAACTGCTAAATGTGCTGATTAAGCATTCACATGTTGGAATGTCGGAAAATGCGGAAGCGGCACGATATGCAACCACCTATCGGGATTACCGGTACGATTTTCGAAATCTCGGAATTTCAACTTCTTCCTTAAGTCATGCCATTGGTTGTCGGGATTAGTCAGACCTGAAGATCTTCATCCCGCCGGTATTATAATATTAAGGAAGCTCGGAATTCCTCAAACAACAAAACAATTTCTCGCACCATTCTTCATTCAGTTCATCCTCTTGGTTGTGAGGCTATCTTCCCAAGAATGGCGAGCTCCATAGCGTACAGATTGGCTATTGTTGTTGCTTTCATCGCAGTTCTCTATCAGTTTCTTTTCAAGCGCATTATATTCGATGTTGCCGGTTACGGACGCTCCGTATCGACAATCGATGCATTCAATGCAACTTGTGAAAGAATGGACAATCTTGGCATTGAAGCTTGTGAAGATATGTGGCTTCATCATGCCACTGGATACCTATATATGGCCTGTTCCAATGTTGAGAATCGTTTAAACTGGCTCCCGGCGTTCGTACTCTCCTAGGCTTTGTACTCCATCAATGTCTTTTCTTCTCATTGCCATAGTATTTGTTGACTGATTCACCGGGACCTACCACAGTGCTGACCGTCTGAATGCTTCCGGACGAGGTCTAACAGACAAAATCGCTATCTTAGATACCCGAGGAGAAGGCTCTTTAGAGTCTCGGCTTCGGTGGTTGACAACCGAGAATTTCTCTGGCAACAACGGAGAAGGTACCTTTGACCTCCATGGTTTTGACATTCGCCCAGATGCGAAGACTGATACCTTACATATTCTTCTCGTCAATCATCGAATACCAATAGATCCTACCACAGGTGCCCCTCTTGATGCTTTCAGTCTAGGTGCAAATTCTACCATTGAGCTGTTTCATAGCAAAGTTGGAAGTGGTTCTATGAGGCACGTGAGGACATATGCGGATCCCGCAATCCAAACTCCAAATCAAGTGGCCTGGGTAGACGACAATGCTTTCGTATTCTCAAATGATCATAGTGTGAAGGTCGGATTAGTAAGTCTCATAAAATCTCCTATGCAGCTCAACAACAGGCTGACCGAGGCTACAGCGCCGCCACCTTGATCTGTTCCTCGGTGGTGGGAGTATTGGTTACTGCGATTCAAATGTAAATCACTGCAATGTGGCTTACTCTAGTGGACTGGGTGGCCCAAATGGGCTAGTTACGGGGCGTGATGGCCTAATATATGTCCCAAATCCACTTATTCATGAAATCCAGATCTTTTCACTTACCGAGCAGAAGACTCTTCTGAAATTGGACACGGTGCAAACACCATACCTAGTCGATAATTTGAGTGTCGACGAAAATGGAGACCTTATAGCTGGGTCATTTCCCCAAGTCTACAAATGGTCACAAAGTTTGGATGACCGGTCAGTCAAAGTTCCTGGAGCAGCAGTACGAATTCGAAGAAAAGGGGCCAATTTTGAACGCATGATGAGAGAGGGAATAAGAGAAGGGAAAGATCTCGGTAAGAGTACGGATGGCTACGTTGTTGAGACTCTAGTGGAAGATGACGGAACTATTTTGTCTGGAACAACGACCGCCGTCCATGATGCGAGAACGGGAAAGTTATATCTTGGGGGAGTCACGACCCCATTTATTATGACTTGTGAGATGAAGGTCTAAAAAGGTTACATTTTTGAGTCTCGAATGGGTCAAAAGATAGTGAATCTAGTAAAAACTAATTCATCTGACCCTAGTTCTGCTTTTGTGCATCCTTTATTGCTCTATCAATGCTCACTTCCCTCCGATATTTGGCGTCATAGACCGTGACCTCATCAACAAGCCTCTTAATATGCTCTTCTATATCCATTCTCATTTCCATCTCATCTTTCAATCCTCTTCCTTTTGCGCATGTCAGCTTCATTTCACTTCAACTTGTATATCTCAGCCATAATCTCACGCTCGCTTCTCGAGTCTCGAGTGTAACCTCTTTTGAAGCTATTGGGAAGCCATGACTCAATGCGCCTCATAAACTTCTACGACTCTCGTTTCTTGCGTGGCTGTAACATATGCTGATAAGATTCCAACGGATGAACAAGGTGTTTTTGTCAGGGAGAGATATTGTTTGTGCAACACCTGCAGCATTCTGGACTTCTGTCAACCGCAGATAGGGCAAGGTTATCTTCATGGAATTCTTGCATGAACAACCATTGGGTACTTCGCGAATTTAGCCGATGCACCCGATTTCATAACTGTTACGAGGGTAGCCGTCTAGATCACGTGGAAGTGCTCTAGGCTCTCGAGGTGGTTTATAACTAGGCGTCAAGCAGGGACTTAAGTAATGACAATAATGGTATGCAATTTGTAACTAATAGTAGGGTATACTAAATGATTGATCTTGAGCACGAAGCTCTATACCAAGGAAATCCATCTTGATTATATAGACCTTCGTGTTCTGAAAGTCGACCGACTCTTGAAGGGCCGATCGATTCTCACGAAGTCGGTCAGCTTTCAGATCAAGTGACACTTGTCACATGATCCTGCTAACTAATTGGTCACCTGGTGCGGGTTATGCTACGCCGTCGTAACACTTGGGTCACCTGACGGACTTTTTTTGGGGGTTAATAATACTTTACTTTATTTCTATAAAATAAGAATATCATTATTTTAAGATATTTTCTTTTAAATACTTGAAATTAGACATATAAACTTGATCTAGTGAACGAGCAAAGCGATATACAAAAGTGGAATGAATACCCACGATTGTTACGACAGGTAACAATTAGGTCACAGGATTAGTAATAACACGTGATGCGAGGACTCGAAGAGCGAAAGGATCGAAGCTTGATCCCCTCGCTCCCTTCGAGCCACGAAGCATGAAGGTCTATATAATCAAGATGGATTTCCTTTGAATAGAGCTTCGTGCTCAAGATCAATCATTTAGTATACCCTACTATTAGTTACAAATTGCATACCATTATTGTCATTACTTAAGTCCCTGCTTGACGCCTAGTTATAAACCACCTCGAGAGCCTAGAGCACTTCCACGTGATCTAAACGGCTACCCTCGTAACAACGATATTTCTTTAGATAAATATCATCATTATGTGTTTGTTATCATTTAGACGTGATCACATTCGTTGGCTTCCTATTATTCTTAATTATATAAGCTTAATACTAACAACTGAAGTTAAATAAGTATTAAAAAAAGCATATAATATTTAACGTCGTATAGAATGTTGAAATACCCTGTCAGGAGGATTTCATTCCCAGGCTCTAAAACATACTGCGCACCCTCATTACCGGATATTTTCTTTGACTTGACGCAAAATCAGATTTGACTCGACTAACTCCGCTCTCGTCAAATGCATCACGATTCATGTGAAAATGCAGCCACTCGTAATACGAAAAAGCACCCTGATTTTTCGATACACACCACAGTCGATTTAAGAAGCCAATAGCTTTGAATACCAGAACAATGAAAAACTAGGCTACTTAATTCAACTTTACTCGCTTTTCATACATGATCATCATATCATCGTTATAGGACAGGTAATAACAATGTGCATATTTGCAGCACAAAAACAAATCTCCCGACTCAACGAGTCTATCATTCAAAAGGCAGCTGTTGATTATCAGTGCATGCTAACCTCAATTCGAGAAGGAATCAGGAATATAGAATAAAGGTACTTGCCTGCGCTCATTTGTTTTGAAGCGACACAGCATCAAAGCACAATTCGGCCATCCTTCTAGACGCACCCTGTTCGCAGATGCATCATTAATATGTTGACTTCGGGAATCCACAACTTCTGATGACCCTTCCAAACTCTAGAAGTATTACACCACATGAATCAGTTGACCGTTGCGATCGACTAAAACCACAATCAGGGATAGAAAGAAAGGCGAGTTTGCAAACAAATCTGTTGCGCTGGCTATTCCTTGGACCTGCACTCGTCCCTTAAACCAATTGATATCAAGTATATATATCTAGATTAGAAGTCTAATCAGGTATGAATACAGAAACAAATGCAGATCTGTTGCATTCAGCCAGCCATTGCACCGGCAACTGTCCCTTCAGATCGACCAGGAGGACAAAATTGCAGTCAGAGTATCAAGGTGGAAGTGCTACCAAGATATTTCAGCCAGCCCTCAAAATCAAACGTACCTCAACGCCTTCATTGTTCAAGGATTTTCACATCGCAAAAACGATGCACGATGTTAGATATTCTCACTCGTCGATATTCGAGGCAAGAGAAAAGATTGAATGCTACATGCGCCCCGAGCGGCTGTCTATTTCCATGTGTTAGTCTCCTGATCATCGCCATCAGCAAGCACACAGTTGTAGCAATCTCTGCCCAATTATCCCACTTTACCATAATGAGAGTGAATTTGGATATGTTAAGTTTTTGGAGGAGAGATAATTGATTCTCCAATCATTCGCTAAAGGTAATAGCCTCAGGACTCTTCGGGGCCTGGGCACATGAAATTGTTAATTTGTCCTACAATGAGGGGAGGGGTAATCTTATTATCCCAAGGGTCACTGAGTTGAGATTGATAGCTTCTCGTGCTACCAATAATTTTGGTTTGACGATCGTACATTTGTGATTCAATATCTAATGTCTTCTTATGTCCAATCAATAAAGTTTACATCCAATGTACTGAGAGGCTTTCTCGGATGCAGCCGAAGGGCATCGTCTACGTTGCGACTAATCAAATCTCTATGGGACTACAGATACTGTCTTAACAGAGTCAAAGTATCTATAAGAAGCTCAATCTTTCTTTTATCAAGTCGGAAAATTTTAAACTGATTCAATCTCAACAAATATTGATCTTCTCATCATTACGACAATAATCTTTCTTTTGATTTGATTTAAACAAACATTGATCTTTTTATCTTTTTATCATTATATCAACCATCCATCAACCATCCATCAACCATCCATCAACCATCCATCAACCATTCATCAATCATCTATTAATCTAATCCCAACATCATTATGGATATTGGAAAAGTACTTCAGCAAGCAATAGATAATGTTTTAATGATTCAGAGTGGCTATTTGACCCCGGCGGGTCTCACTAGCATATCAAGCTATGGCATTCCTTTCCAAGTCCCCAGCGGTACCGTAGCACTCTTCCAAGACCCTAACTTTCGAGGTGCGAGATCCGACCTTCGTCTCAGTGATTACACAATCAACCAGCGCCATGTAATTCCAAATGCCAATTACGACAGCGCGAGCGTGATCCTATACAATTTACCGACGAACACGGTCGTGACCTTGATATCGGGCTACAAAAACGACGAAAATAAAGTAGCCAATCTTAAAGATTGTGACACATGCCTTGACCTAGTTGGCACGGGGAAGACGGCTTCAATCGAACTATGGTCCCTTGGCATCAATGACGCGGTATCTATGTTCTTCTGGCGAACCGTAGATCTTAATATGGGCGCCATCGAGCTTTTCGCCGATGGCAATTTTACTGGCAGACGTTCGACAATCTTCCTTAGTGAATGGGCCCCTGACACGGTCCACTCACTCAGTGGTTGGTCAATCAACAATTCCACAAGCTCCATGCGCTGGCATTCAATGAAAGATCGACAAACGGCTGTAGTGTATGATGGCGCAGACGGTACTGGGTCATCATACTCGAACATCAAGGGCTGGGGCATTAAGGAAGTCCCGTACATGTGGGATGTTCGCTTCAATGATTGTATTAGCTCGTTCAAGTGGAATAGCATCGTCCCTAAGAAAGAAATTATTGAGCCATTCAACGTTATGGCAAGCAATTCATCAAACGCCTTTGGATTGACTGCTGTGAATGAGGGGGTCAACAACAGTAGTGAGGTGCAAACTATCTCAGTCTCCCTTAATAATTCCACCGCTCAGACTACTACTGTTGAGACCACGGATCAGCATGTAGCAGGGGTCTCAGCATCATTCACTCAGACAGCTTCCGCAGGGGTCGAGGGCGTCGCATCAACCTCGACATCATGGACAGTAGCAGTTAATTATTCCTATACACGTACCGATACCAGATCAACCAGCGAAACTAAAACAATTGATTTGAATATCACACAATCTGTCAATGCACCAGCCCGAACGAGGTATAAAGCTACTTTATTGGTAACCATCGGTCGCCTTCCTGCTACCGAGTATATCACCACAGCACAACGGTGGTATTCAGAGCCAGTTACCGGTAGCGTGATAGATCCCTCGAACAACAACTGGTACAAGCGAACTGAGGATGTGAGAATCAACATTTCGGGTAGCCTGGCATGCACCACCAATGTAAATATTCAAGCAACTCCGCTTTAAAGCTGTTGGGTTGGTGAATTGGGAGGATTTCTTAGTCCCATGAGTTGAGGTCAAATCTTTGGTTCTAATAGCTTTCCTTAATGATTTACTTTGAAGCGATGTCAGCTGATGGAGAAATTGCAAGAACGATGTAGCTGGTCATATGGTGTGTTGCCTGATAACGAAACATTCATTAAAGTACTCACTCGTCAGGTTATTGTTTTTGAAACGAATTTCTTTGTAGTGACCCTGAAAAGAGTTACATGACCTGCTTGCTGATTTAGTTATTCAATCAATCAAACTTTTTCTGCTCACACAGACCCAAAAAGTTAAGTAGAGATAATAATCCATGAGTACGTAAGATCTTCATCTTCTGGGTATAAAATCTGTTGTCGCCCATTACCCTCTCTCATGAATTTGATGAACATGAAAATCATATTTTCTCGCGAAATAAATAGATAAGCTCATCCTCCAACGGTTTGACCACATCCTGATAAACACCAGCCCTAGTCGCCACATCTTCCAGATTCACCCTCTGACCGGCTGGTACCCACAGCGTATCTAAACATGACTGAATAGCATCACGATAACCAAGTGAGCAATCCTCTAGTGTCTTAACTACTCGATTTGCAACGAGCCAATCTGTGTTTGCGTTTACATCTTGCTTTTCAGCAGCGGTACGGAAATTTTCGATTAACCTTCCCGTGTGTAACTCAATGAGAAGAATTCCTAATGCCAAGATACTCGGATTGCGGTGGAATCTGTTCAAATCTAAAGGCGGCTGCTTGTCGTTTATTGCAGGATCAAAAATTGTTGATAGGTAAGGACGCTGAAAATCCAGGGTTCCAGAGATGCCGTAAAAGAAGAATATGTGGTTTTTATTCCACTCCTTATTCTTCCAGTAACTCTCGTGTAGCTGTAATAGGGAGTGTGCGAAAATGACTGCTAATCTTCGTTTTATGACGAGGGGTAACTTTATCGTTTTTTCTAGTACTGCTTGCAGAGATTCGGCTTTTGAAAGTCCAGATTTGGGTAGTCTTTTGGGAGTTGAACGAAGCTGCCAGAGCATTTCGCCATTTCCGGTATCTTCTACCAACAGCTGAAGACATTGATCAACAGGCCCTCTACACCCGACTGTGTCGCATATTTTTTTTAAAAGGGAGCGATCGTCTTTTGAAGATTCGCTGTTAGAGGATCAAAGCAGATTAGCTGTGAGATTGGTGAAATTTTGAGAATTTCGAACACTAACCCGCTTGATTTTACAACTACAGTTCCTTCTTGCCATCTCCCCAGTTTTATATCTTCCTGAACGGAAAACAAAAAGTCGAAATCGAGCTCTGTCACCGTCGGCTTCATAGAATATCCTCGAGTCTTTAAACAAAACTTTGCTTCATGTTGCGTGGAGCAATTGCACCTCCAACATTTGGCGAGCGCTCTATATAGCTTTTGCGAGAGTAACCGCAAATGAGATGACGGAACATCTTTTGCACCTAGAGGTAACTTTTTGGTAACAGGTTCCTTTTGCGCTTGCTCTGTTAAACGAAAAAGTCTCTTATTCCATGTGGAAAGGTTCTTCAGGCATATATTTCGCTCCTTTTCTTTTTTCCAAAATCTTATTCTTTCCTTGAAGGTACTAGCTGTCTCGCCTTTCTCCTTCTCGGTGGCGAACTTCGTCAGTTTACTGAACATTTTGCTTTGTTCCTACATTTCATCAACTGTGAATTCTAATGCTTTTGGTATCGAAACCTGTACTTACAACATCATCGGATAGTACATGGATAGTAGGATCTTTTATCAACTGAGAAAACAACTGAGCGATTTTACCCATCACATGCAAGAAAGCATCCAAATCCTCCTTCGACCCGAAATAGTCGGAGAGTGCTTGAGCGACATCAGCATCTGCTTCCCAGGCCTCCAAACGAATATCCATTGTCAGTTCGGCCTTCCGTTTGTCGGACAAGTAAGGTAGTGATTTGATAACTCCTGAAGTTTGACGATCCAGTTGCACTATTTCCCAATAGAATTCGTCATAAAAGTCCATGAGCTTTTCATCGCGTTCTCGACGAGAGACGGTTTTCCGAATTGTCTCAAGGCCATGTGAGTATGCCTTTGCGCCCTCGATGAAAAGAGGGAGAACGGCTAGAACTAACCCTGTCACTTCTATACCACTCATATTTATTCACGTCGTCTACGAAAACCGGGAGGCTTATCGTCGCAGTTTTACCTGCAATATATTTCCATGATACTGAGGCTAATTTCTGCATCTACGATTAGAAATGGTTGTATTGGGTAAGCAGCCTCGAAAATTTTGCTTCTCTTGTGACATAGCCCGTGAGATGCAGGAAATAGAAGCTAAACTATTGGTAGACTTAAGCAGGCGCATCTCCAGCATCGCGAGGTCAATCTGACGTTACACTGCAAACGAGCCAAGGACATGTTGAAGATCAATTTTTTCGCCTCGAAGTAATAATCATTAGTGCTCTTAAACGACCGACTAGTTCCTAATCGGGGAAATCAAGTGTCCCCGTAAGATTTTTTGGTGGTACAAAACATACAAAACATTCCAAAATCTTATTTTGAATATGCAACTATAAATTTTCAAACTATTATAATAAACGTTTTATTATTGAGTTTGCATCATCAAATTGAAAATATTACCACACAAATTGATCATTTTGCCTCACCTAAACCATTATTGTACCACCAAAAAATCTTACGGGGACACTTGCTTTCCCTGATTGGGAACTAGTCAGTCGTTCAAGAGCACCAACTATTAGTAAGCACCATTCTTTCCTTCAAGAAGAATCAAGAACACGAGAGTTTCGGAGGAACTTTTATATATTTTGCTCGTCGCACGAGGAACAAGTAGCAATGTCGTTCCGTTCAGCCTCACGTCCAAGTCCCGGAGATTCCATTGCCGAAATTGCTAGAAATGTGGCGACGGTATTTGCACGTGGGCGTACAAAGCAGCTGGAGCCGCATTTGCGATTAGAATTAGAAAACGAACTTGGGAGATTCAAGATTTGGGCAGGTAACTTGGGAGTTTTTGCTCCTGGTCGAGCATCTGCGGATTACCGACTTCGCGATGATGCTGATGTCAAAGAGGTCTTGATTCAAATGTTGGATCGCCTGAGACAGAGCACGAAACAAGCAATGGATCCACCGGTGATATTAGAGGAAGAGGAAGAGAATGAACAAGATGATAGCCCAAGTGAATCATCGGAAGATTCGATGGCCATTAGCTTGGACAAAGATTTCGATGTGGGATCCGAAACGGATGATATTCCCGTCCCTCAAAATGATGTCGTAGCTACAGCTCTCGAAACGATTAAAGACACCATTAATCGACTGTATAGACTCTCAAACATCATCAAAAAACCTAGTTCATCAAATGAAAATGTGAAAGTGGCGAACTTTATAGCGAAGGAAGAAGCATCTGAAAAACTCAAGGAATTCCAAACTTCCGTTAGCTGGCAAATAAAGTTCCGACTCCCTAATGCTTCACCAGCCTTACTAGATAGATTGGTCGAGGCTGCAGTATTTCGACGGAAAAAACTAGAATACCGTGAGCGTCATAAAGAAAAGCTAAGACAGGGTATTGAGCAATCATTCGCAACCGACTTGGCCGTTTCTCTTCTGCCCAAGGATGCAAAGCTTCGACCATTCGGAGATGACCGTAAAGCCGCTCCAGTCCTGAGACAGCAAGCAGGTTCAGCCAGAGGCTCTTTGAATACAATGCAGTATTCTGCTACGGAAGCTTCATCAGTCAATCGCCTCAAGTTTGCTTCATATCCAAAATCAGTGGCACTTTCGGGAATCACTAAGTCGGCGGTTGCTCGCCGAGAACACCTAGATATCCCAGTCCCACCCTCTAAGTCAAAAGGAGAGTCAGAGGAAGTAGTTTGTCCTTATTGCTTCCGTATTGTTGATAAGGAAGATATGATTCAAGCTCGTTGGAAGTGAGTAAATACATGATCTAGGATCACGCACGATTAAGACTAATTGTTTTCAGGCGACACACACTTCGAGATATAGAACCATATGTGTGTCTTTTTGATGGATGTGAAAAATCGATAGAATGCTTTGCAACAGTAGATGACTGGATCAACCATATGCAATGGCAACATGCCGTAGTATGGTGTTGCCAAGTTGTGGGTCACGAATCAACTATCTATCATTCTGAAGAAGATTTTAAGCGGCATTTACGTCAGGAGCATGAGAGTTCTTTTAATGAGTCTCAACTTTCCATGATTGTTAAAAAGGCAGCGCAGCCTGTTCCAGACCTTTTTGGCACTCTGGCTCCCACGCTGAATGAAAACGAAAGAGGGGACGAAAGGGCTAGAGCTTGTCCCCTCTGTCCCTTTTCCGTGGAGATCTCAGAGGATAACCAAGCACTAGAAAACTTGGAGGTAGCGAAAACGTCAAGACCAACATCCAAAAAGCTTTGTGATCACATAGCTGCACACATGGAAGCAATCGCCCTCTTATCATTACCGGAACGTGACGATCTCGATGATGCAGACACGAATGAACGAGAATCGGAGAATACCTATCAAAGTCTCCATCAAAACGAAATGGATCTGCCACCAGTCACATCGATTGTTGATAATGAGAACGATGAAGTAATCTCTGATCCTGTTCAGCCTTCAACAGAGCTCGAGAGCTCAGAGTACATGTCGAGAGATGACTGGGGTTACGTGTTCGAAGATCAACGTGTGAAGTCAGGACAGGTTCTCGAGCCTGCTCACGATCCCACACTGCAAGAGTTTGTACGGAGAGCCAGGTGCGCGGAAATGTTTCGCAAGTGGAAAATTGATAGGATTCCTCCGATTGTTGTTTACGACCCGGATGGACTAGAAATACCGACCCTTATCCAAGGAAGGTCTGCGTCTTCCATCACTGACGATGTACCCAGTATAATTGTGAGCCGGGAAGGCGATTCTCAAGATCCGGACTAAATTCATGAGAAGCATTTTCTAGCATAGATTTCGATTGGCAGCCAGGACAAGAGTCTCCCAGCATAGTTGTACACACAGCATCTGGCTTTAGCGTTGTAGCGGAGGTCCAGATTAAGTAGATGGGGCTGTCATGGAGAAGGCAGACAGAGCTCATCGCGAGATTGTCATGGCTAGGGGAATTGCCAAAGAGGAGCGGCGTTCTCAAAGTTCTGTTGTCGACAAATGGAACGACTAGTTTGAGCAAAATAATGGTTGATGACAATTTTCCATTTCCCGTGGGGACATTTATGCTTATTTCCTCGTCCCTGTTTCTGAAATATCTAAAAACGGAAGCGCATGATGATCTACACTAGTCATAGTGTTTGGGTAAAACCTTGAAACCTTACTATTTGGACACTGGTGATCGAAGAGATTAGGCCTCTCTAGATGTCGCGAACCAGTTAGGATTAGATGAAAGATAAAAATGAATCAAGATCACTGAGATCTATCTTAACAATGGATTTCAGTGCTAGAAATTCGGTTCTTGGAAAATATGTATATGGACAGCGCATCATCGATAATCAATCGCGAAGCCCTGCCACTTGACGTCGACGTCAAAAACCATGTATCCGTGCTCAATTTTTATGTGGTGCTTAATGATGGATGCGCTTACCGAATTTAGCTGGTTGATAATAAACGAAAGCGCATCCCCATTCGCTTAATCTCATCCCATCAACTTTAGCTTCATCGCGGATGCGTAAACGACGTTAACAATGTTAAAACGACAAGTTATGTATGGGTAAATATGTCAGCCGCACTTTTAGCTGTTTTGTTTGACGGGAGGATGTCAATGAAACTTGGCCATTTCAGCGTCTACCAACATTATCTTCGGATAAAAGGTATGCGGGCAGTCTTTGGCCCGATCATACGGATCGATCGACTACTTTCATGATATCTTCTGTAGGAATGAATGGAAGTGCGGCTGGGTGGATTTATAAACTATGATGCTTGTGTCTTATCTTAGAATAGGACTAAGCATATATAACCTCAGAAAGTTCTGCTACTATATCCCAATATATAGCTATCGGACACTTCCAATCTGCAACACTTCTCCTCTGTGCTAGTCAAAATGCCATGATCACTAAACTGCACCTCAATATCACCGGAATGCCCCGTCGAAGCAACTGTCTATGGCTACACCCCTTCGCTGGGCTTCAACGTCTTCTTCCTCGCCTTCTTCGCCCTAGCAGCTATCTTTCACATAGCAAGCGGTATCCGCTACAAAATCTATTTCTTCAGCCTAGCCATAACAATCGGGTATCTGGGCGAAGTAGTCGGATATCTTGGACGGATTATCTTGCACACTAATCCGTGGTCAGATATCGGATTTGAGATCCAGATCTCATGTCTAACTTTCTCTCCTAGTTTCATGGTTGCCAGTGTGTATATTACCCTTCAATATATTGTGCAGGCTTTTGGGAGTAAAAAATCTAGGATTCCGGCTAGGTTATATAACTGGGTGTTTATTTCTTTTAATATCCTTTCTTTGTTACTGCAAGCGATTGGGGGAGGTATAGCTGCGAGCGCAGGGAATAATCAGAGTACGAGGAATTTGGCACGAATCTCATGATAGCCGGTATTGTGTGGCAGGTATTTATTCTAATTATTTTCTCTGCACTGGTTCTCGACTGTGTTATTCGAACGAGGAGATCGTGGGACCGAGTTCCCGAAACACTAGAATCATGGCTGTGAAAAGACCTTTTAAATTATTTTGTGTTGGTGTTACGGTGGCTTTTATCATGATTTTTACGAGATGTGTGTATAGAATTGTGGAGATGGTAGGGGGGTGGGCTAATCCTATTATGCGGGATGAAGCTGGATTTATTATTATGGAGGGTTTGTGTGTTATTTTAATCTATTCTACTGTGGATTTGTGCGAAACTAATCAGCGTTTCAAATCTCCCATCCTCATCCTCTCCCATTCTATCCTAGGCCGAGAATGGAGGCCCTATATCCTGTCGATATTGTAAATATCCTCATCCTGCCTATCCTATCAAAAAATGATATTGATCCTATTCTGAATAAAAGGATATAAATAATATCATTAGATATATCAAAAAAATAATTAATTGATCGAAATTTCGATTGAAATATTTTATCGGAAAATTGAAATTTATCAAAACAAAAAGTACTTATCTTTTTACCGAAAATTACTAACAAAATTGTTGGTACGAGAAGGATACGGAAGACGTAGCACCCACGGATTACGTAGGTCCTGTATGTCTAATTGTATTCTGTCTAAAGAGCTAGCTACATATTGAAAGTAGTAAGTCTTATATAGACTTACTAAAAGAGCTAGTCTCTTTCGCGTTCGCTTAGTTCTTTATTACAGTAGTAATTGAATTGAAGTCATTCACTTCGTTCACACAAAAATAAAGTATTTATTATTTTATTAATCTCAATCATAAAAATTACAACAATTTTTCCATCTTTTCTTCTCCCATCTCATCCTAAACCCTGTAGATTCTACTATATCCTCAATTTTTTTATATCCTTATCCTATCTATTCTTCAAATTGAAGCCATCTTGCCTATCCTTAATTCAAGGATAGAATAGGATGGGAGATATTTGAAACGCTGAAACTAATGACAGTTGTATGATTATCATTGCTGTATCGTCGCTAGCCATTTTTCATCCTGGATGGTTCTTTCCCCAACTTTTTATAAAGGCTAAAGCCAAGGTGGAAAGCGTTGAAAAGACAACGTTGGGATCTGGGTCGCAGTCTGCATGAAGGTGGGATGTGGTAGGGTTGGAGTTAACTGCGTGAATGGGATATCATTTGATATGACATGATGGCGACGGTTCCAAAGGGTATTGATGCAGTATTAGAGTTGAATGTTCAATGATATAGACTGCTGAATGGAAACTGTAACTTTCTGAACGAAAACTACCGTTCAAACAGCTTTCTGTTTTACTCCTTTGCGAATTTCGACTTGCAATTTATCAGCAAGTCCAAATCTATCATTCATTACCCCATCATACGCCGTAGATATGCAGGTGATTTCGGCAGGAGCAGATGAAGGGCTCGTGAGGTGAACTCTAGGCTCAGGGAGAATATCCCGACAACTGTATTTGTCGCGTGTGTGCTAAGCTGAGCTCTTCCCATTGATAAAAAACCATGCATATCTAGTACTGGCTTAATGATTTGGGATGAAGGTCTCCGAATAGTGTTTCGTGCATCTACTACTTCTAGAAGAAAGTGAATGAACATTTCTGAAGACTACGAAAGAACTACCATGAATATTTGCAATATTTTGTCCCCTGGCTATGAGACGGTTCCGGATTTTATGATACAATTTATGCCTACAATGAGATGAAGTTCGAGATGAAAAAACGGTGTTGGTTCATCAACTCAAGGTATACACTGGATCCGGAGACTACTTGCCTAATATAGAAATTACTGAGCGGAGCGAGAAATCTGATAATCGGCACAGGATGTCTTGCGGCTACACAAATCTGATCGCTTCAGCTCACGTGCGAAAGACGTCGTGAAACGTGAGTCAGATAGATTTGCATACAGCAAAGAAGATATGTAGCCTGAGACACTGAGCGTATGAAGGGTACGAGGTTCCTGATTACGAAACACGGTAAGGCACAGGAGGAAAAATGCAATGATGTAGAAGAAAATGTGCCAGCTACGAGCAAAAAGACGGAACAAGAGGCGGATAGCAATATGAGAGAGTAATGGCATCAATAGCATTGTGAACATCTTAACTATGAGACGGAACACTTGAAATTTATCTTATCGAGACATTTGTCATCCGTTCCTTAGAGATTTTTTGCAGGATTTTATCTCCCAGCTCTCAAAATATTCTTGCTTTTAAAAAGGAAAATAGCTCATCGAATGAACAAACTATTAGCTGCAGATGAAACATAATTACTTCCCAGCCAACTTGGCTTTGTACCACCAAAAGAATCGAAGACCTCGCCTAATAACTCATTCAGAGCACACAAAGACTGCAGTACGGAACCTAACCATTATGTAGAATTGTTACTACACGAAAATAGAGTTTGTCTCAATATCATAAAAATGCTTGATACCCCCCCGTGTTGTCATACAGGAAAAGCTAGCTGGTGGGGGTACAAACACTAGACTTTGTTGCCGAGTGCGGGGAAAGGGCACTAGGAATGGCACTATCATCAAGGTTATTGATTGACCCGTTGGGATGTCATTGCTTACAAAAATGACACTTCACTTGACTTTTTTACTTTTGTAATATAGTACTTCACACCCTTTCCTATGTATAAATTGCATGAACCACGAACTCATCAATAGCTACAATAATTCGATTACTGCGTGTAACACAAGCATCAAAACCGTATTCGGTAACCTTTCACCATATCTCTCAATTACTCGGCCACTACATTAACACAACCTACACATCTGCCCCACCAGTTCTGTTACACTTGCCACAGAGTCAAGAATAAGTACCATCGGCAGAGCTTTCCGATTCTAGATAATTGTACATCTCAGTACACAAGAACACAGCCGCTAGCCCTCGTTGCAGCATCACAGATGCTGAAGCACACGCGAGCAGACACATTTTATCTATAAGGCGAATGAACTGGGATGTTTTATGATACTAGATAGGTATAGAGCGGTCGGGCCGCCTTGCAGAAACTTCTTTGCACTATCAATGCTGTTGACTGATGTTTTTTTGGATGAAGATCTTTACTGAGTCTGGTTCATTCGTGTTTTTGGTTTTTATGATAGCACGATGTTGGTACGGATACGTTAACCACTTTTGTCAAAGCTGTACCCAATCGAGTTCTGGCCATAGTTGGTAGGACTGGAGGTGGGATTGTGATACCCATCTTTTCAGGAGACCTTTTCTTCTGATTGTTCCAGGGTTGGCTTTTTGTTCAGTATTTCCGCCTCAGTCAAAAATCATTTCATTTCATAGAAAATTTCCGTCACCAGGGACACATGATACCACTTTCTGTCTAACACGCTCAAGTTACTTGATACTCTAGTTCTGCGAGCGCGTGCATCGAGTTCAGTGAGCACTGTTCTGGGCTTTTACACCTCAAGCAGTTTTATCCCAGACCTACCCGCAATGAAGCTGCACTTGTGTTGATCTCTTGCTAGCCATGGTTTCAAAATGGTATTTACGGGAGCTCTTTGGCTATAGCCTTCCGAAAAATGAGCAATTTTGTCTTGGCCGTCTTTCCCCTCGAAGCGGCATGAATCATTTAACCGACTGCATATATATCGTGGGGGATACACATGTGTACTTACCAGGTACAGGCACTCTCATAGCGAGAAATTTCGCCGTTGGAAGACGATGCAACTGATAGTCTAGTTTCTTCTCCACAGCACGGCAGTATAGAATGATATGCCAGCAACCCGTCTTTGTCTGATAAAATCCCTCAAACCAGTCAATTAAATCACACGGTAACCAAAAACATTATTGTTTTCTATCCTCTTACCATCCTTCATGTTAAATGCTTGGAACTGGAAGATCTTGACATGGTCTCTTTCGTTCCTTGAAGCGGCTAGCCACCACATCTCGTCTTTGGTAATCTTCCAACATCAATTTGGATGGGTTCCAAAGAAAAATGCTTTGTACTTTCGACTGCCCTCGTCACAAGAGAACTAGGTGGAGGGATTAAGTACAGGATATCGAGAACAGGGAGTGCAACAGCGGAAGCGAATTCGGCGGGGTAGCGTGGGCTTCGTACCGCAGACATGCCGTGTGAGGTGTGATGTGACGACATGATTCAATCGATTCAACCAGATCGGATAAGTGACAAAGCTATACAGCTGAGCAAATCGATAGAGGAGATACTCGATATCGATATGCTTTAGATGGTAACGCATATTCAGATCCCTCGATTTTGAGCTTCCTTTCCCATATTGTTTCAAAGAACAATCACCGAAATCGAGAAAGCTCATCAATTCTTGTATCAAAATTCTTCGCAAAGTCATCACCTAGCCATCATTCATATACCTACCCAAGAACGACAGAAACAGCGAATTCCATATTCCGCGTCAAAAATGAACAAGCATAAGGTTACCGGTACCTACATAACTGTGCACAAAACCCACGACTCGAAATTTTTAATACAAGTAGGCTAATACTCGTACAGCACCGCAAAAACCTAACGCAGAACCCCAGTTCCCTCCAACCAATAACCATCAAAAACTCCCCTCCATCAGATTTTTTACGCGCCCAACCGCGCATACAGATCGAACAACACACATATAGTGAAACAATAATTGGTGATAAACGAACGTATTCGACCACGCTAAAGAAAGATGGTGTGGGCGGGTATTTATTTTCGGGGCGGTATGGAAGTCGATGGGCCAATATCGATGAAGATTTGAATATTTGCGCGGAAGCGTATGCTGAATTGGGGTTCCGGATTGGAGATTGCGTTGCATTGATATACTCTGTATGTATGTATGTATTGGCTTGGTCATTGCTTCGCCCTAATTGATAGATTGATACTACGTTGAGTTTTGTACTTTGTCATGTTGTACTTATATCGTTTTGATCGCTCTTGATCGAGATGGTTTCTTTAGTTGTATATTTATTTTTCCGTTCGTACACTCTCTTTTGCGATTCTGCTGATTTATTTAATACTCGAGTTTCTTCTATTTTTTTCGATAATATAGGCTGTACAGTGCGGGCACTATTTCTTGCGTTGAATAATTAATTTCATGGTTAATTGACCACTACGCCGTTAACGTTTCATTTTGCTACGCCGTTTCGTTTCGCCACGACGTTTCACTTTGCCTGACTCTTTTGTTTCGAGACCATTCGTGTCTTGATTTTTTCTCAATTGATCAAGTGTTTATTTAATTGGAAAAATCACGAAAAGTACTTCCTTCATTAACATCGACACATACATCATGGCGGATAGAAAGCATGTAAGACGCTCGAGAAGCCAGGGCTATTTTCATCGAAGAAGACCGGATGATATATACATACAGAATCCTCACGAATTTACATTTCCATACTCTAACACGGAAGAAATGCCAACACCTGGATTGTTATTTGACGATGAAGGAAAAGAAAACATACATTTCCGAGGCCTGGATATAGAGGCCTCATCGCCTCGAAACTTTTTCCTCGAAAAACCACCCGCGAATTGGAAATCAGAGCAATCGCCTATTTCTCCTGGTGTGACTGTGCTGTTAACTCCTGCCTACGGGGATGTGGATGGCGATTTGGATGTGATGGAGTTCTTTCAGGCGTACGTTATATAAGTTTTTATTTTCGTGAATCTAATTTGAAATTTTAATACTTATTCTTTTCGTTTGCAGAGCGGCATATCCCGGACCACGAGCGGTGCGGATTACTGCGGACAGACCACGAGATATACAGAGATCTGCGAATGTGGATAAGAAGAAACGTCCATCAAAAGTTGGTCTTCCGTCGCCGAAAACCCCTAAGGCTTGGCCATCGATCGTGGAACCAGATATTAGTACTCTCCCTAGTCAGGAAGAGGTTGAAAGAAATGTTCTGGAAGCTCGCCACAAGCTGGTTGGACAAAAGACCTCGGGTTATATTAGGCGTCCTCGGCTTGATAATCCACTGGAAGCATATCTTGTGGCCCCAGGACCTATGTCAAATCGAAAACAGACGAGATCGCCATCTCCGGAGATCAATTACCCAAAGAGGTGTCCTGAGCGTGGCCAGAGTCGAAGCCCGGCGGTTGATGATCGAAAACGATTTCTTGAACCACAGCATTCGCTATTGCAAAATAGGCAACAGAAAAGAGTTCTATCTAATGAGGCTAAAGTACTCAGAAGCACCCGTAGTGAAAAGAGTATGCGAGACCCAACATCCGCAATTAACGGTACCATACCAAGAACGCCTAGTCCAGTCTTTGATTTCGACGACTCAGAAATCACAGATATTGAGAGTGGTACTGAGGATGATGAGAGAGGCAACGAGAGATTAAGTAGATGTGAAACATTATCAAGCCAAGATCCACATAGTCCGATGTTCGACAGCCCGCCAAAGCCATTGGAAAAAGATTGGAAATTCCGTCTTCAACAAGATTGTGCTACCGGTACTCTTGGTGCTTTACAGTCACCTTCGATGTCTTCCTCTGCTAGTCAAACTCCTCGAAAACTCCCAAAGTCGACGAATAAAAGACTGGGCGAGATTGGAATACCTAATTATAGTGCTATGTATTCAAACGATTACACAATGGGCACACATACAACTCGTCCTCGTCAAATTAGTGCAGAAATATCAGTACGCTCTCCCATCTCACCTAATGTGCCGCCTCCTCGAAGGAGAAGTCCACCTATAATGGCTCCAATTCATCGAGACCAGAGTGAGGCAAGAGGTGCAACATTTGAGCCGGAATCTCGCACACCGAGAACTCTAGTGACCAATTGGCTTACGAGTATGTCTTCTAACGCTGGACGTAAGGAACAACCTCGAGAGCATGATGTTTTCTGGAAACGGAGTTGGGGTCGAAAGACGAAACCTAAAATGGAAGGCTGGATTTAATGAATTGGGAGACGAAGGACGGGAAAATGTTGCGTGGTTTTGGTGGGGCAGTGTTAATATTGATGTACTGATGGTTATGAATGATGATCTTTTTAATGAATAGTAAATGTTTGGAGGGGTTGATGAATAGCTAGCCCAGATAGGTAGCTGGAAAATTGTATGGATAGAAAAAATGTACCACTTTTGGAGGAAGCGGGGCATGGGGAAATTTGGATGGACCACGAATTGTTGTGGTAGACAGCTAGCTTGGACGCATAATTTGTAATGATACCAGCTGTCAATCCATTCTTCACCAACCGAAAATGGCCATTTCTCCCACTTTCAATCAAGTCCTCATGAATGATGAAAGAATCTTCATGTGAAGTCGCAGGGTATGCGCGCGGCTGCTCATTATCACTCGCAGGTAAATGACTCTAGACTCCACCGACAACTAAAGCTATGTCTAGTTCACCATTTCTGTCGCTCTTGCCTCCAGATATTATTAAGGCGGGGCATGTAAGTACCCGATTCGCTCAGCCGCCAGCACAGCGCAGAACATCACTGCAGAGCAGCAGCACCCTGGCATGAGCCTTCAAGCATAGAAGATTGGTTGAAGGTACGAGGAAGGCTGATTGATGGAAGTAAGATGAAGAGGGAGATGGAGGACGGAGAATTGTCAAGCTCTGAATGTTTTTTTTTATAGCAACTCAGGTTTCAGCTGCAGATGATCGATAACTACACATGTCGACGTAAGTTTGATCTATTTGAGGTTATGCACCTGGATACATATATATACACTCATAAGTCTCGAATGAGCAACATTGAAAACAAGCATTTCAGCCTTAAGAAGATAGCAATTGCAGAACATGCGTGGAGGCTATGTTGGAGATATCTCCATTAATAAATGATTTTGATGTCATCCACAAAAAAGTGACGGAGGTCCGCGGGTCATGCCAAGAATGGTGGGTTAAGAGGCACAGGCACAAACTTTAGCACATGGTACCGATTTTAGTTCTAGAGTCGAGAAGTCAAAAATCTTCCTAGTCCTTCAACCAATCCCTCCTCATCTTCAACCAACAATTGGCATTATTGTTGTAGAAGATAGCGATCTTTACGTTGCTTCCAAAGGAAAAGACCTTGATGGAACGGGACCGCCCAGGACTCGACTTTTCTATGTAAATGAAAAGTCTCAGGCCCACTTCTATTTGTTGGTTGGCGGTAAGAAATGCTGATAATGGTAGGTGATAACCTGGCTGGGCTTTGTTTTTCTCTTCAAGTATGGGTGTGGCGCAGACTTTTTAGCATTACTATCATGGTAGTATTGGTATTATACTTATCGTCTCATATCCTTCCATAATGATTGATATCCCGTTCTCTGTCGATCTTCTGTTACACCACTGATACCATACGATAAGGTAACCTTACGATACGATACACAAACATCTGCACAGTCAAAGTTGTTAACAGAAAGGAAGAGAGTGAGGGGTGGGTGGAATTCACATTTACTACTCACAATAATCTCCACATTCACTCAATATGAGTCCCAGTCCTGCTGAGCCAAAAGGCATTTTAAAAGCGAGCGAAATTGATCTTTCGGATACTACAACCGCAGTCTCATCTTCTTCGCTATCACAAAATATACCAAAACTGTCCCATCAAAGACACGGCTATCGCAGAATGGACTCACAAGGCTCCGTTCGATTCTCCCCAAATATTGAAAGTGCTCCCGAAGACACCCCGTATTCGACAATTCCCTTAATAGTTGAGGGTGATTCCAATAATTCTGCGAATATGTCTCAAGGATTGGGAATATCTCGAGTGTCCACCAGTGCCAGTCGCAAATCTCCAAGTCCACCCAGTCCTTCAAGTGGATTTTACAGCCCGCCAATTGGTTCCGGATCTTTGATGGCTTCTCCTGCGACTTCCCAAAACCGTCTACTGCCATCTCCAAGCTGGTCAGAAAATAATACATATGGTGAAGGTGGAGGATACTCGGGGCAAGATCAAAGGCATACGCGCAATGAATCTCTTAATGAAGAAGATATTTCTAAGGGAAAGATTTCAGCTTTCACTGAGAGTTTGGACATGGCTTTTGACGGTCCAAACATCTCAAGACTGAACAGTATCCGTGGAACTACTGTGCATGACGAGAAACACATTGGATGTGGATGCGCAGCGAATAATGATATTCATTCGCGGGTCAGAAGTTGGACGTCAGTATCAGTTTTATGCCTGTGCATATATTCAACTATATTCTCCGGCATTTGGTTTTTCATAGCTGTTCTTCGGCCACGATATGGCGAGCGTATCAAAACCAATGGGTCGTTGCCTCCGACAACCGCTTCAATTTTGTTTGCTGGTTTTGCAAAAACTATTGAGCTATCTTTCGTCACTATATTTGTCAGTTTTCTAGGCCAAGTCTTAAGCCGGAGATCCCTTATTAGGAATTCTGATGGTGTCACTGTTGCTGAGTTGACAATGCGAAATTGGGTAAGTTTTACCTTTTTGGTGTTTGATATGGGTTTCTTTAGTCTGTTGTGGAATGTTCGATCGGTATTAACTATGCTCCTTTAGGTCATTCAACCAGGATTCATGCTCACGAACCCCAAGATTTTACGAAGGGCCGCAATGTCAATCTTGGGAGGAATCACACTAACTGCAGCTTTTGTAGCTATGTTTTATACCACGGCATCAGATGCCATAGTTAGCCCTAGTCTCCAATTTGGGAAATGGGAAAGTGTGGTAATGAAAGGTCTGGTCAAAACAAGTTATGGCAATCCAACTTATGTTGGGCAGAATTGCCAAACCCCTATTTCAACGGCTATGGATCAGCTATATTCCGCTTCCACTTGTGTGGATATCGATCATGCTGGGGAAGGTGTGTAAAACCTCCAGTAGCCTGTTTTTAAAATACGCTAACTCTTTAGCGTATCATAACTTTCTCGAATATCTTCGTACTTGGGCCGAAATTGCTGCTCCTGGAGGGAAAAGTAACTCATCCGAGTTAGCACATCGTCCAAATGTGACAGCCATGCTCTACGACAACACTACCGTCAAGGCCTCATGGATCCGTACCGATACTAGCGATATGGCTGCTAGTTATAAAAAGTACAATCGTGTTGTGAACAACGTCACTCTTGCTATGCCACACTCTGGTGTTATCTCGGCTGCAACCGATCAAGTTAATAGCATATTACAGCCTTCTGATCTCGAGGGTGTAGGAGAATACAAAGTAAGAGCATCAGTAGTGAGTCCTACTATCAACGTTTTATGTGCGAACATGAATAAAACTGAGCTATCGCCAATTATCTACGTTGATTGGCCGAATGCGGTCACAATCGATTCTACGAATGTTCCAAATCAAAAGCTGGCTTGGGCCGGTTATACATCAGAAATTTTCGTAGAGCCGGGACAGGAATATCTTAATAGTACTGTGGTAGATGATATCTTTGGCTGGGGTACAAATGGTAAACAGCCTCCAGTGTTTCCAATGGTAGGCTAAGTCGTATAAATATGATTGACTGTTTGCTGACTTGCTTTAGTTACCCATTGACTACAACATCATAAGCAACATATCGGTATACATGAGCGGATTCATTTACGTTCTTGCAAAATCAAGTATTACAACCGATTATACCATCTGTGAAATGAGTGAGTACTCCTTTCGACATACTTTAATTCTTTTACTTCTACATTCCCACAGTTTGATCTTCAGTTGGTCAAGGAACGAATCTACAATGTTATAGATTTTTCAGAATGTCTGGCTTTGGTACTAACAATAACCTTCTAGGCTCTTTTCTTGCAACTGATTGCAGCACAAAATATTCAGCTGCTGGATCGGGAGGGATTCTCGAGACCACATGCGAAGACCCCAATGATGAATTGGCCTATGCCAAATCCTACGACCCTCCACCTCCACCTCCTGCCGCACAAACAGATTTCCGAAATATAATTTCAGAATGGGCACTTACATTGTCCCTTAACACCGGGATTTCAAACGATAATGCTTCTATTTCTCGATTGTTAACACAATTCGTCCCGACGACTCCTAGTCTCAATACCACATTACCGAGTCTGGCAGAAGCCCTCGCTTCCCTCGCTGGCTGTACCCTATTAATTAGTGCCCAGGACGCCACTTTTAGACATTACATGGGATACACAGCTCCAGATGATATTGTAAGCCCTGGCATATACGAACCTTTCAATGCATCCATCTCCAGTCAATCCTACACTTCTGGCCCTGCCGTTCGCTGGCAAAATATATTCTATGTCGTTCTCCTACTCGTTTTCCTAACCAACCTTTTCTGTCTCGGCTATTTCATCCGCCAACGTGGTCTCGTAACTGATTTTACCGAAACTCAAAACTTATTTGCTCTAGCGGTTAATAGTCCCCCTTCTCAACGCTTAGGTGGAAGTTGTGGTGCTGGTCCACAAGGAGATCAACTAAATGTTGATTTCCACGTCCATCATGAAGAAAATTCAAGTCACTTTTACTTGAAGGAGGGGAATAGTAGTAGTGTATTTGAACCGGCGAGTTTCGAGTTGAAGAATCGGAAAGGCCCGGGTATGGGGTTGAAATCGAGGACGGCGAGTAGTTATAGTATGTTGAGTAATAAGCGGAGGAGTATTCTGTAGTTATGGTATATGCGATTTGCGATATGCGATATACGACTCAGTGGGTGGTTAATAGAGGGTGGATGGATGATTTGCACATAGAGAAGCGAGCGAGGGTGTCTTTTTATGGTTGCTTTGTATACCTAGATAGAGACAGAGATTCGAGATTTGAGATACCCATCCATGATTAATGATCAATTTATGAAGTTTAATACTTAATTACTTGCTCTTTTACTCAGTGTGTGTATGAATCAAAAGTTTGATGAGGTGGGTCTGTCTTTACTTTTTATTGATGTTGGATGGATGTAATGTTATTTTAGTATATCGAATTGATTGATTGATTGATTGATTATTGATAATAGATATCATAAGTCTAAGATTTAAGAATTATAGAAATCCTGATCCTCAAAAGGTATATATAGGTGTAAGTGAGTGTTTTATTTTCACTCCAGCTCTAGAGTTTTACTTAAGGGTATTTATTTTTTTATTTTCTTGAATTTATTATTCTTTCTTTTAGGGTGTGATAGTGTTACGAGGTTTGCCGTCTAGATCACGTGGAAGTGCTCTAGGCTCTCGAGGTGGTTTATAACTAAGCTTCAAGCAGGGACTTAAGTAATGACAATAATGATATGCAATTCGTAACTAATAGTAGAGTATACTAAATGATTGATCTTGAGCACAAAGCTCTATACAAAGGAAATCCATCTTGATTATATAGACCTTTGTGTTCTAGCTGATCAGTAGGATCAGTATGGCTCAGTACTGAGCTTGCTGATCCTCACTGAGTCAGTCACATGATATTGGTAACATGTGAGCGTCTTCTTGTTACCCGGCGTAATATTATCCCCCTTTTAGACTAGTGCTTGTCCCAAGCTTCCTTATAAGGTGGGGTGGTTACCCAGACTCCAAAATGCATAGGATTGAGATTCTTTATTTCTCAATATACCTATAGTTGCTCCCTTACACGCTACCCAAAATCGTCGTTGTTTAAGTCAGAAAATAAAAGACAAAGGAAATATTATGGCTCCTTGTTCTCGTTGTGAGCGGAATGGTTTGGAATGCCGAACTTTGCCTGAATCGAAGCGTTGTGGGGAGTGCGTTCGTTCGGGTTCCTTCAAGTGTGATGTCTCTGGCCTTTCTCCTTCTGAATGGGATATTCTTTCTAGAGAGGAGGCTCGTTTAGAAGCTGAAGAGGAGGCAGCTGCGTTGGCGGAGCAGGAGGCTTTTAGTTGCAGGATGCTTATTCGTAAGAAGCAAAAGCAGTTGCGCGATCGTGGATCCGAAATGCTTCGACGAGGCGTCCGTTCTCTGGACGAACTAGATGAATTATTAGAGAGAGAGAGATTGGAAAATGAGCGTGTGGGCAGAGAGGAGAGGCAAGCGGGTATTGGTTCGTTGATGCCTGCTGTCGCTAATTCGAATGTGTTGGATAATTTCGATCCTTCCTCTTTCCTGAGTCCTTCGGACCCCTTTTCGTTCCAGAATTCTTCGGGTCCTTTTTGGGGAGATCCGGATAGCGTTGGTGAAATGCCTCCAACTTCTCAGAGCAGCTGAGGTCTTTCTTGAGCTCCCAAGTGTTTTCTGAATGTGGGTAATCCAACCATTTGATCAGATATTTGATCTTGCCTCTGATGTATTTACAATCTAGTATGGTTTCAACATCGTATATGGCGTCTGGATTGACTGGTTCGATTTCCGTTATTGGCATATTGGGCACTCCTGGTGATGCTGGTTCAAATAAGGATATATGGAATACTAAGTGAATACTCATAGTGTATAATAGTTTTAGTCTATAATTAACTGGTCCAACTACCTTATCGATTTTAAATGGTCCTAGTTTCTTGTGATCTAGTTTATTGCATAATCGTTTTGTCTGTATGTTTCTTCGAATGAGATAAACTTTATCCCCCTCTTTAAGTGTAGATCCTATACTACATGATTCATTGTAGTACGACACTATCCTTAAAGCAATGAACTATAAATCCAAGGAAAGTTGTTCTTATAATTCCTTGATTTCTGTGATATCTTTTATAGCTTTATCTGCATTCGCATCTTGTAACAATAATGATTTGTATACTAATAGATTGAACCCAAAGTTAGCATAAACTGGCATCACTTTTGTTGTTTTCGTTTCTGATGTATTATATACGAATTGTATTAAGGGTAATAGTTTAACCCAATTGTCTTGTTTGTAATTGATATAGCAGCGAAGATAGGCTTTCATCGTTTGGTTTAATCGTTCCGTTTGGCCATCTATTTGTGGGTGAAAGACTATCGAGAGCTTTCTTTTGATTCCAAGCAGTATTATAAGGGTAGACTAAAATTTCGATGTGAATAGCTTGTCCTTATCTAAGATGATCTCATCTAATACACTGTGAATGCTAACTATATTCCGTATGAATATATAAGCAAAATCATCTGCCGTCCAAGTTTCATAAAATGGTATCATATAAGCAAACTTGGTTAATCTGTCTATCACCACCAAGATGGAGTCGTACTCCTTCCGGGTGACTGGGTCTTTGGATAATGGTAGTTTTACTACAAAATCCCAAGTAATGGATTTCTATAGTTGAGTAGGTAGTTCGGGGGTCTTGAGCTAGCTATAAGGTATATACTAGGCGGCTTTATTTCTTATACAAGTGTTGTAGTTCCCAATTATATTCTCAACTATAGTCCTCATCTTTGGAAAGTAGACTTCTCTCCTTATTCTAGCAAAGGTTCTTGCAATACCTTGATGCCTATAAGCTGGAAGTTCATATTGTTCCATGACATAATCCTTAACTAGATTGAAGGATATATAAAGCTTGCCATGAAAATGGATGAATCCATCTTCGATGGTGAATCCTCGTTCTGGATTGTCTGGGATAGCTAGGATTCTCTTGGCTATAGCATCCGTTGAGTATTCTGTCTTTATGATATCTTTGATAATATCATAATTTACTCCTGAAATAGCAGCGAGTTATAGTTTATTATGAATTAATGTATCGCTATCCTGCTTTAGTATCGCATATGATTCGTATATTTTGTTTTATAAGTATTCTGGTTTTCGATTGAAAGCATCTGCTCTAGCATTTTTGTTTCCTTTGATATATAAGATTCTGAAGTTGTAGGCGGTCATGGTTTCCGATCATCGGACCTGCCATCGATTTAATTCCTTCGTTGTAGTGAAGTAAACCAAGTTCTTATGATCTGTATATATCTGCACTGTATATTTTGATCCTTTTAAGTATACTCTCCATTCTCTAAAAGCATCTACTATCGCTATGATGATCTCTTGCTTCGACAATCCCTGGCCCGATAGCCTGGTTTGCCACATTCGAAGTATAGCTTGTCCTTGCATCTTCGTTCTACTTCTTCCTTAGGTAGTTTGTTCTTAAACGTTGCATCCAATTGTATTGGTTCTCTATAAGATTGTTTGTTTTCTCGAGGTCTTCCTTCATTCTTGTGGTACTTACCACGATCTCGGTTTCCATGAACATTGGAAGATCGGCGTTCCTTCTGATACTCGTAGAGCATCTCATCCGCCTTAATAGATTCCTCGATTAACTCGTTTAGGTCTTCCCAAGTGCAATTACGATCCAGTTCTAGCCTGACTTCAGGCTTGAGCCCTTTCTGGTAATGGCTCATCGTCGCGTTCTCTTCCCATCCAGTGTTACCTATGTACCTCCTGAATTCCACAGTATACTTGACTACTGACCTTGTTTGTTTGAGGCTATAGATCTTGGACTCAGCATCACACAATTCATTGATGTTCCCGAATATTCGTCGTATCTCTCTCTTAAACCCTTCGAATCTCCCAAAGATAGCTTGAGTTGAGTACATTCGCTTCTTAGGCTCGCTCAAATTGGTGAAATAATCCTTGAGGTATAGTTGGATCCACTTAGCAGCTTCTCTTCTAAGGTAGGAGGCAACCCAAACGCTTTTATCGACGTCATAGTTGAACTTATCCTGATTGAATTGGAAGTAGATCTCAAGTTGGAACAAGAAGGTTTCTAGCTCTTATCGATTGCCTGTGAATCGGTCTGGTAGGGCGACTTTAAGAGTCTCGGTGATGGTAATCTCCTTAGGGTCTTCGGTACCTCCTATAGCGATGTCTCTGTCCTTATTGGTACTTTCGAGAGTGGCCTAGCTGATCGTAGCGGGGTTGTTAGACTATGGTGTTGTGGAAGATATGATGTCGTTACTTATCGAGTCGGTACTTGAAGCAGTAATAGTGCTCAAAGTGTTACGAGGTTTGCCGTCTAGATCAAGTGGAAATGCTCTAGGCTCTCGAAGTGATTTATAACTAAGCTTCAAGCAGGGACTTAAAGTAATGACAATAATGCAATTCGTAACTAATAGTAGAGTATACTAAATGATTGATCTTGAGCACAAAGCTCTATACAAAGGAAATCCATCTTGATTATATAGACCTTCGTATTCTAGCTGATCAGTAGGATCAGTATAGCTCAGTACTGAGCTTGCTGATCCTCACTGAGTCAGTCACATGATATTGGTAACACGTGAGCGTCTTCTTGTTACCCGGCGTAACATTTACCTACATTCTACTTGATCTAGTAACGACTTCACTTCCAAGTGAAGACCAGTGATAAAGCCTTAACCCACAACTACCAACCAGACGAAACCTTAGGCAGCCGCTGCCTCCAGTATAGTATCGTTACAGGATCTAAGGTGTGACGCCTCACACCTCCGGGTCACGTGGCATGCCCCGTTTGTATTTAATCATAGGAAAACTCGCTACTCTTGTTTTCCTTCTTCTTTTCTCCTTAGCTTAGTATTTTCTAATACAAGATACTTTACCCAGTATTCTTGGGTGTGACATAAGGGACCATGTGATTACATAATTGGTCACATGATACGAGATCCGAAGCCTTCGTAACAATTTAGATTGATTTTTTAAAAGACTAGGGCTTGATAAAATATATTTCTATATTGAAAATTGTTTGTTTTTAAAATTTTTGAAAATTTTTATATAATTATATATCTTGAATGAAAAAAAATACTAAAATTATTAAATATTGAGGATTTAATATTAGACTTATACAATGTTTAAAAGATCATGGGATTTTATAAGCTTTGAATAAGCTAATCCGTTTTTTTAATAGATGATATCGTATAGATGGCTATTATAAGCTAAGAAATATAGAAGTAAGATTAGAACATGTTAAAGTGAATGGTTCCTGCGTAGCACGTGCACAGGGCACTAGTCCTACTAGGACTAGATTGAGAAGCTCTCTGTAAGAGAGCTTCGCACTTCCGTAGAACTTTGAAGAGAGATTAACCTACTAGACCAATATTACCTCAGTTCTGCCCTATCAGCTTCCCACTATTCCCTGTGTGAGGTCATTCCTTTTAACAGAACATAATGTTTATCCCCTCATTGCCAAGCGAAAAGTGGGATGATAAATGCATATGATGATGACTCCACACCCAACTGAGCTCAAGCTTGCGTGCGCTGCAGTGTAACACTTACTTACCTTCTCCAGTAATTGGAAAATATATCATCACAATCATAATCATACGAGAAAAAAATGAAATCAAAAAAGAAATATAAACTCAAACATCCCCTTCCGTCTCGAAAAATCACAGCTCAAAATTCCATACCATAATTGAACATCACACTATACCAACAATAAAAAAAAGAGACTACGCACTATGACTGGTAAATTTACCCCTTCATCAAGTCATGCATATCGATCATAGCTAAATCATACTACGTATAGAGGAATATCCACACTTCCCCTTCACACGCCTCTCAGGTGTTGACCCCGCTCCTGAAAATGCAAAATTTCGTCGCATATGTCCGGTTACTCGGGTTGAATTGTTCGATGGGAAGGAAGTGTGGTTATTTACTAAATATAAGGATTGTTGTGAGATTCTTGCTTCGCAGGATTTTTCGGCTGTGAGTGGGGTTTTTATGATTTCTATCTATGTATATATTTATTGAGTTTGGGGTTGAGTGATGGGGGTGTATGGAGGAATGAGGAGATGTGACAGGTTTTGTTAATACTCGGATTAGGATCGGAGACAAGATGGATATCCCGAGATTCATGAAGGGGGAAAAGTAGCTGCATTGGCTTCTGCACCTACTTTTGTGAATTTGGATGATCCGGCGCATTTTCTGCAACGGTAAGTGACTCCTATTTCAATATTCTCTCATTCTAACATCTAATCTTCCATATCAGCAATCGAATACAACCTTTCTTCGAAAAAGAAGCCATAGATAAACTTCGTCCTTTTATCCAATCCATCGTCGATAGAACGCTTGATCAAATGATCGCAGAAGGATGTTCTTCTCCTGTTGATTTGATTCATAAATTCGCAGCTCCAATTCCTACATTGACTGTGTATCATACGTTGGGGATACCAGAGGAGGATATTGAGAAATTGGCTTATGATAGTGAGGTGAGGAATAGTACGAGTAGGAATGCGGCTGAAAATTCGAATACGTAGGTTTTATTTTTATTATTGGGAGTGTTTATCATATGTGAGACTGATGTTATTGTGTAGCAATCTTCAGGGATATATTAAAGAATTGACGGAGAGAAAGATGGTTGACCCGGGAGATGATCTTGTTAGCGAACTTATTAATCAGGTATACTGCCGCGCTTTCGAACCCTTTTTAACTCAAAACTAATACAACGACCATTTAGTACAATCAAGGGATCGGTAATCTCTCGGATATTTCATCTCTCGCGTATTTAGTTCTAGTAGCCGGTAATGCAGCAGTCATAAATACTATTGCACTTGGCATCCTTACTCTTCAACAACATCCCTCTCAACTCTCCGAGCTAATTGCTAATCCGGACCTCGCACCACAAGTAGTCAATGAGATTTGTAGGTATCATACTGCGAGTGCATTGAATTGTAGACGAGTAGCTTTGAAGGATATGAAAATCGGAGGTCAGGTATGTAATTCCTCTGCGCTTAGCTGTAATACCCTTTATTCGAATGAAAAGATAGAGGCTATAGCTAACAGCTAAACAGAAGATTAAGAAAGGTGAAGGTGTGATATGCGCAGTCCAAGCAGCGGATAGGGATGAAGATTTCTTCACGGATCCTGATGCCGAAACGTTTAATATCCATCGGAATCATGATATTAAAGATGTATTGGGGTTTGGATATGGCATTCATCGATGCCAAGCGGAATGGTTGAGTAAAGCTGAGTTGGAGATTATTTTTGGTAAGTTGTGGTGTTTATTTATTTCATGGTGGAGGGGGATGAACCGAAATTGGTAGGGTGAAGTATAAAAGGAGCATGTCAATGTAGGGGCAAAGAGGAGAAGAGTTTACTGATCATGCTACTCATTTAGGTACATTATATAAACGTCTACCAAATCTGAAAATTGCGGTTCCGTTGGATGATTTAAAGTATACACCGCCAACACAGAATATTGGGATATTGGAATTACCAGTGACCTGGTAGGCGAGAGTGGAAACCAATGGCATAGGTATTTTGCGTGGTTGATGTTAAGGAATGACTCCAGGTTGTTTGTCCAAAAGTTGATTCTGGTCGATAGTTGTTGGTTTCGATATTTTGCTGTTCTGCTTATTGGTGCTTGATTCTCTGAAATAGGATTCAATCTGTAACAATTTGGCTTATAATGAAGGAAAAGAAGTAAAATATGGTAGCATGTCCTTATCACCATACTTATTTCGTATCGTCTTCATTTCCTGCCTTACTCAGATAATAAGGCCAGCACTTGCCGACAGAAACACAGCTGTCAATGAAATTCTATGTAGCTTAACTGACCGCTTGGGTTGGTGGTCGTTCCTGCCTTTTGTACATCCTTCCCACTCGATCATAGAAGGAAAGAAGCACAAACACTAACCAAGACTATCTCCTGTCTTTCTTTTCCCAACCTTTACAATAAATCACCACAATTCTCTTATTACAAGATACTTCACTCAACTTACTTCAACTTGCTTCATCTTGCTTCGTATTACTTTGTGTTACTTCACTTTGCTCTGTTCTGCTATCGATTGAACTCATTATATTCCGTCTTGAACAGCATTCAATGCACTGGGTAAGACAACAAGATATGTGTTGTAAGTTCTCATCCAAGTCTCTCTCATAACTATCTGCAAGCCTAGACTTAACTCATTTCTAACATAGTCATTCCAACAGATCCGGGCTTCGCAAGAAATATGAATTCATCACCTGCCAACCCAGATTCAGCAAAACTCGTAAGTCTTTTATATTCACTTCTACTCCGGTTAAATGTCTCTTCTTCTAGAGTCAAAAGAACTATCACATCACCACATTCAATACCCAAGAAGGCTTTGCACATGGAGAAGTCTCATTTTAGACCTGTCGTCGCATACTTTCAATGTCTATTACAAGTGTGATTCTAGAGAAGCCATCCCTCTAACTCGTCATATATGCATTTCCATTGTCCAACACAGATTCAAATATAGAAGCTCAAATCTAACCCATCCCACAACAGAAGTTAGAATTCTTTGCTGTCGGCTACAAATCTGAGCCACCCCTCGTCAACTTCTACCGCTGGTTTGTTCTTCACAGCATCCATAAGCGTTCTTTCAAAAACGGTGCCTTCCAGAAAGACATTCCCTGGGTCATCTCCGGTCCTTCGGCATGGAGAATCGAAAAAATTATTTTCGCCATTTGTGATTCGACTCTAATTACCGATAATGAAAGAGCTATTCTCCTTGAATTCATGACGGAATATCATAAACAACTTGCAGACGAAAGTACCGTTCTATCCTCTGGTTTTAAGACTATCCCGGCATGGGAGCGAGTTAAGCGTATGTTTGACATGAATGATCCTAATCACATTGCTGGAATAGCATGGTATGAGGAATCAACTCGTCAAGGTTTTGCCGTTGATATAAATGTCAAGAAGCCTGATGAGAAAGTCACATTGGACACTTTCAAGAAATCTGAAGTGAAAGTCGCAACGACCGATGTCCTAGACTCTGAGGAAGAAATCATTGATTCTGCGGAATTAATCATGCCCCAAGAAGATACATTCCAAAACATGGAAGTGTACAGAAGGGCATGCTCGATGCGCTCTAAGAAGATGGATTTTGCCAAACAAAAGGGGAAAAAGAGAGTTGTTTCCGGTACGGCTACTCGTTCAACTAGCCCGATGAAGAAGTGCAAAGCAGGCCTTCACGTTCCAGGTCTCAAGATCGAAGGTACGTAAAAGTTTCGATACATTATGTATCTAATCCTAATTCAATTAGACGTTCGTCGACGCGATTCTGGTGTAGAAGTTGATTTTTAGTACGGTTATGCTGGTATAAAGCTACAGTTCATGGTTACTTTATTATTACTCAATGGAAAAGGAAACTTTTATGGTGAAACGCTGTATGTCATTCGTTAGAGTATTGGTCATTCAAATAGTCTTACAAGCTGAATGGGATGTTTGACATTGTTTTTCTTCTTGAGACAATCAGGTTTAATATACTACTTCAGAACATTATTGCCGTCTTCTGCCTTTTGAAATATATTCCTTATCTCTGTGAAAGTGAAGAAGTGAAGAGAGTGTGATGTATCTATATTATCGTTGCTTAATTAAAGTAAAAGAGGATAATATTTCTATCTCTCTTCGCTTTATATTGAGTGAGTGTATTCTATACACAAATATATATACATTCATTTATGTGTATGTTCGTTGGTCTTTTCATTTATTTTTATCATATCATATAACTTAAATCTTATATCATTAATTCATCGTCTCATCATTTATTCTTTCATTCATGATTCAACTTCCACCCGAACCATGTTGATCCTTTTTTTTCAACTACTAAACGAACGTGAAATTCTCCATATTATGCATATGTTGTAAAAAATAGCTTTTGCTTTGCTAGCCATAATATCCTGCTCCGAATATCGCAGGCGGGTATAATAAATCCAAACCCCTAATATAAATTCGTTCACCTACACCAAATAAGATTCACCAATTTTCTTCTCAGTGACCCATGTATAATCACAATCCATCCTCCTCATTCCCATTTCCTCCACTCATCATTTAATCTCTGAATCTCCCTTCCCACTAATGGATTCGGAACCATGCTCTCCCTACTTTGTCTTTTTGTCGCCGCTACATTGACCTTCCATGCTAACTCGACGCCTTTTCTCTCTCTCGCCTTGCTAGCTAATAACATGTAATCATTAGAATCACAAGCTTTTTGGAAAATAGCCCTCATTCTCGGAGAATACAATTGACAGCTAGCCTTTTCCAATCGCTGTGGCGTTTTATTAAAAGTTAATGGAATTGATTTCCTATCCTCTAGTTCTGGAAGTACGACGTCATCGAAACATTCTTCACAGACGGTGAATTCAGGAAGTTGGGTGATGATGTACCAACGACGATCGAACAAATCGGTCGCTTGTTGACATTCAGCGAGAATGGAAAATTTCCGGGCTAGTTTGGCAAGAGCCCGAGTATCAGGGGAGGAGTTGTGATAAGCAGCATCATCTGCAGTTGTTTCTAGAACGTCAAAGTATTGCACAAAGCGTTTGCTGTCAAAACGAAGATCACAGATTCGTGGAATGGAGATGGAATAGTCTGTTTCGATCGTACGGATGAATACCCCTCGGATAGGGGGGAGGAGTACTTCGATCGATTTAACACAAGAATTGCAAACATCAAAGTCTTTTATTGGTGAGGCTGTTTTCGGATCGATTATTGAGTTCCAAGATCTGTTGAATGCTTCGCGTTTCCCAGGACAAGGTGCTTCAATTGCGCCCACGTTCGCGAGGCTATAGAAGATACCGAGATCATTTCTTCTGTCTTTGAGTGTTAAAAGCCATGCTATCCGATACCACGGCGAGCTTCCAAAGTCACATATGATTGAAATGTCTGGTCTGCGAGGAGCAAGTACGAAGTGGTCTCGAAAAGTTGTCGGAGCTATGATCGAATTGAAACAACTTGGACAAATGTCAAAGTTGGGACATTGAGGTAATGTCAACCAGTCCTGATAACCGACTGTGGGATCCATTCTCGGACAAGATGGAAGTGGCGCAACACCACCTCGTCCTACATCTTCTGAATAACGACGATAACTACCGACGGGTCTCTGTAGGTTATCTGACGGGAATTGAGGAGGTTGGAAGGGAGGCGGTTGCCAGTAGGGCTTATCACTGGGAGCTGGGCGTGTGCTTCGTGGCCGCTCATCCTCATATTGAGGCACAGTAGGTGTTCGTTCAGTCTCAACTAGAGACTGAAAATCGATTCTTGTTGGAGTTGAGATTGGAAGGAGTCCGTGATGAGGAAAAGGGGCTGGAATCTGTTGCATTTGTGGAATTGGTATTGGCCCTGATGAATTCGATTGGCGAGAGGATGGTCTTAGGACTGATCCTGGGCTCAATTGATTGAGTCTGTCCGCGTGAGATATCTCTTTTGAGCTGTACAAAGGTGAGCCAGGCCTCGAACTAGGCCTTCGATTTTGTGGGAACGTCTCCGCTCTTTCAAATGGCTCTGTTCTGGGCATTTGATTGGAAGATATCTTTGGAGAAGGAAGCGGGGATGAAAACTTTGAGTGACTGGGTGACCTATTAGACCTTGGGGAGTCTACACGCCGCTCATAGTCACCTTCTTCCCGTAAATCCTTAGTCCTGCGGTGTTCATGCCGTCTGCGTCCAAAACCTCGCTCAGACCCACTGCCTACAAGATCATCTTCACTGCTGCTATAATACTTCGAGTTGGAAGTAGCCGACCTCTTAGGAGAGTATGCACGTTCTGATCCGGATCCTCGCTCCGATTCACCCGCTCGGAGTCTCTCGAGTCTTTTTACATCTTCGAGTGTGGGCTGTGGCTGTGCTGTTCTGTCATTTGAATTCCGCCTGGATCTCGAGGAAGCTTCAAAATGACCACCATCTTTCTGTGAAGCCAGAGGGATCGCGGACCTTGATATGTTGTTAGGGAGATTGCTTTCGCTATTTCTCTTCTCGTGTATGGAATTGCCACGTCTTCTTGAGTTTTCTTGTAGTGGATGGTATCGATGGCCGGGCTGCGCAACGGATTCGAATGTCTCTTTAAATTGACCTCGAGGACTTTGTACTGCATCCGGGGAGAGAAAGTATTCGCCAGTCGAAGTATGAGGTGCAGCATAATTTTTTGGGATTTCGTCGGAATCCCTGGAGCCGTATGCAGACGCACTCCTTCGATATTGAGACGGAATTTCCCGAGGGGCTTTTGTTTGTATATCTGGCAAATCTTGCCTACTCCTTCTTCCCAATGGCGAGGGCTTCAACATAGGCTCATCACCGAATTTGTTTGTCTCATCCTCCTCCGTGTTAGCCTCAAATTTGCTTTCCGGCCTGCCTCGTTCCGATCTTCCCGCTGTTTGCCTATTTTCATCTCTAGATTGATTGGTAGATTCGTCGTTTGAGCTTGTGTCTGTTTCTGGGTCTGGCACAAGAACAAAGCGCCGTTCGGAGTTTTCATCACAATCTTTCGACTCGTTTGGTCTTGGAGTAGCATGTAACCTCTCAGCCTCGCCCTCGCTAACATCGGACTCAAGTATGATAGGGTATTGATCAATGACACCACGAGAAGGAGGATCGTATGAGGAAACGGACGATGGCGAAGATTCTCGTGCTAGTGAAACGGCCTCATCCTCCACTGTTGGTCTTGGTGGAGGTGGCCCTCTATGTCGGACACGACTTTTACTTCTAGCACGTCCACCATCCCGATCAAAGGTACTCAGGAAGCTGGATGTATAATTATTTTGCGCAGGAGGACTCGGGGTTCTTCTTCTATAGCTATAACTAGACAAGAATTTAGCGGACCATGAAAAGCCTCGAGGGAGCTTATCGCGGGAAAAACATACGGCGAAGGGCTTCTGGCTCTAGAAGTTCTGAAGAATCCATTTGCCAACAACTCGTTGACATCTCTTTCTTGTCGTCTGTCAGGTCTTTCCATGCCGGTATCCGTATAGCTTGAGCTGGTAAAGTTATGATAGTACTGGGTGAGGTAGAAGAGGAATTTTACGCAATAGAGCTTGTATCCATGCAATTTAAATGAGATCTAGGTATTGTATTGCCTAGAGATTAGAAAGATGATGAATAAATACAATTTCTTCTGTGGCTGAGAAGGTTTTGAACATTCAAATCATTATTATTCTCTCTCGTAATCTCAATTCTTATAATGATTAATAGTAATGAGCGATAATGGTAGTTTATTTTAGGAGAATGAGAGTTTGAAGTAGCATGATGACGGCACGAATTACGAGTGGTGACTGGAATCCCTTCATTTCTAAGACACACAGACATTTTTCATGTGCCTAAAATCTCTTCATACCCCTCACTTGACCATTAATCACCATGGATCCTACAGATAGAAGATGGACTTGGAATAATCAGGTCCAAAGATACTGACAGTGTAAGACTTAGCAAAGAAATGGTGGGTCAAAGTAGGCACTATCAGCATTGTAGAAGGTATCAATTGAAAATCTAAGACTCCTCTGCATATTTTGTTTCGATAATGGGACCATAAAACAGGCTTATCCACCCTCCACTTCTGATGTCTGTCCAGTAATAATACATCCCAGGCTTGCCATACCCCCAATTTTGACAAGTTAGTTGCCGCAGGTCCCTGGAAATTCAATTCGCCATCTTGATTGCCTCGTGTTTTGCCTTTTTTAGCTTATTGATCAACCATTATCCGTAACAGGACCACAGTGATCTCACAGTAACACGAGTAGGTTCTTGGGACACCCGTAAAGCATTTTCTTAAGATAGACATAAAGTTAAAATCATCAGAAAGATAGGGAAGTGTATTTAAAGTTAGTATTAAGGTTGATAACATGTAATCGTATAATCCCAGTCTGATATATATACCCAGGTATTGCCCGAGGAAGTTGTTCAGCATCTCCACCATGAATTATTGCAAAAATTCTTGAATATCCTTATCCTCATCATCCTCTTGTTGTTGTCTTCTCAATTTCTCCTCCTGGTCCAAAATCTTTCTGATTGTCTGCCTTTGCTTCTTTCGTGCTTTACCACCCCATTTGACATCATTCGAATTGGCTTTCACATCCTCCTCGCTATCAGTATCCTCAGGGATCTTGACCGAGTCTCTGAAAGAATTTGCACCGACGTGCTTTTCTTTCTCCTTCTTTTCCGCATGTTGAGCCCTTGCTTTGGCATATTCCTGCTCCTGCTTCTTCGCGCCAAGATTGATGAAATATGGTCGAATGAGAAGGTATGCTCCAACTACTGCGACAATTCGAATCCATTTTTGGAGTTCCATTGTCTTCAACTGTTCAAAAGCTCCTGTCGAATTTCTATAGAAATTGGTAGCTCCCATTTCTAGGAGATTGGTGATAAATTCCGCCATGTTTCCGATGTTGGGTTTCGAGTCGAATTCTTTATTAAGGTATTGTTTGAGGGTTGAGTTTGGAGGATGGATAATGCGGTAGATGAAGTTCTTAGGAAATGTTGGTTGAGGTGAGTGAGATTGTTCGTGGCGAGCAGTTAGATCTTATGGTAGAAGGAAATAAGAATTGGGACACAGATAACCTGTCAGATGGACTTGAGTGAGGTTCGAGTGGTTGAGGAAAGGAGAAAGAAAAGGTGTCTTTTTAATTTATTGCCAGCAGAGCAGAGGGAATTGGAAGAGATAAAAAAAAATGTGGACTGGCGGGTTTCTTAGCTCCAAGGCGATTACGGCGGTCTGAAGGGTCCTTCCTGGCTTGACTTCGGTAAAACGCGTTCACCATAACTTAAACTTAAGCTTAACGCGACTTTGATCTTCAATTTAGAAGATTACGAGTATTCTCAAGTCAATCTCAGGTTATTCAATTCCCATACCATATCATATCATATTCAACACGCCGCAGATGGATGCTGACCTCCACGATGTGAGTTGATATGGACAATTTCGCGAACTCACAATTACTAACGTGAAAACTTCAGCGGCTCAAAGCAGCTCTTTGGTTCTCAATTGGGAAGATTGTGGAAGAGGAATCCATTCGACTTAATTCAAATGCTACAAACCAATTCATAGGAGCATTAACTGAAATGGTATGGCATCAAATAGGTGTGTTTTATCGTTCTATCCTTCTGTCCTTCTATATCTATCAACATATGTTTCTAATGAGATTCCTTCATAGAAAATGTAACGATGGATCTCGAAAGTTTCTCGCGACACGCTGGACGATCTACCATTACCACCGATGATGTATTACTCGTTACGAGGAGGAACGATGCGTTACACGATATGATCAAGAATTTTATAGATAAAGAGAAGGCCCAATCTACGGGTGAAAAGGGAAAAAGTCGCACCAAGAAATGAAGATTCGCTGTTCCTACTCTTTCAAAAAATATCAGATACCCCGGCGTTAGGAGTTGGAAATAATATATCACAGAATAAATCGAGAGTCATAATTATCTAAATCTTGACTCTTGAGTCTTGAGGTACTTTGATGTTTTAGTTTCATTTCAAGACGAATCCTTCCAAAATCTCGAGTCAGTAACATGACGTGTTGCTCCCTCCAAAGACTGGCCATCAAGGTTCCCCGCACCAAGCCTCCGCATGAATGGACCAGGGAATTAGAGCCGCCCAATACTATGCTATGATCTTACTGCATATCATACATATCTCAAGACCAATAGACCAATCGATCACACAAGGTAATAGATAGATAGGTGATGCTGACGCTACCATTTCTTCGCATTTTTCCTATCTTTCTTCATGTTCTCTTCTTTATACACTTTACAACAACACCTCAAATCGATCTAATTTCTTCACCATGACTGAAATCTCTGCAGTATCAAGAGTATTCTCAATCCCAGAGCTTTTTCAGGAAATATTATCTTATCTTCCTCAATCATGTCTATTGGTTACAGTACAACTCGTTTGCAAAAATTGGGCGATAGCCCTCACCTCACCATCACTTGAAAGAGCTCTTTGCTTTCGACCTGCGATTCATAATGGGCCATCGACATGGTCAAGTCTTTTAGAACAGCAATTCGGTGTATTTTTTGATTTCAGCCTCACATCGAATCGAAATGTAATTGACTCAGCCGCATTTGACAATCTACCTTGGAAGCGAAATCTCGCGGCATTTGTAAGTCTGCTTTTGAAGGACTGATTGTTCTAATTTCCCTTGTAATTTTTGGGTTATATCAGTACTCTCTTTTCCTCGATCCCAGCGATTGAATAACTATCATGCCCGCAACTTACTAACATCATGGTTCAGAAGAGAGCTGACGCAAGCTGGCGCGATATGCTCGTATTCCAACCCCCTGCATATGAATTTGCGATAGAGAGAATTAAGCATGATCGAGGCGGTCTTTCACATCAGACAGTCATTCTCCCATGTCCAGATGGACTTCGAATGGGAATGGTTTGGGATATCGCGCAAGAATGGTGCTTGAGACGAAAACATTGGTTACAAATGACAGGTCCTGAGTACGAAAAAGAATATCGAAACCCCGAGGTTGGATATGCTGAACCGATGATTCCAAAGATGATCCTTCATTGGCATATTACTTGTCCTCGTCGAGGTTCACGGGCTAGTTTAGATGATGATTGGGTTAGTAGGGGTAGAGAGGAGATTGACTTGTTTGAGATATAGAAATTGAGGTTTTTCTATAAGATGTTCTTTTGAAAGCAAGTCAGCCAGAAGCTTTGAAAAAGTTGGATTTTATCTTTCGGCAACAGAATATATCCTAATCCCGATAAAAATGTCACTCACGACCAAAGATTCTAGATGACATCTATGCCTTGATCCCTAGTGTCTCGCCTCCATCTATCTCACCTACACGAAAGGACAAAGACAAGACGAATCATGAATATGAGATACTTCATGATATTCCCCTCATTAATCTCAGCTCACTTCAAAGTCAAAACATTCGATCATGAACATCCTCACCAGAAATTGCCTACTCGAAGATCTCTGCAAGACATATGACGTATGACATATCTAGAAGACTTTCAAATCTAAGTCCTCAGAAGAGGCTCAGGTATCTTACAATAGCGAGAGATTACTTGTGAAGTTATCGAGAATAATCATCAAATCTATTCCGTGCTCAAGGTTACCGGTGGATGGATGGATGGATAGATGTAATGACCTGTGCTCTGTGCTTATTTGCTTAGCACTTTTTGTCTTTTTGTCTCGAGTGAAAAAAAGGGGTTAAGTGGTTTAGTCGTTTAGTCTCAGAGGGTCGGATAACAAAGTCTTTATGGAGATTGTATCCAGCAGGAAGAGGGGCGGGAAAGCTGCGAAGGATTACTTATCTCACAGGGGATTAGTGTTCAATGAATCACCGGCTTATGTGGATCTCGAATGTTGGATAGGTACCTAGGCATAAATATTGATCTCAAGACTAGATATACATGAACATCTAATTCCGACATCTTTCGCACACGCGGTTGCGTGTATTTATGCAAATGTGCTGCATATATCCATCGCATATAAAACTCACATTCCCTCAAATAGATAAAATAATTGATTGGTTCCTTGATAAAAGCTAATCATGCTATCATACTATCATACTTCCTATTCTTCATATTCATATAATCATCTCTTTCAGCGTTGCTTCATACCTAGGTAACTAATACTAATACAAGATTACAATAAACCCATACAATAAACCCCTCCCATCCCTCATCTCTCATCTCTCCTAACCTCAACACATCCATCCACCCCATCACATCACATCATAACCCCCCGCCTTCAGGCCAATCTATCCCCATCCTCCCCCTCATAATCAACCCTCGTACCAAAAGCCCTCTCAAACCCCGTCAACGTAACCCTAAACCTAACATCATTACTCTTAACCTTCTCGACCGCCCTCTTACACCCCTCCTCACTAATATCAATCGTCTCAATCAACGGCTTCACCTTTTTCTGCACGGCCAACTGCAACATCGCCTCTGCTTCTTTCCGCGACCCAATATGTGACGCCGCAATCTTACAGCCATTCGCTACGAAATCCTGCGCTTTTAATTCCGGGAGCGGTTTATCGGGGAGACCGACATTGTGGAATTCGCCGTTGACGGCGAGGGTGGACATGTAGGCTGTGAGATCGAATTCATTCGTCATGTCTGCGCAATTGAGGATGAAGTTGAAGGTGAATGCGAGGGGTTTTTGCCAGTTTTTTTCTTGCGTCGATATGAAATGGTCGGCGCCTAGTTTGAGTGCTGTTTCTTTTTTATTTGGGGAATGGGAGAGTGCCCAGACTTCGGCGCCTAGAGCTTTAGCCCAGAGAATACCGAAATGTCCCAAGCCGCCAATGCCGAGAATTGCTACTTTCTTGCCTGGACCGGTGCCGGCTCGGACAAGAGGTGAGTATGTGGTGAGACCGGCACACATCATTGGTGCTGCATCTATAGATGCAAGACCATCTGGGACTTTGAAGACGAATTGTTCATGAACTCTCGAGTGACTGGAATAACCTCCTTGTGAGAAGATTTGATTTCCATTACTGTCTTTCATGGGTTTATCACTATGACCCTCATCTTCATTATACGGAGCCATATATGTATCCACCATTTTGGGACAATAGTTCTCATTGTCACTTTTGCATTGGGGACATTCCATGCAGGATTGTACTTGAGCACCAACGCCGACACGATCACCTGGTTTGACGAGTGTTACTTTTGGACCGACCTGGACGACTTTGCCTATGATTTCGTGGCCAACGCAGAGGGGAGTGGTGGCTAATTCACCCCAGCCGCCAGTGATGGTGTGAACATCGGAGCCACAGACTCCACAGCACTGTATGTAGATCAGAGAGTCAGTTGTTGCTAATCGATATAGGTTGTTGAGATAGATGTATGATCAATACCATCATAGGACGTCAGATAGGTATTTGAAGTCGAGAAAGAAAATCGGGTATGGGAAAGAGAAGAAATCATGAACGAATTGCTAACCTCGTTGACGATGTCTACGTCGTGTGCTTCAAAGGTTTTGGCTGAGAACTGTAATTTGGGTTAATAAACGGTATGTATGATAAAAGATTGATATTTCAAGGTCCAGATGAAAGTGCAACAATGCAAGCCTCATTCTGAACCATTGAAACTGCGGATATGTTAACAAACGTACCCTTGTCTTTGAGAAATCACTCCATTTCTTAGTGGAAGAGATGGTGAATCCCTCGATTTGATCCGGAACCTTCTCCGACATTTCGATGCGTCTTATAATTGCTTTTGCTTCGTCTTTCAAGCCTTGTATATAATTTTGAAGGAATTGAGATTCTACTTTTGACATTACAACATGTGGTAGATGAAGTTCTTATATAGTTGTTTGAAGTGGAGATGTGTTATATCACAAATTGAAGTCAACAAACGAGATTCGAAGTACCTACCAGATGTAGCGAAATTCAAGCTGCAGGAGTAATGAGCCTCAGGACCTTTGAGTGAGGTCATTCTTTCCATATTTATATTATCCTGGTATTCTCTAAAGGAACAAGGAGAGCCAATTGCAAAAGGGAAAGAACCAATTGCCATGCAACGCACGATGGAATTTTAGAACGGAAAGTGAGTTTGCCAAGTAATGTCATGGCATTTCGACTTGACCATCGATCGAATTATTGAACTTTCGCAGATAATTGATGGTTGAGAGTAGTATCTCCGAATATCTCTTGGGATCGATGGATCGACGTCATGATAAAATGTGGAGGGGGGTAAAAATAGTGACGTGAGTGAAAAGAACCGCTTGTTCGGCAAATGTAGAAGAGTAGCATGAAAACAACAAGATTCCCTTTCTTCTCAAATGAGAACTCTATGCAGGAATTTGTGGATGAAGAGGAGGAGAAAAGTGTCCGAAAAAGAAAAAGAGATAAGAAACTGGAGTCTTTTTTCTCGACTAGAGATATGAAATACTCCGTATGAAATGTGAAATCACTTCTTGACTCCACATGTGATTGATGTGTTCCTTGATTTGATCTGAGGAAGCTGATCCGCGACTCCCCACTTCCCACAGCCTTTTCACTATTTAAACCTACAGAACTCCTATATATTCAAAAGAATGGTAGGGTAAATCCAAGATTCCATCGACGGGATGAACATTAACAAACAATGCCAATAAAGTCAAAACAATCAAGTAGGTTGAGGTCTGATTGAGATGTCCATCTCGATAGAGGATTAGTGATCCGGCAGTTCTTCCATAAAGACCTGGTGGATTACAATTGGGGATGAGTTTAAGTATTTCTGCCGACGATCCGTTGAAGATAGAGTTGGAATTGGGGGTCAATGATTTCCCTTTCTTTATGAAGGCTTGATAGGAAAGTGGATCTCCCAGAATGATATACTCCGCACAGAGTACCATACCGAGTATATATGTTCTTTTCATAAAGAACCTTGACGTCTATCGTTAATCTATCACGGTGGACTTATCTATGGAGTACTGTATGTTAGTCTGTTGACTCGTCAACCAAATTCATCATCCCTTTTCGAAATACGGTTCGCCAAATGACAATCTACCGTTGAAGATCTAGAACATTGCCGTTACATTTATTGGCGTCAATGGCAAGCTCCTTCGCTCCACATCACGGGGGCCAGCTGCCGTTGAGAGTGACATTGTGAATTCGTAATACTCCGAACCGTTTCTCCTATCATAAACGTGTGAGAACAGATTATACACTGTACATTGTACAATGTAACCTTAGACTGTATATCTGTAATCCATAGGCAATCTTTTCCCGGCAACGTCCATCTACAGCATCCCATCACAAGCATTAATGCATCATGCATATATTAAAGTGTCGGGATTACGAAATCACACGTGCACATGGTAGGCGCACGTCCCTTTTATCCGGTTATGTTCGGTAATCACTCTCAGTTGCCTGCTCTCAGTGCCAAGACTGAGTAATTTGTAAACTGGACTTTTTACTGCACCAAACGAGTCGTGTGAGCGATTTTGCTGCCTTTGCCAAATTTCTGTATCGTATTTGAGATCGGGCATTATTCCGGATTTACGGGTTGATGGATTCAAAATTGGAAATGGATGCGAATATGTTGTATGCGAATATGTGGCTTCTCCAAAGGTCCAGCTGGTGTGTCGGTGTGTCTGTCTTGTGTGTGTCTTCATAAGGGGAAGCTGGTCTGGGGATGGCTGGAATTTTATAGCGATCGTGATTAGAAATATGAAGATATCGTAATTGAAACAGAAAAAACACGAAAGCCATGCTGCGTACTGCGTAATCAAAAATGATCGGAAATAGATTCCTTCTTGGTTTTGGCTCCCGTCGTTTGCTCCAGTTGTTCTGACTAGGTTGTTCTTTCCCACTTCCGCTCAGAGCCGCTGGAAGCATCAACAGCGGGGCAGTACCTCACTTGGGCTCTACTACCGGTAAGGATATGCGTTTTCCCTCTGTTTTGTGAAAGGGGTTGAGACATGCTAGCTGGGACTTAGTACCTTACACCATTCCATTCATTACAGAGTACATTAGTCGCCAAAAAGCTGTTGATTGATACTCGAGTACAGTAGTAGCAATCGGTCAACATGCTGAATCACGAATGCCACATCACAGATCACTCCAGAGTCCAACAGTCCGTCCAGAGATACTGTATATCCCTCGCTGCCGCTGATCGACATTAGCCGTTTCCTGCGCTGCGTAAAGATGGCGTTTCTTCTTCATCACCCTCCCCTAATTTCAATCTCCATATTTTCCGTCTATTGCGGAGATGTGGGAGGTGGGATGCCCAGTAATCACATCCTGGACTCTTGTAGGTTAAGTTGTGCCGAGCGAGTCCTTTGCAAGCGGGAACGGGAAATGGTAAGTAAGAATGGTTTAATTCAACCATGAACTCTTTTCGAGATGGATCTGAAAATCTAGGTCAGAGCATCAATGTCTTAGATCTCATTGGATGCCATCCGTAGCTCAGCCCTCGCGAGGGAAGCGTAGTGAAGGAGGGGTATTTATTTAACTTTGGTGGGGAGAAGTTATTGATAATGCAATTAAAGTACGAATGTGATGAATCTTTTTCCACATACCTAGTAATAATCCACCGCACCGATCTAACTACTGCGATGCACAAAGAGAAGATGTAATTTGTGAATCACCAAAGTTTCAATCTTCACCATGAGAAGCACGGTCTTATGTACCTACAGAGTAGACAGATGTGCTTGAGTCACTACTCGTCACTCCCTTACACTATCAAGTATCGTCTGCGTGTTGGACTCGAGCTCATACATCTGCTATGCGGTATGCGGTATGCGTGGACGGCTCGAGTATGTATGTCATGGAATATCGACTTTTGACCTATCATGATTTTTAGATGCGAATAACGATGAAGCTCTGATCCACACGATTCAAAGTTCTGTTTCTAATCTCACATGCCGCCGCCTGCGCTTTTCCTGCTTTCTACTTTCTACTTTCTGCTCTCTGCTTTCTGCTTTCTGCTCTCTGCTCTCTTAAGCTTTTTATCCTTGCACCTTCCTCCACAAAAAAAAGTGCTCCAATAAATCCAAGCTGCTAGGTATATTCTTTTAGTGTCCTCTCTTCAATTTCTACCACCTTATATAGTCAGAACTCCTTCCACACCTTGTCATTATTATTGATTCTTCCCTCCCTTTTGTCATTATTTAATTCTAGCTCGGGATATTATTAGTGCAGATTCAGAAGAAGGAATTTAAATATACAATTTTATCATCATTATTTTCATATCACATGCCAACTCGACCCTTTCATTCTCGTCTACAATAATTCCTCCATACATATTTTACACCCTGTCAATATTCACATGCTTCCCGTGCTCCTTAGGAGTACTTAGCCAATAATTTTTCTGTCTCACTCGAATTAGCAGTATCACAATGGATTCGACATCTGTGAATTTGTTACGATCCGCAGTGAACGGCGAAGAGGATCCAAATTTGTCAATGGGAGACGTCGAAAATTCTTCCGGAGCCTCCAATCCACAATCTCCAGGTGCCAAGTCGAAAAAGAGGAAATCATCTGATGGGAATGGAGAATCGACAAATCCCGAAAAAAAGAAACGTTCGTCGATTGCGTGTACAAATTGTAGAAGTCGAAAAGTACGGTGCGATGTGGAGCGAAGTGAGCGCGTCAATGATGCTGGTGAGAGAGTGTGTAACAACTGTGCGATTGATGGAATACAATGTCTAGTGCCAGGAAGTAAGAGGAGAAGGTTAGTCACCGGGACCTCGGAGCCTCAATCTCAAATTTATATAATTGGTTGACTTATACAATACACAGAACCAAACGAGGTAGCACCGACAATGTTGAAGCAGCTCCACTTCAGGTCTACCCAGATAATCTAGTAAACCCGCAACACATATCGAACGATGGTTTGAGACCAGTGTCTGAAGCTAGCATTGCAAATTCACCTCAACACGCCCTTCCACATTCATCTCAACATGTACCTCATTCAATTTGTAAGTAGGAGCTCGATCAGAGACCGAGATTCTTGCACAATGACATACTAATTTTACCAGACCAGTCAGCCCTTAGTAGAAAGGAAAACTCCGATATTGATGGGCAAAGACTCGCACAACTCGCATCTCGGGCTTCTATTCACGGCGATCTGGTTCGCACACGTTTGGCATCCTCTCCACCTCCCTCGTTAAAACACTCACTCCCGGCATATATCAACCCGCTTCCTTCAAAAATGACCTCTGTGGATATAGAATATCTTTGGGCGAAAAGCGCATTACTTATCCCAGAACCTTCCTTACGAAATTCTCTGCTTCAATCTTTCATCGAATTTATTTATCCATATATGCCACTTCTGGAATTACACAAAGTTTTGCAAATAATCAATGATGAAGGGGCGTCTGGCTCAATGAGTCTCTTGCTTTTCCAATCAATCATGTTTTCTGGAACGGCTTTTGTGGACATGGATAGCTTGAAACGTGCTGGATATCGTACGAGGAAAGCAGCGAGGAAAGCTTTCTTCCAGAGGGCCCGAGTACGTACTGAATTTCATGGACTAGCCTGGAGCAATGCTTACCATATCTAGGTTCTCTATGATCTGGATTACGAAAATGACATGCTAACCGTAGTGCAATCCCTCCTTCTCATGACATACTGGTACGAAACGCCGGAAGACCACAAAGACACGTGGCATTGGATGGGTAGAGCCATAGATCATGCATATACACTTGCTTTGCATCGAGACCCAAAAGGAATGGACGCTGATCATAAATTGAGAAAGCGAGTATGGTGGTCATGTTTTATGAGAGATCGACTCATCGCATTGGGAATGAGACGCCCGACCAGGGTCAAGGATGAAGATTGCGATGTACCAATGTTGACTGAAGATGATTTCGAGATCAAGGCACTTGACCCACGAAACTCGATCATTTCTTCGAAATGTACTTTGATAAGAGATGTTGAGGCTCAACGAGATTTGGCTCTTATGTGTATATCGAAGGCACAATTGTGTTTATGTATCAGCCAAGTCTTGGTAGCACAATACTCGGTCCTTGGAAGACATCAAGGTGTGGTCAACGATGCTGGAAGTACCACATCACAAATTATGCTATTTCCCAAGAAGTCGGCGTCAACAGAAGAGGTCGAACAATGCGATTTAGCACTCGACCATTGGAAGGAAAATCTTCCCCAAGCATGTGTTTATTCGAATCGGATGAAAGATGAGAGTAGTGGACGACCATTATTCGTGGCATGTTCATTATTACATATGATTTACTTTACGGCAACTTCGGCCCTGCACAGGCCACGAGTTTTACCTGCTGGTCCAAATCATTCAGAACCACCAACACTTTTCGAGCTCTCACGTGAGGTGGTAACTAAAGCTGCAGTGGGGACTACAAATATTATTCGCGATATGCATAACTTTGACCTGGAGAGGTACCTTCCCACCACGGGCGTCACAGCTTTACTTCCAGCTATAATTATTCATTTATTACTGGTCAGATCTCCAAAAGAAAACGAGAGACAATCCGCTCTAGACGGATTTTGTCTATGCATGACTGTTCTCGAAAGTTTACGAGATAACTACTCATCAGCTGATTATGCCACCCAATTCTTAGAGGCAGCTGTTAGAAAAGCGGGTATGGAAGATATTATAAGTCGTGCCAGAGAAACGGCAAGACGTGAGGATGCTAAGCGTAAAGCGGCTTTAGCATATGAGAAGCAACGAGCACAGCTTGAACGCATGCAAGGTTCTATGGGTGAGAGGATCACACCACCGGTTGATACTCATCTAAATGGATTTGAGTCTTTGGGGACTCTCGTTGATAACTCAACAGCGATATACAATGGTCACTTGGCTCACTCTCCTCCAGATAGTGATGTTCTCCTTGGTGGGACAGGCTCGGCACTTCCCCCGGATCCAAATGATATGTTCGAATTTTTGGACATAAACTATAATGAAGGTGGTGAATCAGGAGGATTTTACGATATGGATCTTTTCAGTCGAGAGATCCCTGGATTTGGTAGCACGATGCCCAGTCCTCACATGGGAGGAGATAATCTTACATTGTTTGACCAATCATATATGAATGTGATGGGTATGTAAGCTAATGTCTGCGGACTGACGTGGAGAAGTTCCTTCATTTGGTGTTTTCATTTTTGTGTAAAGACGGGCGTTCTTAGACTGGTGTATATGGGAAAATAGCAGGGACTGAAGAGAATTTGATATACCGTTGTATAGCCAATGGTGGCGTGTAACTGGGATGGATTGAGCGAAATTGGCGCTGGATTATGATGGTTAAGGTGCTATGGATGAATGAAATGAATGTCAGTCTTTTTTATATGCATGCTTGGATATTTAGATATTGGATGATGAAAGTAGACTGGACTTTTTGGGAAAAAAGAAAATATAATTTTTTTGGCAACAGGAATTGATGTCTGTCTTTTTTTGTGTGTATGGCTGGCGCTTTTGAATGAGCGAGTGATTTGATGCTTTTATTCTAAGATCTGGTCATCTTGTGTAAGGGTGTTGGGTGATGAAGAGTCTGCTTTGTCATGTTTTTTGTGTATGTGTGGTTTGAATTGAGACTGAGGATATGGCTATGGCTATGGCTATGGCTATGGTTGAGGCGAGGGCTAAGGATCTTTAAATAGAATAGAATAGAATAGAATAGAATTTTAATGGTGATTGGTGGTGATGGTGATGGTGGTGATGGCGATGGTGATGGTATAAGATGAATGTCACGAACCACGTCTAATAATATCCTAGGATGAGAATCGTCCCAGGATTAGTGTCCTGAGGCCAATAGGAGATCACGTGACGTGATAGCTCTGCCAGCCAGCTAGCACAGCTAGCATTCAGAGAAACGTTTAGTATATAGTTAGAGTAGTTTCATAGTTTAGGAGCTTCGTGCTCAACTTAGTTATCAATTAGTTTACCTACATTCTACTTGATCTAGTAACGACTTCACTTCCAAGTGAATACCAATGATAAAGCCTTAACCCATAACTACCAACCAGACGAAACCTCAGGCAGCCGCTGCCTCGAGTACAGTATCGTTACAATGAAATTGGTTGGTATGATGATATGATGGTATGATGGTATAGATAAAATAGGATAAAAATTGGGAATATTTGGAATACTTGTCACTTTAAATTCTTTTTTTTTTGTTGATAATTAGATTCTAGAAAGCATATCTGTATATTTTTTTTATATTTGATAATATTGTTACGACAGGCTACACAACTACCATCACATGACCAAGGCACGTGATCACCAGTGATCATAGAAGCATGAAGGTCTATATAATCAAGATGGATTTCCTTTGTATAGAGCTTCGTGCTCAAGATCAATCATTTAGTATACTCTACTATTAGTTACGAATTGCATTATTGTCATTACTTTAAGTCCCTGCTTGACTGTGACGGAAAAGTCGTAAACGGAGTCAATTCAATTACTTAGAATCTAAAACTAAAGAACTAAGAAGATTCTAAGTAAGAAGGTCTTTATATACAGGGCTAGTGCACGTGAGCCACTATGTTACGTCCAAAACGATTAGTATGTCACATGACCATAAAACATGTGATGGAACGGTGAGGAACGAACGTTCCTAGGAACAACCAGGAACGCTCGTTCCCAGGAACGACGATTCCTAGTTAACCATAGGCACGAAGGACTATATAATCAAGATGGATTTCTTTTGTATAGAGCTTCGTGCTCAAGATCAATCATTTAGTATACTCTACTATTAGTTACGAATTGCATATCATTATTGTCATTACTTCAAGTCCCTGCTTGACGCCTAGTTATAAACCTACTTCGAGAGCCTAGAGCACTTCCACGTGATCTAGACGGCAAACCTCGTAACACACTAGTGGGATAACAACCGTCACGTAACATTGACGCCTAGTTATAAACTACCTCGAGAGCCTAGAGCACTTCCACGTGATCTAGACGGCAAATCTCGTAACACAAATTTTTTAAAAATAAATAATATTTTTTTAATAAAATTTCGTTCAAAAATATATAAAACAATTTTTAAATATTAATATAAATATATATAAATTGATTTAAGAATTGTAAATATTGATTATATATTTTGATGTTTTTTGGTGTGAATTATAAAATGGCTGATAGCAGTTGGCTAGTACTGTAAAGAGTGTACGATGAAGTTTTGCCCATCATTGAAAGACTTCCAACTGTGACGGAAATCCCTGCTTTCCTCCCACCCTTATTATATAAGAAACCTCAGGTACATTAACCATGTCCACACATGATACGATTACTCGAGATTAGTATACGATTTAGGTGACCTGAGGATCAGATCCGGACAAGTACTAGGTATCAATGGTTATCGGTAAAGTAAGATCATTGGAGGAATAAATATGACTTCTTTTTGCCTAGCCATTGCGGCTAGGCTATTCATTTGTGTATATATAGAGTAGCTATCCCCATCTACAGGTGCTCTTCACCTGTAGATTCTAAGTTAAATACAATTGCTGGTCTATAAACACCCTTTTGGTCACACCAACAAAAACAGCAACCGCAACTGAGGACTTTAGGGATTAATTAATGAGCGCTGCTGTCAACTTATTTGAGCCACTGGCCCGAAAAACGTCAAAAAGAAAACAAAAAAAGAAAAAAATAAGCTACAGAGCCAACGGCTTTCAATCTTCAAAAGCTACACTTAGCAACTTAGCAGACTTCTAGATAGTTACCTCACGGCTAAGCGACGAGCAGCTGAAACGAGATGTCGACTTAAAATCAGTATAAACCTGAAAATTGCCCGGTTCACTACCCCTCCTATATCACTCCAGATCATATAAAATTGTCACAAGCGGAGTACTTGGGAAGCCAGTATTTATTTGTGTCCAATGAAATGACATATTATCAGACGATACGAATTATGCACCTGAATTGGGATGTGAATCCAGCTGGTGACTATTCCGGCCACATTTTGCACCTACAAACCAATATATACTGAGCACAGCTCATTTAAGGATTTTTCTGTTAATCCCCTGTATGATGTGAGTAGTATCTAGCAGATAGGCATTTCGTACAGGAATGCTTCGAGGGCAAAAGGACGAGTTCGTTGTGCGGTTTCTAGTACCATTTCTTGATATGTTGAATGGAAAGTCAGACATCAACTGAACATTGGGATGAACTGATTTTCATTGAAGTAGGAAAAGGTGGGAATACATAGGTAGCATACGCATGTGTTTGTTGATAGTTATAGTTATGGCAGCTGGTTCGGAAGCGAAACCACATTTTATCTGTCAGTGGGATGACTAAGCTAGTGTGTAATCTCTTTAGCCCCACCGAGTGACATCTCATTCGCATTCTAATTCAGCCTGGAGGAATCGAACTCTACAAACTGTTGGTTTGAGGGCTGAAAGATGGGTTTTTGATGCTACGCCGCTCCCACACATGAAGGCCTCCCATTTCCACCAATCGAGATGTTGATAGAGAGAAAATTTGTATCTTGGGATTGCAAAGCTACTGCAGCTGACGAGCGACAGCTTTGGTCATGATTGCCTTTTTGGATTTCCATACTAGCAACCGAGTGGTGCAACAGGCATTTCTTTTGTGTGCTTGCAGTTATATAGTTCAAGGACAACCAAAGTTTTGTTTGTATTCTGGATTCAAATCACGAGTGCAGAGCGGGGGATTACTTGATTATTTGTGTCACATTCATATCGCAGCGAGCCTTATCTCAGCTTCCTTTCGCGGGGTTGTGACAAATGACAGCATAGGGAGGACGCACATTTATTGCTGCTCTTTTCCGGCCACACCACCAGCCACGCCCGATGACAATTTCTGATGTCTATTTCTCATATTCCTGCATACACGATCAAATCGGCATCATCTTCGCTTTTACTGGCTAAATCTCTTGAATGTATTTCTGTCATCTTTTGATTCTTTCCGCCCCTGGTTACCCTAACTTCTTGGAATTGTCTCGACACTTAAACAGCATGGCGCAGATGTCCAATCGGAGAAAGCTACCTATCATCAGCCCATGTCTGTTATTGAACCGAAAATGGAAAACTCTGGAGGCTGAGATAAATGCTATGGATCCTCAGCGGCACAATCTTTCTCACTGTACCAAATGCCCATTTGTGACAATGCAATTCCTAGTAAGAAATTGTCGATCTTTTAATATCTGTTCATTCCCTTTTTCAAAAATCGTTCAACTATGTCCCTGCATCACATCTTACCGATCGTAAAGCTTTCGATATGAGAGTCGTAAGGGGCGTCTTTTGCTATATTTACCCTTTTCTGTATTCTGTTAGGAGTTAAAGCGTGTGAAAACGAGGTCGTTAGCTCATTGTGCTGCCGCATTTCCGCGACTCAGAAGGCAACAGCCGCTCAATTCGAATTCTCCAAGAACCTTCTTTTCTTTTATAATTTGAATCCATGAATATAGTACAGACCGCGCCGTTTTCCAAGTACAAACCTCGCGGACCGATATTAACTTGCAGGCTGCATCTTCAAGTCTCACAGCGTTCAGCCCAGCATACAAATCCTATCGCCAAAAATAATTACCAAACACATGATTCTCACATGCTTGGTCGCACGATTACACTCGCGATAGGGAATATTCAAGAAGCAATCGCAAGACGATATCTACCGAGCGACGAATAATTGGTGTTAATGAAGTCAATCAGAAACCGCGAAAGGATGGCAGATCGAATGAATCAGGTCGAGAATCAATACCCTGAAGGTATTCAAAATTGTGCAAACAATGATGATGAGAATTGCTACCCCGCAGATAAAGATTGCGACGCGGAATCCTTCTTGCCAACTACCACAACCCAAGTCGCAATGACAACAAGATTTCCAAAATTATCCTACCAAGGTATCACAAAAAGGAAATTGGGTTCGAATCATTGGGACAAGATACATGAGGCTATTCAAGGACGAAAACGCGACGCATCAGAATGTCCAACCGATTATCAATTGTGCCCCAAATCGATGAATGGAGGGTGCTGTCCAAATAACAGATCCTGCGGCACTAGTAGTTGTTATCTCACCAGCGCAGCTCCTGCGTCAGCATGTGGTGTATCAGGATATACCGCTTGTGGGATTGATGCTGGAGGTGAGTTTTCATTACAAGCAAAATCATTGTCGAGCCCCATCTAATTATCAAATAGGCGGTTGTTGTCCAGATGGCTACTCATGCGAAATTGATGGATGTAGTGCCTCTCCCGGTGTCTCGTACAGCGAAACATGTGGAGTTGGTTCATATCTCTGTCCGTCTTCATTAAATTATGGATGTTGTATGAACGGCATGGGCTGTGGGCTGAATGATTGTTACTCTACGGCGATATCGACTTTCACCTTAACTGAGACCATGACCACGACGGATAGCAATTCAAATATACAGACTCTTACTTCCACATTAGTTACAGCATCCACTCCAGCGTCACCCTCAGTTGCGGCAAATACATCAAAAGCTTCCGCTGTTCCAAAACTTACACCCACCGCGACAGCAATAGCGAAAGTTAAGGCAACTAGCGAGAGTACGAGTGCGCCAACAAGCAATGGCCTTACAAAACCAGAAATAGGTGGGATTATAGGTGGTGCAGCTTTCATACTATTAGTAATTCTCATCGCCGCTTTCTGCATCCTTAGGCGTCTAAAGAAGGCCACGAAAGCATACAAAGAAGCAAAATCACGTACTGGATCCAGTGTTCCTCGATCACACAGACATCGCCCCTCATACCCATCACCATCTGATATGAGTTCGATATCATTCGATCCTCTGCAAATGAGTGGTTCCCAAAGCTCACAGGGCGTCCGCAACAATTCTCACCCAACTACAGAGCCATTCTCATTCGATCGACATGATGGCCCCGAAGTCGTAACTCGACCCATCTTTAACACATACTCACCCTTTTCTCCCCATGCCTACCCCAACATCCTAGCGCGAACAGGTCGGGGATACTACCCAGTAGCCACCTCTGAATCCGCCTACTCTCAAACCTCCTCGGGCCGCCGAAACCCATCGGTAGAATCTACCCCTCCTCTTCAACAGCCACAATCCTACTTTGACATCCCTCCGCACCAACAATCCGGAATTCCCGACTTCCGAAATCAGAATTTACGTCATGGTCACGATGTAAGTCCCGTGCGTCGACCTAGTCAACATGGAAGAAACTGGAGCAACGCCAGTGACGTCAGCGCATCATCATCTAGTCCTCTCGTCGAGCTCGAAGCCGGAGACGACGGAGAACAAAAAGTCTCTCTTGTCAAAGCTTGGAAAGTTTTAGGCATAGTAGGAAATTGGAAGGGGAAAGTTTCCATGAAGAGAAAACATGATAATTTATCTCTGAAAGATTCTCCCACGAGTACTTTAGATCGTGATCTCAAAACTGTGTTGTCGAATGTACCAGAAGAAGCGGGTAGTTTTATGAATGCGACGGAGGCGGAGGGAGATAATGATGAGATAAGGGTTCAGAGACCAAAAAGTAGCGATACGGGGAGGGAATCCCGTGCTTCGAGACCGAGGAGTGGACTTAGTAATGCGGAGTTGAGAGAAGCGAGTATTAAGAATGTGGTGAAGGCAAAACCGAGCAAGGCGAAGGAAATCATGATTCGTAATTCTGGGGGTGCGGGTGCGAGTGCTAGTGTGCCTGGAAATGGAAATGAGAAGGCAGAAGAGGCGGGATATGGAGGGTAGTTTGGTAGGAAGCGTCGAGGAGTATATAGTATTTTTTGAGGGACTGATTTGGTGGATGGAATGGGTGATAGGCTTTGGATTCGGATCGGGGAGTCTTTCTGAGTTATGGAATGCAGATTCGAGGCTTTTATCCTGCTTTTGGAGAAGATTATTCTTTTGGAAAGCAAATACATATTTGGTGTAATTACCTCACGGAGTTGGGAGATTATGTACCTAATTAATGCACAAATATCATTGATTTATCATTTCATGTTATATTTCCCTATAATTTTAGCTATACCTGTGATATTTCTAGTTTCTGCAAGATTCATATATGCTACGACCGAGGTTGACAAAATACCACTAGAGACAAGGCCCTAAGATTGCGGCTTCAAGCTTCCTGAAAACGGGACTGACTATAGAAACCTCTAGGCGCCTTCTCCGCTGTAAAAAGAGCCGACTCTTCTACCAAGATAGACCGTCTAAAGTACAGGGCTAGAAATTAGCACGCTAGAAATAATTCTGTTGATATAATTAGTTCCACCACCATTACTTCGGGTTCCTAGGTCGAGCGAGGAGATGAGGTAAATGAAGAGGGTATCTTGGATATCATTCGAACATACATATACATTGATCAAGAGTTCTCAGAGCTCATCGACGAGGTTGGAGGTAAAGAGTCTGTGTATTTCGCTGCCGCTTTTATCTCTTCTGCTAGGGTGACTGGTGCAATGGGCAAGGGTGAAGAGATTATTGCTGATATGGTTTGTCCCTTTGATTTTCATGTATAATGAGGATGAGGCTTAACTAAGAATGAGATTGCGAATACCAAAAACGGGAAGTGTAGGGGCAAGGGCAGAGGAGAAAGCAGTAGTATGAGTATAAAGATGGATGGATAGATTGTTCAAGCAGTGGCATAATAAATTGTAAAAGATATTGGAACTTTCAGTACTTTGTATATCTCCTTTTAATATAATTTGTAATTTTAAGATATGAAAGTCAAATATCGAGTATACCAAATCTTCTTCTCCTTCAACATCCACCATGATTTGATGACATAGATTCGAGCCCCCTTATGAAATGCAATATGTGAGTTTGTAACAAGACACTCGAAGCAAAGGATACGGTGAACCTACTAATCCAATTGATATATCCATCTTCAAGTCCCTGAAGGCTCCCAAAAATACACCACTTGGAAACATGACATTTGAGCCAAGGCGATGAACTTAAACACTTGTCAAGTAAAAAAACGAGCCGATTCACTACAACCATAACGCACGTCTTTCCCACTTAGGAGCCATAATAATAATACCATCTTGAAAAATACCACCTTTGCATCTTCCTTATTCCCATAACAAATGCCAAAGTGTCATGGGCTTGCTTGCTGTGTAGCCCAGCACTCCGCGACTCCGATTCCCATAGCGAATGACGACAAAATGTTCTCCATTCGATATGGGGAAATACACACCACAACTCTCGGACAACAGGAGATACTACTGTAGTAATTTGCAGAAGAAGAAGGAGAAGATACGGATATGTCAATATGTCAGTATATCGTATTTTCTCTTAGAGAAATGAGAAGAATAGGAAATATCTATCTATCGTCTGTGCTGAGTGATTATCCTAACCCCAGTACTCCACTAATAACATTCAAACCCAGCACAGACAGAACTCCGGAATCTTACCGGCGCTCTGCTGCAAAACACCGAACCCATCAAAATCAAAATATTCCACAGCTGAAATTGATATTTTCATCCAAATTTATCCATTCTGAGAAGATTGCTCGAGTGTAGTATTGCAGATTTGGAATTAATTCTCCATCGGGAACGAAAAAGATATGGACTCGGATGATTGGAGCGGAATTTGAAATGCTTTCATCTAGGATAATCTGCATCTTAATCCAAGGTAATCTTTTGTTTGCTGAGAATACCTAGGTATGCTGATGTTAGGCCATGGCACAGCAAGCACAGTCAGTATGTGGGTGACTTGTACGACCGGCCACCGAGATCTTATATTCATTGTCCTGTCCCTGTACTTTATGACAAATGGACATATATATATATTTAAGATAAGAACGATATTCCTCTCTTCTATTCTTTGATCTCAGACTATTTACTTCCTATTATCTTGTGAACTATTTGAACAGCGTGAATTTGGGCAAAATGAGATTTTTATGTTTACATGGAAAAGGCACCAGTGCTGAGATCTTTTCCATTCAATCAGGTATGTATGCTATCAATTCACAACCTACAATCCTCCCACCTATCATAAACACACACACAGAGAAACAGGTACTAACACATACTTTCCAGCAACCTTCCGTCGTCTTCTCCCCGCCTCATACACCTTTGATTTCCTCGACGGACCGTACACATCCCCACCGGCAGCAGGAGTATCCCTCTTCTTCAACCCTCCATACTACGCCTACTATCACTCCTCCGATCCCTCCGCCATCCGCGAATCCTACTCCTTTCTACAAGAACACATTGATAAAAACGGACCCTATGATGGGGTAATGTGTTTTTCCCAAGGCTGTGCACTGATCGCCGGTTTCCTACTCGATCATCAAGTTACACGTCCACATATTCCTCTCCCATTTACGTGCGCCATATTCATATGTGGCGGAATGCCTTTACCTATAATTGAAGATATAGGAATTGAAATCTCATCTTCCGCGCGAGATTTAGAAGATCAATCCGTCAAAGAACTTTTTGCCACAGCAGCGGCGGTCGAAACTGCTAAACCGGGTGATGATTATTGGAATACCAAGGCGGTAAAGACGTCGATTTTGAATGTGGAAGATGTAGATTTGGAGAATCCGTATGCGTTGAAGGTTCCCGAGGGTTGGAAAATTCAAATTCCAACGGTCCATGTTTATGGGAGGAAAGATCCGAGACGTCTGGCGAGCTTGAATTTGGCGAGCTTTTGTGCGGGGAAGAAGAGGGTTTGGGATCATGGGGGTGGTCATGATATTCCTAGGTTGTCGCATGTGTCGAAGGAGATCGCGGGATTGGTGAAGTGGTGTGCGAAGACTGTGGCGGAGGAGAGGGAGGCGAAAGGGTTGTGATATGATGTGATGGGATGGGACGGGGGATGTTACTTGTAAGATTATGGGTTTTATAAAGTTTTACTGATGTGATTAGAGGAGTTTATTCAGATGGTTCGGGGAAAATACTTAATAGAGAAGATCTAGAGGACTTGGAAAATGCTAAAGATAACATATTTAAGCTGACTACTTCATTTTCTCTGCATGATCGCCCACTTTGCTACTACTCCCAGTCTGAAACTTAGAAGAATACCATCCATACCTAGACATCAAGACATCCTCACAACAATCACCAAGCTAAACCGAGGATAGTTTACACCAAAACATCCACAAAAACCCAATTCCACCACCTCTCCACCCTCCTCACGGCAATATCTTACCCCCCTCCCTCCTCCCCCTCGCCTCCTCACTCAACCTAAACGACCCAAGCGGCACCTTGATCTCCCCCGCATACCCTACATCCCCTCTCGCTTCCCGTAATTTAGTCGTGATTTTCCCGACCATTTTTGCGATCCAGCGGTCATTTATCGCGGTAGTGAGGAGAGATTTTTTCATTCCTTTTTGAGCCTGTGAGTTTGGAGGTGGGGGTATTAGTTTGTGTTTTTTCTTGGTTGGGAAAAGGGAAAAAAAAACAGGAGGGAAGAGAAAGATGTGAAAGGAGAAATGTGGTATATTACATACATCCCTCACACCACCTTTAAAAACTCCCACCAGATCTTTAAGTCCACGAATCTCTTCATCCATCCATCGAGACTCTACTTCCATATCCATCACCTTGCTCGCTTTTACTACGCTCGCTATCCAGTCTAGTAACTCCTGATCCATCACTACTGGTAATCGCACATGTGCTCCTATCTTCACTATACATTCATCATTCTCACCCTCATCCTCATTTTCATTCTTCCCAACACCTTCTCCCCTCATCTCAGTCTTAGCAACCCCCCCAAACTGCCCATCCTGTCCCCTACCACCATTTCCCCAACAAAAACTTTCTTCATGAACAGGCACTACAGGTAAAAGATGCTCATGATGCGGAAGCAAAAAACTCGGAATCTGGAATGAAGCATCCGCACCTCCAAGTCGCAGTACTTGTTTGAGAGTTGCGACGGAGGAAAGACTTCGATAGGCTATTATACTGCTGCTGGATATAAAACAGTGGATGTCGTAGGTGGGGAGGATGGAAATTTGTGCATTGCCTGTGAGGGCGCTGAGTTCGAGGACGAAGTTGGCGGGGAGGAGCCAGTTGTTGATGCGTTGTTGGATTTGGGGGATGGTGATTTTTTCTTCGGGGGCGGGGGCAGGGGTGGGGTTGGGAGGGTTGGTTGGGCTGGTTGGGGGTGAGAAGATCGGGGTTGGATTGTTTAGTTTGGATGTGAGGGAGGAAAATGTTGAAGATGGATTAGTTAGTTTGGAGGTGAGGGATGAGAATGTAAGAGATGGATCTGACAATCTAAATGTCGAGGATGGAAACGTCGAAGCTCTAGGAGAGGAAGGTGGCGTAAATATATCAGGTTTGAAGAGTTTCTCCGAGAGGATTTCCTGGATCCATTTTCCAGACCCGGTAACTGTCACAGATGATATTTTCACAGGATGGAAATGAGCGATTGGGCTAAGTAGAAGACGGATGAGCATGGGGAGACGATGGAGAAATGTCCGTATATGCGGTGGGATTAATGTTTGGAGTGTTGTGACTTTGATGGATCGAGTTGGAGGGTGTGTGATTGAAGGTTGACGGTGGAGTTGTGAGCAGATTGCTGCGCGGGTGTCTTTATTGCTATTTTCGCTCACTGATGCCGGGGCTTCGGTGCCGTATGCCTTTTTCCCTATACCAGAATTGACGAGACGTTGGACTTCTTGACGACAGGTTTGAATACTGTTTGTGGAACGGATCGCATGGATGGTTTTGTGGTATTGATCGTTGGCCGCTTTGGTTTCGTCTGGCGCAATGGTTTTGATGGTTTCGATTCCTTCTTTTATATCTGTATCTTTTGGTGCATGACCGTCTGTTATCTCGTTCTTTACTGATGTGTTCCATTTCCTCTCAGCCTCCAAGTTTTGCTGTTCATTTTGAGCATTCCTGTTTCCGTTCCCATTTCCCTCCACAGCCTTCAACATCTTCAAATCGACCTCCGATACCTGATCACCTGCCAACCTCCCAGCACCAATCCTCTCTTGTACATTTTTAAAACTCATTCCCCCCTCCCCACGCTTCACACTTGCAAAACAATCGCTCACCTCAATTCCCCTCCCAAGCTTAACCACTACCTCCTCACACACAATCCCCACATCAATAATCTCCCCATCCTTCCCCTCACCCACCACAAATTTCAACCCAACCTCCACCCCATGAACAATCAAACTCAACTCACTCAAGATAACCGTGACACCCCTAACCACCAACAACCCATCAACCTCCGTATCAATTTCCAATCCCGGGATATCAAAAATCCCAATGCGATCATCAATAAACTGTAAGCCCCAAGTCTTCGATAACAGTATCTTCCTCAACTGTCTCCTTAACAGCTGTCCCGCGATCGGAAATTGAAAAAGACATATAATGGGTATAGAACCCCAACACATAACCGTAAATAAATAATAAAAAAGCCAACTAGTGCTACAGATACAATATATTAAATCAAGCGTAGTGGTCAAAGACCAGAGAGGAACAGCGCGCAAGATACGAGAACAAGCAGCTGAATCTGTGTCCGAATTTTCCCACCCCTGACTTCCCTTTCCTAAGTTTCCTGGTCTCTTCTCCCGTCCTCTAGATCTCCCTCCCGCGGCTCCAGCTAGTAATACAGCTTCTAAAATCGGCGCACCAGATAGCAACCAGTAAATTGGCCAGCGACATGGAATACACAATCCCAAGATTAATAGTAAATATACATATGGGGAAGAAATCAAATAAACAGAATTATGATATAGACTATCGTTCCTCGGGCTCAATGATTTACTATCCATTCTTGAGTCCATGATTAATCAATCAACTTTTCCTTTTGACTTTGAATTTGAGTTTGAATACCGCGAAGTTAATAATCTTAGATATTAAACGAAATTCAAATAACCTTCATCCCATCCCATCAAAAATAATCCACAGACAAGACACAGCTGCAATTCACAGATGCTTGTGAAAGTTTTTCAGATCCTTAGAAATGTGAAATGAAAAGCTTATATAGAAACGACGTCATGACGGAGCTACTCATTGACTAGTAAGGTAGAACTTAGGTTTCTTCACAAAGAGCACTAATGGATAGTCTCATTTTCAAGTGCAAGCGCAAGCCACTGAGAATAGATCTCTGCTTGATTCTCTTTCAAGGTTTTGTTAGACTGGAATTTTTGTTTGCTTTGATGAGTTAGTTTAGTTACTTTTTTATTTTTGAGGTGAAAAGTTATCAAGGGAATATTGATGTGCATTTCACTTCTCCGTTACACTTCACACTTCACACTCCACACTTTGAATACTTTAAAAAATGCTTTCATATAGGTATCATACTTCATATTCATTCCATCCCATTCATCCATGAATACATAAAACTAACTAAATATACAAAAAAGCCTTAAGCCTGCAATAATACAATGTAAAAAACCATTAATCATAATAAATCATTAGTCATGTGAAAGATATCATCCCTTTTGCTTTCCCACTTCCTGCCTTGCTCAATTGCTTTACAAAACCCGATTGTTGGTATTGGCGTTTCCGAATTCAGAAGTCTCTCCCAATCTGTTATCGCTATAAACACCATGGGCACCTGATGACCTAGTCAAGCTAGAGCCATGGTTGAGGCCAGTGGTTGTGTTGTGCCCAGTAGTTGTGTTGTGCCCAGTAAGACCAGAGTCATAACCCAAACCTGAAGTACCGGTGGATGTGGTGTTGCTTCCAGTAAAGCTAGAGTCATAGCCTAAACCCGTGTTACCGGTAGATTTTGTGTTGTGTCCAGTCAAACCAGAACCGTGGTTAAGACCAGTAGTGTGGTGTCCAGTCAAACCAGAATCTTGGTTAAGGCCGGTAGTGTGGTGTCCGGTCAGACCAGAGCCTTGGTTAAGACCAGTGGTGTTGTTTCCAGTCAACCCAGAACCGTGGTTGAGACCAGTGGTGTGGTGTCCTGTCAAACCAGAACCTTGGTTAAGGCCAGTGGTGTTGTGCCCGGTAAGGCCGGAGCCATGGCTCAAACCAGTAGTACCGGTTGATGGACCTTGGTTAACACCGGTGGTGTTGTGTCCAGTCAAACCAGAACTATGATTTAAGCCAGTAGTACCTGAGGATGCACCGTTGTGCCCGGTTAAGTTGTCATGATTCAAACCAGAACCTGAAGAGGTGTTATAGGTGTTCTCTCCCAAGCCAGAGCCATGTGTAGTGGCAGTGTTACCCAACGGAGCAGAGTTAATTTCATGCTCTAATTTTCTGTCCTTGCCGTGCTCATACCCACCATCAGTAGCGAAGGTGCTTTCTTCAGGATGAGGACGCCCATTTTCGGAGTCTCGGCGGCGGTGTTCATGCTGATCGATCTTTCCTTCTCGGAGGGCTAAGTTTTCCGCAGGATCATCCATGACAGGGGCAGTGAAGATATGGTCAGGTCCTGTGGAATTATGAACTGGGGCATCAATGCTGCTCGATTTGTGATGACCGTAGGTGTTGTGGGGATCTTGGACATTTCCGCGCGGAGCTCCTGGAACACCACTTCCTACTGGACCAGGCGCAATTGTGTGACCGCTTTCATGGGGAAATCCGGTGGGTCCATTGACACCACGGTTTCTCTCGACGCCATGGAGTTTGTCTCCAATGTCTTTCCCAACGGGCTTGTGTTCGGTACCGTGAGCGTTATGATGCTTGTTAACTTCATAAGCTGTTCCAGCAGCTCCAGCAGCACTACCTGCGAGGGCGGCATCTCTTCCATAGTGATGCCCTTCCTTGGAGCGATCACTATCAACTCTTGGGTCTACCTTGTTTTCAAGGTTTGAAGAATGAGGTCCAGTAGTAGTATTGGTGTTGTTGTTGTGGTGATGCTTATTAGCTTCGTAGGCTGTTGCTGCAGCACCACCTGCGAGAGCGACATCTCTGCCATAGTGATGTCCCTCCCTGGAGTTGTCACTGTTAACCCGTGGATCTACTTTGTTCTCAAGGGTTGAAGAGTGAGGCCCGGCAGTGGTGTTTGTGGTTCCGTTGTTGTTGTGATGATGTTTGTTGACTTCATATGCAGCTCCGCCAAGACCCCCAGCGACGGCCGCATCGCGTCCATAATGATGGTTGTGTTGATTTGAAGGATCGCTATCCACTCTTGGGTCTACCTTATTCTCCAGATTTGAAGAGTGAGGACCTGTAGTAGTGTTTGTATTGTTATGGTGATGCTTGTTAGCTTCATATGCAGCTCCACCAAGACCTCCAGCAACAGCGGTGTCACGTCCGTAATGGTGATTGTTTTGCTTGGACAGATCGCTATCCACTCTTGGGTCTACCTTGTTTTCAAGGTTGGAAGAGTGAGGACCAGTAGTAGTGTTTGCACTGTTGTGATGATGTTTGTTGGCTTCATATGCAGCTCCACCGACACCGGCAGCAACGGCGGCATCACGTCCATAGTGATGATTTTGTTGCTTGGATAGATCGCTATCAACTCTTGGATCCGCCTTGTTGGCCAAGTTAGATGAGTGTGGTCCAGCATTGGTATGCTGTCCATGGCCAGATTCGTATGCTCCAACAGGAACTACGCCAGCACCAGCTGAGGTACCTGTAGCACCGTGAACACCATCAGCCTGTTCAGCTCCACCGCCCTCAACGCCGAGTCGAGAGTTAGCTCCGTGGCCGTAATGAGTGTGAGAATCCTCAGTTGGGACTCCGGAACTACTCAAATTAGGGTCCAAACGATTCGCGGTCGCCGTGCTGTGAGGTCCTTGACTTCCCCCAAGACCATCTTGAGTGTGTTGGTTGTTGTGGTGATTGTTGTGGTGGATGCCCTCCCCAACAGCTCCTGCTGCACCAAGTGCGGCAGCATCACGACCCAAATGATGTCCCGAAGAGCCGGACTCAGTTGTGCCATAAGCGTCCTTAGTACCATATCCCGAAGAAGTCTTATTAGGGAGGCGGTTTCCATCCAAGTCAGAATCGACTCTTGGGTCGGCGGCATTTAATGCAGCGGAGTTATGAGGTCCATGGGAACCCTCAGTATGTCCATGGGTTTGATTTGAACCAAGACCTGTATTTTCATGCTTTCGGTGTTCATGTTCTGCCAAACCAGCAGCACCTACTGCTCCACTTCCGAGAGCTGCATCTCTGCCAAGGTGATGATTGCCGTGACTTCCAACGTTGTTTTGGTCAAGTCCTCCTGATGTATGACTTACGCCAGCAGGTGTGGGATTCATGTGAGAGGTATTGGATGTGTGTGTGGTATTAGTCGTTGGATGAGTCGTAGAATGGGAATCATTTCCGACATGGCTTGCTTCGCCGGTGTGTGACAGTGAACCATGCTTTTCAGCCTTCTTCTCCTCTTTCTCCTCGACCTTTTCCGCCTTCTTCTCTTGCTTTGCCTCTGCCTTTTCGGCTTTCTTCTCTTCCTTTACCTCCTTCTCATATTGTGGTGTAGTGCCGTGACTATGTGAAAGTTAGCACAGCAGCCATGTTGAAAAAAGTATAGTTGTGTAACCTACAAGATTGCCTTGATCTTATCCATAATTGCAAATTTGAAGTTTGTAATCTAAAGTATGTAGTTGGTAGTTGATGAATGTAAAAAGTGTGATATTAAGTTTGTAAAACTAAGGGGTATCTTAAGGAAGTAGTAAATGGTATATGGAAATAAAATCAAAAAGTATCATTCACGGCAAGACTGAAGTATTTATAAAATTGTCCTTGGTCCACGACGCGTCTCTGTGCATCTTTGACAAGTATTTTGACAAGTCAAATCAAGGTAAATTGAGGGGTACATTTTTGACATGAACGATGTCGTCAGCCTCCGCAACTTAGCAAAACATGGGAGAAGTTCAAAAACATCCCGTCAGTTTGGTCGTTGAAGATACACGGGCTGAAGGCCGGTCAATCACCAATTGGATAACAGAGAGATTGAATGATGTAAAGTGGAATAGCCCCGGAAGTATGGCGCCATAGACCACCAACTGTGGTGGAGTTCAAGCGTACGTATAGTTTGTATCAAGGTCATGTCTAGAAGAAGCTCTCCACATTAGCTTTTCTCCCAGAGTTATCTTGCCGCATTTCGATGCGCTAGTTCCCACTATCAACTCCAACATGACATTCTACCTTGAATTCTATCCTCTTCTCTTCTCGTGATGCATGATGAAACGGTGAATAAGATCTACCGGTTCATCGGCCCTTCCCAGCAAATCACGAAGCCCGATTCTGGTGGGTGGACTCATACCGATATTACCCAGATATTCCAATCGAATCAACGAGAAGTGGGAAAGAAAAAGATAAAGTTGGCAGGGACCCGCAAATGATCGGTTTTAACCCTGACGGTGCCTGCAGTCTCTTTCATTCCAAGTTATAACTGCCCCCGCATATTCGTTATTAGTCCCATGTCCCTCTTCAGCCACTGTGGCGCTTGACATCATTTGAAAGCATGATCGATCATGATGACTTCAAATGTTCCAAGTTTTGTCCTTGTATTGACAAAACGAGATTGAATCCAGCCTTAGTACCAGGAAGATACTTATCGATAAATTTCTATTAATGAAAGAATTCCCCTTGAAAACATTCTAAGAATTTCTTCAAGAGATACTATGTTACGTCGGACTCCACAAGCCCATTACCACGTGATTCAATCACGTGATGGACCCTACATAATATGCACGAAAAATAAAGGTCCAGCATATTCTTAGGTCCAGGACCTTTCGGGGTCCTGAAGGTCCATAGCATGAAGGTCCATATAGTCAGGACGAATTTCCTTTGTATAGAGCTTCGTGCTCAAGATCAATCATTTAGTATACTCTACTATTAGTTACGAATTGTATATCATTATTGTCATTACTTAAGTTCCTGCTTAACGCCTAGTTATAAACCATCTCGAGAGCCTAGAGCACTTCCACGTGATCTAGACGGCAAACCTCGTAACACAAACCTCGTAACATACTACATCTAACAAGGAATTTAAATCATATTTCAAAAATATCATTTTTAAATTTTATAAATTAGTATTTGAGATTAGATAATAAATATAACTTTTAAGATTTTCATACCAAAAAAACATCCAAACAATATTATAAAATGAAATATTGAAGAATTAATATCTTGAAGATGTAAGATATATATGTATCATTAGCAAAGGCAGCAATTGTTATAGAGCCAGCAGCAGGTGGTCTAAAGTCATGCAACGTAGAAAATCTAGGGGTCAATTGGTAATTGTTGTATTCGATAAATGTTACGAGGTTTGCCGTCTAGATCACGTGGAAGTGCTCTAGGCTCTCGAGGTAGGTTTATAACTAGGCGTCAAGCAGGGACTTAAAGTAATGACAATAATGATATGCAATTCGTAACTAATAGTAGGATATACTAAATGATTGATCTTGAGCACGAAGCTCTATACAAAGGGAATCCATCTTGATTATATAGACCTTCATGCCTATGGCTAGTCAGGACCGCTGCGCGGTCCTGGACAGCCAGCGTTCCTGGACAGCCAGCGTTCCTCAGCGGTCCATAACGTGACTTTAATCACGTTACCTTGGTTTAGTCATGTGACGCGGCATAGAAGATAGCCGTTGTAACAATAAAGAGGAAAAGATCTTAGAAATCTTTTTCCTTTCCTATTTAACTATAAAGGTCTCTGCATTAAACTAGTTCTCCTTCGCTCCTGACATCTAATACCCTCAAATTTTTAAGCATAATTCCCATCATTATTCATTACTTACGTTCGTCCCCCCAAATAATAGCCCCCCCTTCTTTAATATGATAGTAGCGATTGGACGCCGGATCTAAGATCCAGTATCGTGATTGTGGTTCTGCACTCCTTTCCAGTACACCCTCTTGTTCCTGTATGTGCGTCTTCCTCTCATTCCCCCTTGAGCCTCGGCGGCTACGAGTTTCAGAAGATGAAGTTGAACGTCTTTTTTGCTGTTTGGGTCCATGGTCCGATGAGGATAGAGGCGGTGTACGACATTTTAGCTGCCCCGAGACACTCTTCCTATTCTCCTCCAGAAGAAAATCCAACGATCTTTGGATCTCTTTCAATCGTTTGTCCTTACCCCAGTCAATAATGTTCAAAACATGTTTTCGAAACTCGATGTAGTCTTTAGGGTTTTGGAGTAAGTAGCTGTTGAGCTTTTGTACGTAGTAATCGAGTTCATTGTGTTTCCAGGAAACATAGAGACGAGCTTCAGTTCCGCTCATGGCGATGCTGAAGGCTGTAGTATCGAGCAATGTGATGTTCTCGTTTTGACATTGCCTGAGTTGTTGGTTAAGTTTTTCGGCGATGTTGACACATGAAGCGGATGCTCCGACACATTGATTTGTTGCCACCCACAAACTACCAGACGTCCCAGGATCATCAGCCTTAAACTCAATGGCAAAAAAGGGATACAAGAGATCACGAGAGTTGGCCGCTATCTCATTTCCCAGATTACTAAGTTGTATTTGTTGTTCCTGGGGAAATGCTGAAGTTCTTTTTATAACCGTAAAGCATATCAGGGCACGGATTGCTGATTTTGTAAACCGAGGAGGAAATAGGAATAGCATGCTTAGACATTGGATTTCTGTCAGTATGGATTAATGGATCCGATACTTTGGTATGAGGGAATATGTTGTTCTTGAAATAATTTTCGATATCTGATTCGCCCGTTGCCATATCCAACTGCTGCAAATCCTCATCTTCCTCGATTTGTTGAGATGTTGGACCAGGGGAATCACGATCTCTTTGTAAATGGTCAACCAAACTGTTGACGTGTTCTGGAAACTGTTTAGGGTAACTGTTTTGCAAGAAGATATGATTGGTGCACAAGTTATTGACTCGGTAGAAGGGATCATCGACCAAGGACCGGCGAATTGATGCTGGTGTTGACATGGATACAGAATTTCTAGCGCCAGCCGGATTGGAACCGGAGTATAGACTCGGTGTTGGTGGAAGTATAAATCCATCATTGTCTCGTTTAGGCACGGAGCTACCCATATCTTCTTCTGTATATGGCATATTCGATATAGATTTAGCAGGTCTTCTCGGTATGTAGTCGTCGTTTGAGGGATCGAGAAAGCTGCCCGAACGACAGTATGTTCGCCGGTCTGATGCTGATGCAGCGTCCGAAGTAGATTCAAGCCAATGTGTAATAAAATTATCGACAGATTCAGAACAATATCGAGATCTCTTCGAAGGGGAACTGGGAGGTGGTTCTGCGGCAAAGCTTTCGAGAAATGAGGCGTGCGACCGCTTGAGATCAATAGGCTTTGGCTGTTGTTGCATTGTTAGCATGAGCATCTCCATTAGCTGCGACGATTCTGGCATACTTCCGTCTCCAGCTCTACTTTAAAGGTTGGGGATCGCAGTTCCTGGTTCCAGTCACCCTTGGCATTCAGCAACATTTCCTCTGATGAGGAAAGGGAAAGACGCATTTGATATGAATTTTGCAAACTGACCATCTTGGATGATTAGGTATGGTACGGTATATGCGACCTGGAATATTTTGGTGAAGATAAACTCGTATCACATCAAGTATAATTGCTGATCAGCTCAGGTGGCTGCATCTTGTAACAGGCTTCAATCTGTTGGTTGACGGAGAGAGAGCGGTAGAGCGATGTCTCCATAAAGTAACTCACCTACCCCGTTCTACGCTTTTCCTAGTATAGAATAAGCTTATTTGCTACTGATATTCACACGCATGCTAAAAATTGCTTACAAGTGGGTGTAATAAATAGAAGCGCCTTTGTTATGGGAATGAAGTTACTACCTACTCCGTCGTAGTGATCGCCGAAAAAGATAAAGCGTGTTAGACATCCTGATCATTTGTTTACTCTGTATAAGGCAGAGCTTGACGCAAATATGTTACTCTTTACAGCATCGGCCAGTCAAAATCACCATGCCATGAGTATCTCGTGATGTGATGAAAATTGTTGCATATCTATTAATTTGGAATTATCTAGAATTATCTTCAATAATTTGGAATTACTCTTGCAAATTTGACAACATTTCAGTCAGGTTCATTCATACCTATGCACACATACCTAGGTAACCTTAGCAAATCAATGAACGATTGCAATTGGCCTCATAATAATCCAAAAAGACTCAAAAGTTCCAGATGTAGTCAGTCCTTGGCATTAGTTAAATGGGCCAATGATTTCCAATCTATGAATAGATTCTGTTCCTTAACCCACTCTCGTACATTCGCTGCCCATGCCTTTTTTCACGCGCATTTTTCCTTCAGCTGAAATTGTAGGGTAGCAGTTACACCACTTCTTTGCCAGTTAATACCTACTAATAACTCTCTTTCGTCGACACGAGGACAATCCTGATGAGAACAATACTTACTATTCACGGAATCGGTATAACTCTCGGGCCGTAATCAGACATCGATTCCTTTCCTCCGAAATGGTGATAAGGTTACCAAAACGCGGGGGATCGGCTGTCCGACCTCAATATTGGCATTTATACGAGTATTAATCTGAACCTTCACATAGCTACTTTTTTACAAGGAGTGCGAGGATCGGTAGACAAAGAAATGAGCAGGATGGTCTAATAAGCATCGAGATCCTGGATTGTTGGGCTCGACCGTTCGAGGGTAAAAAAACCCACCGTTGCTAGCGCTCTTCAATATGAATGAAATTTAAGGTATTGAGCAAGGCTTCTAACCGACCTCTCTTTGCTCCATACACTCAGACACTTTGAATGTTTTAATCAAATACACGGGCTCGAGCCCCAGAGTCCAACAGCCGAGATATATGTTGGCCAGTCTTGACTTCCGTCCTTAACCCTGTGAAGGACCAATTCCGAGTACTACCGGCAGACACAAATGTGCCCAAGAGTATAACTTCATACTGTGTAAGGTTTCTTCAAAGCCGATACATCAAGTCCGTATGCATGCTACCTGAGCTTACATCAAACGAGATTTTACCGTCCGAACAAATACCAGTGATGCAGGCATCTTCAAATCTCCACTTCGAAACCATGAATCTCGTATCCACTACTAGTCAGGGCCTCTTACCTCTTTAAGCTATCAAAGCCGGTGCATTTCACGGAAAGAGAAAGGGTGCCCGGACGAAGGATAGTTGCTCGAGTACAGAGTAGGATTCCATGGATGGCAAAAGGCACCAGGGCCTTACCCCGCACGTCGTCCTCCCTGTCGGTGGCCTGTCTGTCATCTGCAGCGTAGAAATCATTTTGGGTAACATTCTGTCAGATGTCGTGTAACCATTCGCGCGCAAGTAGACCAACATTATTTTGAAATTCTTCCTATATGCTCGGTCTTTTGTATCCAGTCTCTGTATCATAGAACGAGGTATTTTTCGAACCGTTTGTGCATCGGCATATATATATATATACTCCATATCTTCCACTACCATGCTTCTGTATACCAGAAAGGCACCTCCAAAAGTTCCTAAGAAAAGGTCAAGAGCCGGTAAGTATTTTGGTTTACTACTTACATAAATTGCAGCTAACATTGGTTGTTATAAAAGGTTGTATATATTGGTGAGTTTCTTTTTTCCTTCAGCTGCCCTTCGCCTGTGCTAATTGTGTCCATAGTAAGGAAAAGGTACGGATCACCAAGTATCAATCCACGCAAATCTTTAACAACAACCGCAGAAGAAGAAATGTAACGAGGTGCGACCACGATGCGATCGATGTACAGATCGAGGTCTGCAATGCCAATATGAAGCAGTAAAGCCACGGAAACGAAGAAGGGCGTCGTCTGCGGAATCTGCACTTTCGCACGAATCCGGCTCCCCGGGTTCTGATCGCGAACAATGGCCGCGACAATATCCACAAAGCCTCAGCATAATTACAAATAAAGATGTGGAAAATGTACAAAATAAATGGGAGGAAAAAACACAATATCCATTATCTGCAATCTCCGAACATTCGAGTTTTACCTGGGGAAGCTTTTACGAGAATGACGACGAAGTGGAGGAGATACCACGGGAAGACCTATATGTCAATTCTCCTCCAGCCGGCACACTCGTTCGAACACAAAGTCAATACCCAGATTTAGCAATGATTGCTCCTTCGCCGGTTGCTTCTCCTCTTCTCGCATTTAGTTCACCAGTATTTCTAGAATTTGCAGAGACGAGAAATCGCAGGGCTCTCGTTGATCATTTCTGTAATACTTTATCACATCTCATTGTCTTCAAAGAAGATACGGGCAATCCATTCCGGCAACTTATTCTACCCTTGTCCCATGCCAGTTCACCGGTAATGAATGCGATGTACGCACTGAGCAGTGCCCATATGGAATACAGGGGAGTGGAAAATGAGGAGAAATCTCTAGATTTTCACAACAACGCTTTACAAGGGCTAGCAAACCTCATTCAGCAAAACGATCAGGCAAATAGGGAGGAAATACTAGGCGCAATTATGTTACTTGTTTACTATGAAGTGGTAAGTGATATTACCTCTGGATTGATTGTTGTGGCGCAAACTGACCACACTTTAGCTTGTACAACGCGGTAACTCCAGTATTGTACATGGCCATCTGAAAGGAGCGATGACAATTATGAGCTCTAGACATGAAGAGCAGACTCCAACGAGCATATTTCTCGAGCGGGTACGTTTTCCGCTAATCAATACCTGAACTCATTTCTAACTAGACTAGGCCTTTCGGTTTTACGATGTCATTACGGCTCTTTCTTTAGGTACACCTCCGAATAGTACGACGCAGCCTACAACAAGTCCATTCTCTTTTCCAAGTGTACCCGATGACGAGAACAAAGATTCACAATTAAATTCGGTTGACACACTCCTTGGACTATCGACAGAACTATGGCCAATCATTCATCGACTTTCCCATCTCCTCTCTTACAAATCTTCTCTCCAATCCGCCATTGAAGATGGTCTGTTGAGTAAGGCTAGCGTTTTGCGGACTGAACTCGAAAGTACATCTAAGGCTATAGAAATGGCTCTGACGAACTGGAAGCCAAGCTTCGTGGCTAAAGGGCCATCCTCACCTAAGGAAAACGAAGCTGAAGACACTTCTTCAAAGTATGATATCGATCCCCAGGAGGCACGTATGCAAACTATCCTCAACAATGCTGAAGCATATCGTCACTCTGCATTTGTATACCTCTATCGGACCATTCATTCCCACCCCAGATCCCACCCTGTAGTTCAAAAACATACAAAACTTTCCTTAATTGCCTGCGCAAACGTCGTTGGCTTAGCCGAGATGTGCAATGACGGACCCATGTCTGCATTATTGTGGCCATTATTTGTAGCAGCATGTGAAGCGGAAACTGAAAGCGATAGGGAATTGGCGACGAAAGCTTTTGGAAAGACGGAGAGGAGACAAGGAATGCGGAACATTATGCGTGCTTGGGAAGTGGTGCAAGAGGTTTGGAGGAGGGCTGATGATGGCACATATGAGGATGGAGATTGGAGGGGGATATGTGAGAGTAGAGGATGGAATATTGTTTTAGGGTAGAAGTGTGGTTTGTGCAGTCGAAGTCTCGCTGGTATCATGCGTTAAGGATTTTATTCCGGATCATGTTTTTGCTGTGACAGACGAAACTAAAATCATGGCCGCCCCATGTTCGCGTGGCCTAAGAGTCGTGGGAAAGCCGCCGAGAATTTTTTCGAAGTGGCGCTTTGGCAACTTTTTGTTTGGCCCACACATAAGATGATCACCTACTTTGGCTATGACTAGCCTGGAAATCTTTGGAACCAAAAAGGTTGGTTGTGCTTGTCCATTAACGGGCGAAAGAAAGCAAGAACCAATATCGATCCACATCACCTAAAACAAAAGAATACCGACGAATCGCAAATCATCAATGAGGCAGCACCTACATTGGAGTTTACCTATTATTAGAGTCAAGAAGGGGTGGGGTGTTATGTGAGTTTGAATGTTATTCAGGAACAAGTGTGGTTGGGCTAGTTTGGGGATCATGCATGGTATGGGTGGATGGATGGATGGTATGGGTGGGATGGGTGGATGGAAGGGACTGGCATTTAGCATGGGAAATGGGGATGGAGGTGGAGATGCATTTAATGCTGTATGTAATCTTATATTGTTAGTTATGGACTCATGGTGTGGATTAGACGGATGGAGAAGTGTAAGTAAAAAAGACTGAAAAATGAAAAGGGAAGATGAGATTTAAAATTTGGAATTTGGAATTTAAGCGGAATTGCGGATTGAATGAATGAGTTGTAGATGAGATTTGTGCGTACCGCTTGCTGTGTGGAAGATGTGTTTAAGTGTCTTAATTAGATATAATGATTTTTGTTCAGGCAATAGTGAACACCTGACAGGGAGTCACTGTATAGTAGGTATTCATTCACAAGATCATTGGGGAAAAGGAAATTATTATTATAATATTTATGATATAGGGTATCTTTCCTATTCCAAGCCAGCATTCCAAACCAATCACAGCGCATCAATTTAACCAAAGCAACCAAATAGTTACACCAATCCCACCACAGCTCAAAAGGTATAAGTAACCCCTCCCCTTCCCCTTTCCCCCGCAAACTAAAACAACACAATCCTCAATTCCCCACTCCAACGTCCAACATCAATTTTTCTCCACTTCTTCAACTCCTCCACAACATCAACCATATGCACCGACTCAATCTCCTCCTGCTGTTCACTCCTAGTAGTCGACGTCCGACTATTCTCCTGATTTAAAAACGAGAAATCCCTCGCCATTTCCTGGTAATAACTATCCGCATCCCCATCACCCGTAACCGATCCAGCTTCTGAAGATTGAGCTATTTGTTCCTCAGGTAGGAATTCTAATGTAAGGTTTCTGAGTCCGGGGTATAGGAGAGGAGCACGTCGACTCTTGATGTTCTGACGCGCATGGCGGATCTTGGTTTCTTGTGCTGCGAGTCTGGTGAGGAAGGATTTCAATGAGAGGAAGAGCTCCTTGTTGTTTGATTTGCGAGGGATGGATGTGAGGGTTAGAGAGCGGAGTCTTGTGTTGTGGTGAGGATCGAAAAGAGGGGCTTGTTTTTCTAGGTTTATTTTGCATTTTTCTCCGGTCTTGTCATTCGAGATTGCTTCTTTGTCGTCGTGTCTGTTGCTTTGGCTTATGACCGAAGGGCGGAGTGTTATAACAGAGTGATGAATGCGCAGGACTTCTAGACGGGATTTCCTTTTTCGAGAGAGTAAAGGTATAACACATGCTTGTGCGAAGACGTCGACACCAGCAGAAACATCTGGTGGTAGATTTGTGCGGCTAGAGCCAACGTCTAGGACTTGAAGAGAATTGGTCTGAGAAAGGAGGTACTGTATCCCTATGTGTGTAAACTTATTGTTGGAGATATAGAGGTGAGTAATGCCTGTAACCATCGTGAGACTATCTTCGACGTTGTTCTTTCGCTCAAGGATATTCAGTGCGAGTCCTCCTGGAGTGGACCACTCAACTAGCTTGATGTTATCAGGGCGGAGTATAGTCGTAGTGGTATGAATGGAGTCAGCACCTTCGTCAGCCTCACGATAAAATGGAGGATGTTCGAACAGATACTCGTCGGCTGCCCGGAGTGGACCATATGTAATACCTGGAAATCGGGCGAGGAAGCAGCTTCGTAATAGTGAAAGAATGACATTGTCGGTCAAGAGATTGTCACGGAGATCTAAAGACCAAATCTGTAGTCTAGAGTTGGTAACTATGGGAGGTAACATGGTATCCATGAGTCTCAAGCCTCTTAATTTCAAGATCCTAATGTTCGGAAGATTCTCGATGGTAAACAAGGCTCTCCAGTTTGGACTGCGGGCAGTTCCGGATGCATCGAGATAGATCAAATGTTTGGTTATGTTTTGGCGAAGAATGAGGGAACAGTTGAAGGTAGTACAACCAGCCGCGCTGAAAAACTCTAATTGCGGTATGTCATTATATTCACTTGGCAGCTCGGAGCCATGAAGTATGCCGTAATCCTCGGAGCATGTAGGTGCGAGAAGGACGCAATTGAGGTTGGGGAAGTTCTTGAAGAATTTGAAGAACAACTCCGGCTTCAAGTGGGTCCCAAATATGATGTAATCGCTAGTGTGAGCTCTATCGCGCTTGATCTCATGTAGTGCACGCATGTCGATGATTCGAACTCTTTTAAGGATTTCAGGATTATGACAGTCGGAGGCAGATAAGAACCTCGAAACAAGTTCTAGGTCTAGTCAGTGAACTTCTCAATAGACCAATAAGTTTAGACTCTTACCACACGGCTTAGTTCTGTTAGCTAGGTCTCTGAAGGGGTTGGCCCAAAGATAATCCCCAAAAATCTGATTGAAATGAGAACAGACAAGACATCCAGAGTAAAGATCATGAGTGTCAAGATATGGAGCGACGAGCGTTGCAACATCTTTGTCGAGCTCATGGTATGCGGGTAGAGAATCCATAATGATTTTTAATCGTGGAACAGATTCTCACGTGTGACAAAGTTTCGATGCGGCTATTTAAAGAAAAGATGCAAGAACAAGATTTTGAAGCCGCACTGTCCTTCCTGTAGGAAATCTCAATATTCTTAATATATTTGGTTGTGATTAACTTAACCAAGATTACCAATGTCATAAAAATAAAATCAATGTTCTCTCGAATGAACTGAAGTGAATGGTATTGAACAATAAAATACTGCCTTTTAGAGTTCGATAATCATAAAGTTTGAACTTGGGAGGACTACCCAGAAAGTGCAATGTTATCAATCAATACAGAGCAATTTGGATTATTAAAAATCTCTCTTGATCAAATAAAGCAACAGCGAGTCGAAGATGTTGATGAAAGAGCTGAGATGCTTTTGGCTATACTGAGTATATGCAAGTATGCCGAGAGGCTACTGTTCGATGCGATCCTTTCATGAAGGATTAGATGAAGCAGGCTAATGATGCCAACATCAGTATTAGGGCCCCAAAATTCGAGCTCTAGACGTGGAACCTACCTTATTCTAGGTTTCCTGTTTCCTCCAAAGTTTAAGTTGCTACTTAATGTCAGTATTCCTATATTCTATTCTCATGTCGAGAGCAATTGCTTAGACAGGGCTCTGCTCACGTGAAGGAATTGATAGTTAACTAGGTCACAAATTCGTCACTGCTAAATCGGAAGGATACACGACATTGATGCTTCCACATCTTATCAGTATGCCACCCTTCGAAAGCAGATCCTACAATGGGGTTTAGGTGAGGCTAGTTCGGGTTTTCAGGACTCAACTTGAGCCGAAATATATGACACTAGGATGGGCCAAAGCCTAGGAAGAGTCAGTCTGTATTTGTGAGATCCCTGGTGGCCACATTCCGTTGTTGCCGACAGGGCACTGCGCAGCAATCCTCATACAAACGGAATTGACGGCTCACGATTATTTGTCCTTTGCAGCCCAAACGAGTAAAGGGCACAACCAGTCTTCATAACATTGGGGTGTTGCTCACTAGTAGATTCCTGTTTCTTTTTTTATCGCAAATATCGGGAAGATCTGTAAATGGTTTTCCGTATATCTCCACGGTCATCACCATCTCATTTAGACATCCGTACCGTATACGAATTATGTCATATATGACTTTTATCTTTTTTTGTTCTTTTTCTTTTCAATGGCCGGGGCCGATTTGATAAGATTTAGACCAAATGAAGTATTCCTATCCGGCTCAACCTCAACCTCAACCTCAACCTCAACCTACGGGTACACACTTTCGTTCTCTTGTAGTCTGACTGTATCTTCCCACCGAAAGAAACTCACCACTGAGGCCGACCGAACATATACCGATAGGAATTCTATGTGTATGTAAGTCCGAAAAGAGTTCGTGTTTTGTTATGTCAAATATATCAAATTCAAAGTTTCGATTGGTCAAATTTTACGATTTTCGCGAGGATTGGATCTTGGTAAAATATTCTATCATAAAATGATAATATTTCAGTCCTTTCTGCCAATTAATAGTTTGTTGATCAGCCACAAAATTTTTCCTAGTTATTTCAGTTTTATAATAATAATCTTGGGAGCCTCTGGGGCGTCTATCAAGTGGTTGAAGGCTTTTTCCATTTATTGGTAGTAGTAAGCGCAACTTGGCTCTGTGTCACAATCATTTGATTGGCATGAACTATTGTGAATCTCTCCTTGACCAATCATTACATACTTTTTTGGAACACCCGCACAAACAAAGTATTTTGTTGAGATAGTGCCTTCGAGCTTCGAGGGTTTCAATTGAAGAATCGCTCGAGACCTTTCCAAGGTGGACTGAAAACGCCAGTGGCAGTCAAAGCGATCAAACACATCGTTTAACAATGATCCGATGTCTCTGCACCTTCGAGCTATCTCAACGTCGTTAACACCATGATTGATATTGAGAGCCGTCGTAATGTTGAGCATTCCAGAGGCATCGTCTCATTCTTCGTAGAATGGGCATTCATGGATGGCTTGTGATAGACCGTTCGAGGAATGTGAGATCTTATGCAGGATGTAGATATGCACCCAGGGAGGCAACCTTGTGCAAATCTATGGATGATACTCAGGATTTGACAGCTCTCTGCCGAATTATCCAGTCAAGTCTGGTGTGATGTGGAGGAAGGACCTGCATAATTCTTCGCTTTCTGTCTGTGAAAGGCGTTCGATCCCTGCTCTATCAGATACATATGCACGCAATTAGTGAGACCCAAGCCTACTACTAACTTTCTTGGTCTTTCGCCAATAAACTATCATGAGTGTCTTATGGGAAACCCCACAATCCACAATTCGACAGACTAGTGTTGATCCAACCTACTCGAGGACTTCTTCGCCATCATTTGACATGCAGGATTCGGCTTTCGTGAGGCGAGGGTTCATTAAAGAGGGAGAGACTGGCCCCCTTCAAGGGATTTGGAAGCTTTTCTGCAAGGTACCCGTTCGATTAACATTTAAAAATAGCTCGTCTCAGGAGTTCTACTTGTAACATACTGTTTTCTAATACGTCTCCGGAAGTCGAACAAGTTCCTTGGTTCCCTTACTGTGAAAACCCACAGAATTGGTAGATATTCAGTGAGTGTTTCTTGGTACAGCGGCGCGTCTCTGAACACTACTAATCCTGCCATTAGCAAAGATCCAGTCATTCGATCTTCAAAGAAGGTCTAATTGTCCCGGAATTGATCTGGTTATTCATATTCTCGCGGACGTTGCGTGTCCCGCACTGCGGCCGTTTAAGAATACGCGACTCAAAACGCGACTTAAATTTGTCTTGGCACCCGCAAATAGTCTGTAAGTCATGTCTAGCTATATCCCTTCTGGAGTAGAAATATTGATTATGGTGCCGATTTTCATGGCATCAATGGTGTCGACATTAATGTCTTCACTCATAAATGGAACCATGAGCCTTCCTGGCTACGCTGTTAATCATCGAGCTCATCGACTCACTGACAACTTAAAGTGTTTCAAACTATACATACACAGTACAGAGCACCTAAAATATCGTGAGTTCTCAGTACAACAGATCTAAAAATATTCATGGTAATCTAACACCATCTAGTTTTCGCTTCACGACATCACTAATCACCCCCGCATAACCATGCTGGTGTACGAGAACGGGAGAGATTCTTATCCAGTCAATCCACCCGCAAGTACACTCACCTCACCAGGGAGTGACGCTTACACAGAGTCGGTAAATTCATCCTGGGACATTACTTTACGGCTTCAGCCTGGCACACCTGCGAGTTCCATCACTCGACGTACGTCTTTTGACGAGACTGTCAAAATGGAGGATCTGTCTCTCCATAGCCACCATGGTCTTCTAGAGCGATACGAGAATACAAATGCCAATTCTTTCTGTGAAATGTCAGCAATGACACAAGATATGTTGACAGATTTCCAAGAATCCAACATGTTCTTCGGTTTTGATAATGGGAAGGTGATGGCCGAAGCAAACCCCGCTCTCGCCTTCAACAGCTTTCAAGGCTACGCACCTGCCACCTTTGGGTCGCTTGATTCACAATGTCCTTCGAGTGATATCCCATCTTTGATGGATGATTTGTGTTCGCCAGCGGCCACATCCGAATCATCGACAGCCATGAACTTTGTGGACCCGACACAAACGACGTTGATCGACACACTTGCCGATTTTCAGTCATCTCCCATAGGCCCTCTCACGCCTGTGAAGTTTGGCACTCCTTCATCAGACTTCAATGCTCAAGGATCATTCAATAATTCCCCCGCAGGGACATCCAGTACAGGATATCTGCTTCCTCCGCAAAATTACCGGGACCTCAGACATAATTTGATCTCTCCAGTACGACAGCAACACCTCCGAAGGCCATATTTTGAGTCACCTGAAAGCACAGCTGCTCCTCAAAAAATCCAAGCAACAACACCCACAAGAGCAGCAGCCCGCAGAAATATAAAGCGAGAACCAACACTATCCATACGAATAGAAAACAGTGCCAAGCTACCATGCCCGCATCCTGGATGCGACAAGAAGTTTCAAAGAAAAGAACATCTCAAAAGACATGAAGTGATACACAACCCCCTTGCTCTCAAATACCCATGTCCCTTCTGCGAAAGAAAATTCGGTCGCACGGATAACTTGAAACCCCACATCGAACGCCATGGAAGGGTAGATAGAAAGGCTGCTCGAGTTGCATTTCATCCAGATGCGGAGATGGCGGTTACGACCCTGGCAAGAAAGAGTCGTAAGACCAAAGGCTTGGATGCGAAATCCCTGTCGTCGAGGACGAGATTGAGTGGTTGTTAAGATCAGGGTGATACAAAATGTCAATCAAAGAGAAATTTCAATACTTGTAGCTTTGAAAATGCCCGTGGGAGAAATCAGCAAATATTGTTAATCCATTTTGGCACAATGGTATGGGAGTTGTAGATGAAAAATCAGGCTGAGGATATTTCGTTCAAACGCATTCATCTTTCATTATTAGCAGCTATGTTTTTTTTTGGTTGACTGGAATATTTATATTTATTTACCCGTCGAGAAATAGAGAGGAGGAATATAAAAATACAAAAGACACAGGAGGAAATTGCCAACGTTCATGTTTGGCTTCAGATGTATTGGTATGGATTGGGTGTACTGGGATGTATTTTACTTGGATTGGGATTTTTGTGGGCATTGAAGCTTGGAGAAATTAGTTGATATTATTGTCGTATATTTACTTAATATTGAACTTCATCTAGATAATCATATGTTTGGTGCAAAATAATGGGGAATTTCACCGTGAATTTGATGACTATGTTAGTGACAATGTCGATAGCAGAGGTGGCAGGAAGCAAGAGATGTGATCCAAACATAGAGCAGATATCATCATTATAGAGGCAATATTTCGAATAATCTGCAAAGTAGTATGATGCACAATCATAACAGTAAATGAAAATACAAAATCAAATCTCACAAAAAACCTGCACTCCAGTCTGCAGGTACGACGGCTATGCACATTTGCATACATACATTATACATACACATTATGCACACGCAATAAACCCGTGCGCATAAATCTCCACCAAACTAATAACCTAGTATTCCTTTTTTTATTTCACACATTACACTCTCATGTGCATGTATGTAAGGCCGTTGTACCAGGCAACCCCATATATCCATATCCATATCCATATCCATATCCAATTACAAGGTGAGTAACCCCTTGCATATACAAGCACCCAGGCGTCAATCACGAGTTTTGCTGATCGCAGGTAGTATGGGGTGATATGATATAGAATGATAGCTAGCTAGCTATAGAGTAACAAACATGATATATTATAAAAGTCGATTGTACATACATACATGTGCATGTGTAATTTCCTGGGGAGAGACATATTTACAAAATGAGGGTGCTAGGTAGTAGCTGCAGCGTTGTGGAGCTCGAGATGGATGTGAACATGGGGTTTGTGCTTAATCTTACGCTAGTTTTGCTCGCTAGTTTGCTTGTTTGATGTGTTAGTTCGTTTTTTTTTTGTTTTTTGGTTGCTTGGGTGTAAGCACTGACTTTTCTGGTGAATAGAATGGTGATTGGTTTGGATTGAATGGTGTTCCTTATGTATACACAATTAGGTAGGTAGTTCTTGAGTTTTATTCGTTCTAGGGATGGGAACTGAACTGAACTGAATTGCATACTATTGATGTGTACCGATCACATCCTCTTTTTGTTAATTAGCTGTTACTTTTGACGCTATGGTAACTTTATTACTGTGATGTCGTTAACATATAGTCATTGGACCACATGCCATTATTTTGGTCACATAGATTCATTCTATTGTCATTGATTTCATGCCGAGAATGTCTGGAATTAGTTGGAGCCGTGTCGAGGTTAAGATGTGATCCTTCATTTCGGCCGAGATACGCTACCCGTTACCTGAGAGGTTAGTTACTCAAACTGACAACTCATTACAAACTTCATTCAGCATACTGCTGCAAAAGCATACCTTGTGCTGACTCTCTATTGTCAGATTTTGGTTTCAAGGATACGTAACCACGACAAAGCAGTAGCCGTCTCCATTACACGATTCTATGGCCCCAATATTGATTGCCAAAGCTCTCCATTTGAAGATTTTATATCCTCAGTGAGATTACTTACTTGCTTAGTTAGCCTCCTTTTTCGGAACTCTTCATCCTTGCTCAAAGAGCCTCTTTTGTTTCCGGCTTAACATACTTAAGAATAGTCGTCATTTGAGTACCTGTGAAAAGCGCGAAGTAGTTAAAGGAAAACTTTCCATGAATGCGATCGCCCCTAACGACCGACATATCAACGTGAAATCACTAGGTCAAAACACAAAAGACATTCTCAAGTGGTAGACTAGAAATCATCATGGATATAATCGACTATACGACTGAGTTTTCAGCTCATATATGGTCAGATAATACACTGGTATCACATTTACAACGCTACCATAGAATCATTATACACACGTCTGCCTCTCAGCTCCCCCGATAGCTAGGTTTCCGACTTACTCGCAGCTTTTTTGGCATCAAAAAGAGTGGCGTGATCCCTAACCTTGTCCGATAGCAACGCACCATCATGCGTATCTAGATTTTTGAACCCTTCAACGAGACCATCTCTGTCTTTAACAGGCTTCTCCTGACTCCACTTGAACCTTCCTGCAATAGAAGTAATCTCAATCTCCATGCCAATGATGTTTTTCGAGAGTAACTCAATATACCGTTCGGGTGCATCCGTCACTTTCCATGGGTATGTCCCAGGAGTCTTTCCATAACCCATTATCGATGTCTCCATATGGTCAGATAGATCCGATATCTGCTTTGCAAGAAAAACTCCAGATTCGGTTGACTTTGCATCGTAGTAAACTTTCGCTCTGCCATACACCTCCACAGCTTCGTAATCCCAGGTAGGAACTACCTTTCCAGTATCAGGTTTGGTTTGCTTATAGAATTTTGGTGTCACATAGTGATGAACCGGTCCATTGAATAACACAAGAACGTCGTGCTCGAGGACATTTGCTGTCGATGACTCAGAGACTGCTGTGCGGCTTTCGATAATGGCTTTTGCTTGAGGATTTTGTCGTGCAATGTGACCGCGAAGTCTGCCGAGTCCATTGATATTGCCATCAAAGTCTGCATCAATAAGCCATGGAATATGGCTGTTTTGAAGAAATGGATAAGACTCTGATTTAATTGCGGTTGTCAAAATACCAAGGGGATTCTGACGGATGAATTCATGCAGGATCTCTGGATCCTTCTCGGAATTGCAACTGGGGAGATGCATGATGTGTTGAGGAAGAGTTTTGATTTCTTGCGATGAAGAATAGAGGAAAGGTGTAGACTCAGTTCTTATGATGAATCACGGGTATCACGATCTCAGCGGGACTTTGTATAGCCTAACTATACCCGTGGTACTCTGATCCCGCTTTGTCAGGATGTTGAGTGAAGGGCGTAACCCACCATGATAGGAAATCCAATATATACTTGTTCCCATTGGAGGGCAAAGGTCCATTTTTACTCAACGTCCGCCGCGGGCATTTGCTTTTGATGAAGATCCCGCGGAGATGGTAAAAGTAGCCCTAGTCCATTACTGGAAACTACAACCTCTCCGCGCCACTTTTAATCAATTCTTGACTACCACGGACATCTCTTCACTCCATAAGCTCGGATTTCTTTCAAAAGCTTTAACGTATGTCGTCGGTACTGTCGTCCATCTGGTTAGTAATTGATTGCCGTCAAGATTTTAAAGCAGCCACCGATTCTAACCCTTTTAGGCATAAAAACAATATAGTTTTCCGAAGTCACGCGCATAGCCATGATATCCTCATCCTTATCGATGTCGTATCTCATCACACAACAGGTTGCTTCTACTGTTTCTGCAATTGGTGATCGCATTTCGGCTTGTAAGGTGTCGATGGGTGGAGAAAGCAGAGCCCAAGCTCAAGGGCTTTTCCAGGATTATAGGCTTTCGTAGCACATAAGCTAAACCCTACAGCGTACCCACCCTGTGTAACGCTGTTGGCATTCCAAACGTCAAACATTCATCCTGTATTGATGAGTTCTGGATTTCTATTTCAGTAGAAAGAGCAAATCTATCAAAGCTTCATATAAAGCTTCGCAATCTTATCAACATCATCCGTGAGATTTCTACTCACAAAGTCTCATCTGCCCAAAGACCTTGTTGACTTGGTGACTTGGTGACTTAGGGGCATTTCGTTTGTCATAGTAGTAGTATTGCCCTAACCAAGCTGGAAGACAGACAGCGCATCATTACCGCTACCCTGTCTGCCTATCATCCGATATCAGATTAGGGCCCGGTAACCTTAGAAGATACCCTGCAAGTATCATATACCTAGCCAGTACCCAGGTTCTGCTTGCATGTTTCGTCACGCATCCTGTCCTGTCAACATGCAGCAAGAGAAATTAGGATAGTTCCCAAAAGTACTCAAGCTTTATTACTTGTCAAGCGACAATTGAAATCTCTTTCCAGATTAAGTATTTGCATCCTCTAATTCGGTTAAAGCTTTGCTGCATACATGTTCGTGTCAGCTTGACTCCGCGTACCGAAAATGCATTATTCTATCGCCCATTTTCATCACCATCGTCAATATCAATATTGCTAGAGTCTCACGAACTCTCTAGGGTAAACAAGTTTTGACAAGTTTCCACATATCATAGTCATATATTTCATGTTTTTCAGCATGTTGAGCGGGGTTCTCAATCACCATTGCCAAGGTAGCCCAGATCTTTGTGCAAACTTACACGCGATGGAATTCAGTGTTAGGTTCTATCAGCCAACTGATTTGAGCACGGCCTACTAATTAATGCACATCGTGGCTACGTGCGTTATCTTGTTGCTCTGAACTCTTCTTGTATGGGTGCTAGAGAGAATCCCCTGCATACTTGGTAAGCCCTAACACCAGTAGCACGTTGGTGGGACAATGCATGCTCGAACGGAAGGAAACTATAGTCTAATTTCCTCCCTCTTTCTCCAGTAGTATGAAGCCGATCATTGTTGGTAGTGGCTCATGGAAGAGTACGCCGCATGCAATTGACGACCAATGCAAGTTAAGGACCTCTCAGAAGGTTGTGTAAACCGTGGTTGCTGCAAGTGAGTTTGTCTACCCTTCTAGGTTTCATATTACATCCAACCACGACTGCTTCGAAGGCAACCATCCGCAACACACTCGGCCTTGTTCCTTGTCAATTCTCGTAGCATTGGTGGAAGACGCCGCTGGGGCTCTTGATACAGGTTTCCTCCTCGTAGAGTCAAAAAATGTGGAAAATGCACTGGGAAACCATTCCACCCTCGGAGAGCAGAGTTAGATTGAAGGTGAAGAGCCATCCGAACGTGTAGAGCAGCCTTGGCTAACTCAATATCTTAGCTATAAAAGGGGAGGAGAAGGATTGTGAAAGTATGCCCTCGCATCTTCCTCATCCTTTCGAACCATCTATAAACCATTTTTTCAGCCGTAGGCAGTTGGGGAAGCTCGAGCAAAGTATCGCAATTCGACCTTTTACCTCCTATAGCTGAATATCCAAGCATACTCAAAATGTGTCATACTTGGGAGGAAATCTGCTTCATCTGCAAAAGAGCCACTGGAAAGACAGAAGTCAGACTTTGTCCATTGGCAAGAGAACCTGAGCATGAGATGGAACGTTCAGAGACTGTGTGCCCAGTAGGGGGATGCCCAATAGAACATGACAAGACTGCTAAAAGTACTACACATTTTCCGCAGAGACTGTTCGTAAGTCATCTCATAAATAAGTCACACAATGTATAGGAAGTAACCGAATATTGAAAATTAGTGATCGAGCAACCAATACATTTAGCACTGACCAAGCCTCGTAAGTACATCCCCATTTCACATTTAGCCGGGAGAACCAGATGCTGCACCAACGTCTGATACTCGATCCGCCGTGCCACCGATTACTAAGTACCCTTGTCCATGTCAATTAATCGGATTCCACAATAACTCATGACTTTCAATTAGTGGTCTAATAGCTCACCTTGTCCAGGGACTTATAACCTTTCGCTACCACGACTACCTTTTTAGTGTGCAACGGCATACTCCAGTCCTAGCACCAGGTTAAGGGCGCTCAGTTGGACGTGCGTGCAGGTGTGGGGAACTAGTGTGTTGGTATAGGGTGGGCGCTGTGTAACCCTTCACATGTGTACAATATCTGCGGTGGCGTTTCTTTCCCTTCTGTTTAAACAGCAGGCTGAGTGATTTACGATCTTACTATTTTCCTGACAGCTCGGGGTAAACAAGTCACGAGGTTGTGGGGAGGGATAATGATCATCGGGCCGTTACTTCCTTTCAAAATCTGGCTTGGAATGACAGTGTTGAAATTAATGCATATTGCTCAAAAATTGCTCCATAATGATGCGCGGTGCTATCATAATGTCGAAGTTGGTGTGCTTTCCCCCGAATTCAATGCATATTGGGAAAATATGTGCAGGATCATATGCACGAACTGGTCTGGTAAACAAGTTATTCAGTCAGTTTTCAGGGAATATGTGACCGCTATTGATTTGATACCTGTGCGCAGCATCAAATACACTCTTCAAATAGGATCTTCTCCACGATTTTCTTCATCTCACTTGCCCCAGTCCGCTATAATTAGGATTCCTTCTCAAAATGTTGGCTATATATGCACAGATGACCATGGACCCCGTGCTTGCCAGGTACTCTATGGAGTGCCGAAGGAGTGGAGCGGGGCTTTACTCGCTTGGAACGCTTCGGAGCATTTAGTATCCCGGACTATCAATAGGTGTAAAGGTGTAAGTGCCAAAGAGGGTTACTATCCAAAGTTCCATAATTTGTGTCCAACCAATATAGGCAATGCGAGGCTGAATGTTGGTTTGATAACACCTAAAACCCAATTTGCATTCACCAGCGTTAGACAAGCAACATAACAGTTGGTATTACAGGCATACCGCCCAATTATACATCTTATTGGTTCGGACAGGTGTGATCTCCTATCTCTTTCTACAGTCTTTTCTGAGATTGACACTTCCGAAGAAGAGGAGGTGATCCCACAACAATCTGATTTAGGCTATGAGCGAGCTTGCGAAGTGCATTCGACAGCTAGGGAGAACGAGCTAACTTACTTCATCAAGATGCAACTTATAACCGACACAGTTTATACTAATATACATACCGTCCTTTCCTTGCCGAAGTGTCTGCCGACTAAAGGCCCCGAAGATGAATGGCTTCAAAGCATGTGACAGCACACCATATACATGCAACTGTCGTTTCGACCTTCCATTTAGAAAGGATCCTGCCAAGCGTCACTGCTATCATTTAGCTTTTGTTGAACCTGACCGGTCAGGATTTACTAGCAGCATTGTACTCGTACAAGTTGAATGCATATATTCGATCCCTGAGCTGCTGAACGTTAGGGGCAGCGTGGCAATCACTACTCATCGCCACTAAAAGGAACTGCACCTCCTCCCGGTATTCGGGTTTGTGAGGAAGCCTATGTTCCGTTAACCATTGAAAAACATTTTACAATAAAAAATATGGTTGATATATAATCAAGACTATCATGCATAAGATAATGTTGTATTTCGATTCTCGATGCTGCCAACTGCACTTAGGCGGCTGTATTACACACATTTGTAGCGAGAAGACGCATTCCAAGTCCTTAACACAAACGGTTGGGATGGCCACTTACGTTTCCCTGGGCAGCCAAGTGTGGAACGATTCAAAGTTTAGTAATTTCAGCGCCTATTTAATGGTATTACCAGTATTAGATGGCGTGTAGAAAGCGCGATGGCTCGATTGAATTTGAGTTCCAACAAAAAGCTAGATTCAGTGCTTGGATGTTACCTGTAAATTATATCAACTACCGTCATTCAACGTTGGATTACTAGGACTTCAGTCATGTTTCATGTTCGTTCATCCCCTCAACTTCAACATCTTCGGTCATCGAACGGTTTGAATTGATAAGAAATTCATGACATATAATGATAATTGGTAGAAATCTCCAGAAAACATTCTATTCACTTAATTAGAAAGCTTTTCCTGTTTCAATGCTAAAACTTTTTGAAGTTGTCTTCTACCAAGTGTCTCCTGCACTCAATCACTACTCGAAAACATACACGCACCCTCCTTCCTCGCAAAACAAGTTGCCCCAATACATCTCATACCATGCTGATCTCGATACGCATAAACGAAAAGTCTCGATATAAGTACTTTAAACAAATGCGGCTGCGGATTTAATTATTCAAGGCCGTTTGGCATACGAACTCGTCTTTATTGGAGCAAAGCAACCACAAATTACGAAGCGAATTACCTGCATGTTCTAGACTTTCCATCGTCATTTTCAATGCAACATGATAGATTGCTCGCTTTAATCCTCGCATGACTCTCAACACATTCGTCATAACATCTCGTACTTCCGTATCGTTGATCAGAACCAATGGATGCAGGAGTATCACAAAAGATTACCAAGGCACATACAATAGTTTAGCTTGGACAAATGGGAGCCTCGAAACAAGGGCAATTTATTTGACAATCAACCCCATGTGAAATTACGTTTGCATTCCTAAAAGGCCTCGGAGTACCGTGATTCACGGGGCTTACGTATTAGGCGGGCAGGGCACCTCGTCAATTGATATGATGTGCCGGCCAGAATACTCCCTAACTCAACAAGCACCCATCAAGCCCCCTTCACCGAGTGCGAATTGCATACAGGCCGAACCGGCAGACTAGGGATTGCCGAATTGCTTTGCCTACCTTCCACACTACTGTCTTCAACTCCTAATCCGTATGCCACATCATGTCATCAAGTTCGCAACTAGTAGTATCTCCGCTCACGTCAAATTGCCATCGCCCTACCGAATACGCCAGCTTGACAACTAAGTATGGCTTCCTCGAAACTGCGAAACGGTGAAAGACACCATGATTTTATTGTTATACGACAGCTTTCGGGCTCTTGATATTAGATTGGATGCATCTACGGGCATCAAACCCTGATGAAGCCTTCCCCGTTTCGCTTTAGCAATAAACAGGAATTCACTTATTCATCGACTGCCAACATACTTACCTCTAACAAATCATGTCTCGCCATCTATCTTACATTACTTTCACGGACGACTAGCACAAAATAATTGCTCATGATGATATTTTGAAAAGGGGAAAATACGAAGGTAGTCAGGGAATCAAGCTAGATTTCAATATATGCCCTGCTGTCTTTTGGATGAGAGCCATGCATCATTCAATTGTGGGGCCACGTTTTCATTGGCTATCTACGTAACTTCTACAAAGCAGGGTGGATCAACTGGGGGCCAGACGGTGCTTTCGACGTTTGACTCGCTGCGACAGCCTCCTGGAGCTAGCACTACCATTGCGACCAAAAACCGCAGCTAAAGACGATAGAGGAACTATTTCTCGGGTCAGAATCCGAACTTTGGCCCTGCAACTGCTCGCAGAGCTTGACGATATACATATGACGAACGCCATTGGACCAGCTTTTCTCGCCGTCAGTTTGGGATTAGATGAGCATGAAAGAGTTAGTGAGCTTAACGGACGGCATATAAAAGCCACTGAAAAAAGTCCTCGTGCGCCTGGGGGAGAGACATCCACGTTCAGTAGGGTTTGAGGGTAATACCTGTCCATATTAGGAGAGTCCCATACTAGTAGTTGAACTGATTCATTACTAGCTTGGAAAATGGACAATATATGACAGTTAATGAGAGGTTCTTCCTCAAGTGAGACGCGGGAAGTCCTCGGCTTGCGTGCTGTTGTCTCCAGCCATTACTGTCAATAATATTAGTGACTTATCCACGAGTTCCAGCAGCCAAGTCGTCCTTTATGGTACATTCTGCATCAGACAGTGCCATTGTCACATTTTATGATTAGTTCAAATCATTTCTCAGCCAATCACCTTACTTCCTGTCAAGCTCTCTGGAGCGTCAATAGTCCAAGAACACTTGAGCCACACATCCGACTACCGATCCCTACCAAGCTGTCGTAGCAATCGTCCCAAGGCGCTGTCATATCCCTATCTAGCTACTATTCCATCACTTCCGAACCTCGGTAAGCCGTCCCAGCCTTTCAATGACCGAAATATCGGGCACGGATCCTTATCCCTGGTATATGTCTCTCATTTCGGAAGATTCCAACATGTTTGTTCATCTAGCCAACCAGAATTAACTTCAAATGTTATATCAATCGGCTTTCTTGTTCGCAATGCGTTGAAAATGGTTCATGATCGCCGGGCATCTGCACCTTGGCGACAAAACCACACTAGTTCGAGGAAAGATTATCTGCATCGCTAATTCTTTCCAGTCCTCTTTTAAAATATTGAGGATCATCCTGTTGCGTGATCTGGTATGGAAGTGTGCCATGAGAAGCGGGGAGCTGATTGCTTTGCTTTCATTTCCTTATATTCCATTGCATGTCATTTTTTGTGACGATAAGTATCAATACGAGTATCTATTAATCACCAGGACCATCACATAACATGGATATATATCGCATTCTAAGTTTTGAATCCAGGAAGAGAAGAGCTGAGAATATATGCGCTTAGGACCCCTGTTCTGTTGCACGTTCCACAAATATTTTAAAGGGGGGAAAAGAAAGATTTCGCTTATGGACGGCATGTACAAAGCGTATGAAGATCTTGGTTTACGGTGGGATTATTAAGTGGGTTTGTATGGGGTGATTGTGACTGTGCATATGTGATGTTTTTAGGGTTCTTGATGCGCAGGTGGGTTATGAATGGGTGGTTTTTGAAGATCTGTTGATGCGTGGTGATTGGGATGATTGAGTGGGGTTGTGGAAAATACTGATTGTCACGTAATTGATGGGGAGGTGGAGGGGTATATTTTTGGTGCAGTATTTTGACTTTGCTTTTTTTTTTCTTAGGAAAATTATATACTCTGAATACATACGGAGTACTTGCATTCAATGTATATGATTCTCGATGATTTATGAGGAAGGAATTATGGGTGGATTTTGATACGATTTCGAAAGTAACTTTGATGTTTACGGAGTATGCGTGAGTTTCCAACCCTGGTTTGCTTCTATTTGTTATTCACTCAATTCAATTGCTTCATCTTGGATATTAATAGAAGGAGGGTATTAATCTTCTGCAGTTTTCACATCTTCCCAGCCGTATCGGTTACCCCCTGTGCTTGGGAAGAGGTTGATGTACTGTTCTATCGTATTGAAAAGGATAGGAGATGAAGACAGTGATGAGTGGACTTCTGTCACTCATCAATCCCATTATAAGATCTTTTTAAAAACACTATTTATTACTTTCATTAATAATCATTATCAAACTTTGGTTTGGCTGTCTAGAGCTTTTGCTTGATAATGTGTGGGATTACCCGTGGTTCTGTTCTGCCTTATTAATGCTGTGATGGTGGTATTGTAAGAATAGTATAAATTTTCATGTAATCCATATGCATATATAGGTAAGAGAGAAGCGATTTCTCAATTAGTACACACAATACTATACACAATACATAGTGTGCAAGGCTCTTTTTTCGATAGTGAGCTGCCAGAGCTGGTATTACTTAGCTTGGTATTAATTGTATCATACATCGGAAGCTGCAGCAAACATGGCGGGTGATGAAAGAGTGATGTTTGGTGTGAATCTTACAGACAACTTTCACATGTATGCGTAGGGACCCGACTACAGAACCCAGTTAGAGATTCCGATATCTTAAGACTGATTTAATTCTGGGGAAAGCAAAGGAAATCTATTTTACAATATTATTTAATATTTAACTTGGATACATTAGAGAAACAGCAATAATATTACTTCACTCATGAGGATATTTTTATAGTTATTCTCATTTCTCCGGGATTAGCATTTCTCCACCTCAAGTACTCAAAACTGTACTCCGCAACACTAAATCCGGAAAATACAGAGTACAGCCTACATACCGGTATTCTCCCCACTGTCGCGTCTCCAATGATTGAAAGTCATCAAAAAAAGTTCGAACGCGACAACATCATTCAAATATTAATTTTATGCTCAACATCAATTGGACTCGGAACAATTCCATCCTCAATTATCAATATTAATACAATACTTCTTGAATCTATCTATCATGCCTAGCATGATGGAATCCTTCGTTCAACGTTTCAATATATTAGAAGCGCAAAGAGAAACAGGCAATGAATTAATTAAGGTGCGTTTTTTCGCCGTCGATGCCATGGTCGGATGTTTGGGAAGAATTGATTATGCTGACTTCAATTCTCATCAGGACCTTCTGATATATATTGAAACGGTCGAAAATAATCTGCGACACGAAAACGATCGTCTTACAAAAGAATTGAATGATGCCCATCTGGATTTGGATGATTCGAGAAAGTCTCGACGAGAATTGCAAATACATTGGAATTTGACCACTCAACACTTAGAACGAGCTATCACGGAGAATGGCATTCTGCAGGTAGGAAGGAATTGGCTCGGTGGTTGCATCCATCACTGATATTCGCAAAATAGAATCGAAATCCATACATAATGGCTGTAGTTGATGCCGATGGCATGATTGTTAGTTACACCTCCACGTATCCTCTCCAAACTCGACTGACTGCTGCATAGTTCAACCAGGAACTTATAAATCAAGGGCTCGAAGGAGGCAAAAAAGCAGCCAATCTTCTCAGAGCTTCAATACTCGAACAATGTAGTGGGCCTCAAACTGAGGAGATTGAAATTATGGCCAAGGTCTGCGCGAACTACTCGGGATTATCAAAAGCCTTGATGAGAGATGGAACACTCGAAAGTCTCGAAAATTTCAAATATTTCACTTTAGGATTTACCCAAGGAAAAGCACACTTCGATTTTATAGATGTTGGCCATGGGAAAGAGCGGGCCGATTCAAAGATTAAAGGTTCGTTAATTTATGTTTATGGAGATTCAGGGTCAATTCACGGCAGCGATCATGGTACTGACTTTTACAAGAATGTATTAGATGGCATTTAAGAAATTGGAATTGCAAACAACTCTTACTTGGTATATCATTTGATAGCGGGTACGCACCATTTCTCGAGGAAGTAATTACGCAAGACGATCGAAATAGAATTACAATAATGGAAGGGCCACCAATAGTCCGAGAGCTTTCAGCTATTGGCCTTCGTACTCTCAAATTCGAACATATATTCCGCTCCGAAAAATTGATAGATCGGGCAACAGAACCTAGCCCTACCTCTGTTCCATCAACCTGGGCTGGTGTCACCTCAATACCCCCACCTACGCCACCAACTGCCGTGGCATCTCCCGCTTTGGGTAAAATAGCTTCAACGGCGACCAAGAAACCAGATGTTACAAGTAATGTTTTCGCTAGATTGGGCTGGAATCCCGAGCCTCGAGGACTTGACCCTCCAATACATGTCAAAAAGGAAGTATTGGAAGCGGTAAAACAAAGAAAAAACTCGAATAAATTATGCAATAATCATTATCTACGAGGACCTTGCTCTAAAGGCGATGAATGTTGCTTTGAACATGATCATAAAGCTACGGAAGAGGAAATCAAAGCTATTGCTTATTTAACACGCCAAAATCCTTGTGTCAATGGTCAAGATTGCGACAATGAAGAATGTATTTATGGGCATCATTGCCCGAGTGTGGTCATTCCAAGTATTGGATCTAAGGAACCTACTTGTATGGCATTTGCTTGCAAATTCTATAAGGAAGATCATCCTCCAGGAACAATAATCAAACACCCTAAAAAAGAGTACGTCGAACGATATTAGGAGTTCATTTCTTCCACTCGTTTAATACTCTTTACACCACCTTCACACATGGCTATTTTTATAATGAAAACACAAGGGTTTCATCGCTTCGTTGAGGATGGCTTTCTGATTTGATGATGGATATGAATTTTCATGGACAGGAAATGAAAAGATACTGCTAGGTATTTAGACTTGAAGGATTTTAATGCTGTAGGGGGATAGCTATGATGAATATGTAATTTAGTCAAGTGATGGAAACGAAATTATTTATTGCTGTGGGATAGTTAGTTGCTCCTGTAATGTAAATCATGGTTGCTTTTATAGGCTATAATAGCTGTCATCATCTTGATAGTATTACCTATCTATCTACTTAATATTATTTCATATACTTTATTTTATTCTTTATATGTGTATTGTATTGGTGATGAGTATTTGAGTGGGTAAGTAGAAGTTCATACATCACTCGTTTATAGCAAAGTATTTATTTTTATTTTAAATTATCTTTTTTTATTTTACTTTATTTCTTTTCGTCTTAATAAGATTTTATGTTTAGATTATGTTAGGTTCTAGGAAATTATATATTTTTCTAGATAGCGGTGCGATATTAAAGTTGAGGAGGAAGACAGGAGGATATTGGAAGGGTGAGGATGGTTGGAGATGATAGGATAAAAGGGTTGATGGGGAGTAAAAAGTAGGAAAAGGGGGTTATTTTGAGCTTGAAATTTAGGAGAGGGAGTGAGAGGATAGTAAAGGAATGTACTATTCGTCTAATATTCAGAAATTCTTGATGAGCCCTCAAGCTAAGAGGTATAAAGATTAATACATCCGAAACCCCAGAAGTAGTTTTCTTCCCCCCTACAGAACTTTTCCCTTCCCTCTAGTATCGAGACTCAATCATTCACATTTACATCCTCATAAGAATCAACTCCATACCGAATCTCGTCACCCATCTATCCATCCATCTATCCCCAACCTGATATTGTAAATCTCAAGAATTTCCCTCCCCCAAAAACTCAATCCCCAATCTCCCCCCTACCCAAAACTACCTCCCCAAAACCTCAAATCACCACCCAATACAAATCCCGCACCAATAAAACCACGTATCACCAACCCAGTCACCCGCTCGTACGACCACAAAATTTAGACATCCGCGCGCAAAGCGTTTATTTTCACGTGTTACGTTGTACATATGACACAGAGTATCACAACGTATGACAAAATGCTACAGAGTGCTACGACAACTACCGTGCTACATGATTGACGCGATTGATTAATTATTAAATGATTTATATGTATAGATATGCAGATTATAGATGGAAAATAGCTGTCTATGGGAAAGTGGTGAGAAGGGGTGAGATTAGTGTTTTGGATATGGTTGCTGTAGATGGTATTTAGTGATTTTTGAGACTTGGTTGTGTTGGGGGGTACTTCCATATGATGTGAGGAGGAGAAAGGGAGAAGGGCCCGTATGGAGATTAGACTCTGTGTTGGAAGTAGGGAGATGTAGGAGGGGGTGGTATCGAGGTGGATAAAGTGAAGAATTGGCTGTAGGCAAAGGACTGCAGCGAGCATTGGAGAACACAAGTACTAACCCAAAGACGAAGGGTGGAAATGGGAAGGAATAGCCGCGCGGTATGTATGAGGAAATGGCAATATCAAAAACTCTGGACTACCCCAAAAGGCTTAGAGCAGAGAATCACAACCATGGGATTAAGTGTAAAAGTACTCGAAATATTGATATGGGAAAGAATCACGGATAAATGTAAATGCGCGCATTACGTATTGGAAAGCACCTAACAATCTCCAAGCAATGCAATCTTCAATTCATGCCGTATAACCAGACTTTCATCTCTGAAAGCAGACCGTCAGACTGTCAGACCATTAAAGCCGCCAAAGCCGCCAAAATGTGAAATCAATGTGGCAGTGCAGTGCATTGCATAAAAGTGAGTTCGCATTCTACATATCAACCGTTCTTCAACGACCTGACGAATGAATGATAATCCCGTCCCTTTCTGCATATACACGGCACGGCACGGCACTTGCTCGGAGTTGATCAATGTCCACATAACGGCGATGCATAACGAGTGTATAAAAGCCGAGTACTAGACGCAAGTCATTAATGCACTTTGCATGTGATTAGCAGGTAGTAGTACAACATTCACGGCACCACTTAGGCCGAAACAGGGATGCTTCCCGTCAACCCAAGAACCGACACCCTCTTTATGCATGAATCGGCCCATGGAGAGGGCTAGGTGTGTCCGGCATACTATAATCGAGACGGGACACGGATATAAGTCGGTATGGTCGATTGGTTGGGATTGGTTGAGAGTGGAATAAGTAACACTTGAACTAGGTAATGAAAAGTACTGACTTTAATGCGATGCACTGGTCATTTTCGTCTTGCAGGAGTGTGTGGATGATGCTTTGCATATCAAGGGCATAGTCCTGAGTGTGTTTAGTTTTTTGTCCACAACTAGCTTCAACGCTTACAGATCTACTCAATAATGAAATACTTCTTTCTGATCATGAGATTATGCCACTTGTAAGGAAGAATAGGATTGAGCTTGATATTGCCAGCGATGTTGGCTGATATAGACGGAAGAAGTAGAACTTTCCGACTGTAAAGATTCAAACAGAAATGGCGTAAAACTTGTAAGAGAAATGTATGAAAGAAAATCTTCAGCGGTATTGATAGGTATCTTTAGCGTGGGAAAATTTTGGTATATTTATTGATTATAAAGCTAGCTTGATTCGGATCCGTCGGAATCTTCATTTCTGAAATCTTGAATTTCTTCTTCGGTGGCTACACCTAATCCAGCAGCACTCATGAGTCTGTCTTTCTTTTTGTTGGCTATAACGATAAATACGATCAGTAATCATATCTCAAAGATTTGGTATGGGTGTGAAGAACTTACTCCCAGGGTCGACATCAAACTCTTCTTGAACTTCACAGTCTTGCAGCTCCGATCTATCTCCAATCACACTTCCCTTTCCTAGTACACAGTCGGTTAATGTGCATGATTGTCCCACAGTAACTCCATCCATCAATACACAACGAGTCAGTCTTGCTCCAGTTTTAATTTGACAGTTTGCACCGATGACACATTCTTTGATAATGCATTTCTCTTCAACAATAACATTTTCGGCTAAAAGACAATCTGGTCGTACTGTGGTCTTCTGGGCAATTCCTTCTGGCCAGGCTATTTTGCTATTATGGGCAAATGGAGAGGCAGCATCGCGGCCGACTTGATCGATAGCTTCGATTTTAGCCAGTTGTAGGGATACGTTTAGAAGGATGGGCGCAGTATCGACACGTCGAATAAGAGGTGGGAGCCCTTCCGGTATGGGCTTTGAAGGATGGATGTATGCTAGAATCGGAGGAATAGCAAAGCTTGGTTTTCCATTAGAGATTGACGAATCTGATGCTTTGCCCGATAGTGGTTCTTGGAGTTTAGATGTCCAAGTCGAACTCAGATTGCCGTAATCGACATCATCACTTGCAGGACCGTTGTCAAGCATATTATCATCGGACTCATCGGGTCTTGTGTTCTCGAAAATATCTCGCAAGCCCAATTTATCGCCTAGACCTTGTTGCCACCCCGCCTTAGCCCACCAGCCAATAACATCTTCACCAAGGTTGTCCATGTGCTCGTTTACGTTAATCATGTCCATCACCCAGGCAGGGAAAATGTAAATATGTGCATCTCGATGCGAACTCAGCATTCGAATGCGGGGATGGTTGCGTACTAGGGCATGTCGAATTGGTAAACCTTTTTTGTCTTCAACTATATCCTTTAGGGTATCTGTGGGGACAGAGTAAACCAGCTTCGAGATATGAGGAATCAAAGATGATTTGGAGGGTGGTACGGAGGTGGCGGCGAGGGGCGATGTCGCAATAAAATCTGTTTCTTCACCTTTGATTATTGTTTCGCTCTTAGTCTCGTACCACACTCCAAGCCCGCCACGTCTACCACCTCGTTCACCACCAAGTGCCATTTTCGGGCCCTCGTGATCTCCTCCTGTAGCCCCACCCAACCCTCCTTCCTTTACCATCCATGATTCTATCAAAGATTCGCCGCCAAGCTCACAAACAAGATCGCAGGGAAGTACAATGAAATCACCCTTGATGATGTTTCGTACCTCCGGTAATCGAAAGATCTGTGCAGTACCTGTCGTTTGGTCTAGATCTTCGGGTGCTAATAAATCTGGTTTTGGTAACGGTAGGCTAGTCAAATGCGGATTTGTGGCTAATGCAGTTTTAATAGCTTCTTCCGAAGAAGGTGGTGTAATGAGAGTGATATCTAAATGAGTGTTAGTCTCGTAAGAACCTCAAAAATGTACATTCAAGGTAGTCCCGAGGAATATTGACAAAGTAGCTCGCTTCAACGTCGCATTCGAAAATATGCAATCAAGATTATGCACTCAAAACTATGCGCTCAGAACTATGCATGGGAAAATAGTCTCGGGGATATTCATAACAAATCCAAAAATATGACTCGACTTACTGGTAACACCCATTCGATAACAGAAATCAATAGGATACCAAACCATAGGACGATTTGCTATTGGTATCAAAGCCTTTGGGTTCTTATCAGGATTGGAAGTGAAAGTAGGAAAAGACGATCCTGGCCCGCAAAGAATTATGGCCTGAAAGCCAGGCGCTGGCATGGCATGAGGCATTGTCGGTTATTTGCTGTTGTGAAAAGGGTATTCAAGTACAAGTCGGTGGTGTGAATGGAAGAGATATCCAGTTCATAAAAATCACTGATTTGTAGTAGGATATTGTAAGAATGAAAAATCGAGCGACTCTGTCTGTGGAGAGTTTTCGAAGACGAGTCACAAAGGCCTGTTTCCTGGTATTTAATTGTGGTTATTCTGAGGTCTCGTTCGCTACCTTTTCAAGTCGCAAAAAATGTCGCGACTAGTGTCACATGAGTCATACAGTCATGTGATTCAACTAAGAACATCTCTTCAATGATATTTAGGCACTCGATTGGGGAAGAGTGTATCAAAAGTATGGCAAATTCGAAATACTGAGCTTTGATTAAATAAGCGGGAATAGGACCTGGATTCGACGCGTTAGGTCTGGAAGTCGTGGTTTCTTGAAGACAAGCTTCATGGCGATGTTTCCGTTAGGAGAATCTTGTTATCTGCGATGTCATCATTTTATTATTTATGTCCTTGCTGGTCAAGCTAGGAACAGAATACTCTCCTTCGAATGCGGCAGCCTTGTAATGAGTTGAATGGGATAGGTGGCAATAATTGGATTTCTAAAGAATTCAATATCTCGAGTGATTTCGAAATCTCGATTCAGGAAGCCAAATGGAAGAAGTTAGGGACTTAGGATACAATACCGTCCAGCAGATGGTATCTCAAGCTATTACAAGGTCAAACCCAACTGTTCACACCTCTCTGAAAGGTCTAGTGGCCGAGAAATTGCTAGGCATATTACAATCACAATGGCCGTGTGGCAGGATGTCAAATTATGTTTTCGAAGAACATTAGTCAGTTAATTGTGAATGTTTAGATTAGCAGTATCTTCCATTTTATGATTAAATTCTATGTATAAATATGCAGAAGCCTCCAAAGCAATCTCTGTTGTTGTATTATTGAATCCTTCCTCCACCAATGCTTCAAACCTTCAAATCACATCTTCCTTTCGCACTACATCCAGTCTCACCATCATCACCACCATCCATCTCTGCTTCTTCCCCCTCAACCCCACCCACCCTGTCCTTCCCCTTCCCCTTCTCCTTACCTTACCCCAAACTCTTCCTCACCCCCCAGCACCAAAAATGGTAACCAGGCCAGAGCAACGAAAAGTCCAAACCATCACCATCAACCTCAACATCAAAATCAGCATCACCCAGAAGCAGTGTAATACCAGGGACACCTATACACCCCTCGCACGACTCGTCGCACGAGCGGAGTAAAAACAACCAAAAATTATGGAAAACCATAAGTTAATCTTTCTTGCGAAAGGATCCAAGTGGTTAAACATGGATAGAACAGATACTACATTTGATCTAAGCGAAAGGTGGGAGAAGCACCAGCTAGATTGATGAGGAAAAAAGGAACTGATGGAGAGGGAGAGAGAGAGGTTTATATAGATATTTGGGATGTGATCTAGGAGGCGCGGTTGGTGCAAATGGTGCAAACATGACTTTGTTGGGGTTGTGTCCGGTGTGAGTCAGATGAGAGGGGCGATGTTGCCTATACCATAATGCAGCGAAGCAAGATAACCAACAACTAAATCGCCAATCCGAATGAACAGTATTCAATTTTTTATGTTCAACGAAATTATGATTTGTGCATTTAATCAAAAGATAACGATCATACATAATATTTTCGAGTCAAATTCATGAGAAATATCTTATGACCTCAACGCTCCCAGTCCAGTATTGACCATTCATCCTAAAAAAAAAACCATACATCAAAGGTATAAATAAAAAGAAAAAGACGCCGCTTATCTGCCTATCTGCTTGCTTATTCCACACCAAGAACCTTTCTAGCCCAATAATCTCCAACACGATTTCCCTCTACTACAACGACGCCCCTTCCAAGACCAACTCTATCTTCTCTTTCCCACCATTGTTCCTTTGTTCCTGACACTTGACTCTCAGCTTCGGATTCACTATCTGCAAGTCCACCGTGGCCTCCATCAGCGCCTACAATTAGGACAACATCTTCCCGGAACCAACTTTGTAGATGGTTAATGACCGATCCATTTTCTCCGGCGAGGGATTCTTGTAAATATATAAAATCAGGCGCGATATTGCGAAGGATATGGACATGCCCAGTTGGGGTGGTGAATGGTAGGACCATGGTCTCCTTTTCCACTAAACCTAATGCTTCGTTATAGATTGTGCCGAATGCGAGCGGACTCGTCGAACCCTTTGGAGGAAACATCGGAGTTCTAAGGTTTATTAGCTCATGACCTCTGTAACAAAGTAAAGGGGAATGTTCTTACAATTGTCTGTCGCTCTCTTCCCCAGGTGTATGAACATCTCCAGGGCCAATGTTCGAAAACGAGGAACTGAGAGATCCACCGGCTTTCCCACCTGCGGCATCCAGCGGATGCTCCACTAATCCTGGTGCATATATTAGAACGAAGAGTCGTAATTTCGAGAAGTCGGTTTTGCGAGGAAGATGGGAGAGGATTGACTACGAAAATCATTAGTAACTACTGGCTAATATCTTCAAATTAACGAACCGCAAATTCATGATGATAACCTGCTTCGGATGCTGCGTCATCATCTTGTGATTCTGCAGAAACTACAATGGCTACAGTCTTCCTCTTTCCATTTTTGACTGGTGCTCGAGGTGCTGGGGCAACACCTGCAGACACTCCTGCAGGGCTATCAGAACGCAGCTCGATTGGCCCTGGGGCTGGTGTTGTAGTTGCAGGTGGACTCGGGGTAGCATTTCGTCGTATAACTGATTCCTCCTGCCATGTTCTATGGTCGTCAAATCCGTGTTTGTCTTCCTCCCTGATTGAAGAAAGAGCACTCCCCACAACTCCACCAACAGCAGCGGCTCCAGCCGCAAGACTTCTACCAGCGCTATTGATAAACTGCTGTGGACTAGGTGTTCTATGTAGTGCACCTGACATTTGAGCTATGTAACCTTGGGACTCATCAGGACGCCGAGGTTGTGGTGGTGGTTGTTGTTGTTGCTGATCTCTCGTAGATTCACCCGGTCGCAAATCGCCGGCGTGCGAAGGAGAGCCTGTTCCAAAGCTGCCATCCGAGTTTCTGTTGCCATATTCTGATCCTGAACGTTGAAGGGGTCTGTTATCATCATCGTCATCTTCATCACCTCTCGTACTCCATATCCATGCTACTACACCTACTGCGGCTGCAGTAACGGTGAAAGCTAGTGGTAACCAGTAAGAGAGATTTCCTCGACGCGCCTGTGCGCCTCTGCGATCGTATGGGGATGACATTTAGGAATGAAATGGCATCATATTCTCCATTGATTTAAATCCCCGAAGATAGTAAAAAATCGTAAATCATAAATTCATAAAAACCTGAAGTTTACACTCATTCAATTGTGGAGATGGAGCATTGATCAACAAATCCCGAGGATAGATTGGAGAGGCTGGGAAGCTTATGTTGCGTTGACCTGACTTTTAGCCCTGTCTTGATTTCTACTTCCTCGGTGTTGGCTCAGTTCTCTTGTTGTTTTGATTTCTGACCGCCTTCCATAGCTGACACGTGAATGTGGCAAAATTATTTACGTGACATTTGACCTACATTCTTTTTTTACCTTGGATGATGTTGATATAGAACTACGATTGCATATATTGATGGCTTGTAAATCGAAAATATTGTTGTTCAATTGTATAAGGCGTAAGAGTATAGAGACATACAAAGCCTCCGTCATTATTGTTGGCCAATGCAATATATGTGGTTCCCGAGGTTTAGATGTTTTAATGCGAATCTTTGAGCAAACTTTTTATATGGTCCAATAACTTCGGATCCTAGGAACGGAGGGATGAACTTTTCAAAGGCCAAAATCTCTGGCAGGGTAGTATGTTGGTGTATTGGACTTGTCTAGAGACTTCTGCGCTCGTGTGCATATAGAAGTCAGTGAGGCTACTGATGGACTGAAGGTACCTACTTACCTCGTTCATACCTTTCTGCCTGCTATCTTATCCGGTATCCTGCCGCACAGTTTTATCGAATTATTCTGCAATCTGCCTTCAGTTGTCAGTCCACGGTTTCAACAAGCTGAACCGAGCTCAATGGAAGGACGACTTGGTATATATGGTAAATACTGTGCCAGTTGTTGCTCGCTCTGTAATTGTCCGACTTCGCATTCCATATCTTCCATTCATCTCGTTGTTCCAAGCACTTTCGCGGTTCCCAAAAAGCCGTCAATTGTCAATCTTTCCTCTAACCCTGCTTTCCATGTTTCGGCACAATGGTAGTTTTTTTTGATGCTTGCGCACTTCTTTCAAATCATCTCCAGATGCGACCTTTATGAAACCATTGCCCTCTGAGCTTGGCTCAATGTATTTGAGAAGCAATGAATCATCGACGAACCTTTTGTCAAAATCATTCGTACCTCAATGGCCCATTCCAAACCGAACATCTGCGGCTGAATTTCCAATTCTAATTCCAATTCCAATTCCTACATTGGAACCTAGCTCCAGTCCATTATCCAAAGCCAAACTGCACTCCAACTACCAGTATCAAGCCAAAGTCACCATATGTTTATCGGGGTACTCGTAAAAGTATCCGCAGAGGAATTCGATCTCTCAGCAGATCTGAGAAAAATCTGCGACGGTAATATAGCTGGCGCAGATATATCCAAAAACATTATTCCTTCGAAAATTCCTCCCATTTCATAGACTGTCTTCCGGTGGAAGCCTTCCCACCTTCCTGCGACAAATTTTTTTTGTATAGGTGCGGGGATTGTGGATGTCGTCGCAAGCTTGTAAAGTTGTGTTTGGCCGAAGTAGAAAATGCGATGCGATTTTCGTTCAAAATCTAGCAGGAGAAAGACGGGAGCCCAATTCGAAATCAGATAATTGCAAAACTCGATCTTAGCAACTTACCAAACTTTCGCATACCACCGATAAACACCTTCTCAGTCCGTACCGGTAAGTCCAGAAAGGACTTGCACCTAGAATTCCTTATGTGGTCGATGTAAGACGCACGATGTAATTTTCGGCAAATCCAGCAGAAGACAGGAAGCCCCCCGAACTACAAATAACAACATCTCCAAAATGTGATCTTAGAAGTTTACTAAACTTTTACATAAGACTAAAAGACACCTTCTTAACCCACACTAGAAGTCTCAAAACAATCCCACGCCCAGTTTTTTCCCCAATCCCCAAATGAATAAAGGTACACATTTTGTCGACCAATGGCAGACCTCCATTTACGCCAACACGTGATATTTCCTGCATCAAAAAAGTTTTGTTGCACGTCTGAGGGTGCCTCCAAATATGGGGCTTTTTGACAAAGTACAAATTTTTTTGCACTTCTCGACAGCGCTCGATTGTGCGAGTTTGGGAAAACTATCAGAATTCGAATCCGAAGACAATTGCGGTTGCTACAAGTCGAGGCGTTTTGGTTTTTTTTGGGTGGTGATTTTGTGACCGGGAGGTTCCGGAGGGGTTTGGTGAATTTTGCCTCGGCTTTTATTTTCTTAAATTGTTTGATGATCTTGATATTGAGTGGAGGGGAAGAGATTCACTCGTATTAAATCTTTCATTGGTTGCATGTCAACAAGTGTAAATTTATGCCGTTCAATGGCAGTCTACGGCATAATTTAAGAGAGTGTTTGTTCCCTTTTTTTCTCCAGCCCAGGTAAAAATCGCATGGGTGACGTCCATGGTGAAGGAACATGGAATCGTTCATTGAGAGGCTCTCTCAGGCATGTCGCAAGTTTCGTAGGTTTCTTCTTGTGTTATTTTTGTCTTATGTGATTTTTTCGTCCAACATTCGAACCCGCCTACCAAATTTTTCTTCCGAATATTCAACCTCTCCTTCAGTCATATCTTTTGTCTCATCTGCAGGTCATTGGACCTCACCCTGGCACGTTCGACAGCGGCTGTTTAACCCATACTTCAAACTTCCACATCGGAATTTCCAGGGTTTTAAGTAATAAGTTGAAGTTCTGTGACGCTCTTTCCTGTTGTCAAAGGTTTGCTTACACACTCTGCTTTTGATACTCTTTCATTTACAGGTTTCATGTTATGGATCCTCACTACGAAAGATGGGGTGATTGTAAGTTATAGTGAATGGGGTACTTGATGAGGCGAGAGTGAAACAAGAGATGGTGATTTGAGACGAGATTACTTTTTTTTTAATGGGTGCGATGATGACTTTTGTTTCGGCAAGATGTGCCAGAAGAGGCGGGATTTGGTAAGGTATCTAGAGAAGGTAGAAGTAAATAAGGAAACAACAGTTGTGAATTGGCAGTATATGTATTATGCTACGAGAAATATGAATGCTAAAGAGGATTATGAATGATCATGAAATGGGTTGTGAGACCCGTGTAGATTTGGTTCCTCCTATATGATGATGATGTTACTACCTTTGCTACCAAAGGATGCCCTTGCGGGTACGAGCCCAGTTTGCTCGAGCTGAGGGCTCGTGTAGTAGACCAAAATTTTCTACATCTAGGTCTTTCAATATTGTGCTAGATGAATCCCTCTGCGGGCCAGAAAAAATGCCTCAGCCCTTGATCTTCTTCTTCTTATCCTTCTTCTTTGGATCCGAGGTTGGGCTACTGGATGGGCCATCCATCATTCCGGCCATTCCTGGCATTTGTCCTCCCATTTCAGCCATCATATCTTTAAAGAAATTCTCACTAACACCACCACCAGATAACGCCGCGCTATAGTATGGTAATATTTCTCCCATCTTCCATCCTTTCGGTATTGCAGGTCTTGGTAATGGTTTGCTAGGATCAGGGGGTGGTATGCCAGCCAGTTGGGGTTGCATGGCCGTTTTCTCCGTGGTAGGATTGTCCTTCAGGTGTTTCGCTATTAACGTGTAAAGATGGTGCTCTATTCAATGTATGTTAGTTTATGTCGTGCCATACACGACATGGTGCACTGCGGAAAACCCAACAAAACGTACTGTTCTTGATAGCTGGGTTGGCCCCTCCTTTGATATTAACCTTAACCCGACCCGGATTTGCCCAATCCTTTGGATGAGTCTTGACTGGCTCAAATAAGGTTTCGATTCGAAGTCTAGAGCATGCAGCTACAATTTCTCGGGCGACGGGATTCTTGACCGCTAGCTCCATGCCTACTCTTCTGCCTTCTGCTCGACTTCTGGTAGCATCGAAATATATCGGATAAATGCATTGAAAATCTCTGTATTTAGAGCTATCTTCCGTTGAGCGAAATTGTGTGCCATCTGCCCCGGTAGTAATTTGAGAGCCGGAAAATGGAATATCTGCGAGATTCATTCGAGAAGCTTGAACATTAGGGGCTGGTGCGCGTTTGGTGGATGATTGTGCTGGTGTCCTCTTCATGATAATATCGCGGTCTTCGAAATCCGAGGCCACATCTGAGATATCGCCTTCAGATGGATCACTAGCGCCATATTCATTGTCGCTATCCTCAACCTCTTCAATTCGTGCGTGTGACATCTTGCTTGCCCTTGTGTCACAAATAGGAATGAGGATGTGTTGAAGTCTAAAAGATGTGGGGGTGGGGTCTGGACAGGCGAAGCTCAAACAGCACAGCTTAAGCCTTAAATTAAGCTTTCAACGGGAGATCTAACAATGTTTGTCACGTGCAATGACCCGAGCACCTTTAGCAAGCGCAATTTGCACGATTAAGAGCTCGAAACACAGATCCAAGGGAAATAACAAATTTCGTCCAGGTACGGCTGATCTTTTCCTTCATTGCGAAGAAGTTGAGATTGATGAGTTTATGAATGTGTTGCGGTAATTCGATGATTCGTGAGAGCGGATTGATGACAGAGAGGATCGATGACTGGAAATAGAGAATGAAAATTTGAGGGAATGGAGAATCCTTTCACGTTTTGTATCTTTGCTCCCTCACAACAGCCCTGTCAAAACGGCATGGTGCCAGTTCTATTCTAAGATTTGTAACCCTCAAAATTCCCCAGCGAGTAGGCTATGTTGCGTCGTATTTAGGATCAAATCAGCCAGATAACGGATGCACAACGGCCCCTTAATCTTGCCAAGCCACTCTCGTCAGGCGGCTCAGATGGGACAAATAGCTACAGACTAGTCACTGGGTACAAACGACAGACACGACAGAGTTCGTCTACATTATCATCCAGATTCCAGACGTGAAAGACTGAGCCTACCGGTGCGGAGTATAGATGAGACCGAGGAATGTCTCGCAGATTTGGAAGACCGAGTACGGAACTTTTAATTTTGGGAGCTCACAAATGGTGCAGCTTCTTGTATGCAAGATCACGAGTTTGTGTGTACATGCAGCAGCTTCCTATTTTGGCACAACCACACGTGATACTCCAGGGACCCATGCCGCGGTGTCCGTGGCTGATACATTGCAGCTTTTCGTTCCTTGATTTTGTGTTCCTGAATCTTTGCAAGCCGAACGCCACGGGGTACATATACTTCGACGCTCCTTAGAATGACTTGGTATGAAGTATTCAGAATCTACGTCTCCCACACAAGTATTTTTGGTTCTCCTGAAGATTCGGCTATTTCTAGATAATGGTTGTGACTGACCTCGCATTGGGCCGAGGATGGCTGATCTTCAGGTACCGCGATAGTCCTGAATGGTAAGAGATATTTAGTCTTAGGTTACGGGTCTTCAAAATTCGATAAATTTTTATCATATTCAAACTCACATCGTACAAGACCCACCAGCTTGAGGTTAGTGGCGAATGATGTTTTTGTTTTTCAGAAAAAAAAAAAGTTAGAGGTGGCTAGAGTGTCAGGACAATCAGGCTTCAATCTTGAACCAAACATTTGGTTCAACATCTTGGAAATCTGATCTCAGAGGCGACAGTGTACTGATTCTCTTCGAAAGGCTCGGGCGCGGTAGAGGAAAGCAACTGGTTTTGAGTAAACTTGGAGTCATACGAAGAAGACACTCATCTTCTTTCGTCCGGCCAAAGCCAGAACTAGTTATCTTTCAGCCCGTCCATACTGCGAGGCTCTTGGAAAGATTTTGGGAAATTTTGAGGAACTTACGTGTGACAGGCTTCGATATCGATAATTCAAAATTTGGTCAAGGTCAGGAGCAAATCAGTAGGAAAGATAAAATCGATTATTCTACTATTAGGATGGGGACTGGTTCTCGTGGTGAGTTTAATACAATATTTCGCTCGATTCCAGAGGGCTTTTTATATATTTATAAAGTTGTGGGATTTCAAGTGGCAGCCCACCCAGCCTTATATGCTAGACTCCTCGGAATGTTATGACGACTATTGGTTTGTCCACTACTTGGCTTTCAGTTCGATATCATTGCATACAGAATGTCATCCTATAAGTTATCCCAAGAAATCTTTGATATCTTTCTAATAAAAAATAATTCAATATGGATTATTCACTCTGCTTTGGGAACCTATTCTGGCCTATTTTCACCTGCGAGGTAGCTATGTATGACAAGGGTGAATTACCCAAACCAATTGGGAAAAGTCTTTTGAAACAATCTATAAATCCCTTGAATCTCTCTCTTCTTCAAAGTTTTTGATCAACCATTTTGATACTCTTTAGTTAGCTGATTATTTGGCTTATTTATCAAAGACATACAATGGGCTCTTCTGATAAGGCAACCCTCATTGATGATGGTGTAGATGTGGAGTTTGGAATTGATAATGGTAAGAGTTTCTTTTTCATTATGATATAATCAGCATGCCACCTTCAAGTCGGATCGTTTATAAATTGAATGTAAAAAATTGTAGGTCAATCATGGAAGTTTTTAGCTAACGTTATGGTGAAAAGTCTCTTCTAGCTACGCATCTAAAAGGGGACCAGCTTCACCAGCTTTATCAGAAGCATCTTCTTGTACCCTAGGAGAAGAGAGTCCAGAGCCAGTAATAGCGTCAAATCTTGTAGTTGAAGATTCCATTGCCCTCAATACGAGGTCATATTCTGCATCTTCCTCTGAGTTGCCTATCAAAATCCCCACGCCCACCAAGAAACGGCTGCGAGAGGACGTTGAATTGTCTTGGTCAACTCGGGAGATCTTTAACACAGCCAAGCGCCACATCGGAGCTCCTGTTACGGCTTTTCATAATACCTCTACTAATTCTAAACCTCTTCAACTCCGGACTGTTCCGCAAGCTGCCTCGCTCAACCAGAGAATTCCGTTACACAGTTTGCGTACCCACCAATCAAAACCTCTGGTCAGATCTGCTCCTCTTCCAGTTCAGCCCAGTGCCCCTCTCGCCAATTCTAATGCATTCCGCCATGCTCCTCTCCCAATGGCACCAAAGCAACTCATTAACCTCGACGACGAAGACATCCCCACGAAATTTCAAGTACCTCCCGGGAGCATAATCATCGATCTAGAAGACTATGAGATAGAAGCTGAGCTGGAGAAAGAGATCTTTGGATTTGAGCCACAGATTGCAGCCCAAGCCAACTTTCAACGTGCCTTACTTGCTAACAGAAACCCTAAGATCGTACTTCCCTATGTCGAGGATGAGTCATTACCCTGGAAATCCAGTTTGCTCAGACCGGGGAAAACAGTCGAGCTTAGCAATGGAACGTTTCTGAAAATCAAATCAATTGTCAGGAATGTTGCAAATGATGAAGTTTCCATTAGAGGATGGAAGCTCGTACGTACCCGCGACTCTATTCTCGGTGGAATTGCAGGGAAGAAGAGGAACAAATTGGTATTTGTCCATGAAATAGATGGGAATGATAGACGTGATGCTTTGGAGCAGTCTGTGCACACAATTCGAGTTGATGAAGTTGTAAAGATACGACGTTTAATTTGTACTAATAAATCGTTCCCTGAATGTAGATACAACAAAGAAGACATTCCTCCAGAAATTCGAAAGAAGGGGGAGAAAGAAATACTGCAATATGTGGAGGATGAGATGTTGTTGGTGGCTAGGAGAGCTTTTGTGGCCAGATATGCAGACGCGGAGGAAAGATTGCGGAAAGGTCCACTCCTGGATCGACCTAGCCAATCAGCGATTTTGAGATCCCTCGAAAAGGAAGAGTGTACAGAGGGAGAGTTTATTGATCTGGATATTAAGAAGAAGGAGTGGAGAGGCGAAACTGTTCTAGGTGGCTCGGGAAACGACAAAAATGTTGATAATCCATCCAGCTCTAGCTCTAAATATACGTACGGCGATGGATGTAGGTTCACCTTTCTCTTATACATATAATCATCTAACAGCCACTTTAGATTGTGGAGCAGGCGGTATGACAGTGGGTGCTGCAGCTGCTGGCCTCAAAGTCAAATGGGGCTTTGATCTCAACCCTCACGCGGGACTTACATGGCAGAACAACTTCCCACTCGCGGAATTTCATCTTCTTCCAGTCAATGAATTCGCAGCTCTCCCGGATCCTCGCAAAAATCTCTGGGTCGACATCCTCCATCTATCTCCTCCCTGCCAAGTTTTTTCTCCTGCGCATACGGTTCCAGGACGCAATGATGAAATGAATTATGCGAGTCTTTTTGGCGTCAGATGTGCGATTGAAAAGGCTCGACCAAGAATTGTCACTCTGGAACAGACTTTTGGAATCTTACATCCGCAAAATAAAGACGCTTTCAACGGGTTAGTAACCTGTTTTACCGATTTGGGCTATAATGTTTCGTGGCAAGTGGTGGAGTTTCAGGGATATGGGTTGCCGAGTAAGAGGAAGAGATTGATCATTCTTGCGTCTTGGTATGTCGTTTTCCTATCCCTTCATTCACTCTCTTCTCCCCTAACCCTCTTCCAAATCATAACCTAACCCTCCACAGTCCAGGAGAAGCCCTCCCCCACATACCCGAATACACCTACCACCCCCCACACCTCAGCAGCGACAGCAAAAAACCCTACAAGACCCCCAACCAAGTGCTCTCCAGCATTTCCCCCGACGCCCCCAACCACGAACCACACACGCCGCAACTAAACCGTGCAAACTATGTACCCTGGGACGGCTCCGTCATCTGCGCTTGTATCCTAACTAACGGCGGTTCCGGACTCGGCTTACCAGATGGCAGTCGTGGAATGACGAATAGAGAATTAGCTGCTCTGCAGGGATTCCCTCTAAACCATGTTTTTTATGGATGTGAAATTAGGAGACAGGTGGGGAATGCGGTACCCCCTGTTTTTGGGAGGATTTTGTTGGGGAGTGTGAGGAGGCAGCTTGAGAGGAGGGATGGCTGGGTTAGAGGGGAGGGGATTGTGATTAGTGATGATGGGGAGTGAGAGATTGGGATATTGGAGATTGGAGATTAAAATATTGAGAGGTTGGGAGATTGGAGGGTTTTGATTCTTCAATGTGTGTTTTTCCTTGCAACACGAATATATGGGTGCATGATGTTTCATCTGTCTGGATAGATACTAGGTAGATTATTTTAGATAGAGTGAGTAGAGATTCGAATATACAAGGTAACCTAATCATTACAATCCCAATTACTCAGTAATTATTTAGTTTTTGATTTCCTCATTATACGTATGATCATCACAATTACCATATTTTCACCATTTTCCATTCCAATTCTAGATGATCGATCTATAAAGCCAAAATGATACCTGATATAATCAACTAGGTAGGTAAGGTTAGTGAAGAACCACAGATTTTCAACAAATCTCCTTCTCATGTCCTAACGCTATATTCTCACATATCCTATACTTCCAACTCAGCCCCCTAAAATCCCAATACATCTATCTTTCTTTACAAACTTCCACATAATAATTCTCTTTTTCTCATCCATCATCAACCCTATAATGCACAATATATCTCTACAAATATCCATACACTCATCCCAGCTAACGCACATCTTTCAAATCAAATTCTATTTCTATTTATTTATTTATCCATTACTTGGATATCCTCGGGAGTAGCCTTACATACTAGTTTTGCGACATCGGGAACTCAAAGGTAATTGATATACATACAGTATTACAGCGTAGTAGATTTGCTTTCGCTGATGGATGAGTCTCAAAATTTCAGCCTCATTTTTCATCATTGTGGCTAGATATTTCTTTCTGCTCGATCAGCCACTCTTGAGCCACAAATTGTTTAATCATCACCATCCGGCGTCATCATTCAGCAACGTCAACATCAAGCCCAGTCGGCATGATATTTCTCCGGCAAAGTCAAGCCGACTGCCAAGACCGTGATGCCCGAAATTCTTGTTACATTCATTTATCATTAGCATTGAAATCAATATTACTCCGGAGATCAAGGTCTCGCTTGCGCCTTTGAATTTGCATGAAAAACTCTTCGGATATTCTGTGCGGAGTTTATCCACGATTCATTTCCCCGATTAGCTCTAATAATAGCCTTGTTACCCCATCTGAAGACTTTTCTCCGCATGCGTGCATGAAGAGCATCATTCTACGTGTGTTTACCTCGATTAGCTTCCAGATGAAGATCGTTGTCACCTATTGGCGACCTTAAAACCGGTCTTAAATCAGACTTGCGTACAAACTCTGCACACCAAGGCTGCTTGTGCTTGTCGAACATTGGCATCTAATGTACCATTGGATAAATGTTGAAGATGATCACTTCTTTAGCTAAAATCTAATAGCCTCGGTTTAACCCCGCAAAGGTGAGGTAATTCAGGTACATGTTTTTGTGTTTACTCAATCTCCTAAAATTCGGCTTTGCCCACCTCTTCCTGTCTACCTTCTTCTCTTGTCCCTCTCTTTTTGTCCTACCCTCTTTCATCGTCCACTTTTCAATCTCCAGGTATGAAGGTCTCGGCAGTCTTGATTTCTGCCATTGCAGCATCCGCGAAGGCTTCTACACTTCTGCAAAGTCGTCAATCGAATTGGACCATCGGTCAAACAGTTCAGACGACCAGTGGTCCAGTCAACGGACATGCTGCATTGAATGAGTCCCAAGTATCCGAATATTTGGGAATTCCATTCGCCAAACCACCCCTCGGGGACCTGAGATTCGCTGCACCAGTTGCATATAATGGCACTGCGACTCTCAATGGTACCAATTTTGTAAGTCAAACCCTGGAGGAATTTACTTTTTAACGAATTGCTGACACAATCGGTAGGGTTATAGCTGTCCTGCTCAATCTACCTCATATAATGCTACACTAGTTGAACGGTCAAATGTTTCTTTGGCAATAGGAATACCACTACTCCAAACAGTTGGAACCCCTTCGACGGCAAAAAGCGAAGATTGCTTGACATTAAATGTGTGGGCGAAGCCACAGACTGGCGACGCCAAGAAAGCTGTATTAGTATGGATCTATGGAGGCGGCTTCAATAGCGGGTCTAGTTCCACTCCATCGATGAATGGAAAGCATATTGTAGAACAAGAGGATGTGATTGTGGTGTCTATCAAGTAGGTTTTAAGTTGCTCGAACTTCCAAAGCTTTGCTGATCAAGAACTAGCTATCGACTTAATATTTTTGGCTTTCCGGGAAATCCAGATAGCCCCGCGAATCTCGGACTTCTAGATCAAAGACTGGCCATCGAGTGGGTTCGTGATAATATTGAAAACTTTGGTGGTGATACATCCCGTATCATTATATTCGGACAATCGGCTGGCTCAGCATCTGTCGACTTTTACAACTATGCTTGGGTAGAAGACCCAATTGTTGCTGGTTTCATTCCAGAATCTGGTACAGCTTTGAGTTGGGGCTTGCCAAATCAAGCAGAAAATGTTGCTCTAGCTTGGTATAACGTTACTGAAGTAGTTGGTTGTGGTGGTGCATCCTCCGGCAATGTTACTGCTTGCATGCGCACCAAAACCACAACAGAAATTATAAATGGCATATCTGCCACCTCTGGATCTGGAGGTACTTTAGGAAGCTTCGGTCCCACTGTCGATGAGATTGTGGTATTTTCCAACTATACTGAACGCTCATTAGCCGGAAATTTCACCAAAAAGCCACTGCTTATTGGAAATAATGACAATGAAGCTGGGTTGTTCATCGCCACAAGCTCCCTGCAAGGTTTAAGCTATCCCGATTTTTACTGGCAGACCTTCAATTTGATCGGCTTTACTTGCCCAACTGCCTATCGCGCGAATTATTCAATTCAAGCTGATGTTACCACTTGGCGTTATCGTTATTTCGGTTCCTTCCCTGATACAATGATCATTCCAAATGCAGGTGCATGGCATTCCGCCGAGATCCCTATCCTTTTTGATACAAACATCGCCAACCCTCCCGAGACGACCGAGCAAATAGCCATCGGAAAATATATGCGTGGAGCTTGGGCTGCATTTGCCAAGGATCCTGAAAATGGCTTGACGAATTATGGATGGCCAAAATATGAACCTGAAAAGGATACACTTATTAGATTGGCATACAATAATCAGACGGGTATAAATGTTGCCAATCCGTCGTTATATGATGCAGACTGCCCCGTAACAGCCGCTGCTAGCACTAGTTCAAATAGTTCAACGTCTACTTCGACAGGGACCGCGACAAGTAGTTCAGCAGCTGCAACAGTATCTTCTTCTGGGGCAGGAAGCTTGGAACTTGGTTGTATGGGACTGATGAGCGTGATGGTAATTGGAATAACTTTCTTATTTTAATGTTTAATTTAAGTGAAAGGTGTATATAGTAGATAATCTTCAGACTAAATTTTTTTTTATTTACTCTACAAGTCATACTTTTATTGTAAGTTTATAGCATGTCTATGTTTAAGATTATCCCTCCTGGGGATCGAGGCTGACTACACAAATTTATCGTACCTTGATACCTGAACCTCATATCCGGTATAACAGGAGATCAACTTATCGATTACCATATCATGGCAACCACAAAAACGTTAAATCTGTCCAAGGCTCTCTAGCCTTCGCGAACACTCCAAAGTTTATCATAGTACTATACGCTCAACTACTATCATCAGACACATAAACATATATATTTCTACGGGGAAAGGTCATGGAGCTCAATCAACAGTTGGACATTCGGACATCTCTCCACAATTACCAGCATTACCACAATATGGGGAAGTTTTGTCGATAAGGGCGGAGGCCGGGGCGGGGTGGGGTACGGTACGGATGTTTTCCTCTTCCCAGGTAGCTTCCCGTGTCCCAGACATTCGAGGTATTTTGGTATTTGTTTAAGATCAACCCGCCCAGTGTGAAGTTCAACAATTCAATTCTATCCATTTGCCATATGTTCAAATCATTCACTCTTGCCTTCCACTTATTATTTCCAAAGGTTAACCTTGTTATCAAACTGTAATGTACCGAGCATGCGGTGTTTCACGCGACACTTCTGATAATATCCATTCCACTTCGTGATGCAAGTGCATGTTAATAGTACAGACAAGAAGTCATGTATTACAACAACTATGGCATTTTCATATTCCTTTTCATGGGAATCATGTCCCGTTGCTTCGACATACCGCGGAAACCATTTTGCTAGGTAGTCATAGATAATTTTTATGACTTATGCGGTGGTGTGTGAGTCTTCTCAAACAACGTCAATGGGTATGAATTTCAGTCTGCGAGTCACAGCTTCACTGAAATAACCACGATTAATTTCAATCGATGATAAAGATCATTCAGACTTGACCAAAAATTGTCAGTGGAGTCATTCAGCATAATATATTGTTTATAAAAGGGCTCAGTTTTCTTCTCACCTTTACTTCTTCCCATACACTTTACATCCTCAACCAAGCAATACTTTCATACTGAGAATACTATCCACTACTTCATACTACCATTACCTTTACCCAGCCCTCCAACTCCAACCATACCTCTCAAAAATTATCAGTTCACAAACAACAAAATAATACCATATAGCAACAGGCCTCATATCCATCACTTACTTTCATCATGTCCGGAACAGGATATCGCAAGTACCGTTGCAAGTACTGGTTAATTCATCGTTGCGGCAATCGGCTATTGGTGAATAACGAACCGTGTGCGGATTGTTTGGTATTTCACTAGACAGCTGTAAGCTTTTGCGTGCTAATATCAACTAGGCAGCTGGAAGAGACGAAGCAGTCATTTCACCATTCCAGTATAAATCCTCCTCCACTACTTATACCGACACCAATATCACTTCCACTCAACCTGCCTCCATCAGTCAGCCCGCCCGCCCCTCCGGGACATTGGTTCATCCAGGAACCAGGTCAAAAGTGGTCCGAGAGATGGGCCTCCGCTACCAGCGATGAGAAAAATAAGTACGCATTTGAGCTGGCTAATAGTGAAGGTGGTATGGATCTCATGAGAACCAATTTTTCTCGAGATGTGAAAGCTCCGGAACATTGGGTACATGATGATATTGTGTAAGAAGTTGGTGAAGTGAGAGAGGCGGAGCGAGAGGAGGATAAGGACGAGCAATGGAGAAATACATGGTTAGCTATTTTCGGAACATAGGTTTTGATATTTAGTTTAATGTCTGTCTATCCAATTGTTACGAGGTTTGCCGTCTAGATCACGTGGAAGTGCTCTAGGCTCTCGAGGTGGTTTATAACTAGGCGTCAAGCAGGGACTTAAGTAATGACAATAATGATATGCAATTCGTAACTAATAGTAGAGTATACTAAATGATTGATCTTGAGCACGAAGCTCTATACAAAGGAAATCCATACTGAATATATAGATATTCATGCTCCCTTGGATCCTCAAGCTCCAAAAGCTCCAAGTCACGTGTTTTCTGACAGTGCGTGCGCATACGATCCTAAAGTGACCCAGATCACATATTAATTCGATGAAATCTGATCGCTTTTGCACAAGGCCCAAGCTCTCCTAATTAGTCAGTTGTTACTATCGTAACAACGGGATACTAGACTTATTGCTATTTTTTTTCTAAAATAGAGCGGCTTCGGATGAAGTTCGACACAGCTCGCGCATCGTCAAAAAAAAGACGATGTTGATAATCTCGTCATTTTTTCTCAGCCTCTTTATACACTATCCAAACTTCATATTACTCCTTCTAAATCCACAACTCTCTTTCCTCCCCATCACCTCATCTACTCCCACTTGCCCACGATAGATACCACATGAAACTCCTCTCCTCATGTCCCCAAAAACCCCCTCTGCAAATTCCTTCCCCTTTCCCCACTAACAGCATCCAATCTCACGGCCATCAATACGCATTCCCACTCCCCCTTCGCATTTGCCAATTGATTTCCCGGCATTCCAATTCCCTGCCCTCCACCAGCATGCCTCTGAACCCTCAACCTCCACTGTCCTGATTTAATAATCCATCTCTCGTCTTTGAGTACTCCCAAGCCTGCATTTATATTCATGGGAACTGCCATCGCATCTCCTATTTTTCTCTTCTTCCCACTTCCTTGATTATCAGTACTAGAATCTTCATCCACAGTTCCTCCAATATCAACCACCTTCCCATCACATACCATCCCACAGTCGTCCCCGACAACCACCCTAACCATCTCCTCGCTCAACCCACTCTTCCCCGGACTAGCCGGCCCACTACTTCCGCCGCCATTCCTCATCAATAGACCTAATGATTGTTTAACAGGTAGATTCAATTTCGTAGCAACAACCTCCAATAATCTACCCATCCGGATGTTCGTTTCTCCAAAGAATTCTAAGCGCATAGTATTCCAATGGAGTAAAGTGGCCGAATCACCTATTTCGAGAATAAGCTCGTGGGGCGCAGAATCTGCGAAGGGACGTTGATAATGCACGAAGCCTATAGATGATCGGGGCTGGCTTGGAGGAGTGAGGGCTTCAGGAGAAGTGGCAGTAGATAGTGGAATATCAGTTAAAATAGAGAGACCTGATTGCCTGATATCTGGTAGTCGGACTGTAATTTCTGATTTATTACGTAATAGGTTATATGAAATCGAATGAGGGATTAGTGTTTGTTCAAGGCCTTTAAGATGGAAATATCGACAATCTCGTAAAAGTTCGGCACGATGTTCTGGACTGCGAAATTCAAGCGGGTAACCACGGAGAAGATGAAGGATTTCGAAAAAGGTTTTTGCGGAGCGATTGGGTACTGATGGCGGCAGGATGGAAGGGGGTCTAAGAAGCCCATCCCTATTCAGGCCAGGGAACACTTCCGAAGGAGAGCTGAAGAAAACAGCGAAGCCCAAGGAGAAATAGTTGGGACTATTACCCGGATCAGAAAAGAGTTCTCGGGGGATTTGAAATTCTTCATTTCCGACTGTTATGAAGATATTTGCTTCATATAGTTGAGAAACTAATCGTGGTACTGTCTCGTGTTAACATTGATCATTACGTGGACGACGGGGAAACTAACATGAATAGAATTGAGCATCAGCAAATAACTTCACAAAATGACTCGAATCCCTCGGCGCAACATGATATCCTTGCAAATGAAGTGATATATCCTTGAATGTAATCGGATCACGATCAATATAGAGGGTCCTAATAGCGGTATTTGGGTCTTCTCCATTTTCCTCGGCTCTCTTCAATTGACATTGAAAATATTGGGAAAAGTATGAGGGTGCTCTAGGTTTCTTAGCTTGTGATCTCATCTGCATTGTACATCGTCTCCCTGGCGATACACGAGAAAAAAAAACACATACCATCAGAACTCAAACTAGCACCACTCAACCGAAAAAGCTCTGTCCCGATCTGAATTGGAAAAACCTTCTCATGAGGTAAATATTTCGGAATATCCGTATTCAATTTTCTCGGCTCTGATTCCCTTAATATTCCAGGGGGATCTCTCATTCCCCCTGGACGAGCCATTCCCGCGGAAGCTGAAGCTCCTGGTGGTTTATTCCCAAAATTCATTTCTCCAACTTCATTACTTCTTCCCATCGTGGCTCTATGGTCCATGATGCCGATCTTACTTATCTTACCAGCTACTCTACTAGGCTTTGGAAGCTATCAGTCCCCAGAGCAGAGCTTTCCGTAAAAGACAACTATGCTCAATGTCCCACGTGACTGGTGTTCTTACCAAAAGAAATACGTGAGTCCGATGAGAAAAGGATTCGGAAATGCATCAACCAAAATGAACGAATGCCCACTTCAGGACAGTCTTTGTTATAAACGCGTGGCCTCTAGTATTATTGATCAAGCGTGATTTCTATGAATTATGATAAAACTTTTTGTTTCAAGAGACAACTGATGTAATCGAGACATTGATGTTGGGAACAATAAAATGTTGATCTGCAAGCTCAGCTCCGGAGATAGCGCACTAACCATTGTTCCGATGTTAGAGCACGTGATTTGCTTTGGGTTCTATCTCATCCTCTTCAATAACATCAATCACTAGGTATGCTTTGTTAGGTAATGTAAGATTTAGTTAGTAATGGAAACGGCATGTTGGAAAATTCCTGCCACCTTACTGGTCATAGCGATGTCCCAATGCGTAACGACTTAGGATGATTGAATATTACTTCATGTGGAATTGAGCATTTGGAGTTGATTATAAATTTTTTTTTACAAAACCTCTTTGACTAAATGTCGAATAAATGATTGAAATTGCTTAAAATTGCTTGATATTCTCTGTCCATTCATAGATTTATCCTCCCAATCTATGATTCCAATTTGACTTTATCCAGTCAATCTAACATGTGTGGAAGCTAAAATAGCTAACACCTATCTAACAGAAAACATCGTTCATATTCGTTAAGATTTTGCCAACCACCCATCAACTTTCAGCAAGATTATCCGGGTATAGCATGCTTGACTCCTGACCCTGAAATTAACGAAATCCAGACCTACCCAACCCATGTTGTAATCTTTTCATTGTACCTTTACTTTTCTTCCTCATCGATAACTGGTTGACTACCACTTGTCGTCCCGCTTCTAGTCCGATTTGTCGGCACACCTCCGACTAAAGTCCGACCAGGAGCAGCTTGTGAAGTGCTAGCCACCGGATTTGAAATAATACCCGTGGCTTGTTGTCCTACGGAATATGATGGAGACAGTGATGTCGAAGGCAGACCAGCTCCGTCAACGCTCAAGTTTTGACTTCTAGTCGAAGCAACGGAAGCATTCCGGCCGAGCTGACCCGAAGGATTTACAGGGAATGGTGTATACTTTTGATAACCACTCCCGCTGCTATATGATGAGTTATATTCGGTAGAACCCGAAGAACCGTCATTCATGAATGAGCTCCCATAAGTTCCTGATCCTGAAGGTCCGTCTATTGTCACACTGAAACCAGGGGACGATTGTAATGCATTTAGCGGTAAATGCTCTCCAGGCTTTCGTCTACCTCTGGTGCTTGCTCTCTTTAATAGAGATGTCCTTGAATTGCCGTATTGATCGAAATTGTCTTCTCCCAATGTCGCCACATCATCGCTATCGTTGTAACTGTTACTATGAGCAAAATCTAATCCTGGACGTCTTGCATTTAAATGTTCCGCTGCCTCTTCCTCAGTGTCTATTGGACCAAGATCTGGATTAGTATTTCTGAGAGGTGTCGTGGGTATGAGGCGTTTTGAGTCTTTGGTGGCTGATGATTTCTCTCGAGCCTCGGCAGCCCATTCGTCTGTCACAGCGACAGAGTAATTGGGGTTGGCAGGTCCACCGAGAGCATCTCCACCACCTCCAGGAGCGTTGATTGGAATTTTGCGCAGGGCCAAAACAAGAGCGCACATGAATTTGGAGCGACGAGCAGCGCGAACTGTCTCGTTATGCCAGTTAGACTTGTGTCTGATTTCGACCTTTAGCTGGAGCTTATCCATATTGCCAATACCTACAGCTTCCAATACAACATCGGATTGAAAGTCGCGAGAGTTGTCTGGATGACGAACAAAAGCCTCCATCTCCGTGCGAAGAAGTTCAACATCTTCGAGGGTGGTATCAAAAGAGATAAACATGTCGAGCTGTTCTTTCATTGCCTTACTACGGGTAATGTTCTCGATCCAAAGGTTGTTTAGTACAATATTAGGTACCTGTACCATTTTCATGTTGTCAATACGTTTGAAAATGGTGAAGAGTAGAGATATCTGTTCCACAACAAGGTATTCAGAGCTGATGTCAACACGATCACCGACATCATATGGGTGCTTGACGAAAAGGAAGATGCAGGAACCGAGAAACTCTTGAGTAGTGGCAGCAAAAACGAAGGATAGAGACAATAGAGTTGTGCCGGCGGTTGTCAAGGTAGCAAGGAAACCGGTGTCTTGGAAAGCAACTAATCAAATGGTTAGAGAGTGTGTTTTGCCGCCGGAAATTAGAACTTACTGTAGGCAAAAATAACAATGATAAGGACAATGATGAGTAAAACCTGATCAAGCACACCAATGGCCTGACCAACATCTCTCATACTGTTTGCGATCGATTTTCGGTCACGACCAATATCCACTACCTTCATGATCATCTCATCGAGGGAGATATCACCATTTCCATCGTTGTCTAAAGCCTCGAAAATCTCTTCAGCTTCCATCTTACGACCAGCGCCAAGGACCTCCTCGAGATCCTCTACGTACAGAGAATCCTTGCCTTCAATGACAAAAGACATCCATAAACGTTTGGCCAATGCCTCGGAAGATTTAGTCTTCTCAAGCGCTTCGATAACGACGGAGTGAGCAGAATTTGGGTTGAAAACTTGCTTTCCAGTAATCTCAGACGCAATGTTTCCAAAGACTGAGGTAACTTTGTCACCAAAACGACCGATGTCTCCAATAATTTTCAATGGCGCATTTGAACCAGCTCTGTTATGACCCATTAGTCTTCTGTTCGTCTTTTGAAGCACGGCTTCAATGCTGTCACTAATAATGTAATCTTCTTCCACAAATTCGGGGCAATACATCGGAAACAAAGTTCGGGATGCTTCGTAGAGGAGGCCGAGCAAGTGGATGAGGTGTTTTGATTCTTTAATTCGTCCATCGAAAGATCGTCGATGGTAGTTGACACTGATCAATTGAACGATAAGTTTTTCAATCAAGAGTAAGATTGTAGCGATCAGTGTAGGTATTAGGACACGCTTCATCGTGTTGACCCATGGATCCATGGTACCGTCCCAGTTTTTGCCATCCTTATTAGTAATTCTGTTCAATTGCGGAGACGTCAAGGCCGTAAATGTAACCAAGCTCGTAATGGCCCACCCGACTAAGGATAATGGAATCTCCAAAGCTCTCAATATGGATGCATATTTGCGTACACCAGTGCTGACAACCCCGCACAAAAACATGAAGATGTATGGTATGGCTTTGGAACATAGCTTCGAAACCCAAATACTAAGCCAAATAATCTCAATCCAAGTGAAGAACAAGTACACCTTTAATTTTCCAATAGTGGCCTTTGGGTATAGAACGGCGAAAATGACGATTGGCGCGGCGAGGACAATACCAATAGGCACAACATAAAACATGTAGCGAGTAACCACCGAGAAATTGACGATCGTGTTGTAAAGTCTACCCAAGCCGTTGACTGCAATCTCTTCCCCGTTTGTTCCTCTTCGTGCAGGGTAAACTTTCCTTCTACCTGCGATTCCTTTCCTAAACCCTCCCTGCTTCTCATCATCTTTACCTGAATCATTCTCCGAACTCCCTCCTAATATTCCTTCTCCGGCTCTTCGTGCTCCGGTGGAGGAGGCTCCCGTTCGCACTTGTGTGAGGGGAATGTTGTCGGTCATATCGCTGCCGTCTATGGGCTGAAAGCCACGCCGCGAAAAATCAGTTGGTGATCGAGGGGATCGAAGTGACATTTAATCGAAGGGTAATATTTCGTGTCTTAAAAGGCGGATTCTGACACTCGCAGATCTTTCAAGGGATCTGAAATTGAAATTGAATAAGTGGCGGAGGGGATAAGATTTGTTGTGGAATGTTTCTCGTCTCAAATATAAAACGAGATTAGAAACTGAATATGATTTGTACAATTTGTGTAAAAGGTGAATATCAATGTAGAATCTCAGCAGACTTATTCAATTGATAAACTGCCAAACGAATGTAAGGAATCAATGGATGGTCGTCATTCGTACAACTCGCATCGAGCGTGTTGAGGGGTCTGATCAACAAGTTCGAAGACTAATCAGTAGCACTAGGTCGTGTATATTCTGCTAGTTCCAACAGAATAATAATAAATAGCATCAACCAACAATTTCGACAATGAAATTGAGGAAACAAAGTCCAAAGGTTGAAAGAAGAAGAATGAACGAGTGGTCGAAGAAAAGTTATTAAAAGAATGAAAAAGAGGTTTTCTTCATAATAGAAATTTGATTAGCGTGTGTTGACTTTTCTCTACCTTTCCATTTCTCTGAGATGTGAGATAATGAAAGATCTAAGAGCAGAAGCGGCACATACAAGGTAAAGATTGACACAAAAGAGAGGAAACTGGATGAGTCCTTGTGGAGAAGCTGAAGATGTAAATCCCGTCCCTTAAACAAAAGAAAAAAAGATCTAGAGGTCTATTTAGGTTAGTAAACACTTGTGTCATCCTTATAAATTTTTCCAAATACTGGGGTTTAACATTTTGATTGAAGGCATCGAACATTTGAAGGGGTCAAGAATGCAAGGTACCAAAAGCCCACCCATGGTCACCATAAGTTATAGCCAATAAGAGATTCTTATTAGTGGGCCACCACAGTTACCAAAAATACGAAACAACCAAGAAAAGATTCCAGGGTTTATAAGGATCCAACAAAATATCCAACCTATCATATTATATTCTATAGAATATAGAGTCTAGCTTGGGTATCCTCCGTATCCTCCTGAAAATAACAAGAAAAGATTGCGAAAATAGCTAATCGGGTAAAGTACCACCTGGCCTTACAAGTTTCATCAATGGTTTAAGGGGCTTCCTTGGTGATATTCTAGACTACATTAGCAACTCCGTATATGTACTGATGATCAGGAAACTAAAAAGAGGGGATTTTGCATGTGTAATTAGAAAGAATCGTTTGACTCAACAGGATCTTGGAGTTTGGGTGTTTTCGTATACTTCATCACTTACCTTCTGAATCATTATGAATCACAATTTTCCATCATGTCCAAGTTCCTCAATCCCCATTTATTTGCGATCGAACCTAACGAAACAAACTACTGAACAGTGCGGATCTCCAAATAGGTTACACAGCCTTTTCAATCAATCATGAATGGACTCGCGTCGATGATACACATTTTGGTAAGGAAAATGTGGGAAATAGGGAGATCCATCGACCAACTCAGCAACTAATTGCATAAATGACGACAGAGGATCCAATATTATTTTCATGATCTTTGGAAATGGTACTTTAGCATGTTGGATCGTAGAACCGAAACATATTATTCCTAGATCTGGTGTAATAATATACGGGGTACGCAGGTACATCAGTGGAAACGTTCCCCAAAGTATACTGGAGAAGAGGTTATCAAATTATGTTTCCATCATTTTGAAGATGCACTGCTATTGTGCGCTTCACCCCTCGTTCGTACATTGAATGAACAAAATTATATCCTGACTTTTCGTTATACCATGTGTAGAATAATTCCAGTAAATCAAAATCCATGCAGCCACCAGTGAGCTTCTGCTTCGGGATAAATCCTCATCATTAAAATAATCCTTCTAATCCAAGCCACCACATCAGTCGGCCTTCCAACACATGAACCTTCGAAATTCGACCTCTTCGACTTTTTCCACCTTCTCGACCTCTAACTTTCCATCTGTCCACTAACTGGCCACAACAATCGTCTACAACTCCAGGAAAATACATACCACCAACATCACTAGACCTTCCATTCCTCCATCCTCACCATCCCGTCTCGAGCCATCCAAACACATTGGATGCATAGGCAACGACATAAGATAAATCCACAACTCATCCGGTCTCGAGGTCTCGAACATGCAAGAACCTGGGTCGAAATTTTTCCGGCCGCGTAGATATTGATGTATGTTTACGGAGTATGCCGAAGCTTATGGAAGTGTAAAAAGAGTATCCACTCAAAACATATCTTTTAATAGAATTTTTCGTGTCCCGGAATAGGGTATCACGAACGGTGCCAAGTAATTCCGCTCCGCTCCTCCAAAATCTAGAATTCTTATCGATAGAGTCGTCATTGAAAAAGCCGAGGATAGTTAACAAATTTTGATACCATCATACACCACATAAATTAAACAAACCAACAACCAATTCAACCCAACCATACCCCAGACCCAAAATGAAACTCACCTGCGACCCAGTCCGCGCTAAAACTCTCATCTCAGCCTTTCAATCCGTCTCTGAGCGCGTCAGCAATGCCGCCGGAACAAGAAATGTGTGTTCATTGCCCCTCCTCTTCATAAATCCATATGTAACACGTGCTTTCTGTGTTTCCTCTCAACCATTATTTCTATGATTTATATTCGATTCATACCACATGCTACATACTACCACAAGAAAGCTAACATAAATTCAGGTAAGATTAGTAGCAGTATCTAAGCTCAAGCCAGCAACCGATATCCTAGCCCTTCATGAGCAGGCAAATGTAGAGCATTTCGGAGAGAATTATGCGCAGGAGTTGATGGAGAAAGCGGAGATTTTACCGAGGAACATCAAGTGGCATTTTATTGGGGGATTACAGAGTAGTATGTTGGTTTCTGTTTGCGTGGTTATGTGTTTTGTTGTGTTGGTTTGGGAAGAGAGTGCAGCGTTGAGATATGAAATGAGTCACATGATACTCTTTCAAATTAGACATTGGATGTTCTCTAAGCCCGAGTGGACTTCAGAGCTTTGTCTAGAGAACTTGAGGACTTTCCTCTCATTTCTTTCCGAGCAATCTCAAACTAACCCCGTCTAACAGATAAATGCAAACCCCTCGCCTCCACAATCTCCAACCTCTACCTCGTCTCCTCCGTCGACTCCCAAAAGAAAGCCTCCCAACTATCCATCGGACGTTCTCTCCTTCCCGTTCCCGCTGATTCATCCTCGCACCCTTCCCCACTAAACATTCACATTCAAGTCAACACGTCTGGCGAATCCTCCAAATCTGGCGTTACGCCCGGAAAAGAGACAACTGAATTGTGTAAATACGTTATTGAAGAATGTCCATTTCTGAAACTAGTGGGTTTAATGACTATTGGTGCGATAGCTAGAAGTCAGATGAAGGAAGGAGAAGAAAATGAAGATTTCATAGTTTTGCGTGAGGAGAGAGATAGAGTGGAGAAGGAGTTGGGGTTAGAGGGATTGGAATTGAGTATGGGTATGAGTGAGGATTTTGAAGAGGTGAGTTTTATTGATTAGATTCTTTGCTTCCTCACTTTTGCCTTCGATTGGAAGATAGGGAGCTGTCGTGTAAGACTTAGAACTAATGACTTTTAACAGGCAATTCGACAAGGCAGTGGAGAAGTCAGGGTCGGCAGTACGATATTTGGACAAAGACCTGCAAAGCAAGATTTCAAGGTTTTAGCTGAAGCTGAAGACGAGAAATTCTAGTGATATCATATACTGTCTAATCCAAGAATAATACGTTCTTATTCCCCTATATCTTATCAGTACCATACGACTCTTTTGGCTTCGTGCTCATCTTGAACACCAGCTACATGATTAGTTGGGGAACATGCGAGGATTGTACTAGTACTAGATCTTTGTAGCTTGGTGCAGCATTGAAGATGGTGTTGAAGCTATATGCAATGAATATAGATATCGATCGCTAGAGGCTCAATATGTTCCCATTTTAACATCACATTCGAATAGGTACTAGATGCACCGCATATACATATATATTTATTTCATCGACATATACTTCATCCGAATATAGTACATCACAATATCATGCAAACACTACTAACACATATCCAATTTCCAATGTCAATATCAAATATCCATTTAATTCATAAATTCATAGAGCCTAAACTTAGGCTCTCATTCCCATTCCCATCCCGTTTCCCTATCCAAAAGTCTTCCCCAAACCCACACAACCAAAAAAAAAACAAAAAAAACATCCCTCCCTCCAATCCACACCTATTCATCTCGCTCTCCCACCACTTCCACCTCTCCACTCAAACCAAATCCAAAATTTAACAACAACACTCCAAACACTCAAAACACGCCAACCCCGCACAAATCCCACAACACAATCCTCCATTCCCCTTTCCACCCCTCTGATGTACAGGTACGCTTCCTGCTGCGTGAGCACTAGCACTAGTACTTGTATCGGTTGAAGAATAGGAATCGTGGCTGTTGGTCCGCGAGGGTGACATTGTCATGTGGGGGTGTTGGGACTGTAGGATAGAGGGGTTAGTAGGGTTTTATTTTTATTTGTTTTCGGGGAAGGATGAGGGAGATGGAGATAGGGAAGGGAGAAAATAATTAACTAACAGGTTCTCTCATTTCGAATTCGTGTCCTTTGTTGTTGTATGTAGGAGCCGGTTGACGGATCATGGCGGGGTGAAGAGTAGTGCGGGGATTTGTGGACGCGTCGACCATATTTTAATGGTTTTTGGGGTTTTAATGAGATTTGATAGGTAGATATTTGAGGTAGGATGAAGATGAAGTGTGTGTAAGAGAGAGTTGTATAGAATTTATCGAGATTTGGGTTCAGTTTTGATTTGAAGATTTGTGAGGTTGAATTGATGGATGGATTGATGAGAGTAATATTGACGATAGAGGATATAAGATTACAACTCGGTAAATAAGTAAGCAAACCACAAATCACATTCACTCGGGTCACAAGCACTCTTATATACCATCCTTCTCATTCACAGCCTCACTGTTCCAGCGTACAGCGTGCAGCGTATAGCATATTAATTGAAGTATGTATATCCGGGATAAGGTTATACTATACTATACTATACTATACTATACTATACTATACTTTAATAATCATTCATCCATGGTTTATCCGCTAGATTGTACTGGTGATTGTACTGGTGATGTAAGCCTTTACGTGTAGATACGGGTATGTTGTGGTTGCTTGGTTGCTTGGCTGCTTGGCTTGGGTAATGTGATGGTTATCCTTGTTCTTTGGATTATGGGTAGGAGATATATGGGATGGAGGAGTGGAGGAGTTGATGAATGGGGTAAAATGGTTGAGATAGGTAAAATAGATAGGCTTGTGTATTGTTTGCTGGGGGTGAGGGAGGCTTACACTGGATGGAGAAGAGTAGATGTATATTAGATAATGTATTTGAAAGATTGAGTTATTGAGTCCGTCCATCAGGATCTCGAGTAAGTACCTACCTAGTAAAACATGAGATAAAATGGGGAGTAGTGATCATGCGAGGAAGCATCAGGGCGCAAGTTAGTGGGTTAGAAGCGAGTGGAGTGGAGTTGCAACCGTAGTTTTATTATGCCTTGCAGCCTCCCTGTTAGCATAAACACACTAAAAGCGGGAACGGAATATTGCAAAACAGCTTGCTTACGCAGACATTATCTTTTTTCGGTTTGGTTTGGATGAACTATCTATGCAACATAAATCATGAAATGAATATACTACGTACATAAATTGGTTTTCGTTTGAGATAAAACATTCTAAATATTCAAAAAATATTATTATTAAAATATTAAAATCACAGTGTACTTACTTCATGCTGCGCAAATATGTTATAGAGTAAGGTTACGGAGTACATACTCCATTGTGGAGAGCAGGCATCACGCTAGCTGCAGGGCTGAGCCGGATATGTCGGATTATCCGATTGATATCTGCAGCGGGAAAAGCGGGGATTGAGTTGAGATTTTTGGAGGGGGGATTGAGAGATGGATGAAGAGGAGGTTTGCAGTGTAGAATAGTGTTGAGGAATTAACTAGATAATACTGAAGAGCAAGGGATCGGTAGATAAGCTAGCCGAAAAATGATCTATAAGTACCTAGGTATTAGAGCTTGAATTTGAGCTGTAATAAAGTGGCTGTTGTCATATAACGGTTTTGCTTGGATATTATTCCTGTATCGTTTCTTGACGAGTAATTTTGACTTTTTGATTTATAAGCTTATCACACATGCTATGTTTTTGCTAGTAAGATTACATTATTTCTGGCTTGTTAGTTCGTCCATTATTGTATTACTACCTACATAGCTATCTGGTTGTTATTTTCATCAAACCATATGCTATGCCCGCGAATTCTTCAACTCATAACGAGTTTTCTCCCTGTCGATAATTTGAATTCCTCTTGCAGTCTACATCGATATTTATTGTATACCTCTTATCCAAGCCCATTTTGACACAATGCCTGATCTGAACGAGACCAGTGATTGGGGTAGTGTGAATTGGTAATATAATAGCTGATGTTAAAGTACTTTATATCATTTTAATATATTTAAATTATGATATTATATTCCTTTTAAAATAAATATTATTAAAAATATATCTATTAGAATTGATAGAATTTCAGTAGAATATAATTGACATTACTTTAATATTAATTATTTCAGAAGGAATATAATGAATTTCACTATTTCTATATATTATTAATTATATATATTCAAAAATATAATACACCTCATTATATTAAAATATTCAAGAGTTACCCTGTGTACTACTTCCATCACTGAATGAGACTAAGGACCGACGGATAATTTTACTTCTGTATTAAAAGTACTTTTTTAACGACGGAAAAGGCAAGATCACTGCGATATTATAGCAGGTCTTGTTGAATTTCATCTTTCGAAGAACATGATTACATCCTCTATAGTCTCCATCTGGAAAGCTGTGATTTCATATGCAGTGCTATTTGTCATGTGTTTGGGACCAGGTTGATCGATCAAGAAAATAGCGATTGTGAGTGAGCTGCTTAATCGAGGTGATGTTAGTCAATTGGGGGTGACAATGAGTACTTAGTTTTCTAGTGATAATAGACGGGGTAAAGAGAGTCAGGAAATGGTGTGAGTCTGGTGGATTGGGTAGATCACATGTATGATTTAGCTATGAACTGAATTCTAGGCAGTTAAAACTTAGAGGAACTCAACGGTCAGACTCATATTATTGGTTTCGTGGCTGTCGATGCAGAAACCTCACAATTGGTAAAAGACTTCTTGCAAATGATGGTTAAGTGTTCGCGAATGTGCTAGACAACCAGAGGTGCTCGGACAGAACGGATTGAATGTTCAATAGCGACTTGCAAAATGCTAACTCAGTCTTCTATTTGGCATTGGCGAAAAAAATCCCAAGGTGAATAGCCAAGGATGTGCTGCTCAATTGCTGCGTTTAATAAACAGTAGGTGTGTGGAATCTGGAAGAGAGTGAAAAACAAAGGAGGTCTGGAGGAGTAAGACTGAAAAAATGAGCGAATGTTTTGAAACGAGTCAACATCTTGAGAATCCATTTGAAGATCCGATTTTCATTCCACATATACAACATTCATTCTCTTACCAAAACTCGAAATGTGACTTGCAGGGCAACAGTAATGTAGCTATCCGTAAAAGTTTTCACACAGAGTTTTGAGCAGAATATTGTGGACATGCAACAGAAGGACTTTGTCCGTGAAATAAGAAGGAACATATACAGAATCGAGTGCTTAAATTGAGATGGATATTCATTAAATGTTGCAAAGCAAGAGAGTGAATGCTTTGTGTTTTTGTGAGATATGTTTAAATCGAACTCCTGCTTTCGGGAGGAATAAAATTGAATTAAACCATAACTGCTTCAGGCAACAGAGTGTCTGCAATAGTGTTGACAGTGAGAACGCTGGACAAGGGAATATCCAAACCACAGGTACCTTGGAAATTCAAGGATTTTATCGGACAGCCTTGTAGACTACTACTCACTTCGTAGGAAGATATGCGAAAAAATTGATATTGGGAAAAGGAGGTTCGAGGAAAATTTGTGTCTCCTGTACATTTCCATCTTCGCATTAATGTTTCATTCTACGTCTTAAGGTTCCCCTTCAGACGAACGACTACCGTCTGTAATGACACGATTCCTTTTCTTACGAAGCCCTCGTCCGAGGGTCCAAGTGTAGCCATCGAGTAAGCCACGAGATTCATTACTCTCCCTGTCCATCTGTCCCATGATGTGAGTAACAGTGAAAACAATCTGTGTTTTCAAGATGCGTTCATGAGATATCCCGCTGGGGAATGACCGAAATGGAGAAGCCTTTGTTCCTACATAGAAGGTGGTATCATTTAGCTTATTATTTTGTAATTGATGTAAAACACACTACCATTCTAGATTGAGAACTTATTCTTCAATACCATTTTATACTTGAAGCTTCAGTTATATAGAAGCGTATCATATATCACGCCAGTAAGCATGCGTTCATTGGCTTCTGTAGACATATGCAGGTAGCCAATAATCCTATCAAATATATCCAGGGTTAATCCTTTATGATTTTACCATGCAGGACATACGCAGATAAGGCCAGGATTTTGCCGCGTGGATGTACTTTTACCATTTTATTGTCAATAAAACTGTAGGGATATAACGATCCATGTGGTTGAAATGCAGACTAAATATATCTCTTACGTATCCTGAAGTATAAACATCCAATTCGTAGTCTTTTCGTGATCTGCCTTTCTTTCCCGGGTATTTTCCTCTGGATAGATGCATGAGACTTCATGCATCTGATTGGTTTTCGTGATAAGCTCTTAGTCCGTGTAACGGGCACTCCCGTGCTGTGCAACATATAGCCTCAACATTCTGCTCAATCATTCGTTGTGGAAATGATGAGAGACTTGGGCTGCATCGATCGATATTACTACTGCGCAACACATCTGTTCTAGAGCACCTTAGTACCATGAAACCTTGTTTCTAATTTCTGGTCCCAGTATGCCCATCCTTCTCGAAAAGAACTTTCTTCTGTTGAAGACGGTAAAAGGTATGTGAATTGAGATCTAAGTAGCTTCAATACATTTCACGTGACATCTTTCGCCAATTGCGGCTGCTGAGAAATTACTCCACCTAACTAGCGTCGATTGTCCCATAGAAGGGATCTTGGAAGTTGACCAACATTGGGAATATATATACCGAAATGATCCCACCTATTTGTAGTTTCTTGTTATCCTCTCCTTCCAAGGAATTCTATATGTGTTTACTATTTTCCTTAACAAGCGTTATTGATCTATCGGTTCGCCCACGATCCAACAATGAGATGAGATCCATCACGAATTCGAATCAAAGTCAAAAAAGTGAAACTGATTTGAATTGTTACTACCTGTATCATACTCCAAAAACGACCTGAAGCCTAGTGTCTTACTGTCACCTCGAAAGACATTGTCCCCTTGCAGGTGTAGCGCTCCCTGTTCCCGACTTTGCGTTGGTGTTGGAACCCTTTAAGATTCTTCCTTTGCAATTGCTTTCCACCTCACTCTTTTTTCTGGTATCTTACTAGGAACGCGTCCCTCCCCTCTTCATTTCAACATGTGTCGAGATAGTCGATTTAGAAGTAAATTGGTTGGAGTTATCTTCGAAAGCCAAGTGATGATAGAAGATGAAGAGAAGTCTTCGAGTTCGATATACTTCCAAGGAAAGCATGATAAAAATGGATTCGAGCATGGCACCGACTTTTATACCCATATTTTTGACGACTACTAAGATCGTCTGGGAATTGGGTGATCGCAATCCTGCGAACCCTATCAGCCCCGCCTTCTAAAGTTCCAGAAGCACCGAATACCATTTATTGGTAGCGAGTGTCGTCGCAATTTCTCCACAACAGTCTCACTAACATTCTCAGCTTTACAGAGCAATTTTGGACCTTCCAAGAATAGGACCTACATATATTGACGTCGTGCCGGTTTCTAAAACGTAGCAGAGGCGGAGGTTTAACTCAACAAAGCAAAAATGCGACACTGGAAATCCATTTGTCATATTATTGCGACAAACAGTATTCGCTATCTCTCAAGATCCTTCGACTTCGAGGCAGGCATGTGGGCTGCAACGACGACGACGGGGATGATGAAGAAGAAGAACATGATGATGGAAGGGCGAGAAGTCTGGGATAGGAAACAGAGCATCAGCGAAAAGAGACCTCTATCGAGAGTTTCGGAACCATCAAGGTATTGGTTATATTTCGAACTGCAAGATGTTCATTTTGATTTGAACACAATGCATATTTTTAACAACATAAAACTTACAGTCAAAGGGAATTTCGCGTCAAGGGCTTTCGCTTCCCTATACTAAATACCTACCAGGGATATGCGAAGGGAAGGAACCGACTTTACGGCGTGGGATTCCGTTCCGTGTAGTCGTACCTTCCCAGGTTTTAAATCGAAGATTTCTTCATTGTCTTTAATATCTTCCGAGTGAAAGGTTTTGATCACAGAAGAATGTCCGCTCTATTTCCATTTATTGTTCAGCATCTGCAAAGTCACATGTCAGAAGCAACGAGTTCGGATTCTTAATACTCTATTCAACTTATCATACGTCATTCGACAGATTCCTAAATGCCAATCCCACATGAAAATCCTCAATGCTATGGTCGGAGTATGATAACCCGCAGATCACTACATAGCTCGGTGCTTTATATCAAAATCCGCGATGGTTTATGGGACCGGGACGCATGTATAATTGTTTTTTGATAACCAGCAGCTGGATTACCACGAATTGCGGTACTGGATATCTCCATTCGAAAGCTGATGGGAACTCCCGATCAATGCTGTAAAGTCGAATCACATACCCTAGCGAGTTTTTTACCATTTATGTATGGACCTAACTGGTAATGCTTGCGACGGATATTACGGGACTTAGCCCAAGGTGCATTTAGGCTGTTTCCAGCCGGGTACCTACTTGAGCTCGGTGCTCGGCACGTGGCCCTCTCAAACATGTGCGGAAAGCATTTCTGCGCTGACAAAATATCGGAGCAATAGATTTGTGAAGGCACTGCCCGGGGCCAACTAACAACTAGATTCTGCGATGTTTGCCAGTTTTAGCGAGTGAATGCACAAGGAATGATCACACCGTTTTGGCAAAGCAAAGTCCAGTCGTTCCCGGAGCTCGGGTTGCCTGGGAGATCTCACTTGAGACAAGATCAACGACTTTGAGTACACCCCAAATACATATTGCAACGATGACCTCGGTAGCTTGCATTGAAACGGGGATTGGACCACGCGAGTCTCCTTTTTGAGTTCCTCTCGGGTAGACGGAAATTGATTTCAATGCGGCTGGGTCATGTACTGACTGGGAAGCTCTGTATTTTCAGCATCGCCTCGGAAGGCTACAATGCGTCAATTTCGAACAAAATCACAGGAGTGATAACAACTAGACTGAAAGCATACAGCTGATGCCTGATCCTTCGATGGAGATTGTAGTAACATGCATAATCGAAAGATGGTGCAGGATACATGTTAAACAACAAACAACATTCATTGGGCATTTCTTGCGAGTATTGAATTCTCAAAAAGAGCTCAACGTTATTCCCGTCCTTTATTACTTTGCACGAGTGGTTCATAGGAATGTCAAGGATCAGCACGAGTCAACCGAATAACAACTCTTTATTTCGTTACCCCTCGTACTGAAGCTGGAATTGGTTACGTTGCTCACGTCCTAATCTCAGAGCAGTTATTCAAGGTTTCAACAACTTGTACAGCATCGGGCAAATACGAGCCCTCTTGTGTTGGTATGTCAGGTACTAGACTATCAACTAATGACTTCATGGCATACATGGATATAGTATCTTAGCCCAAACCACGCTCGAGTTGACCCCGCGAAGCCAAGTGACCCGATGACACCAACACAAGAAATCCTCCTATCTGCCAGAACGTTACGTTGTCTTTCGGGCCACGTTAGCTCTCGAATGGGTCAGCACCATGACAAAGGTTCAAAGCTCTCTCGGTCGAACTCATGAACATGATCGGAGAAATCATCCGAATTCGTTAATGCCCCGATTCCCCCACCTTGGGTATCTTTAATGAGCCTTATACATGATACAACCAGCAATTGCTACCAATTCTGTGGGAAACCAGCAAGCCACCATCTTGGTTACTCACGGTTGGCGAAATCCACATCGCCTGTGCACGGGAAAATTTTTCGTTATGATTTGCTAAGCTTTTAAAAGGCTTCATCCTGCAGCCAGCTTCAGCTCCAGAGTATTGTTGAATGACATACACGTGTGCATAGCTATCCTATAAAGGTTTCTGACGCGGGAGCTTATGATGTATTCTGCACCATTATTGGGTGACTTTTAAGGATATCATTGTCCTCTAGCCATTAATGCAATGCACAAGTGTAGCATGATATATGCATGGCCGGATTGACTTGCGAGATCAGTTCCTCAGCTGTGGATAGCTTAATTGATCAATTATTTCTAGCGCTAATAAATATTCATGTCAAGCTATTGACGAAGTTGTATCAATCATCACGGATATCTAATTTTAGCTAGTACGCATTCAAGCTTGCTAAATGCTGTTGAAATCACAATATCAGTGAAAACTTGTGCAGAAGAACAAGCGCCGCCGGAAGGCTTTGTGTAGGTAGATATATTCCCGAAGCAAATTTTAGAGATGCGGCAAGCCCATGTCGAATCTCGGTCTGCTGATAGATACGGTGACATTGAAAACAGTGGCCGATAATCCTGCAAAATGGACCAAAAATGTTGCGAACAACCACACAACCTTTTAGGCAAGTGCCAAAATATCTTATTGGATGGATATGGGATGATGAACCATGATTACACGACTTAGGACCATAGACCATGAAATTATGAGTTTATTGAAGGACAAAATATCATGTTACCAATTTTGGGCAAATGGTCTCTTAGAAGTTAATCAGGTCTTTAGCGTGGGAGAAAAAAAAAGATGTTGTGGAATCAAAAATGGATCCATCTTTTATTATTTTTTTGGCGGTTTTAAATGAACAGGGTCAGCTTCAAGCGTGGAACCACATTCAATGGGGACTATGGAACAAGTGGGACGGATTATAATCCTTGGTGGAACTCTTGCGAACACGCACTTTTGAACTTTCCATGCACATCATCTTTTTCAACTTTCTTAATTTCCAATATCCAATTTCCAGAGCCATGTCGGGGTCCTAGCTTGTAAAGTTCAACATGGGCAAGAATAAATGCTCACTTCGGATATATCCATCGTAAATTAAAGCAATTGTAGTTCACAATTTTAGTACCGGATCCTCCGAATAGTTTCCACACATTCTTACATTTTTGCATGGCCTTGAAAAGTTTACCACAGGTCCCATGTTCCTCGAGTCGTCGCTAGAACATTTCAGAACATTCAGCGAATGTTCCTTCTCGCTTCAAGCCCCACTTCTGATTTTGTTATGCCCAACGAAGAGGTTATTTCCTATCAAACTTTACGCAATGAGGTAGGTCCCCTAGGGCCCTAAACCTATCTAGTATATGTGCGAAGTTTTAGTCCCATGCCTGCAGGTAACTAGGTAACGGATTATAGTGTCTAATTGAGGTCCCTTCTCAAATCAAAGGCTTTGCTGTACTGTTGTCGTATTCTCTACAATGGTCTAATGTCGTTCGTCTTGTCCTTTCATCCCGTCCTGGACTTGTTCACTTGGCTTAAAGCAAGGATGTTTCAACTCCTTCGCATTAATGCCATCTTAGCTATTCCTAGTCGCGCTACGATTCCAATGTGTGTCACGGGCCGTTGCGTCTAAGGGGTCATACAAGCTTCGTCATTATCATGAGTCCGTTTTGTTACGGCGGAAACTTTATCTCCTACTGGTTACCATGTTCTGGAACTCCCATATGCACAATCCCTGTAGTAATTGACCCCACAATGCTTTGCTAAGTTGCTGGGCCTCTCAGTTCTCCATTATCCCATGTTCATCTTACCCTTGGATGATCAGCAACCACTACCATGTCACACCATCGTGGGTCTACACCGCTTGCTAATGTGTTATTACTGCATTACAGTACTGATAATCTCCAATCTGACAGAGAGCAAATAGTAAGCTACACGACAACCGTTGAGCTCCGCATTTTAAAAACGGTTGTTATTGGCATCGCTCTAACGCGTTTTGCTACCCTACCCTCATCGCAGATAGATTTAATGTTTCTTCAACCGAGGATATCCCAAGCATCAAGTACTTAATTTGTCGAAGGTCCGAGAGGCTCTCCTCCCCTTCTCACATATTTATATCAGTTCTTCATCTTCACCTCGACATACTCATCACACTTCATCCCTTTTACCATTCATCACAACATAGCTACAATATAAACTCAACACACTTAACATATTCATTATGGCACCTAGTCGACTTACAGAAGAGGATGATGTAGCTGTCCCCGAGATCAGTTACGACATTAACCTGCCATATAACCATGTATCCGATGAATACGACCAGAGCTCAAAGCGACGAACAGAGTTTCCAAGTTACCTTCCATCGGTAAGTGTTTAGGCCCAATTCCTTAACATCAGTCAGCCACTAACAACCACAAAGTGGGAAGACGATGTCTGGTTCGACGAAATACCGCACTTCAAGTACTATGACCCAGCTCTGCGGGCCGATAAGTCCAAGCCAAACCTTTTTAATGGTGGTGTTAAAGCCAAACACATCACACCTAAAATGGGAACCATTTTGACTGGCGTAAAATTAGAGGAGCTCTCTGATGAAGGCAAAGACGAGCTTGCTCTTTTGATAACCGAACGAAAAATTGTTGTACTCCGTGAACAATCAGACTTCCTTCACTCCGGACCTCAATTCCAACAAGACTTCATGTCGTATTTTGGACCTTTGAGCATCCAGCCTGTATCTGGTTCCGTCAAGGGACACCCTCCTTTCCATGTTATTCATCGCGACCACAACGAGGAAGAAATCGCAAATTTCTTCCAGAAAAAGTTGACCTCAACACTCTGGCATCATGATGTCAGCTACGAAAAGCAGCCACCTGGATATATTATGCTTGGCAGTAAGTTTCAAACATAGCTACAGAAACCGAGAAAATCTAACACACAACCAGTATTAGCATGTCCCGATGTTGGTGGTGACACCGTCTTTGCCGATACAGTGGAAGCCTACAAACGCCTTTCACCTACATTTCGCGCCATGATTCAGGACTTGAAGGCGACTCATTCGTCACAGAAGATGATCGGTTATGCCCGTGCTGCACGAGGAACCGTCCGAACCGACCCGATCGATTCCCTGCACCCTATCGTTCGCGTACATCCCGTCTCGGGCGAAAAGGCCCTTTATCTCAACTCGGAGTTTTTAACCGATATTGTCGGGCTCAAGGATGGAGAGAGAGAGATGCTTATGAAATTCTTGGTCGATCATGTTTGTATGGGTCATGATTTCCAAGCTAGAGTAGGATGGGAAAAACACTCAGTGGTTATGTTTGATGGAAGAAGCACTCTTCGTACGTTTTTATCTTTCTTACCATTCTTTTCACATGCAAGTTCTAACGAATAATCTAGACACCGCGACCGTAGACTATGATTCCCGTATCCAAGCGCGCCACCTGTTCCGCTTGGCAGCCATGACGGAAAAACCCATCTCGGTCGCTGAATGGGAAGCCCATCTCCATGATGACAAATCTTCCGAGACGTCGGAATCTTCAAATTCGAGCGTGAGCTCGGATTAAGGGATGGGACGTGAGATGAGACGAAAAGTTTTTGTGTGATTATTTTTTTTTCATTGCAAGCAAGCGGGGATACCAATACCAAAACGTTTTGATTTTCTTTGCTATCTCATTTTTATTTCTTGTTTTTATTTTTATCTCTTTTTGGGGTTCAGCTATAGAGGTTTTCTTTCTTGTCACGATGTATACCGGGATAAAAATAATTTCCTTTCGCATTCTTGGGGTTTTTGGGGCAGGGTTTTTGGGGGTTGATGATATGTTGGGGTTCCTTCTACGTACTGTTACTGGATTGTACTGTGCGGGCGATCTGGCTTGGAGTTCGTTTACTTTTAGGCTTTCTTGTCCACTAATGATTTTGTTCATGAAAAGATTTACAATATCATATTAGTACGATTGAAAGCCAAACTCGAATTCAGATCCGAAACCTCAAAATATACACATATTTTCTTAATATTTATGGTATTTACATTATTGCGATTTGTTGCGATTTTTTGATTATTTTTACTTTTATTTTTTGGTGTCCATTTCAATCAATTGGTTGCCTTGGTGGTCAATTAATTGAGTTATATCTCGAAAGTTTCAGAGCGAGCGAGCTAGCTAGCTTGCTACCTCGTTAAGATCTTACGAAACGTGGAAAAGCAGGTATGGGGTTACTTTTACGTATACAAAGGTTCTTTCTTTCACGATTATGTATGATAATGTGATAGATGGATTGATTACCAGTATATTCGGCTTACGGAATGGGAAAGGAAGGAAAGCAAGGGAAGATAGGTTCTACAGCATGTGTTTGATGGCTTGTGTTAGACGGGTGCACTGCAGATTGCATGCTTAGCCTCACGTCAGAAGGTGCTAGGTTTATCGTGGACCATTGAAATGGGGTACCGCTTTTTGGGCGCTTTTGGTTTCGTTGGCTATTTGATGGGGAAGTGGGCGAAAGATGGGATTTTGGGAGAATTTTTGGGGGAATTTTTGAATTCTTTTTTTTAGTGTTGTGTTTTTTTTTGGGGGTATGGGGGTTGATTAGTGTTGGTTGATGGTGATGGCTGGAATTGCATTGGGGGTTTGGTAGAACTATGTGTATGCGTATGCGCTTTTGATGGCTGCAGCCTATGGTATGTATGATGTGTGCCTGTGCATGCGTTTTTCTATGCATATGTATGTATGTGCGAGCGTGGATGAGCGATGAACAGGAGGGATAGTTGATTTATTGGGTAAATAGGGGTCTCATGATGGATGGGGTTTGAAGTTCAAATATTAAAGATTGATGATGTAGGGTTTTGTTTTATGTTTGCGAATCGTATTGTGATGCCAGCTGGTATGGCTTTTTATGGGGAAGTCTGGTAAGTAGGTTGATAAGTGCTGGGTAGGAACGGGGATGGTTGAATCAGGTACGGAAGCTACGGAGGTCACAAAGGAAAGACGATGATGGGGTGATTGGGGTTAGAACTAACTACAGACAGTTATCGCATGCTTCTTCTAGAGATTATAGCTAGCTAGCTGGCTGGCTGATCATACATACTAATTTGATTCCGTCATGAAATTTAATAGTTGTTTGATATTGATAATAAAAGAAAAGGCCAGCCAATAATACACACTACCTAGCTACGATTCCAACATTCTGCATACATGCATGCATCACCAAGGGCTCCCAAAAACTCGCATTCAAACTGACAGCGGCGTTAAGACCGATCGACAAAAAAACGGTATTGGCATTGTCTTCGCATTGGCCATTGGCATATTCATCTAATGCCACGCGATATATTTGCTGATCAATATGATGATGAATATGATAATATCTCTTTACTGTGATTTTGGATCTAGATGCTTGGTGTGACACTTACTTCGCTCGCTCAATCTAGCTTTGCATGTACGATGGAGAGATCATGTGTATGTATATATGTTTGTTGTTTATTTATATGATTATTAATTATAACCGATTTCTTGATTTAATTAAGTAGTCTAACTGACAGGTTGTCAAACTTCCAGATTATGCACAATATTAACGTGCATTTATTTATTTATTTACACAAGGCGAAGCGCATCCATCTGATTTTCCAATTTATTTCTCCTTGGCTAGATAGCGGGTTCTATTATTCTTATTATTAATATACTTTTGACATGATACATACATACTCCGTACATATATACATATGCATAAGTATAAATACCAAGTCCCAAACACACCGAAAACCAGATCGCTCGGAATATTTCGTCACCGTCTTACCTCGTACCCAAGTCTTACCAAGTGGAACGAAATTGACCCGACCGATGCACAATACTACCTCACATCACTTCAAACTTTCCATCACATCACATCACATCACAAAAACTCCGTAGCTCTACTCCGTATTTCCAGGTTCTATAATTATCAATGCCTGCCTGCCCTAGTCAAATTGACTTATAATACTAATCATAATGATAATTATACAAGGTATCTGAAGCCTTATTTACTAACTAGGTAAGATCATGTATATGTGTATGTATTAAGAATTCCTCGACCTCGTACTCCGTTCGTACTTTAGATGAATGGTGAGTATTACTAATTTAAACGTTCAAGAGAATCAACGAATGGACAAAGATTTAATTTAAAGAAAGGATGATGAGTGGAGATAGACCTCTACCTCGTAGAATGCTTGCTCCGAGTCCTGGGGGATTGATTGTTATTATAAATACCTAGGTATACATATCTATAATCTCTAAGAGTACGAGTAATACTTAGTATCATTAATCATAACTACACCGTTATTTCCATTTTCATCATACAAAAACCTAAAATGTACACCCTTAATTTACCGCTGGACTGGAAATTTGATGGATCCCCAGCCTGTAGTACCTAGCCTGTAATCTATTTCAAGTAAGACTTACCTGGTAACCTTATGTATTTATGTACCTAGATTCTTGATACCCTAATACCTACCCTGATTAATACCCTGAAGTGTGTAAACGGGTAGGGCGAGTATGTGATGCTGTATATAAACTAGTTAATGTAATACTATATAATTTCTAGATATCATTCATTGTATACTAAACGAAATTATATTAAAATTAACAATTTTTCTACTTTTTAAATTCTTATTATATAAATACAATCTAATATAAATCTTTTAAAGTTTATATTTATTTCAATTAATTATTTTTAATTTGAATTTTATATATTTAAAATTAAAAATTAATATTTATATAAAGAAATTTAAAAATCAAAAATCCAATTAATATAACATTCAAATAAAAATAAAATAAAATAAAAAACTTTTTTTAAAAGAAATTATATAAATATATTTTAAAAAGTTTTAAAGAATATTATTAAATACAAATTTTTTATTAATTTTTTAAAAATTTCTTTCAGATACTAAAAAAAAATATATTAAATTTCTTTATGAAAATAATA